CCGTTTTGGAGACTATTGGGTGCGGACCAGACGGTTTTGGAGACTATTGGGTGCGGACCAGACGGTTTTGACACCACTGTATGCTTGACAGTCTCATTTTCAATCGGTCATGCTTAGTTCTATAGTAAGTTTTGATGTGTATGGGTGTATGGGTGTTTGTGTGTATGTTGAATAGGAGTATATATATATATATATGACAGCATGCCTATTATAAATTAACAATAATATATATAAAAACCTATAGTAACTTATAATATGTGGGTGGATCCGTGGGTGTTGAATAAGAGTATATATATAGTAGTGCACCCAAAACACAATGGCAATATATATAGTTCTAGAGCAGCTTTGGGTTTGTGTTCACAGTCTATTTTCAAGTAGCTTGCTATTATTGTTCTATAGGATTCTTAGTTTTTGAGTACAGAGTGTTTGGTATTTTGTAATAAGAAATTGTTATATGCGATTATAGAATAGTGATTATGGATCTAAACAGTTTTATATCTTTTAAAGATCCAAATAAAATAAATCTAGTGATTATTACAATATAGATCCATATATTCATAAACACATATGAAGTTATATATTGTTTGGTAGTCCATAGTTTGGATTTGTGAGATTTTATATATGATACCAATTTGGTTTTATTATTGCACCCAGAATGATTTTATTTTTGATTCTATTTGCTTTTGCTCTTGCGCACGATATGATTTTATATATAATCCCAATTTGGCTTTATTATTGCATCTAGAATGACTGCATTTCTGATTCTATTCAATTTTATTCTTGCATTCGATATGATTTTATATATGATCCCGATTTGGCTTTACTATTGCACTAGAAATAACTTTACATCGTGTGCCAATTGGATTATTTTATTGCCAGAAATATAATTTTATATATAATCCCGATTTGGGGTTTTTTTTATTTTAATCCAGATTTGGTTTTACTTTTACACTTGAAATAACCGCATACCTGATCCTAATTTGATTTTATTCTTGTACTCAATATAATTTTATATATAATCCCAACCAGATTTTAGTTTTGCACCCAAAATATATTTATATCTTGTTTCAGTTGGATTTTATTATTGGCAGTTATATAATTTTATATATGCTACCGACTTGGTTTTACTCTTGAATCGAAATTTACTTTTATTGATTTATCACATCGACTTTTGTCTTCGCACCAATTATTTCTAAATCAAATATATACGGGTTTGTTTCTCAAACATATATGCTAGAGTCTATATATATAGACTATAGATATATTTATATATGTTACGTCTATTTTTTTTGAATAATATTAAAATAAAATAAATTAATAAATAAAATAAATAAAATAAATTCTGAACTATAATGAATGAAAACGTTTTAGAGATAATATCTTGTATGTTATTACTAAGTATATACTATATTACTAAATATAACATTCAGTTTGAGTTGTAGAGTATTTAAATTATTTTTTATAAGTAGAAAGTACGATTTCTACTAATGGTTTATATGTTGCAAAATAAGGTTCTTCAAAATAAAAAAGGAAACTTGTAGTTCTGATAGCTGCTGCACTGTATTAGCCTAAAAAACGGCAGAAAAAAGTATATTTTTCATTTTCATAAGAAACCATGTAAAATTCGAGGTGTCTGGAATTAAAACATACAACACACTTATACGTCTGAAAAAATGTAACGTTACACAATTTAAACTGAACGTCCTTTTTTCCAGTTTTACTAAACATACTAGTGTGTGGATATAAAGAATAAACCTTAATAATAGGACAAAAACTAGGAAAAATATGACTGATTGAGCTTGAGTTTTAGACTATATATATAGAATCAGCTCTTATTCTATCTTTTTTCTATAATTCTGCTGTCACCTACAATCAGAAATCTTAAGTAGTATACATATAAACCTATATAAAGAAAAGAAAAAAAAGAAAAAAAGAAAAAAAAAGTAAAAAAAGAAAGAATAAATAAATACACTAAAATAATTAATGTATGTGGGTAGAAAAGAGACCGAGTTTATTTGACTAAAGTGAAAGGCACAAGAATAAGAAGAGTTTGGTGTGATAGTAATTTTATTATAAAAAAGAATAAGAATGTTTTAGTGGTAGAATATTTGTATTATGTTAAAAGTCGGGGGGCAGTGGAGTAGAGGGGGGTGGTGTATGAGAAATAGTTTAATTTTTTTATATTGTATGGTGTGTAACAGATAATTTATATGTATATTGTAGTGCTGAGAATTATGGTGCGTACTGATTAAGAGAGATTGAAACGATGGGACTTTGTGTTAGGTAATGAAATGTTGGTCCAGAACAAGATATTTCAAAATATATAGAAATACGAAGTGTACTTATGAAAATGGTGGTATATGACACTACAAGTATAGTAAAATATAATGTGTGATTTTTGGGTGCTGAATTTTTATTATTTTGATTTCGATTTTACAGAGGTAATAAAATAAAAGAATGCTATTAGTATTTGTGTCGATTTTGAAAGCGTTGTGACGTTGGTTTTGGGCCTGTGGTATTTCAGGCACGAAACAATAGAAAAATGAAATATTTGATAATAGAGACGTATAGAAATACTTTCAGACTGTATATCAGTTGTCTTTATTCATAAATAAAAAGTGTCCCTTTTTATAAGAAAGTACAATCTGCTCTTGTCATTACGTCTTAGTTTCTTAAGGCTTTCTTCCTTTACCATATTTGGTTATTAGAGTGTATTTACTGCTTAACTCGGCTACACTAATCGCAAATACTTTTCTGCAAGTCACAAATCCTTCCAAAAAAAAAATTGGAATTTGTTTTATTGTGTAGAATTCTTTACGCGTTTTTGTTACTGATTTGTTTATCAATACTATACTAATGAATGATATTACTTTTGACCCTCGCACCTCGACCATCTACCGTTTCATGCCTACGTATGAAAATAAGACAGAAGAATTTGTCTTTGAAGCTGAAGAAGAGTACCAGCTGTGGGTCACAAACAACCCAGCTTGCCATGCCAACTGGGTCGTTAAAAACAGCAACAAGTCGAAGAGAAAGGTTCCTGTTGTTGCTTTAATCGATCCCAATCTGATCAAAGTAACTCAGTATATTAAATGCAATCATTCTGGCACAAAGGCAGAGAGTTTGAAGAAGCAAGCAGTTGAAAATGATGAGCTCCCTGTTGTTAAGCGTAGAAATACCACGGGTAACAGCATCAAGGTGGGATGCTTGGCTGCTTTAGTTGTTAAGTTCTTTAATGGCAGTAAAGTAACAGTAGTTTATAACTGGAGGCATAATAACCACAATCCTCTTGAGCTTTCTGATATCTCTCGCTCTCGGCTCTCCGAAGAAGCCTGTATCTAGATCAATGAACATGTTGAGAAAAACCTTGACTGGAATGCCATTAAGGGACTTCTAAGACTAGAAGATGTAAAACTAGAAGAGGTATTTTATTAATATATAGTGACGTTAAAATAAGATTTTATTATATATTTTTAATTATAATGTCTTTAATTAGATGGAGAACTCTACGTCAATGACATCTATTCCTTCTGCAATGATGATACAGTATAAAGATGTTCATAATGCGATTGTAGCTAGAATCAACAACAGTGCTAGAAAGCACTACAAAGATGAGATAAGTACTGAAAGATGGATTGCTTTCCTTCAAGAAAAGGGCTACCAAACTATGTTTGACACATATAATTCTGTTGGGCCTCTTCTTGTAAGCTGGGTCTCCCCTTAGCAGAAGAAGGTAACTACAAGTATTACATATATATATAGTCAAATATTTAAATATATATCAAAAAGAATATATTATTTATCACTTTAATTTATTTTATCATTAGTTTTTAGAAAATTCAGAGGAGTGATATCTTGACTCAACCCACAAAACCTGCAAGTCTTTCCTTAACAACAAGGACTGTTATTTGATGTCTGTGGTCGTATACAACCCTGTAACTAACAAGGGAGTTCCAGTTGCTTTCTTTGTTATCAGCATCGAATGTAGTTATACCATTGCAAGATGGTTGAACTGGTTGAAAGACACCAATAGCTTGAAGGTCAAACGGATCATGATTGACTGTAGCCCAATAGAGCAGAAGGCTATCTGGGATACATTTGGACCTTCAGTTCAAATTCTTTTGTGTCATTGGCATATCAAACGTGTTTTGGAAAGTCATGTCAAGAAGGTAATTTTATTAATGTATTTTACTGAAAACATTGAACCTATATTAACTAGTAATATTATTAGGTGACAATCCCCAATGCTCACCTTGAGACCAAGAATGTCCGGGCCAACATTCGTGCTGCATTGAACTTGATAATGCATAGCAATAATGAAGCCGACTGCAATGCTCATTGGCAAAAGTTCAGATTAGACTATGGCATGCAGTTTCCTGTCTTAATGTCTTATATGGAGGTTACATGGAACCAAAGAAAAAAAGTTGTGTTAAGGCATGGAGACAGGTATATTCTATATTGTTTTTTTTTGTCTGGTTATAAAAACTAATTTATAATTATTTTTGTAGGATGCTGTATGCCATACAAACAATTTGATAGAGTCTTATTATAACCAACTAAAGTCCTTTTATTTAGGCCAGTCTTGTGACTGTAGAATTGACAAGATTGTATATATACTTTCTCAGTTAGCTGAGAGAGATTACCGTCAGGATACTCTTGAGACCTATTTTGTTATTAAGAGCATCAGGCTTAGTGTGGCTGACACAGAACAAAAGAGAAAGGCCAGTGTTATTGCTATCGAAAGAGCAAATGGCCTGGTTGAAGAAGTTGAACTGCAAGAATTGCAAGCATACAAGGTAATATTATATAAAACATTTGCTTATATAATTTATAACTTATAATTAATATTGTTATTTTAGATGTATTCTTGCAAATATTTTGGAGAGGGTTGTGAACTGGTATACTTTATCAAGTTCACAACCCACTTACATGATTGCTCTTGCCCAGACTCTGCTAGATTGTGCAAACATATCTTCTTGGACTCTCGAGTTTTTGACCTGCCAGTGACAGTAAGACGAAATGTCGTACTGGATTCAGCTGCGTTGTTTGGCCTTGGTGAAAACGATAGCAATATTATTTCAGAAGATAATATTGCCTTGTTGGAAAACCAAATGAGCAAAGATGAGCAGAAAGCAAATCTTCTGCTTATGAATGAAAGTTTGTAGAGAATTTGGAAGCAGGTGTATACCTCTTCCAAAACCTTTGAGCAAAAAGAAGTCTTGTTGGACCTTATGAAGAAGGTAAACTCTGTTGTTAACCCAACGAATGGGTTGCGAAAGCAGACCTAAAGTCATAGATTACAAGACTTCTCTTTCAATTTATTTTTTTCTCAATAAACATCAAATTTCTACTCTCTTCTTTAATATAAAAGACTTATATAAACTATAAAATCAAATGTATAAAAATTGCCTTGTGAAAATTATTCACTAGACATAAAAAATTAAAATTTAGTTTGTACTTAAAAATAATTAAAAAAGTAAGGTACTTTTGGCATTTTCAGCACAAAATATCCCCCCCATGTTTTTCCTTTTTTTCTCAAATATTGTGCTCTTTTTTTTGAAGAAATAAAAGATACTATTGGCTGAATCTGCGTGATTTGCAGAAAAGTATTTACAATTAGCGTTATTCCAACTTAACTAGTGTCGGTGTTACAATTATGACATCAAGTCATAAATCGTACTTCTTTAGCTCTTAGCTATTCTTTTCTCTTTTATACTAGAGCTTTAGGACTTCCTACTAAATTAGCTCCATATCGATCTGACACAGTTTACCTGGCAGTATGATATAATTATTGTAACAATCTTTAAGATATTATCTCTAGTACTAACTGTAATAATTATTGGGCTGATTACTTAATTGTTTATATATATTTTATACTGACAAGATGATAGCTACTACGCTATCCCAATATGAATATGTTCTTATATGTGATAAATCCAACATCCGAGTGTCTGGATCACCACATTATCTCCACCCAGGTATTAACTAAATACCGTTCAAGTACTCTATACAATTCTTCTGATCAGCTTGTTCTTTTTTTTTTAAAACGAGTACTGTGGTGCTCAAATAATTCTTTATTTAGATCTTACTGCGTTTCTTCTTTTGATAAGCTGTCTTTGCACAATTCTTTCTTTTAGTACCTGAATTTTCTTTAGGTGCGGAATATGCAACTTTCATATCCTTTAATAATTTCTTTTTGGCCTTATTGATGACTTTGATACCTTCTGGTGCTTCACCAATTCTTTGCCAGTATTCCTTTATGAACTTAGGATCGGTAAAATGATCCTCTGGCTCCCAGGTATCGTGAGACTCATCATAATTCAACCATTTGCATCTATACAAATAATTGTTCTTGTCATCTTTCATGTGCCCAATAATTGCTTTGACTTCAAAAAAGTCATTCTTTTGCTCTAATACCTTGTCAGATACTTTTTTCAATAAAGAAGGAGGATAATTCCTTGGTTCTAAAAATCCCTTTTCATTTTTCAATACATAAGTATTGGCAGCAGTCTTTCTAATAACAGTGTAGAATCTCTTATACTTCGGATCTAATTTATTCTGTTTTTCTGTCACCAAAATCATTACTGTGGTTCCTGGAACCAGATCTATCATTTTGTGACTTCCATCAAAGCGTTCCTTTTGCTTTTCTGTGACATGCTTTACGTGTTCAAATATGGCAGGGTAGACTATCTCATTCATTCTTTTAATTTTTTCTTGCAACTCTTTCTGAATCTGTTCAGCAGTTGCACTATCCTTTTCTTTACTAAAATCAACAAAACCATTTGGATTCCTTCCAAACATTAACGAGAATGGCGTACTCTTAGTCCTAGCATTATACTTGCTATTCAAAAACAACTGTGCAGATGGCACCTTCTGATCCCAATCAGCGACATTACCAACTATTTGTTTTTTAATGGTACTCACTGCTGACTGGACAGCTCTTTCACTTGTACCATTAGCTCTAGAATAGTACTGCGAAATCAACGCATGTTCAAAACCAACATTCTCTTTTATACATGTCATCAGCGAGTTCACAAACTCCCGTCCACAATCACTCTGCAACTTTCTCATCAGACCCCATGTACTAATGACGTCCAGTACTTGTAACGCAATCGTAGCTGCCCTTTTATCAGGTATGGCACGCAATACATAAAACTTGCTTGCGATGTATATCATCACTAACAAGTACTCATTTCTTCTAGTCGACGTTGTAAATGGCCCAGCCAGATCTATTCCCCAACTGTCACCAGGAAGTGTTGCAGTCACAGGTCTTAAAGGATTATAATCTTTTCTTGTGATATTATGACATTGACACTGTATACACGATTGTATAAGATCATTTGCTTGACTCTTCAAGCTGGTCCAATAGGTACGTTTTCTCTTTAAGGCATGTAGTATAGCTTCTACACCAAAATGACCTTTCAAATGTTCTTCAACTAATAACTTATTCCTTTCATTTTATGTGGGAGGAGTAAAGTACTCACCACTCAAGATGTCTGGTAGTGGTTTCATAGTGACAGCACTATTTCTCATGATGGCTCTAACCACACTATCCCCACCCAGTTCATTTGATAATGTTTCAGTCTCTTCAGACAAACGTGAAAATGCATCAGGAAGCACAATCGAAACACCAGGCAAATGAACGATCTTAAAGTCATACTGTAAAATCGTGTCCATCCATGCGATCATCATCAGATTCGCAACACGTTGGGTGTGAAGATATGTCAATGCCTTGTGATCCGTGTACAAGGTAAAGTGAGAACCATAGACATACTTGTGAAAACGCTTGAGTGCAAATACTAATGCTATTAATTCTCTTTTGGTCGCAGAATACTTTCTTTTACTTTGGGATAAGCTCTTAGCCACGAAAGAAATATTTTTTTTCTTGCCATCCTTGACTTGATACAACACTGCACCAATACCAGTAAGAGATGCATCACAGCTGATACTAAAAGGAGAGTTCATATCTGGGTATGACAACACCAGATCACTCAAAAGTGCTTTTTTTAAGTTATTAAATGCAGTTTGATGCTTATCTGTCCATAAATGGGTAATCGACTTTTCATTTCTCAATGAATCTAGTGGCGACATAATAGAAGATACATTCGGAATCAATATTCTAAAATAGTTGATCAACCCACAATAACTTTGGATATCTTTACCCGTCTTTGGTTGAGAAAATTCAAGAATATTAACAAGTTTTCTGTGGTCCATTGTAATTCCTTCAGGTGAAATATGAAAACCAAGCAAATAAATTTCTTTCTGAAAGAAATGACATTTTTTCGGATTCAACTTCAAATTGACCCTTGTTAATCTCTCAATCACTTGCTTCAAGTGTTCCTTGTGTTCCTTGAACGTTTTGTTTGCACAAACAATGTCATCCATAAAAAAACCGTACAAAAGATAGTCCTTCCAAAGCTATACTCATAGTTCTTTGAAATTGTGAACTGACATGCTTTATACTAAACACTGTACGAATAGGTTTGTACTGTACGCCATGCCATGTGAAACTAAGTTTGTGTGTGTTCTTTGGGTTCAACCTCAAAGAATTAAACGCAGATTTCAAATCCAGAGTGGAATAAATATTCGCACCCTTTAAATCTTCAAACAATTCACTGATCAATGGCAAAGGCATACGATCAATTGACTTCAACAGGCAATTAATTAATCTGGGATCATGACAAACGCAATATCCAGTAATTTCTCCTTTACCATTCGTCTTCTTGACAACAGTCAAAGGCGTATTCCATTGTGTGTTTGCAGATGCTCTTTCAATTATACCATTGTCCAGCCATTCTTTCACCTGTTCATTCACTACACCTTGCATTTTGTAAGGAATGGGATAAGGGCTTCTGAACGCTGTAGTATTTTCTGGAGTGTCCAAACATACAACACTTTCAGGTATAGTACAAAACGAACCCTTAGGAATATCTTGATTGTCTTTAATGAACGGTCGAATATAATCCATAGCATCCTCAAACTGTTTGGGACCTACAGCCGGATTATTTTCCTTTTGTTCATTTTCTCTCTCAATGGATTCAAGAAGATCACTCTTATTATTGAAGCGTCTATCGGCTTCTCTACGTTCCTCACTTGAATCAGCATCATCATATGATAAAGGTAAACCATAAATACCAATACCAAGAGAAGACATATAATCAGCACCAATACTGAAATCATACTCATGACTATTAGTTAAATTCATCACTTCAAACTCGCGTTGAATAGTCTTACTATTGCAAGTTACACTGATCACACAAGTACTGATCCTTTTAATCTGGGTATTGCTATCAGCCAAACAAATAAAATACTTATGAACATTGTTTTTGTTCAACAAATCTTTATTAATGTGATTGATATAACTAATGGCTATTCCATTCTTCAAGCAAAAATTCTTGTCCACCGAACTGAACATGGCCTCACAGTCCAACAAGGAGATGGTTCTAATAGAATTATTTGCCAAAATAGGAAAGGTAATATTAGTGCTCATATTCTTAAAATCTCTTTTAATAACCATGTCTTTAAGATTGTACTTACAATCTAATGCCATCTTGGCCAGAGCACTAGTGTTGTCTTGGTACTCTGACGAAGACAACGAGGGACTCCCCTCAACCACAGTGGAAGCTCTTGCTGGTCTACCAGCAGAGGAGCAGACTGCCATCCTTGACACCTTTGTCAAGTACTTCTCCCGTTCCGGACAGGAGTGTCCTTTAACCCAGGGAGCCTTGCACGAGAAACAGATGCTATCCTTCATCACCTTCTTGAAGTCCCATGACTTCTTGGGAGACTGAGAACCACGCTCGCGAGAGAAAGACCTTTTCTTTCCCTTGTGGGAACCAGCAGAGAGAGAGGACGCACCATTGTGAGCAGCAAACGAACTCCAGGAGGACGCGGCAGTACCATTGGCAGGATTATGTAACAAAGCAGTGGAGTCACTTGTTGACACACTCACCAACGAGATGATGTCCTCAATCTTTGAGGGCATCTTGGTGCCATAGTTGGCTGACAAAGAAATGAGACAAGCTTCCCGGACTTCCGGGCGCAGATTCCACCAGAAGCAGAGAACCAATTGAACACCATCGTCCAACGAGGCCTGGTGGCGGAACTTTTGGAACTTGGCACCAAAAGAACGAGTGGATTCTCGTTTGCCTTGTTTCATGCACCAGACACGATCCATGTTCAGGAACTTATGGAACGGCGTGTCATAGTGATCCAGAAGAATACTTTCGGCCTTCTTCCAGTTGTAGGCCTTGCCTTTGAGCTTGTCCTCAAACCAAGAACGTTCTTTTTTGTTCAAACAAGTGGGCAACAGACGTTCCCAGCAGGAATCCAAGAACAGAGAGTGTGCTTCCAGGACTGTGGTAAACTCCTGGCAGAAGTCATACACCGAATCGAACACATCATGGTTGGCCTTCACCAGAGGACCCTCAGAACAAAGCTGGAGAAAAGGTAGGTTACTGGGAACCAGAGTGCATCTCTTGTCATGAGGCTTAGACGCAGGAGCAGTGGAAGCCTTGAGATCCTTGAGGATTTGCTCAGCCTCAGCAAACAGTTCTTGTGCTTCCTTGGAACCCTTGGAAGCAGACTTGGCAGCAGTAGAGGTGGGATCCCTCTTGGAAACACCCAAGTAGTGGCCTAGAGCAGCGTAGTAGTTGCCCTTCTTAGCATTGAGATCCTCCTCAGCAGAAGCCAGCAACATCTCCACGGTGGCCACAAGGTTGTTGTTAACTCTGACTCCAGAGTTACCCAAATAGATGCGAGGAGAATTGGCACCCTCATAACCAGAACGGCCAGCATCGGAACCAGAAGAACCTTCTTCAGAATCAAAGGCGCCATCCTCAGAACCCAAGGGAGTCATCACGGTATCACCATCGTGGTTGGCAGTACCAGTAGCAGAAGGAGAAGGAATGACACCAGAGTTGACACGGGCGGTTTCTTCACCAGAAACAATAGTAGAGTTGACAGCAGATTGTTGAGACATTTCGAGAATTCAAAGTAAAAAATGTGGTATTTTAGGTACGAAACGATAGAAAAATAAAATATTTGATAATAGAGACGTATAGAAATACTTTCAGACTGTATATCAGTTATCTTTATTCATAAATGAAAAGTGTCCCTTTTTATAAGAAAACACAATCTGCTCTTGTCATTACGTCTTAGTTTCTTAAGGCTTTCTTCCTTTACTATATTTGGTTATTAGAGTGTATTTACTGCTTAACTAGTGTCGGTGTTACAATTATGACATCAAGTCATAAATCATACTTCTTTAGCTCTTAGCTATTCTTTTCTCTTTTATACTAGAGCTTTAGGACTTCCTACTAAATTAGCTCCATATCGATCTGACACAGTTTACCCGGCAGTATGATATAATTATCTTAACAATCTTTAATATATTATCTACAGTACTAACTGTAATAATTATAAGGCTGATTACTTAATTGATTATATATATTTTATACTGACAAGATGATAGCTACTACGCTATCCCAATATGAATATGTTCTTATATGTGATAAATCCAACATCCGAGTGTCTGGATCACCACAAGTACTATTAGCTTGTGGACAAGCTTTCCTATATCATGTCCAATTAAGTGCATCTCATGCAGACCATAGAAGGAAGACCCAGTAAAGGTAGATAGCCGTGCAAAGATGTTGGGTTCTTGAATGTTAGTATTCTGTATATATAAAAAAGTATTTATTAGTATATTATTTTTATTTTTATTAATATTTCTCTCTTTTTTGGGTAGTGATGTACTTACAGTGTTGACATTAACAAAGTCGATCTTTGGCCTTAGAGGAGCACTGTAGTTTTTAAAGTACATGCCTCTACCTCTTAAGGAGACTTGACCTAATACTTCACATACATGACAACCATATCTGGAATTGTGGCCTTTATGATGGCAATACTTTGTAACCTATTTTGCTAATTTTGTAAGTTTTATTTTTTATTTTCTTTTTCTTTTTTCACTTATTTGAGGAATGTCTCCAGAGGTCATCACCATGTGAACTTTTTCCACAATCCTTTCACCGTCAAACTTTTTTATAATCAGCCCATATTTGCCTAAGCTAATGACTTCATCTATTATGGGTAACAAGAAAGAATCAAGATCTACAGGCTTTCCGAGTATAATGGCAAGTTGGATAAGATATTTGTTGATATATCTAAAAAAAATGAGCTTCTTTTATGAAAATAATAATAATAATAATAAAATTAAATGATAGAAGCTAGTTCTATTACCTTATTAATGGATCAGAATTCAAAATCATCACATGTACAATGGTCAATTGCTGCTTTGATTTTTCTGGTTTACAAAACCATCCAAGAACAAGGCAAGAGCAATATTGTCAGAGGACTGGAAAAAGTGCTGGGCCTTTAGGGCCTTATAATCTTTCTGTCAAAGTAATCAGACAACTCATTGGATATAAGCTGCCTGTTTGCTCTGTAATGGAGTTTCTTCTTTGTATTACTATTGCCAAGGAGTCGAGCCAGTTGATCGCCAAGTGACATCATCTTCATTGTCTTCACTGAGACCAAAGGTGCGGGGGCATCACCTGTGGGCTCAAGAAAGCTTTTACTGCCACAGTGGGGGCATTCTTCTTTGCATTGAGTATTGTTATACAGCTTACAGACATTCTTGCATATGTCATATATGTGAGCCTTTATTGCTGTTTTTTTCTTGAGCAGGGTATTGACAGGTTCAGCCTGGATAATTTCTGAGGAATATTCTATGAGTTTAATACAATGATTAGCTTTTTGATATACTTCAAGATAATTTGGTTGAATATACTGTACCTTTTGAGAGTTTATCATAGTCTTGGAATACCATGTTCATCAGATTGAAAAGCTGATAATTGTACTCAGTAGATACATTGAATGAAGTTACAATATCATACAGCTCAATACTTAATAATTGTGAAGTAGTGAAGATATTCTCGGTAAAGATATTATCACCGTATACATGTCCTTCATCACCAGCTTCAAAATTACGTGATGCTTTATACGTTCTTGGTTGGAATGGGTCAAAGGGTATGTCTGTCAAACACAATTAGTATTTAAAGGGTTGATTTTACTGGTGGAGTAATCTAAATTTGTACCTTCTGTTATATTGTCATCTATGAGAGATAACAAGTCCTCATCATCCAAGGAAATATAAGTAGAAGAACCAGCAGAAAAGGCAGAACTAGTATTTTTTTTATGGATTCGTTTGTGGTTCCAGAGCTGTTTACTTGTATAGCAATCCAAGTTACACACGTCACAAATGTATGAAGAAATGTTATTAGAACTTCTTGCTCTTTTGTTTGATAGGTTCATTTTGATAAAAAGTATGTGTTTGTGATGTGAGAGGTTTGTATATAATAAATATTATTATCTAAAACTTTAAATAAATCATATACTGCTCTTTTTATACTTTTTTTTCCAATTTGAGAAGAAAAGCTATTGCTAGTCAGAAACAATGTTATTGATCTTATGATTACATGAGTTTTTTTAGGTGCACAATATTTTGCTCTTTTGTTCTTATTTCTATAAGTAATTGCCTTTCTTTCCCCTATTTTTTTACTTTATTTTATTCTTGCAAACATTTACAACATGAACAACATCTCTGAAAACATCAATCTGAGCACAGTGAGATCTGTAGTTTGTGAAGAACTCTCTGATATTCAGGCTTCTGTTGCCAAAATTGTTGCAACTGTTACCAGCCAGCAACAGCTTGTAAGAGAAGACATATCACACAGCTTTCATGCAGGTAATGCAAGCATAATATTTTATTTTGTATAATATTTACTTATAAAATCACTTTATTAAAAGGTAAACAAAGTGCCACACAAGCCAGAATGTCTTACTTAGTAAATCATCCAGATGATAGAGAAGTAAGACATATTCCTGCTACAATGACTGACGCCCGTCTTGGTTTTATACTAACAAGAACCAACAAGACACCAAGTGCAACTTCTAGGATCAATGCACTGATAAATTTTCTGTGAAAGAAGCAACAGGGAACGGATGTTAATGTATCTGCAGAAGAGCAGAAGCTCATTAGACTCCAGTTCCACATGTATACAAGGCAATGCCAACGTATCATGTGTGAAGATGGCATTGTAAGGATGAACTGGGGAAAATTGAGTAGTCAGCAAAAATTGTACTACTCTTTGAGACTCGAGGAGTTAATCTTCTCAAACTACTAGTTCGCTCTACACGAATACAGAGGTCAATGGGCTGCTGCTCTTTTCCTTCAAGAAGTGATGAATGCTGGACCCCAAACAGACAAGCGCCAAATTGTACGTATTAAGTTTAGTGTCATGCAAGATATTTCATTAATACTTTTTTATTAAAAAAATATGCAGGCGAAGTTGAGTGGAGAAGTTCAAGAAGAAGAGTTGAGTTATATATAGATTGCTCAAACATAAGACTTAATACACTGACTAAACTATATTTTTAAAAGTAGCCTTGGTGGGGCAGAAAGTAGTGTGGCATCCTTACCACCAAGAAGAAACATGCGGAGCCGTCGTATTTAAAAAACATTTTTTGACTCCCTATTATCACCATCTTCCACAACAATAAAAAATAATTCTCTTTACAATCTCCTTTTTTTTAATCAATGACAAATCGACTCATTTTGTCTACTTTCTTCCTTTGCTTTTCATGTAATCACATTCAAACAACATGCACCACTCAAACTTCAAGACACTTTTGATATAAAAGTACTACAATTGTGCATTGATTTTTTTAAAAAAAAAAAAGACTAATGCAACTAAAAAAACATATTTTTTTATAGTTTTATTCAAGCAGATACTATATAATACGCTCTTGACTTCCTTTTTCAAAAGACAATCAGTGTAAGTTACTGTCTTGTTAAACTGATATTTTATAGGGCATACTAAACCATCTGGCTAGCTATTAATGAGTAGGTGCTTTCAATTACTTCGGGCTTGTGCTGCAGCATGGTAGCTACCAGACAATCTTTGAATGCAAACAAATTATAAAGGTAAGCTTACTGGGCTATGTGCATTTACTTTGTATATTAACTTATTTTTTAGACTTCGTCTTTAATCACAATTACTTAAAGCTGTTAATGAGTATACATGAGGTAATTACAAAAAAAAACTTTTAAGTATGTATATTTATAATATTCTTTACTTTAGCTTTACACAACTCAGGAATGGGATTGTTTGAACGTTCGCTCAATAGAAAAGCATCAACAATTATAAATCATAAAGAAGAGTTCAGTCATTCATAGCTGGTATAACTAAAGGTATGTATTACTCATATAACTAATATATGAGCTAGTATATGTGCAAAGTATATTGCTAGTATTATTATTAAGCTTGTATATAAATATGTATCATTATATGCCATGTAAAAGACATAGTATACCATATATTATATTGTATAGTCCATTGTATAGTACATTGTATAGTACATTGTATAGTATATTATATAGTATATTGTATAGCCTATTGTATATTTCTATTGTATATTTCTATTGTATATCCTACTGCGCAGCAAGCATATGAATAAAAATAAAATCCACCAAATTTACCACCAATTTTTCGATATATGGATTTACTACCATACTTTTATCACCAATTTTTCCATATATGAATTTACTACCAAGCTTTTACTACCAATTTTTTTATATATGGATTTACTACCATACTTTTACTACCAATCTGTCTGAAACTAAGCCAATCAAGCATGTTGCCTTACTATTCAGTTAATTAGTGGCAATACCACTATAATTAGTGGCAAACATAGCTCATTTACCACCAATTTTTTCAATTAAGCGTAGTGTGGCCAGCCACCAAAATTTCTACAAATTAGTGGCAGAACTACACACAAAGATAGTGTGGCAATACCACTATAATTAGTGACAAGCATAGCTCATTTACCACTAATTTTTTCAATTAAGCGTAGTGTGGCCAGCCACCAAAATTTCTAAAAATTAGTGGCAGAACCACACACAAAAACGGTGTGACAATACCACTATAATTAGTAGCAAGCATAGCTCATTTACCACCAATTTTTCCTGCTTTAGCGTAGTGTGGCCAGCCACCAAATTTCATGCAAATTAGTAGTATTGCCACACCAATTTCATTCATAGTGCTTTTTGTTCTTGTCCATTAATCAACACGGCAAAGACTTGTAATACTATCAGCAATCACAATAATAATAAAAGAAAAAACATTAAGAATAAATATAACAATAGAATAATAAAAACAAATTGCTTACCAGGGTGTGAACTCAAATACATCAACCAGAATAAAAGTAAATAAAGCGGAAAAGAAACAGGAAAAAAAGAAATAAGAAAAAAATAAAGAAAAAGAAGAAAAAAAGTGGGCTTTCAAACAGAAGGCAGTTTAGATGAGAATTGACTCTAGTAAAATACAATAGTAATAAAGTGAATAGTCCAAAATTATATTATAACACTAAGTTCTATGTTAAATATTAAAGAAGTTGTTCAAGGTTATAAAGAATTTTATGGAAAATAATATATAAACTCTTTCTTTTCTCAGCTATTTCATAAATCTACTTTATATCAACTTATTTTGTATGTATATCTTTGATTAAACAGAAATAAATATTTTTCAACCCATACATTTATTTTATTTTAATAATTTATTAATATATAAAACTTTAATAAAAATACAATAAAGAAAAAATGCCTTCCAATAGCAGCAGAAAAACAGACCGTAAAGGAAAAGGAAAAGCATCTGCAAGTATATCTACCTCTGCAAACCATGTTTTGGCTGGCCATGTGGCACCTCGAGAAATTGCCCCCAGTTTCTCATCCTCAACTATTCAAGATCAGCAATACGTGGAAATTGTTGAAATGTTTAACAAAGTAAACAACAGTATCAACGGTGTCAAGGATGACATTGCTGCTGTCAATAGCAATATGACAGCCTTTAAAAACAGGATGGGCGTTGTTGTTGACACGTCTGGAAAGACATATACGGCATTTGCAGACTTTGCAACTGTCTATGCCAATGATCAAACTCATATGGCTAGTCTAGCACTATCTCCGATGTCATCCTATGTCCCTCAGATCTCCCTCAGTGATGCCGAGGTTTCTGTCATTATCTTGGTAATTAATATTAATATATGTTAGTATCAACAATTTATTAAACAACCTGCATTTAGAAAATCTTTGTGGAAAGGTTGTGGGACTGGAAGTTTGAGTCTGACGACCCTGCTCTTGTTGCTGAGAACGAGAGTAAGAAGAAGTGGAACTTGAATGAGAAGATTAACTACCACAATAACATAGCTGTTATCAACTACTTGAAGAGCTACATTAGCGCAAGACTTGCCTAGCTGATACTCACTTATGGGTGATAAGTGATAAAATCAAAAGCAGATACAAACACAGTCATCGTTCTTTTTATGAGTCTCCTGAGAAGAAGGCCAAGAAAAACAACAAGGGGAGAGCAAACAGTTGTACTCCTTAGGTTTGTATATACAATATAAAAATTTAATTCGTATATTACTATTTTCTCAAGCTACAAGCTATATAACCAGATGTCTATCCGACACAAGTCAACATACATGGACAACTGGGTAGCTATTGATGCTGCAATAGGATATAAGACTGGAAACCCTGTTGAGAAGGTCTATCTCAAACTCTTTCAGAAGGATGCCATGTCTGATGGTGAGTCGGATATTGAGATTGTGGACAATCTTTCACGATGGTGTTTGCATGTGGCTCGCTCCACTTGGAGAAGTGAAGAGGTAAATAATATTTAGAATAAATAAATAAGTTTTATAACAAGAAAAATAAAGAACTAATAAAAATAAATACAGTTCAACAGATTGTTGACAATGGTTGATGACATTGATCGTATCTATCACGTGTCAAATGCGGACGTGGGAACAAAGCCAAGAATGAACAGATATCCAGCAACATTGTTGCCTTGCTCTGTTTCTGCCACCCTGTCCCAGTCATTGCCTCGTTGGGCAATCAGCAATGAATAAACATTTTCTTTTTTACTATGTTCTGTTGTAGGGCCAAATAGTAATAATTGAAATTGAATTGATTAAAGGAAATAATAATAATAATAGAGGATAAATATATAAGTAAGTGTGTGTATGAGAATTAATAGTAAATTTTTTTTGGTAAAGGAATCGCGAGTTTTTTGTTGACGTTTTTTGTAGTTTTGTAATCTACTATTGCAACTGTCATGAGAATCCGATGTACAGGCAGGATGCTTTGAAAATCTTACTTGTAGAGTTCATTGTGTAACAACTCAACTCCTTCTGATTCTCTTGTTTTCTCAGAAGTGGGTTTGAACCATTTAACAAATGCAAATACATTCTGACTACTATGTGGATCTCTGTGTGTTAGAAAAGAAACAGTTGGCCTAAATTTGTGAACAAAAAAGTACTGAATCTCTCCAACATATGCATGTTCTGATCCAGCTCGTTCAGTGAAGTATGCTTGTATGTATGATCCACGGTCATTTGTGCTAATACACCCTTTGTAGTTTTGCCCAAGAAGATCAATAGACCTCACCATTTCGATCCAGTCATTGACGAAAGGTGAGTCATCAATTACATCTTTGTAACCTGAGATCTGAGGATTCTTGTATGCAACTTGATAGTATTCTAGAAGACAATCATATTCATGTTTTAACATAAATGATAATGGTCTTGTTTTAAATGGCAAGACGGATGATGGCAGAGGCTTATTTCCACAAATTGTCATTGAAAGATTCTGTGAAGTTTCAAGACATTTGGAAATTGAGAAAGAGTGAGAGAGATAGGTAGTGTTATTATTGTTGTTGTTATTGGTGTTAGTGTTGATGCTAGTGCTAGGTATTGGTGTTGGTGTTGGTGTTGGTGTTATTGTTGTTGTTGTTATTGATGAACTTATGAAAAATTTCAAAACACGCAAGTGTATGCATAGGTTTCAGAAGTTGACAAACAAAATCTCCTTTTCATGACTCTTCAATGAACTGTCTCATAAATGTTGTTTCAAACCCGTTTCTTCGATTGGTCTTGATATTTTTCAGAGCACTATTATATCTTTTAAAGCTAAAAAGCCAATAGCTATAGACGGGCCCAAAGGCAATCATTGTCTGACGTAAGTGCAGATGCAGATGCAGATGCATGTTGGGAGAGAGAAGGTCCAGATCATGTAATGTCTCACACCCTTTATAGAATTCTTTTAAGTATTTTTGGTCTTTCTCAATATCTTCTTCAGAAATACTAGGCTTGGTGAAGTATCTGCATGCGTTAACAAACTCTATTTAGTTTTTAAACTCTGGCAATAGCAATACATCCCTCAGAATCACAGAAGAGTATGCAAGGCAACAAAACTTCTACTCATCAGTCTTTATATAGGGAAATCTCTTGGCAATTTTTGTCCCAAGTGACATGTAATTGGGTGACAGCACTACCTTCTCAACAGCCTTTTGCATGGCAACGAGTTTTTTATTGTCAATTAATCAATCTGCAACCATTCTCTCCAGCATTCTTTTGGAAGTACCTAAGAAAAGATTATGTATGGGATTGATGATCGCGCAGTGGATAATGTCAAAGTACCAAAGATTATAAAGTTCAGACCAGTGAACGTCATGTGCAACTTCAAGATGCTGTCTTTCAGTTGGCTTGGTTGCATTTCTCTAGATCTCTGCATTCTTACAATTGACATTCTTAGTGCGAAGGAGACACTTTGAGAAATTGAATCCAGAATAATCAATGGAACTAGTTCCAGCCAACCTCAAAAATGGACACATACACTTGTGGCATGCATTTGTACTTGTATAGGATGTGAACTCACATTCTCTCCTTGCGCCAGGTATATCACATGCAACTATGAGAAGGGCTGCTCAGATAGAAGTACCATTTGGACATTAGTGAGTTTTAATCTTAATATCTTTGTATAGCTCTATCAACTCATTCACAAGTAGTTTCAGATAGTTGTTTATATCAGACATGCTCGCTTCTTTAGACCCTGGCATTAACCCACCAAGAAGCAAGTTCTTCTTCTTGAACTGCTCACGGTGTGGAAGATTGTTGATTGCAAGATACACCCGGCTTAGGGTGAAATTGACTTACTTCCAACTCCGTCATGGCTTCTTTCTATGCAAAAAGATTATCCTCTATTTTCATTTTATTATAATTCTGTAATCTCTAATAAAACAAATCACAATGCCAAAGAACAATAAAGCGAAAACTACTAACTCATATTATAAGACAACAGATTTCAAAAAAGAAATGATTATTAGAAGATATAAAAAAGAACGTAGCCCCTATGAAATTTCAGATGCAGAAGGCATACCCCAATCAACTGTTTATTGTATAATTAAAAAATACAAGACAAAGAATACATGTGCTAAGAAGGAGCATCTGGGAGCCTCTAAGAAGCTATCATCACGGGCAATTCGTTATTTGAAGTTTACCACAAAAAAAAATAGACACAACACATTAGCTACTATCACGCGCAGTGTTAAAGAGATGCATGACATCTCAATCAGTCAAGCAACAGTACGCAAATATTTGCACAATATGAACCTTTGCTCTTGTGTTGCTGTAGCCAAGCCTTACCTATATGAAGCACATAAGAAGGCACGCTTGCAATGGGTTAGGGAGCAAAAAAATTGGTATGATGAATAGACATCAGTAATCTGGAGTGATGAGTTCAGATTCACACTTTTTCAGAAAGGTGGACAGCAATATGTTTGGCGCCAACCACATGAGAAGTACGACAATGACTGTCTGGTACCAGCAGTGCAAGGGTTGGGTGGTTCAGTATCAGTTTGGGAATGTATTTGGGCAGGAGGTGTTAGCGCACTAGTTACATTAGATGACTACACGACAAAATAAATATATGTCCAGACACTGAGGGACAACTATCTTCCATTTCTTGCTGCCCTTTCAGACAAGGACACTACTACCTACCTTCTCCAAGAAGATAATACCAAGCCACATAAGAGCAAGTTGGCAGAACAGTAGAAAAAAAGAAAAGTTGTGGCTATCTTATCATGGCCTGCAAAAAGTCCAGATCTCAATCTAATTGAGAATATGTAGAGCTACCTTGTTAACAAAGTTAGAGATAGAAGACCCCACCCTACTACGCTAAAATAACTGGAGGTTGCTTTGTTGGAGGAGTGGGCAGAAATCACAGCAAGTACTTGTGTGAAGTTTTGCCTAAGCATTAAATATTGTATGATATTAGTTAGGAAGAAGCATGGAGGAGCTATTAACTATTAAACCTCCATCAACTTTTAATATAAATGAGCAACATATATTACAAAATTCTCCATTTATTTTTTGTTTTTAAGGATTGTGTCTTTGAGAACTTATTTAACCTTGAAAAACAGAGATGTACTTCTTTGATTTTAGTGCAGTTGAAAGTAAGTCAATTTCACCCTAAGCCAGGTGTATATGGCCCCACAGGAGTAGATAACAACATCGAACGGCTGAAACCAGTCAATTTTCAGCATGAGCATGAGTGATTGCTTGGTATCAACAAAAGCTATACTATATATGTCTACTATCACATTTCACATCGCATCATTGTACACTGACCCATATTTAATTTAAGTATTTTTTAAAATCCCGATTTTTTTCAATGAAAATATACAACTTCTGTACATCTTTTTATTATCTTGACGTATAGCTAGAGCTCTGAAATAATTATGAATAATATATATTAGCTATGTGAATAGGTATATGTAATTTATTAGAAAGTTTAATAGTAGGTATGGAATCTATTATTTTTTCTAAGTTCTTTGATTCGATTTGGCATTGACATGCAATGTGCTTTCACTACTTTCTTCGGTATTTTTTTCCATTCTTCTTGAAGAGCTCTGGTCAACGAGTATGAATTCGTTGGCTTTGCCCTTCTAGCTCTCAGCTGGCGTTCCAAGTATGCCCAAATGTTTTCTATTGGGCTCAGATCAGGGCTGTTTGCTGGCCATGTCATCACTGGCAGATTCACCTCTTCTTTGTATTCTTTTGCCAAAATACCTTTATGGCAGAGCGCATTATCTTCTTGGAAAATGAACTCACTATCTTTCTTTTGCTTAAGGTATCAAAACCAGGGCATAAAATGAAGTCGTAAGAGTCTTATGTATTTCGTCTGATTTAGCGCGCCATCGACAATTACAAGTTTTCTCACTCCACCAGCCCAAATGCACCCCCAGACCATCACTGAGCCTCCTCCGCCTTGTACTCTTGGACGTACATAGCCTCTTCTATATTTCTGTGCTGGAGTGCACCAAAAACGCACATTTTCTGCCCTTGGATAAACCATGAATCTGGACTCATCACTCCAGATTACCCAATTCCACTGTTGATTGCGACGACAAGTATCTCTTGCAAACTTTAACCTGTTTTTTATGTGCCTTTCCTTTAGCAAAGGCTTCTTTGCAGCAACACAAGAGCGTAAACCAATCTTTTTTAAGGAATTACAAACAGCATCCCTCTTGATGGGTACACCTGAAGATTCCTGAATTTCAGCTGTAATCATGTCTAATGTTGCAGTTGGGTCATTGCGCGCAATATTTCCCAGAGCTCTCAAATCACAATCATTCAAGAGAACAGGTATCCCTTCACGTTTTTTGGTAAGGGCAGTACCCGTTTTCTTCACTCTCTCAATGGTTGTTGTCACTGTCATGTAGGGTAGCTCATACTTGTGTGCAATCTTAACCATGGGAATTCCAAAGTCATAAGCACCTACAATCTTGCCTTTCATGTAATCTGAAAGTTCGGAACTCTTTTTACAAGATTGTTTAATGATTTTAGGAGATATGAGAAGATTTGATTGAGAAAAAGAATGAAAAAATAAATAAAAACAACAATGGGTGCTTTTTCTCAAAATTTCCTTTTTGGTAATATACGTAAACTTATTCAAGGTCAGTGTATATGCCAAACAAAGTGTTATCTATTTTCGGGCTACTGTTTCATGAGTTGATTTTGTTTTCAAAATCTGGGCATTGAAAAATTGTTTTTAGGGCTTTCTTGACAGAGTGTAATACATATGTCGTTTTGTGTGCTTTTGATTCAGGGCCAGACTTAAACAAGCTGATGTCACACAAGGAGGTTTTACCAAAATTGGAGGATGGACAACACAAATGGGCGGCTTCATTATCATATATGGAATGACATTTGCTATATGCAACATACTTCCTGACACCACTTGTCAATGCTTCAAATCTGGCCAAACGTTTGAGGCCAGCAACACTCACGGGAAGGTGGAATGTGTTAAATAAAAACTGGAGAATCTTGTTGATTATGGCAATCAGGATTACAGCTCCTTCATCCACGACGTATAGCGAGACAAAAAGAGCAACTGAAATAACAATGAATCAGTGAATCAAATTCAATTCCGAGATTGATTCCAATGAAGAATCTTTAAGTTGATTTTCTTAAAGAACATTAATTAACTCTCTATTTTTTAGGATATAATATTATCTAAAGCTATGTACCCACCTTCATCATTTTCCACCTCAACATTGGATTCATCTTTATATTCTCCTTCTTCTTTGTAAGTGCCACTTGTATACTGAGCATTATCTTCAGGGCCAAACACGCAATTGGTTTCAGAGAAAGGTTGGTTTCTTGTCCATATATCCAAAATGTCATTTGTGTCACTCAGGTCTACAAAAGCAGAATGCTAGACCCAAATAAACCAATGTAATAAAGTAAGTTTTCTTACTTCTAAGCTCAGAATTCATTTCAACATCTTGCTGTTCAAATTTGAAACTATCTTCCTCTTGATTTACAGGCTCAGAAACAGCACTACTAATTGTATCGCATATGTCTTCATGAGTTACACATTTATTACTATTATTGTTATTATTATTATTAATATAATTATTATTATTATTATTATTATTATATAAAATAATAAAAAAGGGAATGATATAAAATAAAAGTAAAATAAAATAAAGTAAAGCAAATGTGTTAACCATACGCATTTAAACATGTGTAATATCAGGATTACAGTAGTTCCTCGATAATTTCAAGGCCTAGGGAAGGCCAAGTGCCTTGAAATTATCGAAGAGTGAAATTAACGAGTTCGGAGTATATATTTTCCGCCAACTATGGGCGGAGTTTACATTATTCTTTAATAGAAAAAAAATATATCAAGTAATGATTCGATATGCTTCAATCCTCTGTTTAAATTCATTCTAGTTAAATATAACCCCTGGCTGCATTACTGTTTTCTACCCCCCCTGTCTTGTAACCAATTATTGTTTCAAATTCTTATTCAATCAAATAATAACAGCTTTTTGGTATGCTTTTAACTTATTATATAATGCTCATCTAATATCATTTTCAGTTTTTTTTGATACTTTAATGAAATCTATCAAATCCAGAACTAAACAATAAAAATGAGCAAAAAAAACGTTTCACTTAATATTGCAAATCATCTTGAGATTTGTGATATTAAAAAGAAAAAGCCATCTATGAGTAACCCCCAATTGGCTGAATGGGCAAAGGAAACCTTTGGCCTTCAAAAAGCTCCTGATGCTTCTACAATCTCGAAGATTTTGAAGAGAGGAGACCAGGGCTTGATAATGCAAGCCGACGTAAAAAACAGAAAGCGTGTTAGAAAGGGAAAATGGCCTGTATGTAATATATCTCAACATTATGCATTTTTGCTCCATATAAAAAATAAAATTAACCTTATTATATTGTCACACAACTATAGCAAATTGAAGAAGCAGTGCTTCTTTGGATCAACATTACTGAAAATAATCAGATTCCCATCACTTGGGAATTGATTAAAACTAAAGCTACTATTTTCGCTGAAAGAATAGGCGTTAAAGACTTTAGTGCTTCTCAAGGCTGGATAGAGAAGTTTGGAAAGCGTCATTGCATTAAAATGAATCGAATTCATGGTGAGGCTGGTTCTACTGATATAGAATTGCTTCAGATTGACAAGGCTGCCATCAAAGAGAAGATAGAGGGATATAGTGCTCATGACATATATAACTTTGATGAAACAGCACTCTTTTATGCTGTCCCACCAAGAACAACAATTTCTCACCAGAAATTTTCTGGTTGGAAAGATAACAAGAAGCGCCTGACTGTAAGTCTCTTATGTAATGCGGACAGAATGGACAAGTGGTCCGATGTACTGATGATTGGGCATGCAAGAAGACCAAACTGCTTCAACAAGAACAACAAGAAGCAAGAAGCAAGTGATCATGGATTCTCCATGTATCATTACAATAGCAATGCTTTGATGACAAGATCGATATTTCATGTTTTCCTCCGTCGCTTTGATTATGCCATGAAAGCTCAAAAGCGCAAAGTTCTTTTGATTCTCAACAATTTCTCTGGTCATATAGTTGATTATACACCTACAAACGTTAAGCTTCTTTTTTTGCCACCAAACACCACTTCCCACCTTCAGCCATTGGATGGTAGTATCATTTGGGCTTTTAAGACTTATTTCAAGCATAAACAGTATGCCAAGACATATCAGTATATTGGCATGATTCAAAATGGCCAACAAGATAAAATTGGGCCAATTGATAAAATCTTTGAAATTGATCAATTGTGGGCCATGAAATGGATAAGAGAGGCTTGAGAATCTGTCTCGGCAAAGACTATTGAGAACTGCTGGAATGCAACAATCTTTCGCTTTATTGAAGACAAAGATAGTGAAGGTAGTAGTAAAACAATTTATTGGTTATAATAGTAGTATAATCTTTCAATTCCACTTTCTTAATATTCTAAATATAATTTATAGATGTAAACCAGGCTATGATTCAGCAAAGTCTGGCTGAAAAGGTTCTCGTTGAGGGTTTAAAAGAAACCCTGGACAAGATTGCTGAATCAGGTCTTCTGTCGCTGGAAGATTGCCCAACAAATGAGTCTGATTCACTCTATGAGAGACAATGCACTCATAGAGTGGTCAATGAAAATGAGATCGCAGATCTTGTGATGGAAGAATATGACGCCGACGAAAATGCAGCCAACAACAGCAATGAAGAAACTGCTGAAGTGGAATCAGCAGTTTCTTTTAAGAGAACTTATTCTGCTTCGGAAAAGTTTGAGTGTGTTTGCACGCTTTTGGATATCTTGGAAGACAAAGATATTGACAGAGACTTGGTCAGTAAGGTTGAAGGCCTTCGAAACAAGTTCCGGAAAACTGCGAACTCAAAGCAAACTAAAGTCACCAGCTTCTTCAAGTCTTTTTAAAATTTATTCTTTTTCAAATAAAATAAAAACAATTTTCTATAAGAAATATATTTTTCTTCATTTAAAAATAGAAAAAAAAAGTTAGCAGCCAAGTACAGTCAAAGCTTGATTTCGTAATATGTTTGTAAATAGTAACAATTGCAAATAACAATAAATAGTAATGACAGATAGAAATAATAAAATCTATAATAAAAACTTTTATAACAAAACAAATTAGAATTATATTTATATTTTTCAAGTAAATAATTTTTACTAAACAATTAATAAATGAAACTTAATCAAAATATAGCACATATAGTTTTATTTTATTTCTGAAAAAAAAATGAAAAAAAAATTCTAAAAAAAGTAAGCTAGATGACAACTTGATAACCCAGTGTTTGGCATGAAAACTTATCGACTTGACATTGATGTCAATTACAAAATCGTAAAAAGCTAAAATTAAAAAAATTTAAACCAAGCTGTAACTATATTGCTCTCGTCTGATTGGCTAATTTTTTTTTTTAAGGATTCAAGGCCAAAAAATTTCATGAAAGTGAAATTAACAAGAATCGTGAAAGTTAAGCCCTATTTTTCGAGTTGGGTCTTCAGAGCCTTGAAATTATCGAAGCGTGAAATTAAAGGGGCGTGAAATTATCGAGGGACCACTGTATCTTTTTTTTGATAACGTTTAAATGCTTTAACAGATACACAACTGAGTCCTAGTGTCTTGCTTTTACAGATAGAGCATTGACACTCTTTTCTAACAGTTGGTTTGCAAATAGGAGCCATTCTAAAATGAAAATAAAGGTTTACAATATTATTTAATAGTAAAGAAAGAGACTTCAAAGAAAGCACACTTTAATTTTTATTGAGTTTGATATTGCATTCTAATGCTACACAGCTGTCAGTAGCCAATAGAGTAGCTTAAAATACTATTCAAATATTTTACTTACAAAAGTAAGCTGAACTACAATTTTATCTATTCTGTCTCTCAGAACTTAGGTATACTTTCCATATGCAAAATTGATTTATTTTTGTAGTGAATGATGACCAGCAACTGAACTGTTTCTGCATCTCTGTAAAAACAGATATTACAAGCTTTAAAGAAACTCAAGAAAGACAAGGTAAAGAGTGCAGTATTAGACACCTTGCTATGGCCAACATAATTCTGATAGCCAATAGTTTTGCAAAGCCAGGTTACCAAATTTATTCCAATGTAAATATTCAAGACATAGTCCTTAACTGCCTGGCTATTATATGGAAGAAACAAGATAAAGAGAGTATTACAACACAATTAATTAACTTCACATATAATAATATAAGAACATTACCCTGGGTACATATAGTTGCAACTAGCGTGATTGGACTGAATATTGTCAGAAATAACAGTCTATCATAGATCTCTGCAAGTATAATACAGCTCGATTAGTAACCTACTAGATGTCAGTACAGCGTCAATCCACACAAACTCTCAATAGCATACATTTAGCCAATGATTCTATATATAAAGTTGTTTACTACTTACAGCTCTAAATTGCAAAGCATTATTTGGTTCAAGACTTCTTTAAGACAAAAATAAATAAAGGTGTCAAGCTTTCTAATATTGATCACAAAACTTTGTATATTATATCAATGCTTCAACTTATATAATTATAGTAGGGGAGCAGAATTACATTTGATCTAGTTGATCTATAATACAAGACTATTATGCTTCTATGTATGTAGACAATGTGGCTACTGCAATGTGATATAATTAGACTGTAGCATCAAGATATTACGTTTTTCTAGATCCAAGAATCGCAGTTAACTGGAGTTCCAATGATATTGAAGAACTCAAAGAAAGCACAAACAAAGACTTACAAGTTGGACATGATTGGTAATACAGAAGTATGTCTAGTATTAACTCTTTGTCATTTCATATCCAAAATGCAAGACATCCATGAGTATATCCCTTTTGACTATACTCTCTTTCTTGGACACATCAACACTCATATGTCAATATCAGTCCAATCTATAGCAATGTTTAACTGGATGAAGATGATTATAAAAGAAGCAGAGATAGACATAATGAAGTGCTTGGCCCACTTCACTTGATCAGCTGCAAGTACTTGAGCTATTTTAAATTGACAATCAATGCATTAGATAAAATGACATGAAAACTGAAGCTTATAAGAAAGCATATTTGAGAAGTACTACTTTACGCCAGACAAGCAGCACGTCAAAGAAGCAAGAATGACTGAAGCAATCTTTGTCTCTTTTGAAAAACATAACCATATCTGCTGTTGGTGTGAAGTCAATGACAATTGTGTTAGATATGAAACACAATGACGAAGTTGACGAAATGATGACAGAAGATATGGTGAACATCTGCCCTTGGATAATTTGTTACTTGTTCCCTTCTAGTTAAATATGACATACCTCTCCCAATAAAACAGACCAAGCAGTTTATAGTGTGGCTAACTTTGAAAGATGTGAGAAAAAGGGGTATCCACTATAATTAATCATTTATAAATATTATAAAAAAAAAACGTGGCTTGAAGAGCATATAATCGCATCTTCTGTCATCATTTCGTCAACTTCCCCATTTATTATTAAAAGTATATCGAGTGAAATACTATAATCTAAATCTAATATATAAGAACAAGACTGTGCTTTTATTTTATTTTATTTTTATTTAAAAGTATAAAGCTTTAATAGTCGTATATTCTTTTCATATAGTGAAGAGTATGTAGTGGGTTAAAGAAAGATATTATTTGTAGGCAGTATTTGTAGGTGGCCCGTGTATGTGGTCCGTGTGACAGAGCTTTGACATTCATGGTGTACACTGATAAAAAAAATAGATTTCTATAGTGGGCCATTGTGCTCGGTGGTGTCCACCTGATTTAGAATTAGTCACACAAAAATATACTAAAAGTCAAAAGCTTTGAAAGTTATATGCGATGGAATGGAATGAGAAGGTTTCAGAAGTGCGATGATATGAATAGTGTATATGTGCGAAAGTTGAAAGCCAATTCTGAGAATGGCAGTGCATAACACTCTAAGTGTAAAAGAAAATAATGTATTGCTTTTGAGTGTTGAAGTTTTGTTATATAACTTCTATTTCAATATTTATTTTACTGTTGTAATAGAGTAAAGAAATAGTATGGTTTTTGGTGTCAATTTTGATAGTGCGGCTATGCTAGTGCTGGTACAGGTTTCAAAAAAGAAAACATTACTGTGGTTATCGGTTTCAATTTTGATAGTGCGGCTAAGCTAGTGCTGGTACAGGTTTCAAAAAAAATGGTACCGTGATTATCGGTTTCAATTTTGATAGTGTGGCGAATCTAGTGCTTGTACAGGTCTCAAAGAAGAAGCTGTTGGTGTGGTTATCAGTTCCAATTTGGATAGTGTGGCAAAGCTAGTGCTTGTACAGGTTTCAAAAAAGAAAACGATACTGTGGTTATCGGTTTCAATTTTTAAAGCATTAAGAAGTTTATATGGACACGAATGTTTGACCGAAAGCTTATTTTTTGTTAGACCCGTGTATACAGTGGACGGCTATCAAAAAGATAAAATAAAGAGTATTTCGATTTCTTTAAAACGAGTATGCTCTGTTTTTGTATTACGTCGATTTCTATCTACTTTAAGTTGTAATATTATATGAATGGCGATCCCGAAAAGGAATGAGGGTCCTTGAAAGGGATGACGGGATGGAGGGTTGGGGGAATGTAGAAAGAGGATTCAAGCCATCGCTAAAACAGTTTTTTTTGTATTATTTAGTGGAAAGTAAAGACAGCATTGTCTGACATAGATGCAATTAAGATATACGAGCGAGGGACACTTCCGCTTCAACTCATTGAATAGCTTAAGTAGCCATTACGGCAGTTCGGTTGGCGTTCAAGGGAGTATCATGAAGCACAAGTCTGAAATAGGCTGACCAAATTGCGTTCATAGTGCAGTCGAGAGCAGTTTGTATTTTGGCAGATGTGATTCTTATTCGCATTGAGGTAAGAGGGCCATGTAGTATGAGCTGTGTAGGTTGCAGTGCGGATGTTTTTGCTATGAACCTGTTCATGATGATATGACATTCTGAAAGTTTGGTAATACAAGCCCAAAAGAGATGTTGATCATCTAAGTTGAGCCAAATTAAGCAGTTTGGACTATCAATATCCTTAACTTCTCTATCAAAACGTCTTTGGCAGCTTATAATATTTTGATGTATCAGTCTCTGCCATATTGTGAATGTTTTATGTGGGATTTGAATTCCAAAACTTGCGTCAATAGTTTTCTGAAGCGTGAGGATAGGTAGGTTGGGATATCGGCTATGGGTGTGTGGGTAGCAGAGCGAATAAGCTTTGGGATGAGTTGGTGAATATAAAGGGAATTTTCTATTCCATGTGAAAGGAAGACATTGAAGTGGCAGGGAATGGTTGAGAAGAAAGAATCAGTGACGGAATTTTGAGGTTGGATAGGAAGGTTGGTTAGAGCAGAGAATCACGCAACCAGTTGCCGTTTGCCGTGATCATGAAGACCAAGGATGGAACGTATAGTACCCCTGGCCTCCAAATTCCATAGTCCCTACGTCTACGTATACACCCAATTATGAAAACAGATCTTAACGGACACCATTTCGCATTCTGATTAATTACAGTATTTTCTGTTAGGGTATAACGTTTTGAAGTAGCATGTTAAATGACTAGTTTATTATATACGCATACGCACGTAAGTCTATATATTTACATATCTATATCTTAATTTCTATACATGAGATATCTTTGCCTAAGAAAATATTGAAAGTACACAAAGTATGTAGGATTTATTTTAGGGCTAGTATCCCATTAAGAGTAAAACCAGATTCTCAGAGGGTACTCAACAGGATTTTAAAATATATTTTACATGTTGGTGTCCTTAATTACATAGCAATCTCATTGGCCAATGTCCAAATTTTGATGTCTATACAAAATTTGGTTGAACCCCCCTCCCCTTACACTTGGTATGGACAGACTAAAGGTTTTTTTTATAAAAAAAAAGGCAAGAAAAGGGGGCAAAGATCTTAATAGACTCTAATTGGCTAGTATTCTTCCATTGTCACTTGGGTTGAGAAGAAGAGTATATCTTTGATGAGAGCTATGTTCTATAGGGTGCAAGGTCTAGAATAACTTGTTATAATAGATTCTCACTTAAAGACAGAGACGGCATTATAAGCATGACTTTACCTAATATGTACTTTGCACTAATTTTGATCATTTTTTCTTTAAAAAAAAGGGTGTGGACAGTCGTAAATTAGTTTGATTGACTGAATTCAGGATCAACTTGTTTTAGCCTTTTTTTTTGGAACTTTTAATATGTCCACACCAACTGTATGCACCACATATCTTGGTTTTAGTTTTAACCTCCCTTTTTTCTTCTTCTTTTTAATCTTGATATTAATAATACTTGTATATAACCTACATAGAATGAACTGTGGCTAATATGTTTTTATAGTTTTGTTGGCTATGATCTCTATCTACAAGCCCAGCAACACAGAAAATAATAAACCTCTTGTTCTATTATATCTATCAATCAGACAAAGATATATGAAAGTTCTATAACTTTTTTTGCTACTGGTATGTGTATGTGTAGATTAGATACCCACTGCTTAATAACAAGTTCTTGCGTGACTTTTACTGCGGTAAGATGGTATAATTATTAATAAGTAAGGTTTCGTTTTATAATAGAAGTATATACATCAGCTCTTTTTAATCCTTTTTTTTCTTTCGTATTTTGGTTATTAGGTAATGAAGAGAACTGGCAACCGAGTTAAAATAAAAATATAATAAAAAATATAAAAAAAAACCCTTTATTTTTTCTTTTTCTAAAATAAAATAAAAACACCAAGACTTTAGTCCATCATGAGGTAATACTTCATTCAAGCATAGAAACACAAATAAGTAGTATTTGCTATATAGAAAGAAAAAAAGGAAAAAAAAACCAAATGACATTCACTTTATTACCATTAGTGAACCATTACAAGAAGTACAGGACATCGAGATTGAGGTAAGCAAGCATCAGTCTGTCATTGTCTACTCTCACCACATGCAACAAACAAGCCAAACAATCAAGCATATTTACATACATATATTAATATTAGTCCAACTGGGATGAAATTGTCGACAACTTTGACAATATGAACCTCAAAACCGAGCTTCTCCGTGGTGTCTATGCTTATGGGTGAGCTTTAGGACAACTGAAACGATTTAGTATATAGACATCTTATGACTTCCTTTATTAATAATTACTCTTTTGTTTTATTGCATGCATAAAACGTTGGGTCTTGTCCTCTACCCATATTATTAGTTTTGAGCGGCCTTCGACCATTCAGCAGCGTGCAATTATGCCTGTTATCAAGGGCCATGATGTTATTGCCCAGGCCCAGTCTGGCACGGGTAAGACGGCCACTTTTTCTATTTCCATTCTGCAGTCAATCGATGTGTCCTTGAAGCACACCCAGGCTCTGATCCTTGCCCCGACCCGTGAACTGGCTCTCCAGATCCAAAAGGTTGTGCTTGCGCTGGGTGACTTTATGGGTATCGAGTGCCACGCCTGTATTGGTGGCACCAACGTCCGTGACGATATCACCAAGCTCCAGTCCGGTGTCCACATTGTTGTCGGCACTCCCGGCCGTGTCTATGACATGATTAACACCCGTGGAGCACTCAAGACCGAGCACATCAAGATGTTTGTTCTCGATGAGGCCGACGAGATGCTCTCGCGTGGTTTCAAGGACCAAATCTATGATGTCTTCCAGCTCTTGCCCGAGACCACTCAGGTCGTTCTGCTGTCGGCCACCATGCCCTCGGATGTCATGGAGGTTACGACCAAGTTCATGCGGGATCCTATCCGGATTCTTGTCAAGCGTGACGAACTGACCCTGGAAGGTATCAAGCAGTTTTATGTTGCGGTCGACAAGGAGGAATGGAAGCTCGACACCCTCTGCGATCTCTACGAGACCGTTACAATCACCCAGGCTGTAATCTTCTGCAATACCCGCCGCAAGGTCGACTGGCTGACCGACAAGCTCCATGCCCGAGAATTCACTGTGTCGGCCATGCACGGTGAAATGGACCAATCCCAGCGCGATCTTATCATGAAGGAGTTCCGGTCCGGTTCTTCGCGAGTCCTGATCACCACCGATCTGTTGGCCCGTGGTATTGATGTCCAGCAGGTTTCGCTGGTCATCAACTATGATCTGCCCTCAAACCGCGAAAACTACATCCACAGAATCGGTCGTGGTGGTCGTTTCGGTCGCAAGGGTGTCGCAATCAACTTTGTTTCAAATGACGACGTCCGTATGATGAGAGATATCGAACAGTTTTACAACACACAGATCGAAGAGATGCCCATGAATGTTGCTGATCTCATCTAAAAAAGAAAGAAAAAAGAAAAAGAAAAGAAAAAGAAAACGCACAAAAATCAATACCAATTCAACAATTTAACAAAAAGAAATAGCAGTAATAATAAGGATAAGAATAAGGATAATATAGCAGCAGTAAAAATTATTTTCTTTTTTTCTATATATAAAAAAAAAACAACCACATTTATTATTAATATTATTTTGGTTTAAATCCATATATACTTCTTTACTTTGTATTACCTCTGAAAAAAAAAGAAGTAAAATGGATAGGGAAGGAAGGGAGAGCATGAGATATTACCTTTGTGTATTTTTTAATTGCTATTCTTTGTAGAGGTTAAAGAAGTACTCTAGTAAAGATGTATATACTTTAATGATAATAATGATAATAGAATGTATCTTTATTCTTTCAAGTATTGTTTATATTGAAAACATATAATATGTATAATATATATATAGATAAAAGATAGAGAAAAAGAGAGAAACCGAAGTCTTGTATATGTGAGTAAGTAAGTAATTGTGTGGTGGAGTATAAGTAATAAGGATAACTAAATGTATATATATATTTTTCTTATGTATATATAAATTTTATTTTGAATTTCTTTTTTTTTTGGAAATTTTTTTTCTAACTTCTTCTGCCTGCAGAGGGTCCTGGGCCACCACCAGGCTGAGTTTGTGGTGGGATCTGGGATTGGTCACCTCCTGGAGCAGCGGCATAAGGATGGTGGGTGGCAAGTTGCTGTAATTGGATCTGATATTTGTGGACTTGTTCAGGTGTCAACTGCGATTATCATTTAATTTAGTACAGTTGCGATTATGAGGAAATGGATAGATGTATATATATATATTTGTTGTTGATTAGTTAAATGGCAATAAATTGATTCGACTTGTAGTTTAATGCTTCTTGTAATATTCTGATCCATATACAAATAGACTATGTTGCACTCACTTGAGATAATTGAGGGTAGTAAGCATTAGGATCCAAGTGCTGCTTGTAGTTTGAAAAACAACATTAAATGTGAATACATATATAGCGAAAATTAAGCGATTCAATTCAATTCATTGATTTGTTAAGGCTTTACCTGTGTCTGGGCATATTGGGCCATCCCGGGTTGATAATAATTAGCATACTGAGCCTGATCGTAAACTGGTGCAGTCTGTTGCTATTTAAACAAGCAAACAAACGCACGTACAAACACAAATATAATTTAATAAATAATATTAATGATTATAAAATCCCTTACTGCGTCTGTTGTCTTAGCTGCTTCTTCGCGAGGAACGATATCAATCAAAAAATCACACATGTCTGTCTTTGAAATGGCAGTTGCGATATCTGAACGTTGCAATGTACGTCTCTTGTTCTCCTCAGCATGAACCCTATCATTATTATATTTATAGTTCATATTTGTTCTTATCCAAGTGTTTTATTTTGGTTACTTACCATGCGCGTCGTGTTAATTCAGCAATGAATATTTCGCAACCTTTGGCAAATAGGATTGGTGCCTAACAGAACAAAAAGAAAAATGTATATAAGAAATTGTAATTTACGTTTATTTGAATGTATCAGGTTCATAATGTATACATTAATTTTTGCATAATTGTCTATCGTTATTTTTAATGTGGTTCTAATATTTAATTATTGTTCATAATCTGTGTAAATTAAAATATAAAGCTTACTTCAGCACTGATCATCTAAAACAGCAACAGCGACAGCGACAGCAACAGATATAGAGATGAATCATATACGTTGAATGTTATATATATATATATGTGTGTGTGTAAAGTGTGTGTTTAAAATACAGTTTAATAATAATATTATCAAAATTATTATTTCCTACACCCATACACGCAAAAGATAATATATATAAATATATAGAATCGACTTTATACCTTTACATCCTGGTCAGTCTTCATTACTTTCTTAATACGTGCGAGTGGAAGTGGATGATTCTTAAAGTCGGAATCGAAATTCTCTGCCATTAACATCTGCTCTTGCCAGAATTCATTGAGGTTAAAGACAGGCTGTCCTCCAGGTGCGGTCGCGACTGGTGCGGTAGTGGTTGTTTGTGGTTGGAACTGCTGGGTTGGCATGGGATGCATAATAGACGATCCAGAAGTCTGTTGGTTCTGTGAAATGTCTTCTTGTGGATGCTTTGATGTCATTGTTTTGTAAAGAAAATTTTAACAAAAAAAAAACGTATTATATTTATTTTATATATATATATATATATATATATTTGGTTTCTTCTTCTTTGAAGTTGTAAAAACACGAGTGACGGATAAAGAACAAGTAGTTAAACAAAGAAGAAGAGTAAGAGAAAGAGAGAAAGTGACAAGAAAAAAAAAGAGAAAAAAATGACTTGAAATCATTATACAATATTTCACTACTACGTCACAGTGGTGGAAATAGACAGCACTCACGTCTGTTTTTCTATTAGTGAGTAAATCTTTACACAACACAATGGTTTACATTTGCAATTGAAGATATAAAAGTGCTCGATGGGATATTTTGAAGATTATTACAGTCATTTTTATTTTTTTATTTTCTGTTAATCGATTGATTGATTTTGATTGGTTCGTTGATTGATATGAATGATTGTAGTGTTCTGTCACTTTCCGATAACCAGTTTCTCGTATTCAGCAATATTGGCTAACAGAGACAATATCCATGAATTAGACTCTGATGCTTTGTCACTAACAAACAAGATGTGACTTCACTAATTTCACTCTACAAGAAAAACCTAGATGAAACAATGCTTTGCTTTGACCAAAGATCCAACGCGTCTTCTTCTTTAGACAATGTTTGATTTTGTGTTTGCTAGTTAATGCCTTTGTGATGATTTCAATCATAGTTTTTGTAGATTTACTTTAAGAGTTAGTGCAGCTACATAAGCACCCACTTATATATATATATATATATATTATAAAACCAAAGTCTTTATCCTTGTTCTTTTTTCTTTTCTTCTTTACTCAAACGAGTTTGTGGATCAGACTTCTATGTTGGAGTTTCATGTGTTGGTTCGCGCGATAGAGGATCAAAACGATGTCATCCAGTATAAAGATAACCAACTTATAATATATCTCTGCTATTATTATTTTTGTTTTTGTCCATACCGATTGTTTGTTTGAAGCGCAATTAAATTGGATTGGCGGTCAAGAAGAGAATTCATTTGTATGTGCCATGATGAGTATCCTTTTTACATATATTTTTTGATGTGCTTTAATGGGAGGATACTTGAACGTTTGTATTTTTTCACTAGGTTGTATACTACTTGTAGAATATGTACTAGGAATAAGCTTGGTTTGGCTTGTTTTGCTTATTCAACCAAGAATTATTTAAAGATATTATGATATGGTTGTGATGGAACATTGACAGATGTTGTTATACATTCCCACATTATCTACAACAAAAAAAGCCCGTACTTTTTTTTTATTTTTATAATGACCAAATAGTATAAAGGCGTAAAATATCAAAAGCTTGAATTGTCGGTCAATCGGTTGGTTGGTTAGTTTGCCAGTTGTTTAAAGAAAAAGGGAAAAAATCTAATCCAATAGAATTGCTTAAATATTTGATCAATTTCTTTATTTTTTCTTCGACTGACCATGTAAAAGATTATAACCGAAATGTGTTCAAATTATCAGAACAAAAAGAAGAGTGAAAGATAAATAAATAAATAAATAAAAAATTTACACATGGGTAAACTATTTTTCAATTTATTTTTTATTTTATTTTAAAAAAAAAAATTAATGTAACCTACCTTGAAAATATACACACTGTGAATCATCACATTGATACCAGTTCCCACATCTAAAGCATATACTATACGCTGTACACCATACACTATACATACAGAGATAAAGATAAAAAGATATTTGTACAAGAAAGGTCCTCAAGAAATGTACATTTTTTTTATTTAGTTTCAAATTTTAATAAAAAATATTAATAATAATAAAAGAAAGAAATATGATATAAAATTTTAGATGAAAAAATAAAAAATAAAATAAAGATTCCTATAAAAAAAAATTCAACGTCTCTCTCACTCTTGATATTGATATTATTTTATGATGACTTTGATGATAGCAACAACGTAAATAATATGAATAAAAATCATAAATCAAAAAAAAAGAATCAAAATCGAAATCAAAATATGAAAAAGAAAAAAAAAGCGTAATTTATGGTTCTCTCGGTAATGGCGTGGTTTACCATCAAGTGTGACAGTCGGGGTTAATCTACTTCAATTAACAGAGAGAGAGAAAAAAAGAAAAAGGGGAGAAATAGAAAGAGAATGAAGGGGAGGTACAAAACTTGACTGTCTTTTTATTTTTCTTTTTCCTGTTATTTCCTTCTCCACCACCCCTCCACTCTTCACCCTTACCTCTGCCCTCTTACCCCGACTCAACCACCCTCTCTCCCCCTTACCCCCCCCCCTACTCTACATAATTTCTTCTACTTTTTTATTATTATTTAAAAAAAAAGAAAGAAATAAATAAAAAATTAAAACAAGGTTCAAATGACAACTCTACAAGGCAAAAACTACACTATCGGCACCCGCAAGTCTCAATTAGCCATGGTACAAACCTACCTGGTCCGTGACCTTTTGCAGCGTGCCTACCCACAACATACATTTGCGATCGAAAGCATGTCTACATCTGGTGACCGCATTCTCGACAAAGCACTGAGCAAGATTGGCGAAAAGGCTCTGTTCACAAAGGAACTTGAGATTGCCTTGGAAGACGGCCGGGTTGATTTGGTTGTCCACAGTCTAAAAGACTTACCGACCGTGCTTCCGGAGGGTATGTATCTCGGTGCCGTTCTCGAGAGAGAAAACCCCCACGATGCTGTTGTACTCGCACCCCGTTTCAAGGGACTCACACTCGCCACCCTGCCCAAGGGATCCGTGGTCGGCACAAGTAGTCTCCGTAGAGTTGCCCAATTAAAACGTCGATACCCTCACCTTATATTTGACGATGTGGTAAGTGTGTGTGTGTGTGTGTGCGGACAAGGTAGTGGAGAGTACTTTCTTTTAAAAAAAACAGTTGGGAATCTAATACTCACATGTAAATTTGACATGACTTCTTTTCCTGTCCTTGTCCCTGATGTTTATGTTTATTAGCGAGGAAATTTGTAAGTAAAAGAAAGCAAAGAAGAAGAAAAAAGAAGAAAAAGATTGGCTTTTATTTATTGGATATTCATCATACCCATCATAATATTAATTACTTGTTGTGTTTTGCTGTTATAGGAACACACGTCTTGCTAAATTAGATGCAGATGACCACCATTATAGTGCAATTATTCTGGCCGTGGCTGGACTGGTGCGCCTTGGAAAAGAGGACCGTATTTCACAAATCATCGAGCCTTCAGATTCACTCCATGCCGTATCTCAGGGAGCATTGGGTATCGAGTGCCGTGAGAATGACTCCGAGGCACGTCAACTGCTCGAGGTTCTCAACCACACCCCGACCCGTATCCGGTGCTTGAGTGAGCGTTCGCTGATGCGCGCTCTGGAAGGTGGCTGCAGTGTGCCTATTGGTGTCAATACAACACTCGTGCTTGGGGATGAAAGCAAGATGTCGCTGAGTCTCCGTGGATTGGTAGCCAGTCTGGATGGCCAGCAGGTTGTCGAGTACGAAGATACCATCTCTCTGCAGGGCGCAGACGACGCAAAGAAGTTTGCCTTGGCAGAAAGTCTGGGAACTCGTGTGGCAGCCAAGTTGGTTGAGATGGGAGCTGACAAGATCCTTGATGCCCTTCGTCACTAAAGTATAAAGAGAAGAAAAGAAAAGAAGAAGAAGAAAAAACAATTGGAAAAAATGTGTAGGCATAAAATGCATAAAAACGAAGAAACAAAGAGGTAGTTTCTTTTTTCTTTGGATTCTTATTGGCTATACATACATACATAAATCACAAATATTGTTATTTGTGATTTATTAACTTTTTTTTTTCTTATTTTATTTTTTTTAAAGAAGAACCTTCATTCAACACTCGATCCCATCTTTCCTCCTTCTCTTCCTCCTTTACCTCCTTCACCCTCTCTCACTTTCTTCAACGTTCTTTTTTCTTTCCATTTTATCCATTCTACTCTACTCTGCTCTACTATACTATACTATACTTTATCCTATCATCTTCTATTCTTATTCTACTCTTATTCTTATATTTCCATTTACTTTTATATATATATATATATTAATTATATATAATTCTACACACACACACACACACACACATATAAAAAATTCCTCCCCACCCATGTTCATTCATCTACATTTTCTTTCTTTATCTCAAAATTCAATTCAATTCAATTCAATTCAATTCAACAAGTAATAATTAATATTAATATTAATATTAATAAAAATAAGGAAAAAGGAAAAAAAAGGGCATATTAAACTGGTTTTGATACATTTATACATACATAATAGATGAGTTTATTCGTATATGTTACTATTAATATTTGACGGGTCTTTTTTTTTTCTTGGTTTTTGTAAAGAAGTACACAAAAGAGGTCACTTATATATATTTATTTGAGAATGTTAATAAAGAAGAAGAAAAAGGAAAGCGTTGAGTTGAGTTGAGGGTTTGGGTTGAATTTTTTTTACCAAAAAGGAAGAAAGAAAATGATGATAGATAAATGGACTAAAGGAAAAGGAAACAAAAAAAAGGGGTTTTTTTTTAGGTTGAATAGTATAATAATTTTCTTTTTATGTAAAGAGGTTGAACTTCTTTACACATACAAAAAAATAAATTACATACAGTTATAGAGAATAATAGTAGAACAAACTCTTTTTTTTTTCTTTTCTTTTCTTTTCTTTACTATCATTATCATCTTGTTCTTCTTTTTTTTTGTACTTGTTTGTTTTGTTTTTTCGGGTTGTTTGTTTTGTTTTTGTACTTTTTTTTTTAAGTGGTTAAGGAAGTAGGGGAGAAAGGAAGGAGTAGGGAAAGAAGTTAAAAGTGAAGAGGTAGGAAGGAGTAGGAAGAGGTTAAGGAAAGATATATAAAAATATAAATATAAATATAAATATAAATAGGTAGGTAGGTAGGTAGGTAAAGGGAGACTGAGAGATTGTGAGAATAAATAAATAGATAGATAGATAAGTAAGAAATAAATAAAAATAAAAATAAAAATAAAAATGCGATGCTGAAAACCAAGGTCTATCTATGCGTTGGATCCATCCGACGCTTTGTTGTGGGTTGTACCATTTCCGTTCGCTGCGGTAGGTTGAACCTTGCTTTCATCAGTCCAGATGTCATAGTGCTTGACAAGGAAGGAGGCCAACAGACCAGCCGCACAGCAACCGATTGCTACACGAGAAATAAATAAGTAAAAAAAAAGAACAGGAGTAAAAGGAGAATAATATAAAGAAGATATGTATTTGTGTGTGTGTGTGTGTGGGGGGGGGGGGATATGTAGGACCTTTTTATAGAGATATAATACTATAAAGAAAAAAGAATAACTTACTGAATCTATAGATCATGTCAATTGCGTCCACTGAAACAATCTGCACTTGTCGTCTGGCTGCAGCAGGCAAAAACTTGATAAGGGCAATGTTCTGGATAGAGAAGTTCTGGTGCATCTTCTTGGACAGATCGGCAAGTCCTGCCTTTGTACGGAAACTGAAGATTGTTTCGGCAACACTGATACCACAAGCACCACCAAAGATACTGATATATGGATAAGATATGTATAGAGAGATTTAGTAAATAAAACAAACATGTCTTTTATAATCTCCTTTTGTCTTTTAGCTTTCTATGTATCTGTATATAGATGTATCACCCCCACCCCTTTTCATATGTAAAAGATAAAGGAGTAATATCTTCTTCTTCTTTTGGAAAGGCAATAATAAAGTATGTGTTTAAGGGATAAAAAAAAAGTGTATATGGACCATTGTAGAGAATATTGAATAACTTACCGGAAGAATTGACTGATAGATGTTGCAAGTGAAAGACTAAGAAAGAAGCAATCATTAGACCATGGCAAGAAAATAAAGCAACAGACTTACTCTTTGGGATCCGCTGCTACTTGACCAGCAACAATAAAGGTCTGTTTACAGAGACCAGTTCCAAATCCAAGGATACCGAGATAAAAGTACTGTAGAGAACGGGGCATGTCAACCGTGGTAGTCTGCAACAGGGCAGTTCCAACCACTGTCATGGCACAGCCTAGCCAGAGGATGAGTCTGTAGCGGCCGGTCATGGAGATGATGATTCCAGTGATGAAACTGGCAATGACAGCTGAAATGAAGAACGGCAAGAGTTCAAGCGCAGACGAGGTTGCAGAATCACCGTGCACCAGCTGGAAATAAAGTGGTACAAAGAACATGATCGCATAGTCGGTTGCACCACCCATAAAGTTTGCCAGACAGATTGCCATGTTTGTGCGGGACATGACAAACCGACGGGGGATAAAAGGATAAGGGACGACCCAGATCTCGCAAGCAATGAAGATCGCAAACAGCGCAAAGCCGACCGTAAAAAGAACAATACAGTTTGTCGACGACCAGGATGTGTTTGCACCTCCGACCTGGAGTGCAGCCAGGATACAAATTGTGCCTGGCATCATGAGGAAAACAGGAGCATAGTCTGCACGCTTCATCTGGACCCGCATTGGTTCATCGCTTACTCTATGGGTTGGAAGCTTGAAGAACACAACAATTGCAGCGACAACGACAATACTAAATGATTTATATTAATATTAATAAATAATCATTATGTTTCAATTCCAAAATTTAGTGTAAAGATAGATAGATAGATAGATAGATAGATAGATAGAAAGGTGCTTACCCAACAAAACCATTCATGTAAAATGCCCATCTGTTTGTTTGTTTGTTTATTTGTTTATTTTGTTAAAGCAAAATTTGAATGTTAGGATTATTATTTTCATTTGTAATTAATACCATTTGTCAATCTATCTCTATGGTTATTTGTTTTAAGGCTAGACAACAGGATTTTAATAATAGTGCACATACCTCCAGATACGTCGATCGGCAAAGTAACCACCCAAAAGTGGACCTGCCAATGTTGCTACACCAATTGCTACACCAAGACCACCCATGTACTTTGCTACATATATAAATAAATAAATAAATAAATTTGATAATTGTGTTTGTGTTTGTGAGAAAACTTACGTCTCTCTCGGGGTGAAACCAAGTCGCAGATAATAATAAGGAGAATTGTAATAAGACCAGCTGCACCAACACCTTGAACAGCTAGATTATTAGGATTATTATGATTATTTTTGATATTAACATAAAATAAAACAGGTGAGTAATGAATGTGTCGACAAGAATATAATGCTTTTAATATCATTATTACCTCTTGACATGATTAACATGAACATTGTCTTGGACGCACCACAGAGAATACTTCCAAACAAGAAGATTGATAGCGATATCAGATAGACAGTTTTGTGACCACTATAATTATTATTATAATTTTAAAAAAAAAAACAATGGGCATCGTTAGTCTGGTGAGAAATGAAATAAAGTACGGTCGAGTATGTAATTCAATTTTGTCTTTTTTTTTAAAAAAATAAAATAAAATAAAATATAGAAGGATTATTTACATAATGTCAGCAAAAATTCCATAAATTGGTTGGAACCCACTCGAGGTCAACAAATAGGCAGATCCAACCTAATTATTTGAGATTTGATTAATAAATAAATAAATAAAAATAAAAAAGAGGGAGATGAAACCAAATCCAATTCCACTGAAAATGATAATAAACAAAACTTACCCATCCGAGTTGGTCAGAGGCATTGAATTCAGACGAAATGAGTGGCAGGGCTGTTGTAAGAATTGTCTGATCGAGGGTTGCCATAAAAAGACCAAGTAAAAGACTAAAGAGAGGCACATAGAGATAGACAGATGTTATTTAATGATTCATTATAAATATGTTGTGTGTTACCTGACAAAGACAATGACAAAGCGAGTTCCACTCAATACAATGGGTGGTTGGCCTGTAGATCCAGCTGCGTGGGCAGAAATGTCATCGATCTCACTTGAGTCGACAGAGTATGGATAGTGGTTCTGGTGCGTTTTACTTTCTTCTACCATGGTTACAAGAATATGTGTATTTTGTATATTTATTTATGATATCAATAATATGTAATGATAATTACAGATATTGCTAGAATTATTATTATTATTATTAATATTAATATCTTTTCTAGAGTTAAAAAAAAAATAAAGCAAGAGGAAGGAAAGTGCAATTGGAAAAAATCCGGGAATGCAATGGATTTTAATCCCTTTTATGTATATTTTTTTTATGTATTGTATTATAATATAGTATTGTACTGTACTGTACTGTATCTATCGAGATTGACTTGAAGAAGAGGGATCAAGGATAAAAGAAGAAGAAGGAAAAAGGTTAAGGTACCAAAAAAAAATATAAAGTAAAAAAGGAAAATTATATATAAAAAAAAGAAAAGAAAAGCCAAAAGAGAGAGAAAGAGGAAAAGCAGGGGTATGGTGGTTTATTACGCACTAATCTACAAACCAATACACCTTTTACATCATCTATATATATACATATATATATATACATGTAAGCAAGTACGCAAGTAAGCAAGCAAGGAACCAAACCAAAGCGTCTCAAAATAAAAGTAAAACGGGTCAATATATTTTGGATAGTTTATGTACTCGAATGACTTGATAATAGGCAAATACTCATGTGCTTCTGTGGCAAATATATCTATGTGTACAATATCATTCTGATAGTCTAAAGGAGCTATTAAATGATCATTCATAGCCATCATTTTCTCTCTCTCTATTCTTTGCTTGCTTGCTTGCTTGATTGATTGATTTGTCTATGTACAAAACAATATATATATATATAAAATAAGAAGGAGAAAAGGGATTCTTATAGGGGTGAGGGATCAAGATAAGCCTTTTTTCTTTCTTTCTTTCTTTCTTTTGTGTGTGTAGTGTAGTGTAGTGTAGTGTATTGTACTATACTATACTATGTATAGCATAGGTATATTTAATGTATTTCTAATGTTCGTGCTGGGCCCATTTTATCCTTCTTGTAGGGTCTTTTTATTTTATTATTTTATTTTGGGATTTGAAATATATATATATATATAAGAAGCATTATTTGTAGCATTAGTATTAACATTAGCATTAGCATTAGCATTATTGTTGGTGCTAGTATTTCATATATATATCAAGGATCCAGCTCTCCGCCTTGTGAGATTGATGACCAGGTAAGGATTATAGAGTGGCGCTTTGGTTTCCCAAGGTAGCTATCGATCTTAATACTTTTATGATCTCAGGAGAGATTATAAAATATATACACACAGATTTGTATTTATATTTATATGAAAAATAATAACATTTCCATGTGTCAATGATATCCAGCACACATACAAACAATATTTCACATTGCACCACAGCATTTCAAGACGTTTTGTTATTCAAAAAGGCAATTGTAACGATTTTTGGGATTTTATGTTTATATTTTGGGTATCATTCTAGACTGTGCAGCCAAATATCATCTTTAAGTACAAAAATAAAAACACACAAGCACGCAATACATTAATGGTTTGAATCTTGCTTTTATTTTTTTTATTTTACAAATCACAATTCATTGCAACTATTCTTACAAAATCTAACACTCTATATACATTACATACACATACACAAATAAAAGTGAAAATAAAGGAGGCAAGGTCAAGGTCCAGAGCCGAGCTTATCATTGGAATGCTACAAGAAAGAAAGAAATTTTTTTTGCAGATATTTGATTCCATTTCACTACTCTATTTCTCTATTTCGATATCTTTAAACCAAGGTTTATCATCGTTTATTTAGAAAAATCATTTCTCTTTATATAAAACTATATAAAAATATAGACTCAATATTAAGCCTTATTATTGATGTTGCAAGTATTTCATATCCCTGGATTTACATATTGCCGTTAGTAGGTAGTATTACTATCTAGATTATGATTACAAACAATATAGAGACTATACCAGATTAAGCGTACATTAGATAAGTAGACAGGCAGACAAGCCAAAAATTAGACAAGTAAACCTTTTGGAAAGGACTGGTCCATAAGTCTATATTCTTATGTGTGTGTCTGTATATGCATTGTCGACATCGTCGTCGATCCAACACAAAATTCAAGTCTAGCATCATTTCTGAGGATTAGAAGGATCGGGCAGGAAAAAAAAAAGACAGAAAAGGATAGCAACGGATAGGAAACAATAAACGATGTGGATTGTCTATTTTGCATTTTACATTTTGCATTTCGCATTTCGCATTTTGCATTTTCAACAAACATATGGCCTCTCATACTAGTTATCTACATACATACATACATACATACATACATACATATATATATATATATATGTATGTATCTATGGTTATATATAGATAGATAGACATGTACTTTATTTTATTTTTGGGTGCTGTTTTCTAAAGGTTATATAGCATATTACATGCACTCTTATTCTTATATATATACATGGATCCTCAGAGAGATAAAGAGATTTACATACATTCAAGCATATGAAATTGACCAAACGATTGACTGGCTCTTTGTTTTTTTTGACCTATTTTAGCTTTACAAACCCAAAAGGCAGAGAATAATAGTAATCACAATAATCAGGAGTACGGCTTACATAAGGAGTCTTTGATAACCTTTTTATTTATTTAATTATATATTCTGTCTGTCTGTCTGTCTACTGGTTTTTAGCTGCATTTGTATTGATCTATTGGTTGAATAACTGTCGATAGATAGCTTAATATGTATGGCATACTAAACGTCCTTTATACACTTATATTTAAACATCAAGATAAAAATAAAAGGATTTGCCTAGACTAATGTTATCTATCTTTTACTTGCAATTGAAAGGAATTATATATATATATAAGGATTAGCCTGGTCTACTATCATAATAGCTAGTCTTTTTTACAAAATTCAAATATATACACATAATAGTTATATAATTATAAAATATTGATTTGTTGTACTAAAGAATGTGATGAGGAATTGGATAGATTTATTATAAGCCAAGAAAGGGATTCTTCTGGCTAAATTGTTGTACAAGACAGAAAGAGTGTGTTTAGTGTGCCTTGGTTGGTTGGTGTGTGGGTGGGTGGGTTTATTGTATTTCAATTCTCCTGTGCGTTACTATGTCTGCCAAGTATTCTTTCGAGTCATGGAAAGAATGCACCACCAAATATATATATATATATATAATTTAAAGGTATTCAAGGAGATTAGTATTTTGTGTGAAAGCCATGCGTTGATAGGGAAGCTTGTTTATTCAAAAGTGAAGGGGAAGTAGGAGGAGGTAAAGAAAGAATAGAAAAGAAAGAAGAAGAAAAAAGGTCAAAGGAGGAGGAGGAGGAGAGAAGGAGTTGAAGGAGGTATTTTTTTTTTCTTTTGATTTATTTATTTATAATACAAAGTAATATAAAAGAGCAAAGAATTAAAGGTAAAGATTAAGGTGAAGATGGAGAGAAAGGGGAAGGGGAACAGGAGGAAGAGGAGGAGGACAGACTTTTGGCTTGTTCCTCTTTTACTCATCTTTTTTGATCTCTCTTTGTATATCATATGTCATGTATGTATAGGTCTTTCTTACTCGTTGTATGTCTGTTGACAATCAATTTGCTGACACTGTATTTGACAAAAAGTATATAAAAGTAGTATACCTCTTCAAATTATTCTTCTTATTATTGTTCATTGTCTTTTTGGAAAATAACAGCAGCCAATATATGTATATACACTATTATTCTTATTGTATCTTTATTTCTTTGTAAATTTGACCAAAAAAAATGGTAGCTTTTTTGGGTCAACTACAATATACAATTAAGAAAGAAAAAAAATTATATTTCTCAAAGTATTCAAAAATATTCAAATACCTTTTTTTTTTCAATGTGCAGTGACGTCTATCAGTACAACCTCCTTGGTCTTTCTTTCTTTTAAAAAAAACAGATCTTGCCTTTTGTATTTCTATCTATATTTATAGACATGCGCGTGAGTGAGTGAGTGAGTAAGTAAGTAAGAAATTATATATATATATAGGAAGCTTCCCGCTTAATGACATATAGACCATAAGAAGAATAAGAATAAGAATAAAGATAAACTCCTTTCTTTTGATCGATTTGACATGATCATCTTTGTTTGATTTACTAAACACAGAATAGCAGAAGAAAGTTGTATATACACACTATTTCTTTGAATGTAAATCTATAGCCAACAAAAATCTTTTGTGAGTAGATCCAAAAGGGAGGTTTGTTGTGATTATGTCTAATACTCTATGCTTTACTCTCTTTTACCTTTAGTTCAAGGAGTTTGTTTCTTCTTGTAATAAAGTTAATTCACTCTTTTACCTATTTACTTGCACTTGTACTTGTACTTGCACTAGTATTCACTCTGCTATTATTATACATGTATATATGTGTGCATGCATGTGGGTGTGTGTGCGTACCTACAAGAAGAGTTCTAATTGTTACTATATTCTTTGCTTGAGAATTCTGTGTGAATTTAATAAAATGATCGTGAATTCCAATAAATAAATAAAAGGGTTAATAGTGGAGAAAAGAAGTATTATTGACGTTATTTGCTACATATCATTTCATTTCATTTCATTTCATATAAATTAAAAAATAATAATTGGATCCCTTTACCAGCACACACACACATACATATACATATATATATATATGCGTGTGACTATAGTAACATTTCTATTATAATATTCTCACAGGCAGACTAGGCATTAGCATGTTTCAATTTATCTTGTCTTTGTTGATTATAATAACACAAAAAAAAAGAGACACCGAAAGATAGGGAGAGGGAGAGGGAGAAAATGAATTGCTATATATATTATATTTAACATGATAAACAGCATTATATTTCTTATAGATAGAAAGAAAGAATATAAACCCATCAGAAACCAAGGGATCTGTACGTATTTCACATGTCTGGAACTACAAATACGAATATCAGAACGTTGGCCTGATTTACGCTTTGGCCAGCTTAAATAGAATAAAGTATTATATGTATGTATGTCCTTGTAACTATTAGGACTAAAACTAGAAAGCCTACATACATATCCAATCGTCTTAGTATCAGTATCAGTATCATTATCAGTAGAAAGGTATAAACTGTCAATTCATTTAAATCAATAAATAATAAATTATACAGCTACATAAAAGTAAGAATATTCAAGCAGTTTGTTTATTTTTATGTGCATCTATTTATTATACGCATACAAGCACAAATAAATTATCATGAAGCCATTAGTATGAATAGTAAATCGGTGATATACTATACTGTACTATGATCTCTAGAGTCAGTGCTATTCACGTGGCTTGAACTGAACTGATGAAATGATTGATCAGACCGAATTTTTGCTTGTCTGTGTGGCTTGTTTTAACTTTTATTTCCACACTTACTAACTTATCAGCACACAGACACACACACACATTCAATCATTCATTTGCTCACATATATATAATATATATATTATATAAATAATAATAATTATAATTATAATAATATCCATAATAATCATATAACAAACAACAGCCACGAATACAACTACGAGTACAGCTTTGACGACGACTATAATAATAGTAATAATAGTAATAATAATCTGTCTACTGCAAATCTACAATGGCCAGAATAAGAAACAAAAAACCACGATCAGACAAAACAGACTCGGAAGCCAATCAATCGTCTGCCGACAATCCCATTGACCTTACATCACCAGAACATGGTCCAGAAATAACAAATGGCAAGTCGACAAAGAAATCCACTTGGTGATTTTTAATAATCTACACACACACACATATATATATATAAAACAAAATCAAAATATATGAAAACCCCGTCTTGAGAAGATTCTTCTTTTTTTTATCCTTCTTCTCGTTCTCCTTGTACTTGTACTTCTTCTAGTTCTTTTTAGAGTAATGATGATAATAACGATAATTAAACGAAGAAAAGAACGAGAAGAAGAACAAGCAATCATTCTTTAACAGAAAGAAATACAGTTTTTTTTTATGTATTGGTTCTTTCTTAGAAAGAAAGAAAAATTTACATATATATAGGCACGCGTTTATTAATATTATATATGTATATACATATATATTTGGTTTTTTGGTGTTTGGTATTATATAGAAGAGGATTTTATTTCATTAGAGCTTGGTGATCCACGTAGTAGACAAGAAAAGCGTTTTCTGGAAAGAAGTAAACGCAAGAGAGAAGATATGGAACAGAGCCAAGATGACCCGGAGATTGATGACTCGCTCTACCCATGGATGGAATCTATGCGAAATACCTGCTTACAGCCCAATATCACTGCACATCAATTGTATGTCTTGAGTTTTCTTACACAAATGGCCTTTTATTATTACTATTATTTTGTGTATATTGACCTGGGCTTTCTGATTGTTGATCTAGATATGAACGTGAATTGAACTGCCTTTTGCAGTACCTTGAACCTACTGATGTAGAGGTCCAGATGCGCCGGTTCTTGGTTCATAGAATTCAAAAAGTAATAGAGAAAACGGTATCAAAGGATGCAAAAGTTGAAGTGTTTGGAAGCTTTGCTACCAACCTCTTTTTGCCTGACAGGTAAATGAAGTTAAATGTACAGATTGATAAAATGTAGAAAAGAGAAGGAATAAAAGCAGGTTGGATTACTAAACCCTTTTGGTTCAATTACATTATATTAATTGTTTGATACCAATGTTACCATAAAGTGATATTGATCTTGTAGTCATATCATCCAAGCACATAATGCTCAGAAAACTAGGAATGGCATTAGATGTAGCAGGTCTATGTAAAGATCTTAAGATCATTTCAAAGGCAACAGTAAGTAGAACAACTGGATCAATAAATCAATCTTTATTTTACGGTGCTTTCTATTATTATTCTTTTGTATTTTATTTAATTTCAAATTCTAGGTCCCAGTTATTAAATTTGAAGATTCTTTGACTGGACTCAAAGTAGATATCATATTGGACTCCACTACAGGCATCCACAGTGCAGAGGTCATTGGAGATATGATGAGAGCCGCACCAGCTCTGCGCCCATTGACGATGTTGATCAAACTATTCCTGGCCTCACGCTCACTGAATGAGGTGTTTACTGGAGGACTTGGAGGATATGCCATTGTTTGTTTGGTTATGAGTTTTCTACAGGTAAGGGCATGGTATATAAAAATAAAATGATCTATGTTTTAATGTGTGTGTTTATATAGAATCATCCAAAAATTCAATCTGGTTCAATTGTACCAGAACGCAATTTAGCAACTCTCCTGTTAGACTTTTTCCAACTCTATGGATTTGGATTCAATATGCGGTTGACTGGAGTTTGTGTTGAAGGACAAGGATCATATCATTACAAGGCAAGACATTCATAGTCCAGAAGACGGTTTTTGATTTATTTATATTTTATGCCTGTAGAATATAAGTGTTAGTAGAACTGGTAATCCTGTATTCAACATTATGGATCCTCGAGACAGAGGTAATGATATTGGATCCAAGTCGTACAATGCGATGACAATCGTTCGATGTTTCCGAGCTGCGTACCTGACCCTGACCAGCAATATCTACAAAAAACAAGAGCTGCTCGACCATCTGGACAGAACTCATCCGTCGTTTAAAGAGCGTGTGTGTGAATCATCGATTCTTGCGCCGACCTTCTTTGTACTCGACACAACTGCTCAGCAGAGACGGTTCCTTCAATCGGTGTACAGATTAGGACGGTGGAAGAATGAAGAGGCTGCCAAAACTTTCAAATTCGAAAACTATAACAAAAAATAAACCACACCACACCACACCACACCACACCACAAAAGCATTACATTAAACTACATTACACTATACTACACTACACTACACTACACTACATTATTATACACAATATACTTGCACACTACATATGTACCTATCTTACTATATATATATATATATACATGCGTGTGTTTTGTATGTTTTGTATAAAGATATTGAAACGTTTGAAACATATATATAATATTACTACATTTTATATTAAATAGTGTGTGTGTATGTGTGATTTTTGAAACAAAAAGAAAGTATCTGTACATATATAAATATGTAAATTATAAAATAGTATAAAATCAAGAGAAAATTAATATTAAAATATTAATAATGAATCCCAAGATTTAACAGGGAAATGAAGACTAAAATAAATATAAAAGAGCGGGCTTGAAGATATCTGATTCTCTTTTTTTTTTTAAAAAAAAAAAGAAAAACTTTAATGTCGTTGACCAACTCAGGCTGTGAAACGTTGTAATAATAAAATAAAGACAGACAGATGGTTTGGTTGTACAGGGTGGGACATGTCAAACAGCTTGGTCGAGACTCCCCCTTTTTTTTGAATTTTTTTTTTCTTAAAAAAAAAGAAAAAGAAAAGAAGCTCTAAATACTACAAAACCCATGGCTTGTTATCTATGAATTTAAAGGACTTCTTTTATAATCATTAAAGATTATTGACTCCCCCTCCATTCGTTCTTTGAAGATTTTCTTGTCAATACTTTATAAACTACATTTTCTTATCTTATTTTGAAAATATGTTACTTGAAGGGGGTATTCAATAGACTGGGACAAATAGCCAATTAAACATATGAATATATATTTTCTTTCTGTATGTTCCTATCTAGTCCTTTACATATAGAATGAATGTACATATAAATATAATATAAGCTCTGTCCTTCTTACTATAGGATCAAACTCTAATGGCTGACGATAACGTGGTCATCAAATAAAATACACATGTACATAAGAAAATAGGGGAGACTGGATTTTTATTTTATTTTATTTTATTTTTTACAAACTATATAATATATAATATATATTAAGAACTGTACAAAGACGCACACGCGCACAGAGAGAGAGAGAGAGAGAGAGAGAGAAAGATGGGTTGGTTTGACACTGGTGATACGAAAGCCACTAATTCAATTTTTATTTTATTTCATTTTGTTTTGTTTTTTCCTTCTTTCCTTCTTTCCTTCTTTCCTTCTTTCATTTGTTGCTTTGCTTTTTATACATAAAGATTCCTATTCAAATATGTCTGATTTTGACTACACCTTTGCCAATACTGCCTGCTCCTATCAGTGTTCCATTCAGGACGGAGACACCGTACTCGAGGCAGCCCAATACTTTTCTGCCGCATGCGTTACCGAGTGGCTCCAGCGAAACCCAAGTGCCAAGGCCACCCTTATGCTGGATGGCGATCGAATCGATTTGCCAGTCTATGCACTTCGACGCAGGAACGCCGTTGTAGCTGACCTACCTGATGCCCCCATTGCCGCATAAACCCTCTATTGCTTTATATATTATCTACTATATATTATATATTATATATCAATAGATAGATAATAGATAAAGAAAGTCAGACCTCTTTCTTTCATATTCAATATCAACCAAACCAACCAACCCATAAGAAAGAAAGGAATAAGAAGAGACAAACAGACAGACAGACAGGACACATACATATTCTTATTTCTTGTTCATAGTTCACAGTTCATCCATAGTAGTAAATCTGTTTTCGTTTTTGCTTTATATCTTCTCTCATTCTCCCATCTTTTATTATATTTTTACCTCTTTTTTTTCAAAAACAAAAATTGTATACATTTTCACCTAAAACAAGTATCATTTATTTTTATATATATTTCCTTTCTCCTTCTTCTGCTTCTTCTTTACTTTTACTTTGCTTTTCATTATTCTATTTCATTTCACATTGTACATTATATATAATAAACACAAAATACAAACTATATCTATAAATCATTCTTCATGGATCCAACAACAACAACAAAAAGAGAAGAAGAGAAAAAAAAAAGGGAAACCCCCAAAAGCAGATTGAACAATAGAATGTAAAATGAAGCATAATTGAGTTGAATTTCTGTGTACAAGCACACCATATTGTAACATTTGAATAGGAGAAGAAAACGAATAAAATGTTTTTTTTTATTATTAAATTACGATGGGAATATATATTTCATTCATTACTATTATTGTTGGTAGCAGTGGTGGTGTAAAGACACAAGCACACATCGACATATATACACACACATAAAAATGTGCTGGGTATCAAGGCATAACCTTGTATATAGACCAATATAGATATAAAGTTACAAGGAATGGAAGAAGAGAGGGGTAAAGGCAAGTATAGAATGGTGTGTTATTTGGTCTGTACAACAGATAAACATGTGTGTGTGTGATAATAATCATCTTGACCATCCTACCTCTGCTTATCTATATTTACTATGAAGGCAGCGTTATATTTCTGACATTTAAACATCAAACTGCCGAAAGTACATATTTAAACTACGTTTTAATAGACTAATTTTACGCTTTTTTTTTTCTTTTCTCTCAAAAATCAAAAATGCCGACAAAATAAAATAGCGTCAATTCTCTCTTTAAAAATACATCTTTCTTTCTTTCTTTCTTTTGTTGTCTATTATTTTTTTTGTCTTTGAAGAACGTTCTCTTACAAGGTAATCGCTCATGTTCTTGGAAAATAAAAGGATCCAAAGAAGTGATAGACATAGCACCATGTTTTAGACTCCAAGAATATGGTGTTAGCTGTCATACTGGGCTCCTACACATTGGGAAATCAAATGCTTTGGCTGTTGACCATCTTACAGTCCGGATTTGTGCCCCAAGAAAGAAAAGTTGGTATGTAAATAATTCTCAGGATTTGAAGCCACTAATCCTTTAGAAATAAATGCACGACTGTAAATGATCTTACAATTATTGGCACATCAAACATAATACATAATAGCTTTTAACTCACAGTTAAAGAAACTGAAACATTTATGAAAGATCAATTGCTTAGTCAAGAGGAGATGTATTGCGAACTTATTTTACCTAACCATTCTTCTTTCTTAAAGCCAATTGCATATACAGTAAAAGAAAGACCCAATATTGTTTTTATTCTTATATTTCTATAAATTAACTTGCAATGATTTGTATTACTAATAATAATTCCTGTGGCTTTGGGCTAAAGTTACAGCTATATGTAATTGTACTCATTACCATGATTATAATCTCGATTCTTTGTCTTATTTGAGACTTTTGACTGTGAATATACATGTATTATTGATAGCTTGATAATTAATATGCGACTAGATTCTGAAGTATTGGGTAACAGTCCTATGTCTATATATTCTTTGAATTATGGTAGCATAAAATATTGTAATAAAATCGGCTTTTTATTTATTTATTTATTTATTAAACTGATTACAAAGAGTATTGTACAGAGCCTTTCAAGTGATGATCAAGACCGATATTGCACTTTTTTGCAATTCACACGTTGAGATCTTCAACATGAGAAAAAATTGCGCAAATTAAGTTAAGAAACTGCAATTTTGATTTTTGAGAGAAAAGAAAAAAAAAGCGTAAAATGTCTGTTAAAACGTAGTTTAAATATGTACTTTCGGCAGTTTGATATTTAAAGGTCAGAAATATAACGCTGCCTTCACTATTATATGTATATAAGTCTATGCTTGGATGTGCACGGTCAATGTTGCACAAAAATGTTCTCAAAATCGTGCAGTGTATAATGAATTGATTTAATCTATTTATTTATTTATTTATTGTATGTATGTGGGTGTATCTTATTATTTTATTTCTATTTATTAATTTCAATTTGATTTAATTTTCAATATACATATACATGTTTTATGTGTGCAACTTTTCTCTTTCTTTCTTATGCAAAGTTCATATCAAGCGCTTCACCCCAAGAGGTAACAACAGAAGCACCAATGTGACTCTTGTCGGCAGCTGGTGGTTCTGTCCAGAATTTGATTTTACCACCATTCCAATCATTCAATACAGTTCTTGCAACCAAGTGAGTATCTGGAATACCACCCTACAAAATAACAATAAATATTAGTACAGACACACACAATATATATATATATATCTATAGCTATAGCTATAGCTATAGCTATGATTATTAAACCATTTGTTAATTAATTACCTTTCTAAGTTTTCCCCATTTTTGTGCTAGTGAAATCAAGAATTCATTTGCACTTTCAAAGTAAGGTACATCGTACATGGTCATCAGTTGCTCAGTAGGACATCTTGCCACAATAACCTCAACTAAGATAATACACACACAAATATGTATATAATAAGTAAAAGAATAATATAGTTATAGTTATAGTTATAGTTATAGTTATAGTTATGCTTATATTTATATTTATATTTACCCGGTGTTATTGGATCTTCGAGCAATTCGACCTTGATACAGTTACGCAATGCAATCTCTGCATCTGTTCTACCATCCTGTCCCTGCTGCGCAAACACAATACCTGGACAATCGAGCAGCTTGATATTCTTGTCTAGTGTGATCTGCTGTGCGACTTTTGTAAAGCCAGGTGTGGATCCAACACCACACACCTTGGATCGCTTGAGCGAGTTAATCACAGAAGATTTACCAACATTGGGGTAACCAATGATTCCAACCGTAATCGAGGTTTTCATATTCACACTTCGGCAGTAGTTCTTCAACAGACTGACCAACATATCTGCGCCCAAGCACTCGGAAGACTTTAAGAGATCCTCGGTAGCCGCATCCGTAGCGACACTCGAGTGGCCCAGGTTGCGACGCTGGTTCTGTGTAGATGCCTTGAAGGCAATTGTTGGGTATTCATTTCGAAGGTACTTTAGCCACTTGTCAACATTCTCCTTTGGTACAAGATCTTTGCACAATCATAACAAACCTTGGTTAGCCTCTTTTCTGTCTTTTATATATATATATATATATATTTATATTTACTTACCAATCTTGTTCAATACAAGAATCACTCGCTTTGATACTCCACTATCCATAATCATACGCTCAACCTGAAGTGTACGGGTACCGATGGGATCGCGTGCATCAAGGATCTCCAGCACCACATCTGCATTCTCAAGTACCTTTCTGAATTCACGGTAATAGGCCTTTCTGGAATTGTCTTTGTGTCCAGTTGCTGCTGCATCCTGCTGTGTCTTGTCTACTTCCAGGATTGGTTCCTGTTCATCAAATGCAGTGCTGCGTGACTCTGCATTGCGAACCATATCCATCAACGAAGGTGGATCGACCGTCATTTCCATATCCGCATCTGTGTCCATTTTCGCAGGTGCAGAAGATGGCTTGCCTTTAGATCTAGCCTTTTCTCTCTCAAGAGCCTTTATTTGTTGTTTGTTTAGTGTAGATATATATATATATATATACAGAATTCAACATTATAATTCATTTATTAGAGTTATGATAATATTAACGTATTTGTATAGCTGTTATTCACTTACAGCTTTTTTCTTGTTTTGTTCTTTAAGTAACTTCTTGTCTTTGAACTGCTGAAGATTAGGTACTCCAAGATCCTTTCTCATTTCTGTTTCATTATTAAGGAAGAAATAAGAAGACAAGAAAAAAAAAGATTAATGAATTTAGATTAATATGATCAAGATCTAGTCATTCCATGCTTCTGTTTCTTCTACTTCTACTTCTTCTTTGCTTTTGTAAATCCAATAGAATAAAAGAATGATAATGAAATAAAAGGGCCGAGAAAACTAACTTACTGACTCCATTGAGCTTGGGATTGGTGGCCTTTTTCTTTCCTTCTAAATAATCATGAGCATGTGTTAGACTTTTTCGGTTCTCCTATACATGCACCTGCATACATGTATATGAATTTCAATTATTATTTAATTTGTTTAATTTATTTGAATGCTCGTTGTAAATCAATAAATACTGGTAGGAATGACTCACTAATAGATTCGAATTGACTTACTCAATGCACCCATTTTAGTAATAGACGATCAAAGCTGTCTTTTTCTCTCTTTTTTTTTTTTTTTTACTTTTAATTTTTTTAATTTTTTTTTATTTTAATTTTTACTTTAATTTTTTTATACACACACACACGCACATTTTAAGGTGCTCACAGAATATACACTCGTATAAAAAAAAGTCGGCACAAAACGTCCAAAATTGGATTTTTTTTTCCATTGCTTCTTACTTTATTTTACTTTTTACTCCAAAGCCACATTAATAAAAGCCTCAGGTCATCAATAGAAAAACGGACGAAAAAAAAGAACAAACCTTGCCAAGAGTAGTCAGAGTTTTTACTTGGAGACATTATTGCTCTTTACAAGGCTAAGAATTCCCCAGAAGTGGTCAAAGACGTCCTTGACATCCCTTATTCAACGATTAGAAGCATCATCAAGAGATGGGAAGAAACTTGGACAACTGATCCAAAGCCTAGATCAGGGAAACAAAAAAATAATAATCGTTACTGATAATATAACCCTTTGTTTGAGTGTGATACGCAATCCAATTGAGGGGTATCAATATCATCAAGGTAGTCTGGCACATGCCGGTGTAAACTTTTGTCTATAGACGGGTGTTAGCTATATTTGGGCAGACAGCTTTGGTTCTTACACTGCCCGTTTCCAGGCCAAAGTTGACAGCTAAACATATGAAAAAAAAAATAAGCTGCGTTGGGCAAGAACCAGAGCTAGTATAACACTTGAAGACTGGGGAAGAGTAATCTGGTCAGATGAGTCCAGGTTTATGGTGAAGGACAATGTTTCTTGACGCATCCGTAATTCGTAAGACGGGAGAATGTTTCCAGAAAAGAAATATAGTTCCTACAGTGAAGTTTTGGAAAGATTCTGTAAATGGTATGGGGTTGTTTCTGGGTAGGAGGATTCGGACCTCTCGTGGCTCTTGAAAGCTCAGTCAACCAAGACGTATATGTAGACTGTCTATACAATTACTTCAATTCATGGTATCAAAGATCAGATGAGTGACATGACACTATGTTCACCTTCCCAAAGCTTTGGTTTGAACCCAATTGAACATGTATAGAAGGCCATAAAAGGGTCGGGTTATAAAGCAAAAAGGCGTATATTAACTACTAAAGGTCTCAAGGCCTGTTTTTCAAAGGAATGGGACCAGATGGACCCAAAGTTTGGAGCTGATCTTGTTGCCAGTATGTCTGATAGAATTTAAGGCTGCGATTGTTGCTCGTAGTAGAAACAACATATATTAAACCTAAATTTTATTTTTATTTTTTTTATAAAATATATACTATGCTTTATTTGAATATAAAAATCTACACCTTTACGATGAACAATTCAAAAGATACTCATTAAAGAATGTGATGTATATAATTCTGGGGTGATAAAGCACCATGATTTTTTAAAGACTTTTCTTTTTTTTTCGTACGAGTGTAGTATGTGTTTGTTTGCAAAAGGACACATTCAGAGATTTGGAAGAACATTCTAGTCAGTTCACATATACACTCATGAAGAGGATCATCCGTCCTTTCCCCAACTTGGAGGATTAACTCAATTATTTTCGAAATGCGTTTGTGATAGAAAACTTAGATATGGATTGTAAATCGAAATCAATGTAACACTCATTGGAGGGATTTATTTGGTTAACCTTACGTCTCTGATAGATTGAAAGATGTATGCACTGGTACCAATCGGCAGTAGTGACCAGAAATGGGATGAGATCCTATAGAATATCAAGGATATTGAAAATAAGTTTGAGATACATCTTGTGGGAATCAGTAAGGGGAAAAGTAAGTCGTTAACAATCTAGTTTGAGTGTCTATCCGTATCATTCAATTTCTTTTGCAGGCAATCTTTTGTCTACACACACAGCGGGAAAAACATTTTTCTTATTCAGACTCCCAAGGGTAAAAGTGTACCAAGAGAATGAATCATTGTATATGATACCCACGTAAGCATTATATCATGGGAAGCCCTAATACTGGGTTTTGTTTTCCATTGTTCGTCTACTTAATACATATTGTGTCATTAGGTAGGCCTTATTGGTTTGTGCCAAAATGTTAAAGTTTCTGAGATGAACACAAATACTGGCACTGGTCCATTTTGAATAATTAGCAAACAGACCTTTTGCTTTACCAAGTTTAAAAATTGTTTCCCAATTCAATGATCCATGATCTTCATAGTACTTATCCACAAAGCCCCAATCTTTGATTACAAGATCCTTGTCATTATTTGGCAGTGCAGATTTTGTTGACTTCTTTCGTAGTTCGTTTATCTTGACCAAAACTCGATCCAAACGACCCAGGCCACGTTTTATTAAACTCTCACCTAGGGCATCGTCAAGCGGATCTAATTTTGCTTTTATACAATGATCGTGGATATCGTCCAGTTCTTTTGTGGTGACGGACTGACTCATTTTCGTTCGGTCCGGCATCAATGATTTGGTGTGCTATGGTATAGAGCAATCGGATCGTTGTATCGTCATTCCGATCGATCCGTCGAAGCGATGGCTTTTTTTCTGGGTAAGGAAATGTCCCAGAGTTACGAGTGGATTGAGAGAAGTGAGCTACAATTGATCAGATATTGATCAAGAATTAAGCAAGTAGCAAGATTTTGCCCAACCATGGCAAGGCAGCTCTAAAAGAAAAGGTAGTTTTTCTGACGCAACAGCAAGATTAGTCAATTCTGCCGTGGTATTGTGAAAGATAATGACAAGTACAGGGAACCTTACAGACAGCCTGGTGGGACAGCCTAGATAGCCTGGGCTAATTTTAGGGGGACGACATTTCCTGGTGGGGGCCACATTTTGATTCTACCAGACCACAAATCGTGGCCCCTTTTCCGGCATGGCATAACTATATCTGGTCCCTAAGGATCCATTCTTATTATGATAAGAAATGACAGCCAGGGTACATAATATTCGAAAAGATTTTCTTTTATACTTTGTAAAAAAAGAGTGGATGGGGACTACCTATCAGTTGGCACTGTCCAATTCTGGGAATATAAGTAGGTGAAAGAAAGAGAAACACATGATACGCGTAAGAAGGCCGATAATTAGTGAAATATTCAACAAGATTGCGTCACGCTTTAATGACAACAACTCCTTATGATCTTCTACATAGCTGACTATTGATATAGTATAGCTGTGACTAATTATTATCATTTCTTTATTATCAAGTCTAACTTTAGGGCTACTAATTGAATATGCAGCAATTGATTTTTGTATGAGACAGTACTTTATTATTAAGTTGCCCAAATACAGATTTTTGCTCATAAAATAATAAGAGTTAGGTGTCTGGGGATAGATAGATTAACACAAAGTAGTAAAGCTAATGTATACAATGAATATGTTGCGTTTTTTCCAGGACACGCCATTTTGCCTTGAAGGATTAGAAAAAGACACCTGATTTCGGACATATAGTCCCAATCTATCAGTCCGGTTAGATAGAAATGTCGTTCCCGTAATATTACTGTTAGACAAATAAGAAGTAAACGGGAGAAAAAGAAGAATGGTTGGTAATTGTAGTACTTAAATAATTTTCAATTCTTTTATATATATACGTGTTGCTTGTTGGCCTTTTCTCACCCATAGCATGCGTGCAGCTTTTATTATTATTATTATTATTATTATTATGCTTTACATTCAACAATTTAACAACACACCTAGAACAAATAGGTATGTGAACAATATTTAATTTGATTGGCTGAGCTAATTTTACTATATTTTTTTTTATTTTTTTTGGTCGTAAATTTTGTTCAAAAAAAAGAATAGCGGATTATAAAAATGTCACAAAATGGAATAGTCACAAAAAATTAAAAAAAAAAAAAAAAAGTACCAATGCATACTTGCCTTACAATGAACCGCAGTAAAAGAAGTCCCGCAAACTCACCTCACACAGACACTATACACATATACATATTCTTTACCTTTTTGTTTTCATTTACTCCTTCTCAGAGGCACTCAAAGAGATAGAAATAGCAACAAACGCAATAATATATCTTATCTCATTTACCCAACTCAACTCAACTCAATAACTCAATCAAAATAATAATAATTATGATTACCTTTATTCCCTTTCCTCATCACACACACTCGATTCCAGAAACAATCTGGACTGATGCCAAACAAGTCTGGATAACCCAACTCAACACCCTTTTGGACACCTCTGACGAAGAGTTTAGCGATGAGTGGATCAATAATACCAGTCTTAGTACTCTCCTGACCTCTATTCTCGACGTCCAGATGGACAAAACGCCAATCGATCCTGCACTCTCCCGCGCCGTGTTTGTCCTCTACGTACGCGCGGCATCCTTGTTATCCAAGGGGCGGATCGAACTTGCAGCAAGTCCTTTGTTTTCATCCGGCCAGCTCACAAGCTTTGCAGCCGTCTACAACTCCTCCAACCCAGTAACTGTTCGCCAAATTTTTTCCCAACTGCTAGACAACAGTCCGATGATCTCCGGGCACATCAAAGAATCTTTGACTCTCTTGACAGATTGTCTTGTCGGCCTCCCAAAGGCAATTTCGACGCAACCAAAAAGACAGACTCTGGAGAGAGCATTTGTAGTCTGTCGCCTGTTAGATGTCCTAGTGTCGGCTACCTTGTATATAGACGGCTTCTTCATAAGGCACGATATTGAAAAAAGAGTCTTGGAGTGCTACCACAGCCTTGAAACTATCTATCAGTCAGTCTCAGCAGAATCAAAAGACCACCCGTTCTTTTATCACCTCAAGTATGCATTGGTCTCTACCTTCAACAGTCTGATGGATCGACGCTTCTTTTTATTACTTGGATTTGTCACCGACACTCATGACCCGACCCAGCTGATTCCTTTGACACCTTCTTCTTCCTCTTTTGGTAAAACTATTGAAAATCTGTCAAGCGACAAAGACGCAATAGTCGACCATTGGAGTAAGTACATTCTGGAACTGATAGAAAATGATGGTCTGGAAGGTGGTAAAGGCATCTTTGAGGATGCGCCAATGGTCATGGATTGGGAGGTTGCATTCTGTGCCTCCGCAAAGCTGGATATAGTCAACAGTTCATTGTGGGGTGGAGAAGATGAGCGGATAGAATTCCTCAAGATGTCGATGCAGCAGGTCCGAGACATGAGCCAAGGAATATCACCGTGGCACTCGGCTATACCAAAGAAACCCAAGAAAAATAAGCAGCAGACAAAGTCACGGACAACAAATCATAGCAATAACACTATTGAGTCGGCAGAGGGTGATAACCATGTGTATGCAGATGCGGATGCGGATGCAAATGTAGAACAAATGACATTTGTTTCTCAGGTTTTGGATGTATTTCCTGATCTGGGTATCGGGTTTATCGAAGCATGTCTGGAAGAAAACCAGAATGACCCTGAACGAGTTGTGATGCAATTGCTAGAGGATACCCTTCCACCATCATTAGCTACTTTGGACCGTTCAATGAAGAGGTAGGTTGCTAAGTCTGTTTGTAATGAATAGAAGAAAGGAAGAGAGAGAGAGAGAGAGAGAGAGATAAAATTCTACCAACTATACTGGCTTTAACTAATCAAAGTGATTTTGTTGGATTTAGACAAACACCGAAAGAAAAGAAATCCGCTCAAGTGGAAGCCTCTCCACATGGTGCGGCTGATTATGAAAAGGAAAACTTATTGGATTCACGACGTAATATCTTTGACAATGATGAGTTTGACATGCTACGACACAGTGTTGACAAAACAAAGATTCACCTAGGAAAGAAAACGTAAGTTCAATTTTACCTATTTTATGTATACAAGAAAGTTGATTTATTAATTTTTTTTTCTTTTTGATAGAGATGTAACCGCAAAATCGGTTATAGACGACAAGAGCTTTGTGGATAGTCAAAAGTCTAATCTTTTGCAACGGGTGGTCAACATGTATGAAGAGGATTATGATGATACCTACGATGATGTAGATTACGTTGGAGGTGCCGTTGGGTCTGGTGCAGTAGAGGACAACGAAGATGTTGCGAAACCTAAAAAAGAGATTGTGGATCCAAATATCCTCAATGAGAGTGATTTGGTGCATTGGTTTACAAGCGATCCCGAAAGCTTTGCACGCTCTCCTGTTGTACGCAGGTCTGCAAAGCGAACAAGCATGAGAGAGAAGACACATATGACAGACGAACAACTAGAAGGCTGGGCAGTTATGTTTGCCAGAAATGTAAGCTTAATTTTATTTTATTTTTTAAAATTATTATGGTTATGATTGTGACTATGATTATCATGATTTACTTGTACATTGTTTGCATGATTGCTATTGCTATTGCTATTATCCCTTCTAACTAAACACGAACAAAACAAAATAGCCTCGTAAACAACGTATTCTGGACAAGTATGCCCTATTCGATGGTAGTCAGGCTCAAGTTTCCTCTCAAGTGTCAGAGGCACAAAAGAAGGAGCAGCTAAAGAACAAAAAGGATAACCGACCTCCACCCACAGAAGCCAAAGACAGATCCTACAAGGACAAAAACAAAGCCAGATTCGGAAACCACAACCGTAAAAAGATGCACGATAAGAAGTTGGTTAAAGCTGGTGGTGCTGGTCCTATTGCCTAAATCTGATTTATTTATTTACTTTGTATTCAATATATATATATATAGTAGACTATTCTATTACATTTCTATAGTATACTATATTGTATTGTATTATAACTGAAAGAGAAATACCAAAACCCAAAAAAAAGGGGATATCGTCATCATCATTATCATCATCATCAAATACACACAAAATAGCAGGCATTGTTTGGAGGACAAAAAAAACCAAACAAATACAATCGGACAAACACTGGATAGGGTTATATATATTTGACATTTTAAGTATATATGTATTATATGTCTGTATGGCTGTATGGCTGTATGCCTTTGTGTATATTAGTATGTGTATATGCATGTATGCGTGGTTGTGACTTGTAGACACATTCACTGTGCACGTTACTCACAAGTAAACTGTATCAGGGAAAAAACCGTATAAATACAAAGAGACAATAGGCAAGTCTCATTGCTTTGCCTCTTTTTTGTTTTCTGTTCTGTTTTGCTCGGCCAATCAATGCAAGACTCTGTCTCTCTTACAGTAGCCTACCTTCTCGGCGGCCTCACCCTATTCCCAGCTCTTTCGGTGGTGGCTCTGGTGGTTTTGTCAATCCAGCGCAGAAAATTGATAGTCCCTTTATTTCGCAGCTCTTCTGGTCTAGGCCCAACTCGCAATGAGCAGACGGTCATGGCAAGTGGACCATTTTTCCAAACAGGTTGGGTCGAAGCTACTTCCAGTCCTCCACAAACTCCGTCTCTAACAATCAAATACATGTTGAAGAAATACCTCTTTAACAATGATAATGATCATGATAAACCCTCAAACAGCTCATCTGACTATAGCCAGCACTACTATGCGGTACTAAAATTCGACACCCTTTTTCTGTACGACTCGGAGCGGCAGCTCGATTGTCGGCAAGTGTTTGTGATCCACAAACACAGTGTGCGCATGTACCCACCTGGCCTCAAGGACCACGAACTATTTTCCCGTCCAACTCGTATTCTTCTCACCCATGACGGCAAGAGCCTGTACATAAATTGTAGTCGCAACGTCGACAAGGAGGATTGGTACCTTGCGTTTGTCAATGCCAGCAAACTTGACCACAAACCACACCGCACCTCACGCCGTCTCGACTCCACCAGATTTGACCAGACGGCCATGAACCAGCTCTTGGCCACAATCCACAGCGATGAACACCACTTCCATACACAGTGGCTCAACTCCATTCTTGGTCGGATCTTCTTTGGGCTCTACAAAACCGACAGCCTAAAGACCTTTTTTCACGACAAGATCTGTAAAAAAATCGAAAAACTCAATGCTCGCCGCCCACCTTTCCTCGACACCATTCGAGTCCGTTCGGTCAACCCAGGACACGCCTTGCCTTACTTCACTCAGCCTCGCTTACTCAATCTCAGTCCGGCTGGAGAAATGACGATGGAAGCAGACGTGGTCTACGGTGGTGGGTTCCGGTTCGACATCGAAGCCGTCCTGCGCTGGAAGTACCTCGACCGCCTGCGCCCCTTGACGGTCAACATTGTCCTGGCTATGACCCTCAAACAAATCAAGGGCAAGGTTCTCCTGAAGATCAAGGAGCCTCCGACAAACCGCATCTGGGTCGGATTCTACGAAATGCCAAAAATGGAGTGGATTGTCGAGCCTCTCGTCTGGGACAAAAGAGCAGGCTTTTCGGTTGTCGTCAAGGCAATCGAGACCAAGATCCAGGAAATTATTGCCGAGACGATGGTTTTGCCTAACATGGATGATTTTGTCTTTTTCCCCTCAAACAATGAAGGCGGTCTGTTTGGGACTTGTAGAGGATACAATAATACGCACGATGAAAACGATGAAGGCGAAGGCAAAGATGAAGATGAAGATGGAGCCAACGTTAACAATAGCACTAATGGTGTAGTTCCTGTCGATCATTCGGAGCAATTTACCCCAACAGAAGCAATTGAGGATCCCGATATCTCAACCTTTTCGGTCACTTCTGCCTTTAGTTTTAATACTGCTATTTCTATTACTGGTAATAGAAATACTAATGATAAGTCTAAAACAGCAAAAACAGCCAGAAACACCCCCACCAATACCATGATTGCTAAAAATGAAACAATCCCCAAAAATATATTAAATCACAAACAACAAAAGCAACAATCACGTTTCAAGGATGAAAGTCTCTGGCTAATGCCCGAGAAGCACTTTTTCTCTGACCTCTTCTCGTCCACCCCTGAAATGCAAACTCAATACGAATTCCTTGACCCTCGGCTTGTGCCTAATGTCCCTTTTAATCCTTCTAAACCACGCACCGCAGGCAGGGTACGCCGTTGGTTCAGTCTATCAAAAGAAGGTGATTCTGCAAAGCCCAGCGAGAAGTTTAACAAAGTACTTGCTGGCAATAAACTTGGTAAATATTGTTTTTATTTGTTATTTTTTTTTATTTGACTGGAATCTAGAACATACATATATTACATACAAAAGCTTATTTTTCTCTTCTTTATAAATAAATAAACCGTTATATTAAATTAAATTTTATGTATGTTTTTTATGCAGAAAACGCCACAGCGACCAGTGCATTGCCAAAGGATCATCCACTATCTCCTAGAGAAGATTTATCTTCGACTGCAAGTAGTATACACATGTCTGAAGATGGCAAAGACGGGCGAATCGGTAATGATAATGATATCGTTGTTAATGATAGCAATAACGAAAAAACAATTGAATTAATATTAACAAACATAATAACTATAAACATAAAGTTCTTCTGCCACACAAGAGATCTTTTCAGGTTCCAAAGACAATGGACATCCACATTGAAGCCGACAGTGGAAGTGTGGTTGCGTTTGCTCGCGATGAAACCTTAGAACCCGAATCTCCTCAGCAGAACACACGCCGTTTCCGATCCAAATCCGTTGCTCTCACTGTAACCACCCAAGTCAATATTTCTCGTAGGATTTCGACCTTGGTATCATCCAATGACAATCTAGTTCCTGACAAAAACTAAAAAAAAGGAGTGAAAATAAGAAAGAAAAGCTTGGCTATGTAATTATTATTATTTTTATCTCTCCTTCTCTATGTCTCTTTCTTTTCGTGTAAATATATATATATATACATACATACATACATACATAAATTCAAAAAGTTCTTTCTATAGTAAGAATTGATAAATAAGCGTACACATTCTTTTATTTGTTTGCCTGTTATTTTGCATTCTTTTTTAAGAAGAAAAAATGAAATAAAAAGCAGTTGTCTTGGCAACAGATTCCTTCGTCTATATATGTTTATAAGATAAAAATAAAAGTGAAAAATTAATATTTTCTGAATGTAAGTATGCTTATTTATTTACTTGGTAATCTCTTTTTCTTTTTTTCTTTGATAATGATAATTGAAGAAAAATTCAAATAGATATTGGAGTCTATATATCTTTAAATGAACAAAAAGATAGAAAACTGTGTTCACAATTTTGAGTATTATGTGCAGCTTTAATAACAGAACTTTACAAGTCGAATAAATAAAATAAGAATTCGAGGGATACGACGTTTCTAGGTAAACACATCTTTCTAAAATAATAATACAGTGTTTCTACTTGAGATTGATACAATTATACCTTTGTAAAATAAAATTTTATGTAAGCTTTATGGTCTTTTTATTACGGTACTTTAAGATAAAAGCTGAGAATGACTCTGAAGGGGTTTTTTGAAGTCACATAATTGCCCTACAGGGGGGTGTTTTTTTTATAAAAAAAAATCACGATAACCCAATAGCAGTGTAAATTGGATGAAAGTGTCCCATTAAATTGGCAGGCAAATCGAAATTTCGTCCCACATTTGTGCTTTCGGGATTTCGACGGTGTGTTGCGTTCACCATACAAATCTGGATAACAATTTCTCTATCAAAGTGCAAATTTCCCCCGCAAAATTATTTGTCACATTTGCTAACTGCATAGTGTTATCTAGTTATCTAGTAATCTAGTGTAAGGCTGATAATTTTACCACTTGTTACTAGTTTTTCTAAATTAGTCAATTTCGTGCTACCATATGGTTTTCTACAGCCCTTGAGCTTTACAAAGCGCCCCACTTTAGTGACGCAATCAGTTACCAATACCAGAACTCATTTAGAGTATCACTAGGGGAGCGGTGCTCCCCCCCCCCCCCCCCCCCTTTGGGGGGTCCCCCCCCTCCCCTCTCCCTTCGGGGGGGCCCCAGAGCCTACCAGAAGTTAATATAAAACCCTTCCCTATTGGAAGTCTAAGTACCGTATAGCACAATTAATAGGAACATTTTATTTGAGTGAATTATATGAAAAGAAAGGATATGTATAGATGTTTTATTATTCAAAAAAAAATTGGTTAGATGAGTTTATAGTGTATGTTATTTATATTTTTTTACTAAATGTCAAAGACTTCCTTAAATACAACATTGTCTGTAAATACAGTATTTGCCGTTTCGTTGGAATTTGCTGGTGTATCAAGCATTATCTTGATTGTAGAAGGTTTTCTGACCTGGGATAGAGCAACATACAGCTGGCCATGGGAGAATACTGGGGCAGGGAGATATAATCCAACACTCTCAAGAGTTTGACCTTGTGACTTGTTTATTGTCATTGCGAATGCAAGACGAACTGGAAATTGGAACCGCTGGAATTCAATTTCACCATTTGATCCAGATGGATTAAGCTTTATTCTTGGAATAAGAGATACTTGCCCGGCATTTGATCCAGTCACAATTGTTGCTCTGATGACAGATGTTCCAAAAGAGTTGCAAATCAGGCGTGTACCATTACAGAGGCCGTTTTTTGGGTCAAGATTGCGAAGAAGCATGATAGGACATCCTTTTTTTAAGGACAGTGAGTGAGGTGGTAGGGATCCAGGATCAATGGTATTTAGTAGCTCAACTGGATATGTCAACTGACCATCTTCATCAATTCCCTGGTCGACGCTCTTAAACTCTCGTGCCTCTCCAGGAAACTGGCTCAGAAGAATATCATTGAGTTTCTTGACATCTTTATTCTTAGGAGTAAGCAAAGCACGGCCCATGAGGAAATGAGGGTTGGCTGCATTAGAGGAGAGATCATGGAAAACTGCTTTGGCCAGATCAGCAGGATTACATCCAGAAAGTAACATATGGGGCGGAATTGGGATGGTGTCATCACCGCCTGTTGTGTGGGCAGAACCACTACCAACTTGCAAGAGAAATGCTCCAAATTCCCTAAGCTCTAATGTTTCTTGTTCATTATTTGCTTGGGCAATTCGCATGTTTGTTGTAAGCCGCAAGGTTTTTACATTTCTCCATGCAGATGCTTTCTTGATACATTGGCTTACAACCTGAGCTCTTGTTGCCTTGGGTATAACAGGAAGGACCTGCCGAAAATCGCCTCCAAAGACAAACAACTTCCCTCCAAATGGAACGTTTTCAAGCAATGGATCGACAGTCTTCATTATATCTTGCATGGATCTGCTTACAGTATTAAAAACATCTTTACTAATCATAGAAGCTTCGTCCCAGATAACCAATTCCGTTCTTCTAATAAGTTGTGCCGTTTGCGAGTTTGCGTTGATGGAGCATAAGGAGTTAAGATCAACTTGCACTGGAATCTTAAACCTGGAATGTGCTGTATGCCCACCGTCTAGCAGCAATGCAGCAATTCCACTTGTTGCTACTGCAAGAGCAATTTTTCCTTGTTGGCGAGTTTTTTGAAGCAAGGCATTAAAGACAAATGTCTTTCCCGTCCCACCTGGACCATCGACAAAGTACAATCTTGAGGCTCCCACGTTTTCTTCAATTGCACTTAATACTGTTGTATAGACACGTCTTTGTGAATTATTGAATGTCAATGTATCTGGATCTGGCAAAGGCTGGGCTTGATCGCATAAATCTTCTTGTTCTTGTATGATGGCTTGAACATCTTGCCCATTTGGGCTAAAGTGCTGGATGTCAGGCATTGGTGGAAGAACAAATCCAGTGAACAACATGAGAGACATAGAGTTGGCAGATAGATGACTTTCGATATCCCATAAACATCTGTCAAACATATCTTGTGTGGGGGCTAACGCAGGAATTCCACTACTTTCTCTTGCCAAATGAAGATAATCTTCAATCATAGAATCGCGATGAGCAAGCCACAAAGAGAAAGGATCTGATACTGCACAGAAAATCAAAAGAATAGCAAAGAGTCTTCGTAAAGAAAATGGGATCTGATGAGCTGCTGCCTCTTCCATACAGTTACTCCACTCATCATCATTCAAAAGTAATCCCAGAGCACGACATGCAGCTTGGTTTGTTTCATACACACATCCTTCTACTGTACGTATGTCTTCAAGGCTTTTGGCCCCTTTAACATTATGCAGCAGTAATCATAACGAATATTTTTCAATATCTCTCGGAGACACTGTGTAAACTCTGCCAATCGTTCCTTTATCAAACCTCTTACGTGCTGTCCATTTTCGTTCTTTTGTATTCCATACATAAAGAGAAGGAAAGTCGACGTAAAGAAGTTTTTCAGATGATGGGTGTGTAGCATTATAGTCGAAATATCCCATTAAAGTAGTGTTTTTTCTGGAATTTGCAACATCCTCTGGGTTAGAAGATGGATTATAATATACGGGTTGGGCATTTTCCAGATGGATTGAAAGTCGTTGATGGCTGGGATACTCTTGATGAAGCTTGAAAGAAAATATTCTCCAGCATGCTTCAGAAGCGGAGACATACCGAGCATCAAGAAACTCATTAACTTCGTTTACATGCTCTTGTTGTTGTTGTGGAGCGGAATTGGTGGGTGTAGGCTGCACATGGGCCATTGCATGGTCATGTCCTTTATATACATATTTGTAGAGGTATTTTACGGCAGAAACAGAGGTGCTAATCTCAACATTTATATGAGCATTGTATTTTGCACATATGTATCTATTGTGTGGAACAACCCATCCATTATCCATGATCTTTGGCCCTCTTCTAATAACTCTTCCATTTCGACTGCGTTGATAAATAGGATATCCGTTTCCACCATCGCTAGTCTCATTGCAAAGCTTTTTAGGATAATTCTTTGAACAGATCCCATTCTTCATGCATGGTGCTTTTAGATATTTCTTTCCGCATGGGCCATGCATCATGCATTTTTTTACTGTTTCATATGCCAATGGCTCAGTTTCAGGATCTGGGATTTCAGCCGAAACTATTCTGTCAAAATCTTCTATTGTTTTTGGTTTATCTTGTGGTCGCAAAATCAAAAGAATGTGGGCATGAGGAAGTCCGCGCTTTTGGAATTCAATGACATATATAAAGGCCAAAACTTTCCCCAGAATATTTTTTTTGTAAGGTCAATCATGAGCTCTTTGAGCTTCATATTGAAAACCCGAGAACAAAGATCTGGTCTGTCATTAGCTTTTTGCCCAGCCAACAGGGAATTTGTGATTTCTGGCCACTTTGAATTGCAAGTGAAAGTTATGAACAAATCAGGCTTGCCAAAACGACGCACAATACTCATTGAATCTTGATAAAGTTGAGCCATATACCGGGGGCTACCAATAAAAGAAGATGGAAGAATAACTCTCTTTCCAAGATTTGCAAGATTACAATCGTTATGGATAACAGCATCCTGAATTCCACTATAAAGATCTACACGGAGACGATTTTGATTGCTGGTGATGAAGTGCAGCCGATCGTGCTCAACTTTGGCATACATATCAACAATATATTGTTGAAAGAGACGGCCAAAAAGATGGAGGAGGTGCTGTGTGTTGCGTCGATACATCAAACGGTTTGAGTACCATTGCATTACTGTGACATGCTCTCCTGACAATGAGCTGGCATCAACGGTCCAACCATCTTCACCATGTGGAAAGAGTAGCACATAGTGTAAAGCATCATAAGATCGGTGGTACTCATTGATGTTCTGTTGGAAGTTGGCTCTGGTGTGCAGCACAATGTCTCTTGAAGTACCCTCTTCATTATTCATAATAAGAACTGCTATTTCACTTGCAGTTGGAGCATTGTACCGTCTTTGATCCCGAGGCCCCTCAGCTACTAAACGCAAAGTGAGATCTATAGATTGTCCCTTTTCCCGAGAAATTTGATCCATTGTTCTGAAGAGATGTACGAATGGATTTGTTTCCATAAGAATGGACTGAATCTTCTCCAAAACACTTCTCTCCAATTGTGGGGAATGGTACTGTCTTTGATCTATCTGAGCAGCACTGAGCAAATTTTGGGTGAGCGATATCAGATTCTGTCACTGGCAAAATAGATCCAATTCTATGACAAATTGTTCCGTGAATCTGGAAGTTGTATGCCCCATTGATATTGTTGCTAACAGAGGTATCAATTTTAGCTCCCAAAGAAGTAAAGCTCATTGTACTATTATAGCTTCGAATGTTTTCAAGAAACTTCTTTCCATCACGTGTTCTATAGTTCAAAAGCTTAGCAATTCCTGTAGGTGTTGGCTCAATTTGGGGGAGAACATGCTTTCCTTTGTTACAACACATAGAGAACGTGGGGCTTCTTAAAGAAGAACGACTGTTTTTTTCATGTGCCCACATCATTGCCCCACAAAATCGACACTCGATATCCATATCTCCCCTGTTATCAACTGCTGGTTCTGAAATAGCTGGAAGTCGGGCAATATTATTCAAGCCTCTGCCTCGATTTCTAGATCCTCTTGCTCTGCTACTGTTATTGTTTGGACAAAATCTGCTTGTAATTCGGTGATGATCAGTTCCGTTACAGTGAGGACAATGGGGTAAAATTGATCCTCTATTCACAGTTGAAATCTCCTCGACTTCTTCTTCTCTTCCAGTCACTTCTTCATCGGATGAAGTCTCCTCAATCTCTTCTTCCATGACTGCTTCAAGAACTTCAGTAATAGTCTCATTTGCGAGTGGAAATTCAGTCAACTCAGAAACTGAAATAAAAGTCGATGTTTCTATGTCCAAATTTTGGTCTTGGACAGGCTCACTTCTTATTCTCAAGGCAGCAGCTATTTTTTTATAAACACATTTATTATTAAAAAATATATATAATACTTGCAGTAATACGCATAAGTGTATAAATAAATAGTTACTTTGGCTACTTTCTGCAGGATATTCATCTACATTAGTTCTCTTTTGAGGAATGTGGAGAGAAATGTTCTTTGGGTTCATGAGACATTGCTTATGAGTACTTCTGCTATGTCCAAGCATATGGCAAGCAGCACAACGACGTTGAGTAGATGACATTTTATTTTTTGGGTTTTTTTTTCAAAGTTAGAGTTTGGTTTGATAGTTATATAAGTTTTTTGGCAATAGTTTGTAAAATAAATTCAAGGGGTTAATATCTTGATATATCATGTGACATAGTAATGTCAGGAGCGGATTGGAATTGACACTCAGTTCCAATCCTACCCAATCAGGAGCAACTACTCCAACCGCAGTAGTTGGGTGAGCAAGGCCAAGAAGAAGAAGACAACCATTGCTCAGCAAGATACCGCAGCAAAAGGACTTAACTAGAATCTAGGATACTGCAGCATCTTATAAATTAATATAAATATCACAAATATTATCACAAATAAACATTATCTTTATCTTCATATTTCATTCTATCTTATTATCTTATTGTGTGACTTCTCGCACATTATAGTAAAAGTGCTAGATTTTAGATGTGAATAGATGTTTTACAGGCAAATTCGTATATCACGTGATGCTGCTAATTTTGATTGATTTTAGATATATAGATAATCCTTTACTCTTTATTTTTTTATTGAATTTAACAAGCAAATTAAACATGTACAACCCAAGCAAGCGTACTATCAAAAGAAGACAGAGAACAGCTGTACCTCAGTTCTTACTGGATTACTTTTCTGAAGACGTTCCAATAAGTGGTTTGAATTATATTCCCACTGAAAACCCATCTGTTCCTGAGGCGGAATTTAGTAGTCCTCGCCTAAAGTGTACATATACGCGCAAGAAGAGAGCAAGAACCATGGCTGTAGCCCCCGTAGAAACGCCTTCCAAGAACATTGCTGCTTCTCAGACTGACTTGGACGTCGAAATTGATTTCGATACATATGAAGCCAGTCAGACCCAGAAAAGAAGCCTCTACAACAAGTGGGTAGATTTGCTTCCCCAGTTAGCTGATTCCTTCCTGCGTTACCTTGGAAGATGCAAGGATGGCTGTCTGGATAAGAAGGTTATTGCTCCTTTGTCTCATTTCCTTTGTTCTTGCACAAAGTTCTCTAAGAAAAACATCTACATGTTTTTTTTGCATTGTAAGCAATCGTTATTAATTTTTCAAGAAAAACTGCCCTTAGATTAATATATTAACATCTTATATGTGTACACAGCCTCAGGAACATTTGAGGTTGTTTTTTGCGGATGCAAGTCCATTCCCGAGCAGTTGGTTGAGATGGGTATGCTCCCTGCTTCCCTCAACAATGTCCAATATGCAATTAATTTCGGACTTCTTGAGTTTATGAGAGACATGCGAGATGTTCTTGCCACCTCTGGCCAGGGCTTGGCCGATCTGTACAATAAGATCAATCTGGGTGCTGAGGTAAGAAAAAAAATTATACATCAGTATGTGTTACTAATCGATTTTAAATATTGTGTTAAAATAAAATAAATAGAGACAGATCTCAAAGGCATATTGCCAAAATCTTCTGCATGTCTTCATCAGGCTTACGATGATTGTTGAGGCCAAGGTAGAGAAGCTTTCGCCTGGATTCCGGGAATCCAACTGTTGCCCTACTTGTCCAGATGTAAGTGAATAATATGTCATATTTTACTTGCAACAAAGTATTGAAGTTGTATTTTTATATCAGGTTGACAGCAATGTGGCCGTTGACGACTGTCAATATGTTGCCATGGATAGCAATTTTAGCCTGAAGTGTGAGAGGAGGAAAGATGGTGAGGGTGATGTTGGCGAAGAGTTGGAGCAAGTAGAGGCTCAACTCAAGCAGGTGTGGATTGGTGACGACGTGGTGAAGACGTATGAGAAGGAGAGGGCTGAAGAAGACGTAAGTAATAAAAAGTGACAAGATATTAAATACATACTAAGCCTTTTTTATACTTATAGATAGGTCGGTTCGACAGCAACTTCCATGCTGGCTCTGGCAGTTTGGCAAAGTCCATAAAGTACCCTATTAAGGGTCTTTTTGCGGCGAGCTGTGCACGCCATGAGTCAGTCATTAAGTTGGTAGACATGGAAACTGGTGAAGGGTTTAAGTACCCTCTCTTCATAATTAATCAACTACTTGGTGATTCAGGTAGTGATGGCCAGTCTGCTGATAACTCTCCCAACATCAATGTGATGTATGATGTTGTCTGTAAGCTGGCAAAGTCACTGAAGGTAAATACAGAGTTATTTTTAACGTACATGTTAAATATATAAGCATATAGTAACAATACTTAACATAGGCTAACTTTCCCGGACTGATGGAGAAATCAAAACTAGCAGTTCCGATTTTCCATGCATATGTTCATGTTCAACACTGCCAGGTTAAGCTCAACCCTAAATATAGAGATGGGTTTGGCTTGACAGATGGTGAATGTTTGGAACGCCTCTGGTCATATCTTAACCGCTTTGTGACGATGACCAGAAAGATGGGACAAGCAAACCGGAAGTTGGTCTTGTACAGAGCCATCAAGTTCCGCAATGAGACGAAGAAGGTTGAGTTGGGCTTGATGTTGGAGAGTAAGTATGTCAAAGCAAAGTGCATCATAGAAGAATCCAGGAAGGCTTTGGAGGGATTTGACTGTGTTGTGATTGAGCGAGAATGGAAGCAGCATGTTAACAAGGTAGAGAAGTTGGAGAACTACATTGACATTGCTGATTTGATGGAGTCCGGCCGTAAGGTTCAAGGCAATATTGCTTTGTTCCTTGTAAATTTTACAATTTTGCGCCAACTAAGAGAGTAAGTGTATTTAGAGCTTTTTTCTTATGTTTTTTGTCATTAAAAAATCAATTTTATTGTAGGCTCGCTAATGATGCCAACGGAAATCATGTGAAAGATGAGATCAATAGGCTGAAGCACGAAGTGGAGAAGTTGAAGGCGAAGATCCAGGAGGAAGTTGAGGGCTTCCAAGAATTTGATGAAGAAAATACAAACCTCATAAAATATATGGAAGAAAATGCCCAGCTAGGGTACAACAAGTTCCTAGCTTACAAAAAAAAATATTCAAAGATGCGATTAGAGCCAATGTTCAAGCGTATCATGATACCTCAACATTGCTTTACAAATCTGGCCATATCGGTAAGAAGGGGAAAAAGTGATTGCGATTATTTCATGAATTAATGCTTTTAAATATATATATAGGCACAAAAAAAGCAAAAAAACACCAAACCAGCCTGAATAAACAGGCCAAACAAATTACCTACCTCGTCCAAGCATTCAACCTTGAATTCAATGGTAACAGTGATTTTTAGACTTTTCACAATGGAAATATTAAACTGTTATTCTTACTTTTATACTTGTTTTTTTAAAAGAGTCTTTGACCTTTGATTCAATAACCAATAAAAAAAGTATTTTCTGGGATGCGGAAATCCGTCCCGAAGTCCATCTCTTTTTGGCAAAGAAAAGAGCAGAAGAAGAAGTTGCACTTCTGAAGGTAATAATCAATATAAAGATGCTAAAGGTTTTAAAAATAAATCAACTAATATATAAAATTTCAAGCATGATGCCTTCTGGCTCCAACACCGTGCCACAAAAGAAAGGACTTTAAGAGAGCAAGGGCTAAAAGCCCTTGACAATGCTGTAGGTACTCTGGACAAAGAGGTTCTTTGCAGGATGCAGTTCCTTTTGGCTAGAAAGCTTCGGCTTTCTATGTCTTGGGAGCGAGCAGTCTTTGCTCAGACCAGTTTCCTTCTGGAATCCTCGTCCTCTCCCTCCTCCGTTCCTTTTGCCTCCTCCTCCTCCGTTCCTTTTGCTTCCTCCTCCTCTGTTCCTTTTGCTTCCTCCTCCTCCGTCTCTTCTTCTTCACTCATCGTTGAAGACATAAACTCCCCAGATGATGGAGAAGCCAGTATCGCTTTTGTTGTGGAAGGTGATGACGACAACAACAATGACGATGACAACGATGACGATGACGATGCTGATGAAGACGAATAACACAATAACATATTTGAGTCTGAAGCAATATATGGTAAGTTACTCTATTATTGTAAAAAGTCTATTCAGTTTATTTGTTAGCATTTAAAGTTGATAACTAAGGTAAGTTTCTTTTCCCTAGAATAACACAAACTCCCACCCGTTTTTTTTTTCTTTTCTTCTTTTTTTTTAATTTTTTTTTAATAATAATAATAATAATTTTCTTTCAAATCTGAAAAATGCTTTAATAGCTTTTACAAGTAAAAATATCATAAAATTATAGAGAAGCTGACAGCTTGATTTTTATTGTTTGAAGTATACTTCTTGTTTTCTACATTTAATCAAGAAGTAAAAAAAATTGTCTATTTTAAATACATGTGTTGTGAATGAGTATTGATTACTGCTGAATCTGAGAGTAAGACTGAAGGATAAAATAATATCCTCAGCTATTCCAGTCAAACGGATCTCCCTTTATGATATTATCTAATACACAGATCATCATACACATAATTGATTATTTATTATTATCACCATGACATGGGATATACAAATACATATACATTATATATATGGCATCACTATATTTCATCTACATATTTCTTTTATTATACAAATACTTAATTGAGAGACTACAACTACAACTATTTAATATTATGAAACATTACCCGAGTATCTGGGTCAGAATACTAAAATATTACCAATAGCATAAATGCTCTTCTTTACCAAAACTCTTGGACTGATTTGACTGGAGAAGTATCATATCAATTGGTCTTTCCGGATCTTTCCAGAAGAACAATGCTCCTGGAAGATGACTCATCGTGATAAAGATTACTTAAGCACACACTGAATTACAAATTAGAAAAACATATAAATATCAGTAGATAGTTCCATGTAGAAAGACAATCGAATTTTATCATTCTTTACTTTTCTTTTGAAATAAACAACCTATACAAGTTCTCACGAATTCTTTCGTCTATATTATATTTTGCTCTATTTTCTCCCCACAACAACATGTTTTATGTTTCAAGATTTTATTTTACTTATTTCTGTAATATATATATATATTGCTTATATCATTAGAGTCTATTAGTAATTAATTCCATAATACACATAACTACATACTTATTTTGAGATAATAAAATATCAAGTTTTTATGTAGTTTCATTAGTATCTTGCATGCTTTATATTTTATTTTATTCTTTTCAAAAGCAAGTAAATAGCATTTCTTATTCAGGAAGTTATGATGTTGAAAATTATCTTGTTTTATTTGTATCTAACCACTACGGGAAAAAAAGTGGGGATTCCACTGGGGATTCAGCTGGAGATTCAGCTTGGGATTGAGCTGGCGATTCTTGTGAATCGCAGTGGAATCTCTAGTTCCCTTTTAAGTAATATATTTTAATCGCCGTTGACTTATTGATATTAGGTTTTATTCATATCCCGCTATATTTATCCATCTGCTATAACCTTATTTTCATTGGTAGGAAAAAAAATATAAAAAGATTTCTATTGGTAAGAATGAAAAAAGAAGTTCTTAAATTGGTAATAAAATATTATTTTGGTTTTTATAATTATTTTAATTGGATAAAATACATTCTATTATTGTATATGCTTCAATGGTATTGGTCATTTCAACAGAAACATTCTCTCAAATGGCCCTCATTTATATATATTCTGATTTGTTCACAATTTTAATTGGGTAAAAAAGTTTCATATCATGGAGGATTTTTATTTAAAAATACTTTTATTAATTGTTATAAAAAAGACAATTCTTTATTCATTAATTGTATTGGCTAAATATCATTTGAATAATTTCATGTTTTCATATTAAGTATACAATTTATTATACCTACCTGACATGAACTTACGAGTTCTTTCCTTCACGCGGTTTTTCTATGACTGAAAGACTTTTGCAACAAATATCCAGTTTTTGTGACATGTGGTAAAGCCGACGCAACTTTGTTTAAGTAGACACACATGTTTGGCGCACATTATGCCCTTGTTTTCTTGAGATAGACATCGTATTTGGATTTATTTTTAAAGATTGTACAGAAAGATAGACGGCCATTTCATTACATATAAGACATGAACGTGTTAATAGTTGTTTTGTTTTTCTTGTTGAGTTAAACCAAGAACATGACTCATCATTTTAAAGTCGTGTTTCAAAGTTATAGTTTTAATACAAGCATTAATCTCGAGATTAGGACATCAAAGAACTATATTGCTTTACATTAGCTTATATGTTTTTCTTTGCTTCATTATTTCTTACATCATAGTCTGGGGTGGGCTTCTCAAGTGTGTATTCATTTATGTTATTAGGTAGTTCAGAAATCTCCAGTCGTAGAATGCCTGTTGCTTTTAGAGTGCTTTTTGGCCCTTCTGCAAAATAATAAGCATTTCTTGTATATCCCAAAGTGTTTCTCGCATACCTTGAAGCAGATAAATTACTGAATCTTCTTAATTATTCATGATAATAATAAAAATTCGGCGTCAGAGTTTGTTATGAACAAAAGAAAGAACAAGAAAGAAAAATTTTCTAAGTCGTCATTAGCGTCATATATTTTGTACAAATGTATTGGTTACTCTTTGATATGAAATATCAATATAGTAATTTTACAATGATGACATACACTTCCCTATTCTAATTTTTTAGCGTATCTTTGAATTATCTTCACATATTTTATTCAAGTAATAAAAGTTTGATATTTTCTTTCTCTTTACTTCTGACTTGTAATAGCCATCAATTGCAATAAACACTTACTAAAAATGTAAAGTCTATAGTTAAAATGCACTTTTGTCTATCAGGAGATTTAATTTTCGGTGGTCAATTTGCTTTTTATCAACTTCTTCAAAAAACAGAGACTTTCTTATTTCATTTTGAATTTTTGGTGAATTTTTAATTATTATAGACCAAAAAGAAAGTCACTAATTCGAAAATCCCGAGTTTTTTCTCGTAGTGAACTGTTTAACTCTGTTTACATAAATAACATATGTTTTTTTTGCTATTTTATTTTATTTTACTTTAAAAAAATATAATTGTATTTCGCATAACATTAAGATATTTATAAAGAATAAATAGTATAAAGCAATTCATTAAATATTCAAAAGATTTCTTTTTTTTTTGTAAAAAAAAATACAAAAAAATGCTTCAGCACTATGGGAAAAAACTTGGGATTTTCGAATTTGTGACTTTCTTTTCGGTCTATAATAATTAAAAAATCATCAAAAATTCAAAATGAAACAAGAAAGTCTCTGTTTTTTGAAAAGGTTGACAAAAGACAAATTGAACATCAAAAATTAAATCTCCTGATAGACAAAAGTACATTTTAACTACAGATTTTACATTTTTAGTAGATGTAGATTGCAACTGATAACTATTAAAAGTCAGAGGTAAAAGAGAGAAAAATATCTAAACATATTTTATCTTCCCAGCAAAAAGTTAAGACAATTCGAAAAAAAAATGTATTACACAAAAAAAAACAAATTATATGTCTGCATGACAACCAAGCAACAATTTTGGCCCACGGTTCAGTTTCGGCCAGACAATATACCATCCATTAGTGGCTGTAGATACCATCAAGCTAACCAGCTCTTTTACATCAGCCAGATGAACAACCTTTGGCTTCGCAGGTACATTTGTCACAACAGGAATTCCATTTGTTTCATGGATAGCATATACCTGGACAAGAGCAAGTGGCCACCTCTTGTTGTTGAGCTTGTGCTCAAAGAAAACGACAACCTTCCCAAAGAAATCCTTATAGATTGGAGAGTAGTTCTGCCCAATGTTGCGGTTCTCATCAACCTGAATCTGTAATCTGATGTTATGTGCCTCTCTTACACAATTTTGGTCGAACGCAGAGTCAATCACACAACCATTGACAAATGCCTTGCAGCTAGTTTGTATAGCTGCTTCAATCATGCTACACTCTTCCCCCTTTGATTCATAAAAGTCTTCAAGAAGTTTTGAAAGACATGAAATGCCTTCAAAACTATCTCAAATCGTTCTATTCCTCAAAGGCCCCCAGAACTCAATATCAGACCCAGCACCAACACGTTCACCTTCACCCATCATTGGCCAACCAGCAGAGGAATCTTCATATGCAAGAAGTCTTGCTGCTCGCGGTCTTGCTGCTATATATGCCTTTGTGTGCTCTACCTGTCTGGTCTGTGCCAAGCCAAGCATGATATTGCCAGTGTTGGTTCTGATGGCAGAGTTACTCTTAATGGCATTAGAGTACTCGCCAATTGCTCTTTCTACCAATCTAGCACTGTCTGATCTCGGCGGGCCAAATGCTTCAATCATATCTGGGTAGTGTTGTAAGAGGTGCTGGTTAATGGTGACAACCTTAAGATCGACCTTGTCCTCGGCAAGCAGAGTCTCAAGGTACACGTTCCATTCAACAAGTTCTCTAAGATAGAAGTTAGTATATATTTTTAAAAAAGAATAACAAATAATGATATTTAATATACCTTTTTATTGAGGCTTGTTCCTCTGCTGATAACTCCCAGCTCATGAGTAAATTGCACACTTGTACAAGGCCAAGCAATGTCTTCCGTGCAGATATATTTCTTATCCGCTCTGCTACTAGAGTCAGAACAACGAACAGAAGGAAGTCTGCCCAGTCTACTGCCTTAAAGTATCCTGCATTCTTTGATATGTCTCTCCAAGCACCATGAAACAATGTAGGGATCGTTTTCCTTGTCGATACCATTGCTGCACCTATCTCTTTCTGGACTCCAACAGAGAGAACAAGCAGATGTTTTTTTCCATACTTGCCAGTGACGAGCCCCCAGACCTGTTTTGCTACACCATGGCAGATACTATGCATTTCATCCAAGGCGAAGAAATATGGCCCGGAGAATGCATCCAATGTTGCCAGTGGTGATTGCCCTGTAAGTCCTCTTTGGCTGGACTTGTCTGCCTCACGGAAATCATGGAAGCTCCCCAGTGTACGTAGGGCAGTGGCTGGTGACATACGGAAACACTGACCGTGGCCAGGAGATTGACCAACAACATGGCAGATTCTGCAGCCATCTTTGCTCATGTGGCCAACATGACATGCTAGCTTTGCCAGAGCTGGGATATCACCCGTTGCCATTAACATGTGGACCTTGGCCTTGATGGTTTCCATGGCTGTTTTGACAATCATTCCTTCGGACTGCAACACACGGAGATCTCTGACGATTGGTCTCATAAATAACCAGAAGTCAGTGGGTGCCTTGGGCCCAGGAATCATGGCAAGCTGGACCATTATTTTTCTTTCATACCGGATCATTGGATTCAAGTTCAAGATGATGGCATGGACAATTGTTACTGATCTGGGAACATTGTGAGGAGCAAACCCATCCACAGACAGCGAAATTGCAATGTCATCACTTCCCAAGAAGAGATGCTTCTTAGACTGGTAGGCCTGACCATCGAATACATCAGTCTTTGTGCCATCTTGACTTGGCTCGTGATGGTAACAGTAGCGCATCTCTGTTCTGGTGCTATCGTTGGCCAAACAGAGAGCAAGTTGTGTGCCCAGAGGAAGTTGAACCATGGTTCTTGCAGGAACCAACGTACCATTGTCTTGGGCACTCTTGTAGTGATCTTCACTGCAATGCAAGCACTCGGTTTCATTTGCATCAAACAACATACAGCCATTGCAGCAAACGTCATATTTCTTCTCCTCTATTCTGGAGAAACACTTCAGAAGCTCTTGACCGAGGTAAGGTGTGCATGCTCTATATGTGCTTGTAGAGCTAGCAAGAATCTCGTTGAAGTGGCTGACAATCTTTTCATGGGCATTACAAGAAATGCCAAACTCCTTGACGATTTGAATAAATTCCAGGTTCTTTGCATCATTGGTACTGGGAGTGGGGAGAGGTTGGCTGAAGTCAAACTCCAAAGGTGCGGTTTCATCTTCAATTTCTTCTATGGCAGTTGATTCCTCTATGGTATTATCATGTTCCATATCAGCATCATACTCTAATAAGGTAAATAGTAATCAGTATAATGGCTTTATACTATATATATCTATAACTTACCATGGGCTCATCATTTTCAGTTCTGTCGACGATATCCATATTTTCATCACTGATCATATTAATGTCTCCACTGTTTGTTTACCAAAGTATCCAGATAATTAATATATTATCTATCTTTTTGTATTTTAGTTTTTAACAAGCTTACTCAACGATCAAGCTTGGGGCTGGTGCTAGCATAGACTGGATTTCAACAGGGAGAGAAACGTCTTAGATGAAAGATCCATTGATAGCTGCATCTACCAGCTTTTTAAGACATCTATCTCGACATTTGGTAGCATTTGAAGAGCTATTGTAAGGCAAATGACAGGAACTGCATTTGTGAGGGGAGATCTTTGTGATTCGAACCATATTTTGAAGTAAGTAAAAAAAATAAAAAGAACTTTTGTTATATAAGTGATTGTAGAAGTAATTGCTTTCTGAATGAATATGTTTATACTTAATTATATCAATGTAATAATGGCATGGATAATTCAAATGTACACTCATAATCTTAAAGGGGTAACTCTATGCCATCATTCTAAAATTACTAGATCAATAATTCTTCAAGAGTAGCCAATAGATTTGGACAAGTAATTTGAAACTAATAATTTGGAGCTAACGATTTGAAACTAATAATAGTTTTAGGGAAAAATTTTCCTCTTTCTTTCTTTTTCTATAACAAACTCATTACTTTTTTTTTACTATTATGAATAATATAGATAATTCAGTGATTCAGTTATTTCAAGGCCTTCAAGACGCGCTTATTTCTCTAAAGAATGGTCAAGAAGCATTGGAGAAAAAACAAGATGCAATGCAACTCGAAATAACAAGTCTTTGCAATGAATTGAAAGATCGAGAACTCCCGAATAATACTATTGTAGCTTCTGTCAATGTAAGTAAATACTATAATAATTAAAGCCTTGTCAATTAATATCAGCTACAATAGATATCTACTGACTCTATCCCAAGACCAGTACTAAACATCTGTAATATAAATTCCAATCATGTATTACAGATGATTGAGCAAGACCTAGGAATAAGTCCAACCGCAGAAGTCAAGGGAGCTATCAACACTTGCACCAAGCATATTTGTGATCAGCTTGCTGCTCTTTTGTCTGTTCAGATTCTCAGGCCCAATCCAAGCTGGACATCTATCCCTCAAGAGGACCAGACCAGAATGTGTGTCAGTCATTCACACGCGCTCAAGAATTATGGAATTGATTTTACCAGATGTCATAAAAACTGGGCATCAATCACAAAGGTTAGTCAGTTATGGAGAAGCCGTAGAAAGCAACACCTCTCTGGTAAGTTCATATCAGGTAGGTATAATAAACTGTATACTAAATATGAAAATATGAAATTATTCAAATGATATTTAGCCAATATAATTAATGAATAAAGAATTGTTCTTTTTATAACAAACAATAAAAACATTTTTAAATAAAAATCCTCTATGAAATAAAACTTTTTTGCCCAATTAAAACTGTGAACAAATCCAAATATATATAAATGAGAGTCATTTAAGAGAATGTTTTTGTTGAAATGACCAATACAATTTAAGCATATACTATGATAGAATGTATTTTATCCAATTAAAATAATTATAAAAACCAAAATAATATTTTATTACCAATTAAAAAACTTTTTTCTTTCATTTATACCAATAGAAACCTTTTTCTATTCTTTTACTACCAATTAAAATAAGGGTATATCAGATAGGTAAATATAGTGGGATATGAATAAAAGCTAACATCAATAAGCTAACGGCGATTAAAATATATTACTTAAAAGGGAACTAGAGATTCCACTGCGATTCGCGAGAATCGCCAGCTCAATCTCAAGCTGAATCTCCAGCTGAATCCCCAGCGGAATCCCCACTTTTTTTCCCGTAGTGCAGGCAAAAGTCGAACTTCGGTTATTTCTATCATAGTCAAAAGTGACAACAAATAATCTATAGCAAAAGTTTTGAATAGAGTAGTTAAAATATAGCTTTATAGTATTTTTTACCAAGCCACTTTTTCCACTCATTTTCACTATGAAACCACTCATTTTCACTGTAAGATGTTGGCATAGTCACATCCAAAGTCACATTTTCTCAATGTTAAGCCACAGCCTTCGTTCTTTTTGTATATTCTTTTCTCTTATTTACGTTTTTCTTTTTTTTGCCTGATATGTTATTTTTTTATGTTTATTGTATGTTCTAATTGATATAATCAAAACCCTGTTCTTTCATTTTATTCTATTTACTTTTTCTCAGTACGTTTTTTGTTATAACTTCAATTGTTCTGAGTGAAATTTATAGCCTTCTCTTTATTTTACTCACTTGATATTTGTATCCAAAGTTTTTCCAATCTTCTTTTTCATTTCTCTCCCTTCTGAACTCTGTTCTTTGAGTTATATTTCATAATTACTCTATTCAAACCGATTTGTACTTTTAGCAATTTAATTTATGATTGATTCTACATTAGCTATTTACATAAAGGATGGTAGTTTTCTTAATTTGGAAAAGTAACATGATAGTCTTACTGCATTTCAGGATCACTGTTTGTCAAATAAAATAATTATACTTTTAATAATTCATATTTTCTTTTATTAATAAAATGTACTTTATTTTCTTTCCAAAAATAACAAGCAAAACATAATAATTATTATTATTGTCATAAAACAATATTGTATATAACTAGTGTTTGTTATTACCAGCTTGTTTTTTTTGAAGTAAGCATATTTAAAAGTATAAGATAAGGACTTTGTTCGCAGCTATCAGCTTTTGTAATATCTGGAAAGAATAGATTAAGAAAGATTGGGGAGGGTGCTAGTTGCTTTCATAAAACTAGGCCAAAAATTACAACATGAAGACTAAAGGCAAGGGTGGACAGAAAGAGTTGGTTAAATCAAAGATAAATAAATAAATATTGTTATTATTTAAATTGTTGTATAAAGCTAGCAATGATATTTCTCTTGCAAGTAATAGACTACATTAATAAAATGTTAGGATTGAATAAATATATAATCAATAAGACAAGCCAATTAATTAATAAGTGATGTATGTAAAAACCAACTTATGAACTGGTAATATTTCGCCTTTAGCTTTTTATATAAAGATGTATTTTGTTTTACTTATTTAGTAATAATACTTGATGCTAAAAGAATTTCAATAAAACTCAAGGCAAGCTGTATTAGTTTTATAGAACTCGTACTTGCTAATATCTGCTCTTGATGAAGTGTAATTGATAAATAAATATTAAATACAATTTTTACAGAGTTGATTCCTTCACAAAATTGATAAGCAAAACTGGACTTTATTTAAGAAAGAAGATTTGTTATAAGCAAAGTTATAGCGCCAAAAATCATTAACATTATTGTCGAAGACATCAGTATAAACATATATTATACTTCCTTAGATTTTGTTTTGTTTTTGCTTGAAAAAAAAATAAAGTTTAAAGTATACTCTTACAAAAATAAATAAATTATATGACATTGTTTTTATAATTCTAAGCAGTAGCATTAGATGAATCAAAAGCAACTTAACACTATTGGGAAAGAAAGCTAATTGAGCAAAGCATTAAAAACATTTTTTTTAGGATAGCCTTAAGATTATTTTAAAAATACATACTATCTTTTGTAAAGCAAAGCAGAAGGTCATATAAGCATGGTTTATCAAAACCATTACTTCCAAAGACTTAAATTTTAATATATATCTATTCTTGCTCCAAGTTTATTTGTTGATCTTAATATTCAAATAAAATCATCAGGTAGTTGTTTTCTATTGCTGATTTATCTTGACTAGCGCTCTCATCTGTCTTTAACTGTTTATGCATGATTATAAGAAGTTTATGACAAGATTTATGAGGCCATTCAATCAAGTGTTCGATACATGTTACAAGATGATGATGATGGCAAAGGGTAATATTTTATTTATTACTTAAAATACTTATAACATGTATATTATTAAAGTAGATTAGGAAAGAAAAAATTTTGAAGTCATTTTTTTTGTTTTGAAAATTAAAATACATAAAAAAACGTCACAACAAATAGTAAAAGCAAGAATCTATTGTATAACACTGGAAAGCCTTCAGATAAGATGTACACACAAGTTTAGCATACAAATTATTAATTATAGAAGTTAGAGACAAAAACATGTTTTTATTAAGCTTGTCAAGCCCCACTCTAAAGAGCAAGAGAAAGAAATGAGTCCTTTGTCCAGGGCATCAACTAACATTTCTTTCTCAATATCTTTCATAAGACTGAGTGGCACAAAAGGCACCTTTTCTGGCCATCCAATGGCTCTGATGGTGCCTTTTTTGTTTTTGATTGCTTTCCAAGGGAAAGATTTTCTTGTTTCCCCGGTTTCTTCTAAAAAATTGATAATATAAAGTAAATGTTAATTTTAATATTTTATAGACTTACCATTGAACAAGCTTATCAAACGTGTGTTTATCTTATTCCTGAAGTTGTTGGCAGCAATGGTTGCGGGTTGTTTTTTTTGCATTATGACAGAAAAATAGATTAAGATAAAATAAATAATACATCTACTATATAATACTTACTTGGGCATCTTTCGACGTTTCCCATTGCTTCCAAGAAACTCTTCAGAGTGCCATCTTCCTCAATACACTTAAAAAATATAGAAGATGTATCTCCTGACAAGAGGCGGCCAATCTTTCGACTGAAGCTGGTGCCTGACTCCCAGAACAGAAACAGACTATCATAGTTCATTAATAGTTTCATTGTGTCTATGATGGTCAATATGGATTTTGCACCACGTTTGACATCAGAGACAGAAGATTCCTGGTGAAGAGTAGCGGAATCTTCTTTTGTCATCTTGTAATATCTGCTTTTTTCTAAAGGACCCATTGAGTTGTACAAGTCAATGATTTCCTTGTGTATGTAGTTTACCCTAAAAATATATTTCGAATTGTTACAAAACTATTGTTTTACTTGTAATCAATGCAGTTAATTGTATTATTGTCAAGTTTTCTCTTGTTATTCATCTCCTTAGTGTAAAGATTAAAAAGATTTTTTTTAATCTTTTTGGGCCCCAAAACAGTATTGCTGAAATTATAGGCAGCTTCAGCCATGTTTTCAACAACCTTTTGTTGCAAATTAAATTCTATAGCAAAGCTAATTTCGAATTCTTTTCTATGCTGCAATTCTAATCGCAGTTTTTCTACTGCTTTGGTTGGCAAGTTTGCAGCATCATTCAAGAAGCTATTAACATTCATTTTTAAGTATTTAATATATAATAATAAGAATATGAAATAAAATAAATAATTATTTCAGTTTTTTTGGAATAATAACCAGATGGCATATCAATTTATCTGATGGGAACCTGATTTTGCTATCAATCATATATTGTAATTTATTAGTAACTAATGGTAAAATCATTAACCTTACACTAGATAACTAGATAACTAGATAACACTATGCAGTTAGCAAATGTGACAAATAATTTTGCGGGGGAAATTTTCATTTTGATAAATGAAAATTGTTATCCAGATTTGTGAGGTGATTTTTTTATTTTTTTTGAGAAATCAATATTTATTCAAAAAATAAAATTCATATAATTATATTTTTCTCAACTTCTACTGATTGTATTTGTATGCTTCTTAGCTCTATCAATAGCTAATGACGAAGAGTAACTGAAAAGTGGCATTAGAGGCGCATTGTCGGTCTTTAGAATTTTTTCGGCGATTGAATCATGCTACGATTAGATGACCACTGGGATTTGATATAGTGCACAGATGGGTAAAAATTAAAATAAATCAAATATTTCCACCCTAGCCAAATATCATCTATATACATATATAGATATTAAAAAAAATACAATTTATCTAAAAAAAATTAATATGTTTATTCACAATTTTTTTGAAATGCTAATTTATTATAAATATAATAAAAGCATTAAAATAAAATATAAAGAAATAATTAAATAATAAAAATAATAATAAAAAAATGAAAAAATATAAAAACTAAAATATAAAAATAAAAATAAAAATAAAAATAAAAAACAATAAAAAAAATAATAAAAAAAATAATAATAAAAAAATAAGAAAAAAATATAAAAACAAAAATATAAAAAAAAAAACAAAAATAACAATAAAAAAAAATTAAAAATTAAAAACTAAATGTTGATTTTGTACTTCAGCTAAATAGTTTATTTTATATTAATTTTTTTGTTTGCTACACTATAATAAAAAATATACTCTAGAACTATGATATCTCTACTTATATTACATTTCTTGAGATTTTAACTTTTATAATAGTCTTATTATAATAGGCGATCTTAACCTTCCCTTAATATGTAAAAAGACTTTTTCTTTACACTTCTTTAATTTAATAAACAAATTATTAAAAGAAGAAAACTTATAACAGTAGTATTATACTGTTGTTTTATTACAGAAAAAAGAAATTGTCGGACATTATTTTGATGAATCCGTACAATTTGAAGATGATTAACCACAGTACCTCTTTATGTGCAGTAACATCTTCCTGAGCATTAACCAAAGTATAATGACTTTTCTTTTATTTAAATATAATATAATAGCTACTGCGGATAATGCGCAGTATTAGTTTAAAAAACTATGTAAGACAATTAACTTCATATCAATAAAAAGTATCTTTTATTCTCTCTTTGATTTTATGTACACTCCTTGATCCCCAGTGGGTTTGACCTTTTGACTTTGTTATAGTAAAAGGAAGACCAACCCAGATCGGAAACAACATTATTACAGAAAAAATATAGACGAATATAATTTGGAACGAAAAAGTAGCAATAAGCCTGAATCGAACAGGGGTGCTCAGAAGTCCAAGCGCAATGTCTAACCATTAAGCTACACAGCAACAGCCAGACTGTCATGTGTGTTGTAGACATGTCAGGCTTTGGCCAGTTTCTGGTGAGGGATACCGGATGGTGGATTCCTTTGGTGGTTTGGTCTGGCGGTGAGCCGTGACAGGTGGTACCGGACTTGTGGGAATTGATGTTGATGGTGAGTCGACCGAGTGACATGTCTCGAGGGACAAGAGTGGTCCCTCAGGTTTCTTGGGAAATCTTGCTCCCGATACCCCTATATCCAAACCCCCAATATAATCTCATTCCTTAAAATTAAAATACCCATCTACATCGTCACCTCAGAAACACCTGTCACCCACTAAAAACATTATATCTCTTTCCTCTAATTTTATACACTTCTTTATTGCCAACATTTATTTTACACTATTTTTTATTACATTTTATTAGATTTCATTATTATACTATTATTATATTTGTTGTGGTGGTTGAAGTTGAAGAAGTCTTTAAGAGGAAGAATTGAAGATTTGAAATTAGGAACGAAGATTCGTGAGAACTTGTGTAGGTTTTGTTTATTGAGAAAGATTTTGTATCAAAGTTTGACCAGGTTCCTATACTGAACTACTACTGCTATTTATATTGTTTTGGATTGGGAAAATTATATGACTGGGGTCAGGTAATCGATCCTATCTGAGCCTTAATCAGAGCAACATGATCTTGGGATAATTAATGTATGATTAATTATATAAATGTGTGTAGTCCCAATGAAGTATTAACATCGAAAGTAAATGTGTTTATGAGTTATAATTATGCTTATAATAATCCACTGATGTATCCCATATTATGGTGATATCGTCATATGAAATATAATCACTATCATGCATGCTAAACCTGTGTGTTAAATAATAAAGTAATCGGTAGACATCTTTGACTGGAATAGCTGAGGCCTTATATTATTTCCTTCAGACTTATTCTCAATTACAGCAGTAGTCAATACTCATTTACAACAATATTTTTTTACTTTATTTTACTACATCGTTATTATATTATTACTTTACTTCTATTCTACCTCACTTTATTTTTATTTTATCTTTATTCAATTATTATATTTTTACTATACTTTTATTTTACTCTCTCTATAATTTTCTATTCTACTTCTACTATCAACACCAGTTACATGTAATAAAAATTTTCACTTGACTTTCTTTTCTTTTCCTCAAAAAATTATTTTAACTAAACATTTTTGTTTATAAAAGGAACAACCTTTTCAATCAATAAAATTATTATTCTATTCTTGATCTTATTTATTTTTGTCCGTTATTATCATTATTCTTCATTCATATACAGTGTCCTTGTTCTTTGGAGTGTTGTCTGTCGATTTTGATATATTTCATTTCTCTGTTTTTTCTTTTCTGTCTTTCTCAGACTTTGTCGTTGTCACAATTTCCATTTTAATCTTCTCCCTATTTTTTCTACCTGTCTGTCACCAATTCTTACCTGTCAAATTACCTATTCTTTTCCATTCTTATTGTATTCTTCTTCTTGTATTTCGTAATTCACATTACATTTATTTGCCAAGTGATACTGTTACAATTCACAACAAACAAACACATCATGCGCCAAGACTTTCAATATTGTTGTTGTTTTTTCAGTGTAACAATTCTAAAAATATAGAAAGATTATAAAAGAGTTGTGAATATATATAAAATTAAAGATTAAATATAATTAGAGTATGTAACTTATATTTAATGAGATGATTGGATATGACTTGGATATTGATATATGTGAATATATATAATGTAATAGATCCAATGCTATTAACTAATATCAGAGATAGATAAGATGTTATAGGCTAATATTAGTGATAAATCAAATGTTATTGGTTAATATTGATTATAAATTATATTTTATTAACTTGTATAAATAGTGAATTGGATGTGATAAATATATATATAATACAGACTGACTGTTATTGATTTACATATATATCAGATATATTATTATCAGTCTATATATATCAAATCAATTATTATTGTTCTATATATATATTAAACACTGCAAAAACAAATCAATTTTGCATATATAAAGTATACCTAAGTTCTGATAGACAGAATAGATAAAATTGTAGTTCAGCTCACTTTTGTGAGTAAAGTATTTGAATAGTATTTTAAGCTACTCTATTGGCTACTGGCAGCTGTGTAGCATTAGAATGCAACATCAAACTCAAATAAAATAAAAGTGTGTTTTCTTTGAAGTCTTTTTCTTTACTATTAAATACTATTGTAAACCTTTCTTTTTATTTTAAAATGGCTCCTATTCGCAAACCAACTGTTAGAAAAGAGTGTTGATGCTCTATCTGTAAAAGCAAGACACTAGGATTCGATTGTGTATCTGTTAAAACATTTAAACATCATCAAGAAAAAGATAATCATGATATTACACATGTTCAAATGCGTATGGTTAATATATTTGCTTTACTTTACTATATTTTATTTTATTTCATTTTATATCATTTCCTTTTTTATTATTTTATATAATAATAATAATAATAATAATAATAATATTAACACTAATAATAATAAATGTGTAGCCCATGCAGACACATGCGATATAATTAGTAGTGCTGTTTCTGAGCCTGTAAATCAAGAAAAAGATAATTTTGAATTTGAACAGGAAGATGTTGAAATGAATTCTGAGCTTAGAAGTAAGAAAACTTATTTTATTACATTGATTTATTTGAGTCTAAAATTCTGCTTTTGTAGACCTAAATGACACAAATGACATTTTGGATATATGGACAAGAAACCAACCTTTCTCTGAAACAGATTGTGTGTTTGGCCCTGAAGATAATGTCTAATATACAAGTGACACTTACGAAGAAGAAGAAGAATATGAAGATGAATCCGATGTTGAGATGGACAATGATGAAGGTAGGTACACAGCTTTAGATAATATTATATCTTAGAAAGTAGAGAGTTAATCAACGTTCTTTGAAAAAAATCAAATTAAAGATTCTTCATTGGAATCAATCTCGGAATTGAATTTGATTCACCAATTCATTGTTATTTCAGTTGCTCTTTTTGTCTCACTATACGTCGTAGATGAAGGAGCTGTAATCCTGATTGCCATAATCAACAAGATCCTGCAGTTTTTGTTTGACTCATTCCACCTTCCTGTGAGTGTTGCTGACCTCAAACGTTTGGCCGGATTTGAAGTGTTGACAAGTAGTGTCAAGAAGTATGTTGCATGTAGCAAATGCCATGCCATATATGATAATGAAGCCGCCCCTTTGTGTTGTACATCACCTAATTTTGATAAAACCTCCTTGTGTGGCAACAGCTTGTTTAAGTCTGGTCCCAAGTCAAAAGCACCCAAAAAGACATATGTATTCCACTCCGTCAAGAAAGCCCTAAAGACGTTTTTTCAATGCCCGGATTTTGAAAACAAGATCAACTCATGGAACTGCGGCCCAAAAATGAATAGCACTTTTGTTTGACGTGTACGATGGTGCGATGTGAAATGATATAGTAGACATAGATGGTATACCTTTTGTTAATACCGAGCGATCACTCATGCTCACGCTGAACATTGACTGGTTTCAGTCATTCGATGGTGTTATCTACTCCTGTGGTGCCATATATCTTGCAATCAATAATCTTTCACGCAGTGAGTGGTTCAAGAAGGAGAACGTGATTCTTGTTAGGTTAATGCCAGGGCCTAAAGAAGCGAGCACTTCTGACATAAATAACTATCTGAAACTGCTTGTGGATGAGTTGATGGAGCTGTACAAAGGTATTAAGATTAAGACTCACCAATGTCCAAATGGTACTTCTATCCAAGCAGCCCTTCTCATGGTTGCCTGCGATATACCTGCTGCAAGGAAAGTATGTGGGTTCACATTCCATACAAGTACAAATGCATGCCACAAGTGTAAGCATCAATTTTCGAGGTTGGCTGGAACGAGTTCCATTGATTATTCTGGATTTGATTTCTCAAAGTGGCTCCTTCGCACTAAGAATGACAATCATAAGGATGCAGAGATCTGGAGAAATGCAACCAAACCAACTGAGAGACAGTGTCTTGAAGTTGCACATGGTGTTCGCTGGTCCGAACTGCATTGTCTTTAGTACTTTGACATTGTCCACTGTACGATCATTGATCCCATGCACAATCTTTTCTTAGGCACTGCCAAAAGAATGCTGGAGAGATGGGTTGCGGATGGATTAATCGACGGTAAAAAACTCATTGCCATGCAAAAGGCTGTTGAGAAGGTAGTGTTGCCGCCCGATTACACATCACTTGGGACAAAGATTGCCAAGGGATTTCCCTATATGAAGGCTGATGAGTGGAAGTCTTAGTGCCTTGTGTACTCTCCTGTGGTTCTAAGGGATGTGTTGCCGTTGCCAGAGTTCAAGAACTGGATAGAGTTTGTTAACGCATGCAGATACTTCACCAAGCCTAGTGTTTCTGAAGAAGACATTGAGAAAGGATACAAATGCTTAGAAGAATTCTGTAAAGGGTGTGAGACATTGTACGACCTGGATCTTCTCTCTCCCAACATGCACCTGCATCTGCACTTACACCAAACAATGATTGACTTTGGGCCTGTCTATGGATATTGGCTTTTCAGCTTTGAAAGGTACAATAGTGTCCTGAGAAATATCAAAACCAATTGAAGAAATGGGTTCGAATCGACATTTATGAGACAGTTCATTGAAGAGTCGTGGAAGGGAGATTTTGTTTATTAACTTCTGAAACCTATGCATGCACTTGCATGTTTTGAAATTTTTGATAAGTTCACCACCAACAACAACAACACCAACACCAACACCAACACCAACACCAACACCAACACTAACACCAACACTAACACTAACACTAATACCAATACCAACACCAATACCAACACCTACCTCTCTTACTCTTTCTCAATTTCCAAATATCTTGAAGCTTCACAGAATCTTTCAATGACAATTCGTGAAAACGAGCCCCTGCCACCATCCGCCTTGCCATTGAAAACAAGACCATTATCATTTATGCCAAAACATGAATATGATTGTCTTGTAGAATACTATCAAGCTGCGTACAAGAATCCACAGATCTCAGGTTGCAAAGATGTAATTGATGACTCACCTTTCGTCAATAACTGAATCGAAATGGTGAAGTCTGTTGATCTTCTTGAGCAAAGCTACAAAGGGTGCATTGGCACAAATGGCCATGGATCATACATACAAGCATATTTCACTGAACGAACTGGGTTGGAACATGCGTATGTTGAAGAGATTCAGTACCTTTTTTGTTCACAATTTTAGGCCAACTGTTTCTTCTCTAACATACAGAAATCCCCATAGTAGTCAGCATGTATTTGCATTTGTCAAATGGTTCAAATCCACTTCAGACAAAACAAGAGAATTAGAAGGAATTGAGTTGTTACAGAATGAATTCTACAAGCAAGATTTTCAAAGCATCCTGCCAGTACATCGGATTCTCCTAAAAGTTGCAATAGTAGATTACAAAACTACAAAAAACGTCAACAAAAAACTCGCAATTCCTTTACCAAAAAAAAATTACTATTAATTCTCATACACACACTTACTTATATATTTATCCTCTATTATTATTATTTCCTTTAATCAATTCAATTTCAATTATTACTATTTGGCCCTACAACAGAATATAATAAAAAAGAAAATGTTTATTTATTGTTGATTGCCCAACGAGACAATGACTGGGACAGGGTGGCAGGAACAGAGCAAGGCAACAATGTTGCTAGATATCTGTTCATTCTTGGCTTTGTTCCCACACCCGCATTTGACACGTGATGGGTATGATCAATGTCATCAACCATTGTCAACAATCTGTTGAACTGTATTTATTTTTATTAGTTCTTTATTTTTCTTGTTATAAAACTTATTTATTTATTCTAGATATTATTTACCTCTTCACTTCTCCAAGTGGGGCAAGCCACATGCAAACACCGTCGTGGAAGATTGTCCACAATCTCAATATCCGATTCACCATCAGACATGGCATCCTTCTGAAAGAGTTTGAGATAGGTCTTCTCAACAGAGTTTCCAGTCTTATATCCCATTGCAGCATCAATGGCTACCCAGTTGTCCATGTATGTCGACTTGCGTCAGATAAACATCTGGTTATATAGATTGTAGCTTGAGAAAATAGTAATATACCAATTAATTTTTTATATAGTATATACAAACCTGAAGAGTACGACTGTTTGCTCTCCCCTTGCTGTTTTTCTTGGCCTTCTGCTCAGGAGACTCGTGAAAAGTACAATGACTGTGCTTGTACCTGTTCTTTACTTTATCACTTATCACCCATGGGTGAGTACCGGCTAGACGAGTCTGGGTGCTAATGTAGCTCTTCAAGTAGTTGATAACAGCTACGTTATCGTGGTGGTTAATTGTCTCGTTCAAGTTCTACTTCTTCTTACTCTCATTCTCAGCAACAAGAGCAGGGTCGTCAGACTCGAACTTCCAGTCCCACAACTTTTCCGCAAAGATTTCCTAAATACACACTAGAAAAACATACGGGAATTACCATGTACAAAGTTAAATTATAACAATAGAAAATCTGGGATATTTTTTCATCTCAGCTTTTTTTGTGTGTTCAAGATGAAAACACTGTTTTCCAGTTTTCTATTGGCTTGGATACAATAGACGAAAATATTATTTATTATTATTATTATAAAGACATAACATTTCATTATAAAGACATAGTAAATTTAGTAAACGTTGTACTTGTTTCCTTTTTCTCTTAACACTTCAAAGTAAAAATAAATAAACATTATGTCCACAATTCCTGAACTCTACAACGAAAAGTGCCATTGTGCTGGATGTAGTCAGAACGATCTCGGCTATAGTTTTGTTGCCAGAAGAACTGCTCAACGTCATAACAAAAGGGCAAGACTAAATGCCATAAGATGTGAAAGGGGTACAATATTTGAATTTATTTAATTGTATTGTAATCCATGAAATAACGTGTTGTAATAGACATGTCTGCCCAGAGAAATATGATGGAGGTCGATGATGAACGTAAGGTTTATTTAATTCAGATACCGTTAGATATTAACCAAGTGTTATATTCTAAATGTAGCTATCTTAACCCATCAACCCGGAGCCCTGGAAGAATCGTACACTCAGACAAACTCACCTGTTTGGGAAGGAGCTTCAATGTCTGACACTGAAGACGTTTCCGTTACTAATGACGCGATCAGCAATGGCGACAATGATGACAGTGGAAGCAACAGCAATGAAATCAGTGAAGACGAAAGCGAAGACGATGTTATTGAGCTCGACGACAATGAATTGAATAGTGAAGGTCAGTTAGTGTTAAAAATTTTTTTAAAAAAAAAGCATTAATTTTTTTTTATAATAGACCCTTTTGCCACCCCCGATATGCCCCAGAACCCAGTGCACAGGTTCATTGCTACTTTTGTGGTGATGTTCGCTTCCCGCTATGTGGTTGACAAGGGCGCCGTTGTCTTGATCGAGTTCATCAACAAGCTTTTGACAATTTACGAGCAGGATTTCCAACTGCCCTTGAGCCTTCCTGGTCTTCAGTGCATGACAGGTTTCTCAGCCATGACCAAAGGCATAAAGAAATTTGTTGTGTGTCAGGATTGTCACAAGGTGTACGAAGAAAGTGCATCTGTCCCGTCTCATTGCAATTTCGTAAAGCTTGGTGCACGCTCGTCTTGCAACTGCCAATTGACGAAAACATCAGCATCGGGTGCTTTGGTGGCCAAGCGTTCATACTTGTACCAGTCCGTCATTAATACTTTACGAATGTTTTTTCTTCATCCAGGATTCGAGGATAAAATTAGACATTGGAATCACGAGCTGAAGATGGTGGATACAATGTGTGACATATACGATGGTGCCATGTGGAAGGAGCTCAAAGACAAAGATGGCGTGCAATTCACAAAGGATTTGCGTTCATTAATGTTGACTCTCAACATCGACTGGTTTCAACCTTTTGATAACGTCACGCACTCGACTGGTGCCATATACCTGGTAGTAAACAATCTGCCTCGCAATGAAAGATACAAGCCAGAGAACACACTTCTCATAGGATTGATGCCTGGCCCGAAGGAACCCAAATCCGAAGAGATAAACCATTATCTCCGGCCTATGGTAGATGATCTGATAAGATTGTATGAGGGACTGGCAATCCCAACTTTCGAGTGTCCTAGTGGTGTCCGCGTCCATGCCGCATTGATGATGGTGGCCTGTGACATCCCAGCAGCAAGAAAGACAAGTGGTTTCACCTCGCACAACAGTACATGCACATGTTACAAGTGCAACAGACATTTCCCTCGCTTGGAAAACGGTGTCAATGTTGACTTTTGTGGGTTTGACTTCTCTCGGTAGGTGCTTCGTGACGGTGTAGAGAACAGGTTGCATGCTGAGGAGTGGGAAAGTGCTAGTACCCCCTCAGAAAGGCATCGGCTGGAGGTCGAAAATGGTGTTCGATGGTCGCAGTTGCATCGCCTTGGATACCTTGATCTAGTACGTGGAACGATCATCGATCCCATGCATAATTTATTCCTGGGAACGCCTAAAAGATTGATGGATCGTTGGATCAAAGACGAAGACATTCAAGATGGCGATTTTGCAGCAATGCAGAAGACTGCAGAAACGATGATTGTGCCTAGTGGATACACCTCTTTGAACTCGAAAATAGGAAAGCAGTTTTCGTATATGAAGGCAAACGAGTGGAAGTCATGGGTGCTCGTATACTCGCCAGTTCTGTTGAAAGATGTTCTTGCAAAAGACAGATTCGAAAACTGGATTAACTTTGTTGATGCATGCCGCCTGTTGATCAAGCCAACGATCACGTTCGATGAAATCAACACTGCCCATCAGTTTCTTCAAACTTTTTGTACCAGATGTGACGAGCTGTACAATGCCGAAATCCTCACCTGTAATATGCACCTACACCTCCATCTTCGAGATACAATTCGTGATTTTGGACCAGTGTATGGTTATTGGCTATTCGGGTTTGAGCGGTTTAACGGGTTGTTAAAAAATTGAAGACAAACAGGAAGATCAGGTTTGAAGAAACATTTATGAAGAAATTTATTGAAGATGTGCACAAAGACGATCTTGTCAACAGTTTCCTTCAGAGTACCCTCCAGACATCTGCATTTCCTCTCCTTACCAAACTCACTTCTTCCTTTACACCCGCCACCATTCCATCCATCCATCAACGTACCTTCCACATACAGTCATTTGTCGAGGCTTCTGAAGATCCAAATGTACTTGTAAAAGGCAACGAACCTCTCCCTCCTTCCGCATTCCCTCTATCATTAAAATCTGCTACCACAATGAGTGACATTCACTATGTTCATCTCTTACAATACTACAAAGTTGCGTACAACAATGAACAATTAGTTCACTTTCAACAAGCGTCGGAATCACCATACTTTGTCGACAATACAATCACCCTGTTGAAATACATCAACATCCTTGGGCAGGTCTACAAGGGTAAAGGTGAATCTGGAAGTCGTGGCTCTCTTGTACAAGCAAAGTTCATTGGAAGTACTGGTGAGCATATCATCGCATACATGGGTCAAATACAGTACATTTTCACCCATTCTTTCACTCCTCCACCCACCTCTTCATCCCTTATTCCCTTGCTCCACACCCATTGCCGCCCAACACAACTTCTTCACAATTCTCAACATACTTTTACATTTATCAAATGGTACACACCAAAAATGATAAATCGTGAGAGTACGAACATGTTGAAACCTGCTTTCCAACATTTTCTCCTGACGATTTCCAATGTGTATTGCCAGTGCATAGAATTATGTTAGAAGTAGCAACTGCTGAGCACACAACACGCAGAAAAGTAAAAAAGATGCTGGTCATTCCTTTGCCAAAAAAACAATATATTTAAAAAATAATAAAATTATAACTCCCTTTTTTAAAGACACACAGAAAAGAATAATCATAGTGTTTGTATTTGTTGGTACGTTTATCATTGTCAGATGGAGGATGTGGAGGATGTAGAGGATAAGAAAACAAAATTTATTGAAACTCATCTCTAAAAGCCCAGTGAGGGAGAAGGGACGTCAATCTAGGTGGGACTGCTAAAACAGCATCTCTACCGAAGGACCTCTTCAACATCTGACGCGAATTGAAGTCCATGCGATTACGCATAAAATCATCAACAACTGCAAGAAAGTGATTGTACTAAATACAAATAAGTGATTAATCAAAGTTCTGTTTCATTTAAATCCATAAAAAACAAAAAAAAGCTATATATAATAATGTAAATGAAAGAAATTATCTCATCACTTCTCCAACTTGGACGCATTGTACGAATTGCACGGTTGCTTGAGACTCTAGGCATATTGTCTTCAGATTTGCCCTCAGACATTGCTTCTTTCTGTAAGAGTCTGTCGCAGCTCTTACCCACATTCACATCAATTTCAGCCTTGAATGTATGGTAGGTCAGTTCGCAACGGTCAAAATGCTAGTTTATAAATATATTAATATTAATACATTTAATTTGCAATCAAAACATACTTCTAACATACATTGGTCTCTCGACCTGCTTTTCTTGACTGAGAATTTGTCTTTTTGCACGCTTCATAGGATTCCTTGACTCGGCGTCTCATTCCACAAAAGTTTGTGTAGATACAATCGCTAATATCGGCCTGTCAAACACTAGTCCCAACAACCTTTGGAGCCAGGTATGCATGAAGGTCATGCATCAGCTGTCTGTTGGGTGGAAGTCTGTAATCAACATTAACATCCCAACTGCGCTTGCTGTCATTAGCTGCAACTAGTTCCGGCTTATTTGATTTGAAGTTGTGTTTCTTCAACTCTCCTCGGATAAGAGCCTATACTTAGTGTGAGATATTATGTTGATGAACTACTGTACATCTCAACACTTACTAAAACTCTAGTGCGATCCTGTTTACTAAGTTCACCAGCGTTTGCACCAGTAAGAACCACTGGACCAACAGAAGGAGCAACAGAAGGAGCAACAGAAGGATTAACAGAAGGAGCAACAGAAGGAGCAACAGAAGGAGCAACAGAAGGAGCAACAGAAGGAGCAGCAGAAGAGATACCAAAAAAAGCCTCAGAAGGTGTTGTATACCAATCCAGAGTAGAACCAATGGAAGAAGCTGCGAAAGGGACAGAAGCAGAAGCAGATATAGTGGTAGGAGCAATAACTGCAAGAAGTTCTCCAGAGGCATTGGCAACGCTATCAAGTATTTCCAATGAATCTTTGTTCCCCTTGATGACAATGCCAATGTTTGAATCCATGGTCTTGAGACTTTCCTCCATAGTGGTGAGCCTTCTTAAAAGCTTAGTATATTCCGGGGATGGAGCCGGGGCAATTGACTGACGATTGTTAACCATGGTCTGAAAGCTATCTAATAAAATGTTATACATGAGTTAATTGTTAATTATATTTGTTTTATATATCTATTCATTGTATATATAGAGTGTTATTAATATACAAAAGAAGTTAGGTGTTAAGCAAAAGAATAAAGTGTAGTTAATGGAAAGATGGTAAAAGTAAAAGCAAGAACCCATTTATTATATTACACTTGTTGCTGTAAATACTCAGGATTTCTTTAATACGCGTATCTCTATTAATACTTCCTGGAATTAACGGGGTGCAAATCGGCTTTGAACATGCTTTTTTCAACTCAATCCAATATATGATTTCTGTCTTTCGGCCTTTTGGCCCTTTGGTCTTTTGTTCTTTTTGTTTTTTTTTCATTTACAAGTTTTCTCTCTTTTCTCTCTTTCCAACATTTATTATATTCACAGATTTTCTTGGTAAGATATCTTATTCTTTAATATTATATATATATATATAACTAAAATGATAATAATTGTTTTCTATTACTACAGACACTCGCGTTTTGTTACCTTCTGATGCATCCCCTTCACAATGTCCATCCAGATTAGCTAAGGTTAGTAAATATACTTTATGCCATCATCCTATAAAATTATTCTGACTTTTTCCTTTCTTTTGTATAGGCCATATCGCCGAAATTACTCTCTACTATTAAACACGGTTATGAACACGGTAATATTTTATTTTATTTCAATCTATCTCTTTTTAATAAGCACACGGCTTAACATAATTTCTATTATAGATGAACCTCCCTCTCATGAGCACATCGCGAATCAAGAACTTTCATTTCATACAAGTGTTATTGACATGGTAATTTTTTTTTGTACATATAACAATATTATTTATTTTGTATATTAATGTATATCATTTACTGAAGACAATATTAGCGTCTCCTATGTACTCTCTTGGTCTGCAAATAAATTCTTTTGCTTCAGGTAGGTAAATGAAATATTCTACCACACAGTTCACAAAAAATAAAAATTTTTCAGCATTTTTATAGCCAAATAAAGTATATTGAGTACTATGGTTCGCATTCATGACGCCTTTTCTTTTTGTCTCTGGTAAGCTATTATATTGCAAGCATAATTACATATATATATTCTTAATATCCACGATTTCTTGTTCAAACAGCTAACACTTTTCTAATTTCATAGAACAACCATTTACAAGCAAGCAACACACAACTGGGCTTTTCTCTGGGAGATATTGTTTGGAGAATACTTGTTTTATCAGAACATTGGCCATTTCAAATTGTATGAAGGATAGAACACTAGCCAGAACGTTCCTGAATATTAAATATAACTACTGTACTATAAACCTAAGAATATTCTTTTCTTTCTAATAAAAACAAAATAAACCAATAATTATTATAAATAAATTAAAGATCGGAGAAGTGTATGGAAGCAAACAGTACAAGAAGAAGTCTCTAAGATTGGATAAAATAAATTCAAATACAACAAAACCCTGTAAAAACTGGCATATCCGTATAATCAATCTTTCATTTATCGTTCTTTTAATCGGAGAGCAGTAGGATATATTACAACAAAACGTAATTCTGAGTTGCCGTTTTAGTGCATGTGGTAAAAACCCATATACAGAAAATGCAAACACATCCTACTATCCTGCTGTTCTGACCTTTTCCTATGTTCGAAAGTTGGTCTTACCACCTATGAGTAAGCCAGCTTCATACACTTGTAAAAACTATCTGATCACATCGTAAAACCTGGTCTTTTCACATAATTAATTACAGTTTTACACATAAGAAAACCGCGCCTCTTTTCCAGTGACAGGTTGTTTAATAAGTTGTTGATACTAACATATATTAATATTAATTACCAAGATAATGACAGAAACCTTGGCATCACTGAGGGAGGTCTGGGGGACATAGGATGGCATCAGAGATGGTCCTAAACTAGCCATACCAGTCTGATTGTTGGTATAGGCAGTTGCAAAGTCTGCAAATGCCGTATATGTCTTTCCAGACGTGTCAACAACAACGCCCATCCTGTTTTTAAAGGCTGTCATGTTGCTATTGACAGCAGCAATGTCATCCTTGACACCGTTGATACTGTTGTTTACTTTGCTAAACATTTCAACAATTTCTGCGTATTGCTGATCTTGGATAGTTGTGGATGAGAAACTGGGGGCAATTTCTTGAGGTCCAACATGGCCAGCCAAAACACGGTTTGCAGAGGTAGATATACTTGCAGATGCTTTTCCTTTTCCTTTATGGTCTGTTTTTCTGCTGCTATTGGAAGACATTTTTTCTTTATTGTATTTTTATTAAAGTTTTATACATTAATAAATTATTAAAATAAAATAAATGTATGGGTTGAAATATATTTATTTTTGTTTAATCAAAGATATACATACAAAATAAGTTAATATAAAGTAGATTTATGAAATAGCTGAGAAAAGGAAGGGATTATATATTATTTTCTATAAAATCTTTTATAACCTTAAACAACTTCTTTAATATTCAACATAGAACTTAGTGTTACAATATAATTTCAGACTATTCATTTTATTACTATTGTATTTTACTAGAGTCAATTCTCATCTAAACTGCCTTCTGTTTGAAAGCCCACTTTTTTTTCTTCTTTTTCTTTATTTTTTTCTTATTTTTTTTTCCTGTTTCTTTTCCGCTTTATTTACTTTTATTTTGGTTGATATATTTGAGTTCACATTCTGGTAAGCAATTTGTTTTTATTATTCTATTGTTATATTTATTCTTAATGTTTTTTCTTTTATTATTATTGTGGTTGCTGATAGTATTACAAGTCTTTGCCGTGTTGATTAATGGACAAGAACAAATAGGTATAACGCGGTTATTGTGAATGTATTTCTTTATTAATTATTTTCTTTTTCTCTCCTCAGCTCATCATAAAGACATACCAACAGCAGAAATTTATCCGGTAAGTCTGAATAGTGTATTTATTTATTTTATTCTTATATCTAATTTTGTTTATTTTCTATCTTTGTTAGTACTGCCAACATTTCTATGTACTTGATTGAATGGCTTGTCTTTGAAAACCGGTTTTCTTTGGTAAGTAATAAAGCCAAACTTTATTCCATGATCTTTACTAATGCGTTTTATTAAACCTTTCAGAACAACAGTCAATGTGCAATATGCCTGGTTCTGACGAAAGTACTGGTAAGTAACCATATTATTTAAATTAAAGAAAAATAAATATTTATATAATCTAATATAATTGAATAATTTTTTAGCCTTCTCTTATTAGTGAAATACCATAAACACGTGTTTCTTTTTAGGATTCTATCATATTGAAAGTATTTATATATTATAATATATGAAACGGTTTGTTATTATATTAATTATGTAGTAGCCTATATATTAGATCAGACTATATATTGTCAAGCCGTACATATTATAAGCAAGAAGCTTTTTTTTAAATAAAAACAATTTTTCCAAAACAATCCCTATAAAAATATTTAAAATGAAGTGCAAGAAGTATTGCAGTAGTATGGCATGTGTGAATCCTATAGTTTAGTCATGTATAATTGTCCAATAAAAGTGTTTAGATTCAGAAGACAGTATACATAAATCCTGTTTCTTCTGTTAAATGATCCAATAGAATATTATTATTTCAGTAGACAGTTTTCTCTGTAAAGTAATCCAATAGAATTCTACTATTTCAGTAGACAGTTTTCTATCAAAAATAGATTTTTTATGGGAATCTCTGTTTCAAATCAAGTTTAATTTAATGTAACATCCAAAAAAAAAGATGTCATAATTTAATTATTCTCTCTGCGATTAAATAGTTTAAAAGAATCTTACATCTCTATATGGATCATTATAAGTTCAGAAGTTACATGGACAACTCACAGGTAACATAACATATTGCAAACGGAATCTATAAATGCCAAATTTCAGAATTTAATTATTCTGTTACTCAGAATTTCCTATACTATTGCATATGTATAGAAATCTAATTCCCCAGTGAAAGCTATTATCATTAGTCTATATATATCAGATCAGTTATTATTCATTTATATATAGTGCCAATTAGCTATCAATAGCTCATATATATAGTATATCTACTGTTATCAGCTTATATATATATTGAATTAACTGTTATCAGTTTATATATATATTAGATCAACTATAAATATGTCATATATACAGTTTATCTGTCATTTTCAGCTTATATATAGTATATCAGCTATCAACAACTTATATATATAGCATATCGGCTATTGTCAGCTTATATATATATCAGATTAGCTGTTATCTGCTTGTATATATATCAGATCAGTTATCATTTATTTATATATATACTAGATCAGAAGTGCTCAGCTTATATATGTATGAGATTGACTGTTATCAGCTTATATATGTATCAGATTGGCTGTGATCCACTTATATATATATCAGACTGGATATCATATGTTTATATATAGTGCAAATTACCTTTCATTAGCTTATATATATGCAATTGGCGGACAACAGCTTATATATATATCCAATTAGTAATTAACAGCTTATATATATCAGATCAGCTGTCATCAGCTTATACACTGGTTTTATCCATTCAACTGTCGCCTATTTCCATCTAATTAGCATCCGTTTCCATCTAATTAGAACTCATTCACATCTGATTGGCTTCTATAGCAATTGAATTTGCTCCCATTGCCAACTGAATTTGCTCCCCCCCTTTTACTATTGGCGGAAGGGTACATGGCACTCAAATTTTTTATCTTTATGCCTTACAATTTTTTTATATAACTATAGTATTTTTTTTGTAAACGTCATACTTTTTTTTGTAAACGTTGTATTTTCTTGGCATAAAACATGGATATTTTTATTAGACATAATTAGTTGATAGAGAAATAGAACACATAATAAGAAGTAAGATATAATGAAATACAAAGTAGTAAAAACAGAAAAGTATAAAGTAGTAAAACAAATAAAAAAAAGAGGGATATAAAGTGGTAAAAAAATAAGAAAAAGAGGGACATAAAGTAATAAAAAATAAAAATAAAATAAAAAAAGACATAGAGTGTAAAGAGCTTAAATAAAGATATCAAAGACATACTTAAAGCTTTTGCTCTCTGTTTAAACAGCAAGAAAAGAATGAAATAGCATGGTTGATCCAACCCAAACAGTCCGAAAGGGTGACAGTCTTAGCTGATTCTGTAATCCTTAAGATAAGATCATCTGACTCTGCAATCTCTTCTCTGCAGACATCTAACTTGATCTTGGACCACATTTTCTCAATTGGATTCAGGAAAGGTGAATACACAGAAAGATATGCCCACTTGTACCCACGGGAAGAAATAAAGTCTTTCATCTCATCAGCCTTATGGATAGAAGTGTTATCTATGATGAGATAACATTCTTGCATACTCTGGCTGTCCAGAACGTCCATTGTATGACTAAGAAAGTTGAGGTAGTGCTGGGTCCTGGTATCAATTTGGCCATTCACCTCAACATTGGTGTATATGTTCAACTTTCTCTTCTTCTTGGTTATGACTGCAGTGGGTTTCTTCAATGAGAGGCTGACAATCCCTCTCTCGCACATTGCAGCAAGGATGGTGATGGACACACCTCTCTGCATCGGGACAGTTGTCTTGGCTGGGGTGCCACTGACAGAACGGCCAAAAGTTCTCTTGATATGCATGTTGAAGCCTGCTTTATCAATGAACACACAGTTTGACAGATAGTTGAAATCTGCAAGTTGTTGTCACTCCAAAATGGGGTCTTGTCTCATCTCAATTGTGCTGGCGTTATCTCTCTTCTCAGGCAGCTTCTCCAACTTCTTCATTGTCAGGACACACTTCTTCACCAAGTGCTTCTGGATTGCTGATTTGGTAATCTGCACCCCAGAGAACTCTTCCATGACAGCTATCCTTGCTTGTTTCAAGATAACATCTGATTTATTTTTGAAAACTTCAAAAGAAAAGCAGAGTGCACAGGGAACAACTTTTGGTTGCCATGTTTTCGTTCTTTAGACGCAGAAACCTCCTCAACCTCCATCGTCTCCAGCCCATTGGACTCATCAGTCTCCACCATGGCAGCATCAAAATCGGCCTGGATTTTCTCTCTGGGCAGTCCGGACATTGATGCCTGTTTCCCTGGCAGCAGCAGCAGCAGTCTGGTTCTCCAAAAAAAAACAAGGAGAAGAACTTGTTCATCTGGTTTTGGTTGTACTTTCAGTACGAACCTCGACCTATGCTTTCTGCATTGGAAACTGAATTAAGGTCGACCTTTTCCAGCAGATTCGTCTTTGGCTTCTGTGCAACAATGGTTTTGGTAGTAGCCTCGTTGACTTCAGTTGGCAAAAAACTTCTGAGACTTAGGAGGCTTGTAACTGCTGGGTTTCTGTCCAAGGTACAGGTCCATTCCATATTGGCATGGTTGACAAAGACATCTGTCACAGATCGGAGTACAACTTCTCCATGCATTTCGTTGACAATCTCTTGATTGAAATTGCACAAGGGGTTGAAAGCAATTCCAGAAAACTGGGTTTGGTCTGCAGAACCGCTGTGACTGACCATTTCACAGTGCTTGTCCATAACAGATTCGAGGGAGTTGTTGGAAGTAGGCATTTTTTTTTGAAAATAAAAAGGGTGTTAAAATCGAGGAAGAAAGATAACTGAGAAACTTTTATTAAGACACTGGGGTATATATACCAAAAAAAAAATTTAATATCTTAAACGTTTCTATCAAGATATAGTCTTGTCCTGTTGTTTTAATATATTTGGATAAAGAACGTGTTGAAGAATAATGAATGTTTACATATTAAGCTTCTTCACACATTTAAGAACATTTATTTTATTAGCCAATTTACAGTGCTACCAGAGCCTTTCTGGTGTCCTGTCCTCTGTCTCAAAGGAAGGGGTAAAATTTCTTCTCATGGGTTTACCCAACCAAAAAAAAATAAAAATAAAAAAAAGTTTTTTTTTGTATAGAGCCAAGGAAAAGCTTGAAATTCAGTTATTGAGATTTTCAGTTTTTCAGAAATTTCTGCGGTTAGATACCATTTTATTTTCAGTTATTAAGATTTCACTGGAAAAACACCCCTGAATATACTAGTGCTGAAATAATTCAGTAATAGTGTATATGTAGAGTATATTTCATCTCAGTACCGCTTTTTGTGTTCAAATAAAAAAAACCTGCTTTTACTACATTCTATTGGCTCGGATATAACAAGCAACAAAAGTTATTTTATTTATTACTATAAAGTCTTCGTGAATAGATAAATGTAACACCTGTTTCCCTTTTATTTCATTATTAAAAAAACACAAACATCATGTCTTCTACTATCGAACAAAACTTTGAAGAGTGCTATTGTACCAAGTGTATTAAAAATTATAATAGATACATCTTAGTGTCAAAGAGAACTGCCCAGTGTCATGGCAAGAAAGCAGCTTTAAAAGATGCTATCAGAAGTGAACTTGGTATGTTATTTATAATATAAAATTTGCATTTTTATATACTAATAGCTTTTATATTAAACACTGGTGCGCAGAGACATGTAATGAACATTGATGTGGAGTGTAAGACATTTTTATTTGGGTATCAAAAAAAAACAACTTTCTTATTATATTCCATATTTGTAGCTATTGTAGTCCAAGAATCTGAATCCGTAGAAGTTCTTGCACGTCAGTCTGACTTACCCGTTTTGGATATTTCCCCTATGTCAGTTAACTATGAGGTCGATGTCAATTTCAATGACATGGACTTTGAGTATGAGAGCAATGAGAATGTCGAAGATACTGTTGATATTGATGTTGAAGAAGTTGACACTGAATGTTCATATGAAAGTCAAAAAAAATCTAAAAAAAAAAGTCAAAAAAATTAATATTTTTTTATATTTTTAAATAGACATGTTTTCAAACAGCAGTATGCCTGAGAATTCTGTACACAGATTCATTGCAACATTCACTATACTATTTGCATCCCGCTACATAGTCAACAAGAGTGCAGTTGTCTTGATTGAGTTCATCAACAAGCTTTTGAAGATTTACAAGCAGGACTTCCAGCTTCCCACAAGTCTGCCTGGTCTTCAGTGTATGACGGGATTTTGTGAGCTCTCCAAGGGCATAAGACGATTTGTGGCCTGCAAGGATTGCCATGCAATTTACAAAGAAAATCAATCTGTCCCTCCTCGCTGCGTCTTTGTAAAGACAGGTGCTCATGCAGCTTGTAACTGTGAATTGACAAAGAAATCTTCGTCTAGTGCTTTGGTTCCCAAGTATAGTTTCCATTACCAGTCCATCAAAAATGCGTTCAAGATTCTTTTTAATCATTCAGGCTTCAAAGAAAAGATATGTCAATGGAATACAGAGCCAAAATTAGTAGACACAATGTGCGATGTGTACAATGGTGCAGTTTGGAAAGAACTCAAGGATAGTAATGGTGCTTCATTTGTTGAGCAGCCTCGTTTGCTGATGCTGACACTCAATATCGACTGGTTCCGGCCGTTTGATAAAGTTACATACTCCTGTAGTGCAATCTACTTGGCTATTAACAACTTGTCTCGCAGTGACCAGTTTAAAGCCAAGAACGTAATCCTTGTAAGACTTATGTCTGGTCCCAAGGAGCCTAAAACCAATGAGATAAATAACTATCTTGAGCCAATGGTAGATGAGTTGATACAGCTGTATCGTGGGGTAAGAATCCCAACATTCGAGTCTCCTGCTGGTGAAGTGATTTGTGCTGCATTGATGATGGTTGCCTGCGACATCCCAGCTGCCAGAAAGACCAGCAGATTTACTGCGCATAATAGCACTTGCGCATGCTTTAAGTGCAACCATCATTTCACTCGCCTTGACAGCACAAACAAGGTTGATTTCCGTGGATTTAAAGAGTCTGAGTGGTGTCATCGTAACTGTGAGGAGAATAGGCTGCATGCTGAGAAGTGGAAGAACGCAGTTACCATCTCAGAAAGGCAGCATCTGGAAATCGAAAATGGTATTCGATGGTCGCAGTTGCACCGCCTTGGATACTTTGATCTAGTACATGGAACGATCATTGATCCCATGCACAACTTGTTCTTGGGGACAGCAAAAAGAATGATGGATCAGTGGATCGAACATGGTGTTCTTGGAGACAGAGATTTCATCGCCATGCAAAAGATAGCTGATAAGATGATTATACCAAGGGAATATACTGCATTGAAAAGCAAAATTGGCAAAAAATTTGCATTTATGAAAGCGGACGAGTGGAAGTTGTGGGTATTGATATATTCTTCTGTGGTGTTGAAGTCAGTGCTCTCATCCTTGCATTTCAATAACTGGATTGATTTTGTCCATGCATGCCGTCACCTTGTAAAGCCCAGCATTACATTTGATGATATTAATACTGCCCATAGACATCTCAAAAAATTTTGTGAAAAATGCAACGAAATTTACACCACCACAATCCTTACCTGTAATATGCACTGACACCTCCATATTCGAGAAACTATTCTCGATTTTTGACCAGTATATAGTTATTGGCTCTTTGCATTTGAGAGATACAATGGCCTACTCAAGAATATCAGCACAAACGGCAAGAACAGTTTTGAAGCCACATTTATGAGATGCTTTGTTGAAGATATATACAAAAGTGATTTTGTTAATTCTGCTCTCACATGTCTCACTCAAGCTCCCTTTCTTCCTGTCCTTTCCAAACTTGTCTGTTCATCCACACCTGTCCTTACCTCGCCATCTGCCTTCTCCACAATTGTTCAGCCACCATTCATTTTGCAAGCATTTGTGGATTCTTCTGAAACTACCAGAATTCCTATCTTAGGCAACGAACCTCTCCCACCTACATCCTTCCCACTTTCAGTTAGTAAATCTTCTTCAATAGGTGATATTGATTATCCCCATTTGTTGGAATACTACAAACTTGCGTACCTCACTCCTGATCTCGTCCATTATCAAAATGCTGCTGCCTCTCCATTCTTTGTTGACAATCAGATTATAAAGTTGAAATCAATCAATATTCTTGGCCAAGTGTACTATGGCAATAATGACACCACTGGCCACAGATCATATGTCCAATCATTGTTTCTTGGCAGTGATGAAAGTACAGAAACAACCTTCACTTGTCAAATCAAGTATATCTTCATTCATTTGTTTACTTCTCCTCCAACGTCACCCTACTATAAAGCCGATTCCACTCATCATGATCAACATGTATTTGCTTTTGTCAACTGGCTACTATTACTTGGAGATAAATCACGAGAGAAAGATGGAGTTGATATTTGTGGTTCAACACCTTTGCCATCAAACTATCATTCAATTTTGCCTGTACATAGAATCTCTTTAGAAGTAGCAATTGCTAATCATACAACAGGACTTGTCCAAAAAAAACTGGTAATTGCCTTACCAAAAAAGCTTTATGCTTAAAAAAAACAATAATAAATATCTTTTCTTTCTTTTCTTTCTTTTTTAAAAAAGAAAAAGTAAAGCAAATGACAATAACAAAAAAGGGCAGAGAAAAATAATTACTATCTCTATATAAATCGTCAGCATTGAGTTTGTGAAGATGAGAATAAATAAGATGAGATAAACAATGATTTTTATTATTTTTATTGTGGCCCATCTCTAAGGGTCCACGGAGGGAAACATAACGCGACATCATTGGGAACTGGTTTCTCAGACAGGCTGGCGAGATTTCTGTCTAACAACTGGCAAATGTTGTTACCCAAGTTTTCTTTCACAATCCCATCAATGTTGAAGATGAGGTTGTTAAACTAAAACCATATTTATATATAATATGTTAAATATTATTCAAATATAGAAAATTATTTCTTGCAAAATTATTTACCTCATCACTTCTCCAAAAAGGACGGGTAACCTTTACAATGTGCTTGCAAGGTCTCCCAGGAAACTCATCCTCTGACTCGCCTTCAGACATTGCTGATCTGATCATCAGCCTAGAACAGTTTCTCTTCATTAAAGTATCAATGACATCTTTGTTTAACACATATGCCATTATGCGGCAGTTGAAGTGCTGTAATTTTATATATATATTAATATTAATTCTATGGTTAAATTTGGGATGAAATATAAAACAACACTCACTTCAGTTTCTCTTGCAGCTCATCTTCCACAAGCGTTAGTGGCAGCTCGCACCATAGGATCTTCTCTGTTCTTATGAGTTGTGCTCCGGAAGTTTGTGTGCACCATAGTATGGAATTCGCTTGTTTTTATACCCTGCCCAACAAACTTTGGGAGCAGGTAACCAAGAAGATTGGCAACAATCTCCTTGTTAGGGCTTCTATTAAAGAAGACATCTGTTTTCCACCTTGGCTTTGCCTCGTTGGCACTGACAAGGGCAGGATCATTGGAAGTAAATTTGTCCCTCCGCATGTACTCTCAAATAAACTTCTATTTAACAAAAATGATTAATGGTTAGAATATTGGATATAGTAATACTTACAAAGACTTTGTCCTTGTTTTCACAGCTGATTTCAGAAGCAATACCAGCAGGAATTCTGACAATGGAACTGGCAGCAACAGAAGGATTATCAAAAGGAACAGAAGCAGATGTCTGGGATCCAATTCCTTGTCCAAAGCCAGCACAAATGGCTTTATGCATCGTGGTGAGTTCACCACATACATCGACCATAGATTTCTCCATTTCTTTCATCTTAGCTAAAAGATTTTTGTATTCATCAGATGAATTAGAAGCAATTTGGCGTATTCCAGTCATGATCTATAATATTAAATAAAGTATATTTTTTAGTTATTTAATTTTTAACTTTTAATTCACAATGTTTGATTTCAAATTAATGATTTATTTTTTACATACAAGCAAGTATGTATGTGAGCAAGTGAAGAAGTGAAAGAGAGAGTGTGTGTGTGTGTAAGCAAGAAGTGTTATGATATTCTAAACAACTTCTTTATATAAGTATACTAAATGGAACTGTAAATATATCAAAAGTATCCTCTTGTAACTTTGGGATGACAATCCGTCATTATATTATCTTTTTGGACTCAATTGGTTTTTTTTTCTTTTTTGTTTCAAACACATACACTTCTTTTCTTTTCTTTTTTTATCTTGTCTTTCCTATTTCCCGTTTTGTCCTTTTGTCTTTTTTATTCTTTTTTTTCTGATTTCGGTTTTGTTTCATTTTTTCTTGAATTCATTTTTTCTCTCTCTCTTTCCAACTTTTATTATATTCACGTGTTTTTCTGGTAAGACATATTTTCTTGGCAAAATAAAATACTTCCTTACAAAAAATAAAATAATTAATTCATTTCACTGCAATAGGCAAGCACACACTTACTCTGCCTCTCTTACATTTTTATATCCCTCCATTTTTCTTTGGTAAGACAATCTCTTTAAAATACTATATATATACATACAACTAAAAAATAATAATTGTTTATGTTGTCATAGACACTCGCGTTTTAACTTCTGATGCATCCTCTTCACAATGGCCATCCGGATTAGCCAAGGTTAGTAAATATACTTTATGCCATCATCCTATAAAATTATTCTAACTTTTTTTTTCTTTCTTATAGACCATATTGCCAAAAATACTCTCTGTAATTAAACACAGTCATGAAAATGGTAATATTTTATTTTACTTTACTTTATTTTTATTTACTTTTTATATTTATCTAAAAAAATATGACTTTTATTATAGATGAACAACCCTCTCTCAAACATGACATGCATCAAGAACTATCATCCCATGTTACCGTCATTGACATGGTAAGTCTTCTTTTTCTTTTATTCTTTTTATTTGTACTACAATATTATCTATGCTGTATATTAATGTAATACAATATTCTACTAGAGACTATATCACCTTTTGACAAGTACTATTGATGTTTACATATAAATTGTTTTGCTTTGGGTATGTAAATTAATTATTTTATTGCCTAATTTATCTGAATTAATTTCCTCTGATTCTTTTTATAGTCAAAGAAAATTGGAACAAACGCCATGTTTAACATTTCCAGTGTCTTTTTGTTAAACCAATTTGTTTCTAGTGTTTTCAATGTAAGTATATATTAAATATATATTAATTTGCAAAAATTACTGAAAAGTATACTATCAAAACTATGTAATTAATATATTGCCCATATTTTTTCAAAGGCTGTTGCATCCTAACAAAAAAGCCCATTATTTTCATTTTTTAGTGCTTTTTTTCATACAGCAATTCTCAAAATAAAACAGTATCAAGGAGCCTGCGGAAGAAGTAGCCAAAATATATAATACTATCACAAGACTATCAACCTAGAATTATTTTATTATTCTTTTTCAATAAACTAAAATAAAACCAAAACAACCCAATAATTATGGGATATCAAATTTACAAGAGTATGTTACAGGCTGAGAGCAATAAAGAGGCTTTTGTGATTGGATATATTTGAACAAAAAGTAGTATATAGGTATCTATACTCTAGTGTCAAAGATATGTGTAACTATAGTAAGGAGAACCCCATCAGATCCAGGATCAGCTTGCACTTTAAAGTATTTTAATAAAACTATAAGATTTACATAAACACCTATAGTGTACATACGTAATTACCATATGGAGAATACAAATTGATCATATCTGTGGTACCTTGCTTTGACATCACACTAGTGTTCAGCTCGTCACAAACCTAGTGTCTAAGATACTCTGCCCATAGTTTACAGGTCACCCAAATCCATGCATATTTTTAAACTAAACACATTGGTATACTCATTTCTACACATGTGTATGTGAGCCCATTTTTTCAGTGTTTTCCGGTGACAGTAATTCCCCAATCAGAAAAGCAAGTCACACATTTATTTTCATTTGTTTCATTTGGGCAAACTTTTATTACACGCTTACCCCTTAATATTTTTTTTCCAAACACACCTTTTTTTTACCGAATCTCAAAAAGGCAACCTTTAATATTGCTGCTAATTACAACAATTGCATAATTCCAAATTATATAGAAGCTGTCGACTCCTTTGACCTTTCATCTGAAGATGAATTTACAAATTGATTAAATGATATAGCTAAAAAACATGTCAATTGGGTTTATTATCAATCTTACAGTCATGAGAAGAACATGGTCTTCATTGGGAAGCCTCTTGAAAATCCTCTCAAAGTAAAGACAGTAGTTTACTTGTGTGATCATGCTGAAAAACCACAAGTGAAAAAAACTTCTCAGTCTGCTAAGAAATGCGTCAAAACAATCAAGTCCATCAAGATTGGTTGTTCTGCTAGTATCTATAAGCATATCATGACTGATGGTACTGTTTGTATCAAATACAACTGGCAGCACCCAAATCATGATCCGTTTAAGATTGAAGAGATCAGTCCATCAAGATTGCCAGATGAATTAAAACAATGGGTAGAAGAGCTTGTCAGCCAAAACATGGATTGGAAATCCATCAAAAACATGCTTAGAATGAGTGATGACAGACTTCTTGAAGTAAATATTATATAGTATATTTTGAGAGACTTTGCTTATTTAAAATTTCATAGCTTGAACAAGCTGGTAATAGATCTTCTTTCCCTTCTTCTCTTCTCATTGATTATTAATATGTGAGAAATGTTATCAATGCTCGAATGATGAAACTCTCAAGAAAACATGTGGATCATTATAAAAGTGTCAAACTGTGAGTTCAAAAGTTGAATGAAAGTGAAAATACTACTCTTTTCACAGTTCATAAGAATGGCCCCTTCCTTATTTTGTGGGTTTCTGAGTGGCAGAAAGAAGTAAATAACATGTATTATTTATATTTTATTCTATATATCTATTTATATATCTTATTATTGTATTAGTTTCTGGAGAATTCGGAAGAGTGGTACATTGACTCAACACACAAAACAAGCAAGTCATTCAATACTGTAGCTGGTAAAGGACCTGAAGATTGCTTTCTGTTTACGATTGTTGTGCAAAACCCTATCACCAATAAGGAATCGCTTGTCTGCTTCTTTATAGCTGATTATGAATATACCTCGACCTTGAGTGAATAGTTAACATGGGTAAAGAACACCTTTACATTAAAGGTGAAAAGAATAATGATTGACTGCAGTCCCATCGAAATTGGTGCAATTGAAGAAGTCTTTGGCAATAGTGTTAATATCCTGTTATGTCATTGGCATATTAAAAGAGCATGGGAAGTTAATGTAAAGAAGCATGTAAGTAGTATATTTATTTAAAATTGTGTATATCTCATATAATACTATAATATAGATTAAAGTGCAAAACTCAACACATGCTTCAAACATAGCTCGTAACAGTATTCATGCTGTATTAAGTAATATGATGCATGCAACAACTTCTGTTGCCTATGATATACTTTATAATGAATTTCTTATGAATTTTGGGGAATATAAGAACTTTATTTTGTATTTTAACAGAATGTGAGTGTGGAAAAAAGAATTATGATGCAAAGTATAGAGATTGATATGAAACTTTATTGATTATTAGCCTGTTTCTAATATGTAATATAAACAATAGGCTGCAACTTTTTACACCAATAATTTGATAGAGTCTTATTACAATCAGCTGAAGACTTTCTATCTTGGACATGCAAGATCTCTTCGAGTAGATAGACTTATTTATCTTCTGGCCAAAGTCTTGACTCTTGACTACAGACAAAAGAACATTAAGATGTTATATGAATTCTAATCAGTACACCTTATATGCCAAGAAGAGCAAAAAAGATAAAATATATACATGTTAGATAGCTATACTGCAATGGAAATGGTTGAGAAATTGAGTGATACTATATTCACTTGCAGATCATTTACAGTTGATTTTGTTATATACAACATTGAGCTACAGAATAATTTTCTGCAAAACTGCACTTGCCCTGATACTTCCAAGCTTTGCAAGCATATCTTTCTCATCAATCATATGCTAGACATTACCTACTCTTTGTGCCAAAGTCTTTCCTCCTCCTCTGCTGTCCATGTATCTAATACTGATACTAAACCAGTAGTTGACACTTCCCTTCTTTCTGATGAGATAAAAGCTGATATCATGAAGTATTGTCAATTATACTCTGTTGAACTTGACAGCAAAATAGCCGAGTACAAGAGAATGCCAAAAGACATGAGCCAGTTCTTAGATACATTGAAGTTTGCATACAACAAGCTGAAAGAATATAGCTCCTTCTCTCAATCCCGTCCACCTCGACAAACACAATTTTTTTTTATTATTTTGTTTTATTATCAATTATCAATTATATATTATCAACTACTATCTTTTTTTTATTTTATTTTTAATTGTTATTTTTTTTTTAAATTGTCTTTATAAAAAAATCAAAATCAAAGAATCTTTTAATTTGTGACTTTCTTTTCTGATTGGGGAATTAACAGTACTCCTACAAGATGCTGTCAATCCTGTTTTTCTCTCTCCTGATGTTGGTGCTCAAGGATGATCACAAAGCTAGAAGGAAGATAATGTTAGAGTTGATATTGTAGATAGAAATTCTTAAGTCAGATATCCAATCAGTTATTCCTTTTAACATATACCCTCAATATTATACTGATTGATTCCACTTTTTGTTAACCAAGACATATTATATCGCCTTCCATAAATGTAAAACCAATATGTCTTAGGTAAAATAATTAGATTAGATAGTTTCACTTTTAAGAAATCTGTATAAATACTCCAAGATTTATATCAATAAAAAGCATTCAATTCTCTATATTTTTATCTGTTCCTATTTATTCACAACGTCCTAGTTGGTGGTGATCTATTATCAAAACTTATACAAGTTAAAATAATAGAAAGATACACCCAGTCGAGACTTAACAAAAAGAAGAGTTATTATACTGTGGTTAATACTCAGGAAGATGTTACTGCGCATAAAGAGGTAATGTGGTTAACTATCTTTAGATTTTACAGATTCATCAAAATAATGTCTGAAATTTGTTATATGTAAAAAACAGACCAACCCAGATTAGAAGCGATCTGTTACAAACAGTGATTGCGCGGACCGGGAATCGAACCCGGGCCCTTCGCGTGGCAGGCGAAGATTATACCACTTAACCATCCGCGCTTTGATATTTTAACACGGGGTGTTATACAAATGTTCCGTTTACAACAATTTCGTTGTCCGGCAGTGCGGTGACTGCAGAATTCTTTATAATTCTAGAAAAATTATATTCTATTATTATTTGTTTAATTTTTCAATGGCGGCCGAGGCTGAATAGAAAGCAATTTTTCTATTTGTAGAGTAAAACACCAATAAGTACAACAAAAAAATATTATCCTATCATCAATAACTTCAGGCAATCATACATTGTATCTTATTTTTTTTTATTATATTTAACTAAACAAATCAACTCAGAATTAATATTATTTTTATTATATATTCTTACAAGCATAATTATTTTCATGATTATGGCTTAATAATTATTTTATTTTATTTGTACTTAATAATAGTAAAGAACAAATTATATTTAATAAATTGTCAATTATATAACTTTTATTATATTTTTGTTATAATTTTATTTATTTAATTATTCAATAAGTCAACTGCAAAACTATAAATATCGCAATACTTGTATTTAATAAACATTGATTTTTCTTTGTCTTATTTTCTGACAATAAGTTCTCTTAATATTTAATGCTGTTGATATTTTACTTATTTGATTATCTGAATATATTGAGTCAAGTCTATCAAGATTGATCAATAGTACTGTTTTTTTCTTATTTTTTTCTTATTGATTTTATTATCTTTAATTCTACATGTGGTATCCAGATACTTGAATGTTGGATTTATCACATATAAAAATATATTCATATTGGGATAGCGTAGAAGCTATCATCTTGTCAGTATAAAATATATATAAACAATTAAGTAATCAGTCCAATAATTATTATAGTTAGTACTATAGATAATATCTTAAAGATTATTAAGATAATTATATGATATTGCTGGGTAAACTGTGTCAGAGCAATATGGAGCTAAATTAGTAGGAAGTCTTAAAGCTCTAGTGTAAAAGAAAAAAGAATAGCTAAAAGCTAAAGAAGTATGATTTATTACTTGATGTCATAATTATAACATTAATACTAGTTAAGTAGTAAATATACTCTAATAACTAAATATAGTAAAAGAAGAAAACCTTAAGAAACTAAGACATAATATCAAGAGCAAATTGTGTTTTCTTATAAAAAGAGACATTTTTTATTTATGAATAAAGGACAACTTATATACAGTCTCAAAGTATTTCTATACATCTCTATTATCAAATTTATTATTTTTCTATTGTTTCGTACCTGAAATACCTCACTACATTCTCTTTTGAGTTTATTTTTCTCTCTCTTGTAAAAAAGAGAGATTATTTCATATTTACAAACCTATTCAAATCTCAAAAACCGTGATAACATATTATGTATCAACATTTATTACAAATACAAACACCACACACATCAAATATCATTATTGTGAATGAGTATTGATTACTGCTGAATCTCAGAGTAAGACTGAAGGATAAAATAATATCTTCAGCTATTCCAGTTAAACGGATCTCCCTTTATGATATTATCTAATACACAGATCATCATACACATAATTGATTATTTATTATTATCACCATGACATGAGATATACAAATACATATACATTATATATAGGACATTATTATATTTCATCTACATATTTCTTTTATTATACAAATACTTAATTGAGAAACTACAACTATAACTATTTAATATTATGAAACATTACCTGAGTATCTGAGTCGGAATACTAAAATATTACTAATAGCATAAATGCTCTTCTCTATCAAAACTCTTGGACTGATCTGACTGGAGAAGTATCATATCAATTGGTCTTTCTGGATCTTTCTAGAAGAACAATACTTCTGGAAGATGACTCATCATGATAAAGATTACTTAAGCACATACTGAATTACAAATTAGAAAAACGTATAAATATCAGTAGATGGTTCCGTATAGAAAAAGAAGGGAATTTTATCATTCTTTACTTTTCTTTTGAAATAAACAACCTAAACAAGTTCTTATAAATTCTTTTGTCTATATTATATTTTGCTTTATTTTCTCCCTACAACAGTCATAGCTGGCAAGCTGGAACTTAAACAAAAGAGGAGGTTCAAATCAATTATTCCAAAAAAAGAAAAGAGCAAACAAATCTCTTTTTGTAATTAATTACTTTGACCCTGTTGTGGTGGTTGAAGTTGAAGAAGTTTTTAAGAGGAAGAATTCAAGATTTGAAATTAGGAACGAAGATTCATGAGAACTTGTGTAGGTTTTGTTTATTGAGAAAGATTTTATATCAAAGTTTGACGAGGTTCCTACACTGAACTACTACTGCTATTCATATTGTTTTGGATTGGGAAAATTATATGACTGGGGTCAGGTAATCGATCCTATCTGAGCCTTAATCAGAGCAACGTGATCTTGGGATAATTAATGTATGATTAATTATATAAATGTGTGTAGTCCCAATGAAGTATTAATATCAAAAGTAAATGTGTTTATGAGTTATAATTATGCTTATAATAATCTAATGATGTATCTCATATTATGGTGATATCATCATATGAAATATAATCACTATCATGCATGCTAAACCTGTATGTTAAATAATAAAGTAATCGGTAGACACCTTTGACTGGAATAGCTGAGGCCTTATATTATTTCTTTCAGACTTATTCTCAATTACAGCAGTAGTCAATACTCATTTACAACAGACCCTTACTTACATTTTCATATAGCAGAAACAATAATTCAATTAACATTCTTACAGATGAGACATCATATCAAATAAGACCTCAAGACAAACATTTCAAATAATCAGTATCAATATCAATAGCAATTATTCATAATAAAATCATTTTTTATCTACTATATTATTTTGTCTGTTTAATTGTACTTCTTTAAGTATACTTTTTTATTATCAAGTGTACTTATTTGCCTGTTTTTATATTATCTGACTATTGATTTATCAGCTCAACACAATCCAATACAAATTGACATGTGTGGTGCTTGTGTTTATGGTAAATGTTGACAGATGATGTTATCACAGTTTTCGAGATTTGAATGAGTTTGTAGATGTGAAATAACCTTTCTTTTTTACAAGAGAGAAAAAGACAAACTCAAAAGAAAATGTAGAATTAAAGATAATAAAATCAATAAGAAAAAAATAAGAAAAAAATAGTACTATTGATCAATCTTGATAGACTTGACTCAATATATTCAGATAATCAAACAAGTAAAATATCAACAGCATTAAATATTAAGAGAACTTATTGTCAGAAAATAAGACAAAGAGAAATCAATGTTTATTAAATACAAGTATTGTGATATTTATAGTTTTGCAGTTGACTTATTGAATAATTAAATAAATAAAATTATAACAAAAATATAATAAAAGTTATATAATTAACAATTTATTAAATATAATTTGTTCTTTACTATTATTAAGTACAAATAAAATAAAATAATTATTAAGCCATAATCATGAAAATAATTATGCTTGTAAGAATATATAATAAAAATAATATTAATTCTGAGTTGATTTGTTTAGTTAAATATAATAAAAAAAATAAGATACAATGTATGATTGCCTGAAGTTATTGATGATAGGATAATGTTTTTTTGTTGTACTTATTGGTGTTTTACTCTACGAATAGAAAAATTGCTTTCTATTCAGCCTCGGCCGCCATTGGAAAATTAAACAAATAATAATAGAATATAATTTTTCTAGAATTATAAAGAATTCTGCAGTCACCGCACTGCCGGACAACGAAATTGTTGTAAACGGGACATTTGTATAACACCCCGTGTTAAAATATCAAAGCGCGGATGGTTAAGTGGTATAATCTTCGCCTGCCACGCGAAGGGCCCGGGTTCGATTCCCGGTCCGCGCAATCTGTTTTGTGATATCTATTTTTTGTCATAGTCATTCCCAATCTGGGTTGGTCTTCCTTTTACTATAACAAAGTCAAAAGGCCAAACTCACTGGGGATCAAGAAGTATACGTAAAATCAAAGAGAGGATAAAAGTTATTTTTTATTGGTATGAATTGAATTATCTTATATAGTTTTCTGAACTAATACTGTGCATTATCTGCAGTAGCTATTATATTATATTTAAATAAAAGAAGAGATATTATACTGCGGTTAATGCTTAAGAAGATGTTACTGTGTATAACAAGGTACTATGATTAACCATCTTCAGATTGTATGGATTCATCAAAATTGTCAAGTCTCGATCTGGTATTTCTTTTCTAGCACTTGTAACTAAGTTGCAGAATCAATACCACTGGGGATTGTCAAGCTTATGAATAGTTTTTAGATAAGAATAAAGATGCTTTTTATTAAATGTATTTCTTGACTATTTATACAAAATGATAATTGATTTCTGGCTAAAAGAATAGCTATGATAATATGTCTTAGATGCTTGTTGTCTAGTAATATCTTCTACAAGTATGTTCACCATCTTAAACATCTAAAACATATGTGAAAGACCAATTAGCAAAGTCAAGATCTTTTATCCTAAAAAGTCAACCATTACTGGTTACCGATGTCAACTCTGACAAAATAATGTCTGACATGAGCACGCCAACATTTCCGACCTTTAAAGGTAAAAGAGTGAAGAGAGTGGGATTCGAACCCACGCCTCCGAAGAGATCACGGCCTTAACGTGACGCCTTAGACCAACTCGGCCATCTCTCCAATTACGTTTGATAAAAGTAATGCAACATATAGCAACATCAACCAAAAATGTATAATTGTTTGATGTGACGTCAACTTATGGACTGACTATTAAGTTATGGACAGTGCAAAGTCGTGACTCCATCTCCGGACATGACAAAATCCGATTTCTTGGATTTATTTTCTCTTTTTCCTTTTTTTTTTGCTATCGAAATTTAAATTCTCACTGGACTTTAAATACTTTTCCCATTTTTTCTATTTTTTTCCTTGATTATTATTTTTATTTTAGCTTGCTTCTCTAAGTATTGCACTTGTTCCTTTACACTTCTTGATATTACTTCTTTAGTATGCTTCCCAAGAGTTTATATTTTTTAGTAGTTTGATTATTTTTATTTTTGATTATATTTGATTATTTCCTTTTGTGATTATGCCCGAAGACCTGTATACTCTTCTAAATAATCATCATTTAGCATAAGATGTATCTAGATTGTTATCTTGTATGTAGTTGTCAATTAGTATATAAGAGAGACATTTTTATTCTAATAAAATTCACAGTTTTCCTTTATATGTTTTTTGAACATCGTCACTGAGCTTAAGCCATTGTCCTGTGGAAAATACTAAGTTGCACACTGTTAGAATCTACAAGTATTACTGCAAAAACAGATCAATTACACATATGTAAAGTATACCTAAGTTCTGATAGACAAAATAGGTAAAATTATAGTTCAGCTCACTTTTATGAGTAAAGTATTTGAATAGTATTTTAAGCTACTCTATTGGCTAATAGCAGCTGTATAGCATTAGAATGTAATATCAAACTCAAATAAAATAAAAGTGTATTTTCTTTAAAGTCTCTTTCTTTACTATTAAATACTATTGTAAACCTTTCTTTTCATTTTAAAATGACTCCTATTTGCAAACCAACTGTTAGAAAAGAGTGTCGATGCTCTATCTGTAAAAGCAAGACACTAGGATTCGATTGTGTATCTGTTAAAACATTTAAACATCATCAAGAAAAAAATAATTATGATATTATACATGTTCAAATACGTATAGTTAATACATTTGCTTTACTTTACTATATTTTATTTTATTTCATTTTATATCATTTCCTTTTTTATTATTTTATATAATAATAATAATAATAATAATAATAATAATAATACTAACACTAATAATAATAAATGTGTAGCCCATGAAGTCACATGCAATATAATTAGTAGTGCTGTTTCTGAGCCTGTAAATCAAGAGGAAGATAGTTTTGAATTTGAACAGAAAGATGTTGAAATGAATTCTGAGCTTAGAAGTAAGAAAACTTATTTTATTACATTGATTTATTTGGGTCTAAAATTCTGCTTTTGTAGACCTAAATGCCACAAATGACATTTTAGATATATGGACAAGAAACCAACCTTTCTCTCAAACAGATTGTGTGTTTGGCCTTGAAGATAATGTTCAGTATACAAGTGACACTTATGAAGAAGAAGAAGAATATGAAGATGAATCCAATGTTGAGATGGACAATGATGAAGGTAGGTACACAGCTTTAGATAATATTGTATCTTAGAAAATAGAGAGTTAATCAACATTCTTTAAAAAAATCAAATTAAAGATTCTTCGTTAGAATCAATCTCGGAATTGAATTTGATTCACCAATTCATTGTTATTTCAGTTGCTCTTTTTGTCTCACTATACGTCGTAGATGAAGGAGCTGTAATCCTGATTGCCATAATCAACAAGATCCTGCAGTTTTTGTTTGACCCATTCCGCCTTCCTGTGAGTATTGCTGATCTCAAACGTTTGGCTGGATTTGAAGCATTGACAAGTGGTGTCAAGAAGTATGTTGCATGTAGCAAATGCCATGCCATATATGATAATGAAGCTGCCCCTTTGTGTTGTACATCACCCAATTTTGGTAAAACCTCCTTGTGTGGCAACAGCTTGTTTAAGTCTGATCCCAAGTCAAAAGCACCCAAAAAGACATATGTATTTCACTCCATCAAGAAAGCCCTAAAGACGTTTTTTCAACGCCCAGATTTTGAAAACAAGATCAACTCATGGAACCGCGACCCGAAAATGGATAGCACTTTTGTTTGATGTGTACAATGGTGCAATGTGGAATGAGATAGTAGACATAGATGGTATACCTTTTGTTAATACCGAGCGATCACTCATGCTCATGCTGAACATTGACTGGTTTCAGCTATTTGATGGTGTTATCTACTCCTGTGATGCCATATATCTTGCAATCAATAATCTTCCACGCAGTGAGCAGTTCAAGAAGGAGAATGTGTTTCTTGTTGGGTTAATGCCAGGGCCTAAAGAAGCGAGCACTTCTGACATAAATAACTATCTGAAACCGCTTGTGGATGAGTTGATGGAGCTGTACAAAGGTATTAAGATTAAGACTCACCAATGTCCAAATGGTACTTCTATCCAAGCAGCCCTTCTCATGGTTGCCTGTGATATACCTGCTGCAAGGAAAGTATGTGGGTTCACATCCCATACAAGTACAAATGCATGCCACAAGTGTAAGCGTCAATTTTCGAGGTTGGCTGGAACGAGTTCCGTTGATTATTCTGGATTTGATTTCTCAAAGTGGCTCCTTCGCACTAAGAATGACAATCGTAAGGATGCAGAGATCTGGAGAAATGCAACCAAACCAACTGAGAGACAGCGTCTTGAAGTTGCACATGGTGTTCGCTGATCCGAACTGCATCGTCTTCAGTACTTTGACATTGTCTGCTGCACGATCATCGATCCCATGCACAATCTTTTCTTAGGCACTGCCAAAAGAATGCTGGAGAGATGGGTTGCGGATGGATTAATCGACAGTAAAAAACTCATTGCCATGCAAAAGGCTGTTGAGAAGGTAGTGTTGCCGCCTGATTACACGTCACTTGGGACAAAGATTGCCAAGGGATTTCCCTATATGAAGGCTGATGAGTGGAAGTCTTGGTGCCTTGTGTACTCTCCTGTGGTTCTAAGGGATGTGTTGCCGTTGCCAGAGTTCAAGAACTGGATAGAGTTTGTTAACGCATGCAGATACTTCACCAAGCCTAGTGTTTCTGAAGAAGACATTGAGAAAGGACACAAATGCTTAGAAGAATTCTGTAAAGGGTGTGAGACATTGTACGACCTGGACCTTCTCTCTCCCAACATGCACCTGCATCTGCACTTACGCCAAACAATGATTGACTTTGGGCCCATCTATGGCTATTGGGTTTTCAGCTTTGAAAGGTACAATAGTGTCCTGAAAAATATCAAGACCAATCGAAGAAACAGGTTCGAATTGACATTTATGAGACAATTTATTGAAGAGTCGTGGAAGGGAGATTTTGTGCGTTGACTTCTGAAACCTATGCATGCACTTGCATGTTTTGAAATTTTCGATACGTTCACCACCACCAACACCAACACCAACACCAACACCAACACTAACACCAACACCAAGACTAACCTCTCTCACTCTTTCTCAATTTCCAAATAACTTGAAGCTTCACAGAACCTTTCAATCACAATTTGTGGAAACGAGCCCCTGCCACTATCCGCCTTGCCATTGAAAACAAGACCATTATCATTTATGCCAAAACATGAATATGATTGTCTTGTAGGATACTATCAAGCTGCGTACAAGAATCCACAGATCTCAGGTTGCAAAGATGTAATTGATGACTCACCTTTCGTCGGTGACTGGATCGAAATAGTGAAGTCCGTTGATCTTCTTGGGCAAAGCTACAAAGGGTGCATTGGCATGAATGGCCGCGGATCATACATACAAGCATATTTCACTGAACGAACTGGGTCAGAACATGCGTATGTTGGAGAGATTCAGTACCTTTTTGTTCACAATTTTAGGCCAACTGTTTCTTCTCTAACATACAGAAATCCCCATAGTAGTCAGCATGTATTTGCATTTGTCAAATGGTTCAAATCCACTTTGGACAAAACAAGAGAATTAGAAGGAGTTGAGTTGTTACAGGATGAATTCTACAAGCAAGATTTTCAAAGCATCCTGCCAGTACATCGGATTCTCCTAACAGTTGCAATAGTAGATTACAAAACTACAAAAAATGTCAACAAAAAACTCGCGATTCCTTTACCAAAAAAAATTTACTATTAATTCTCATACACACACTTACTTATATATTTATCCTCTATTATTATTTCCTTTAATCAATTCAATTTCAATTATTACTATTTGGCCCTACAACAGAACATAGTAAAAAAGAAAATGTTTATTCATTGTTGATTGCCCAACGAGGCAATGACTGGGACAGAGTGGCAGGAACAGAGCAAGGCAACAATGTTGCTGGATATCTGTTCATTCTTGGCTTTGTTCCCATGCCCGCATTTAACACGTGATGGGTACGATCAATGTCATCAACCATTGTCAACAATCTGTTGAACTGTATTTATTTTTATTAGTTCTTTATTTTTCTTGTTATAAAACTTATTTATTTATTCTAAATATTATTTACCTCTTCACTTCTCCAAGTGGGGCGAGCCACATGCAAACACTGTCATGGAAGATTGTCCACAATCTCAATATCCGACTCACCATCAGACATGGCATCCTTCTGAAAGAGTTTGAGATAGGCCTTCTCAACAGGGTTTCCAGTCTTATATCCCATTGCAGCATCAATGGCTACCCAGTTGTCCATGTATGTCAACTTGCGTCAGATAGACATTTGGTTATACAGATTGTAGCTTGAGAAAATAGTAATATACCAATTAATTTTTTATATAGTATATACAAACCTGAAGAGTACGACTGTTTGCTCTCCCCTTGCTGTTTTTCTTGGCCTTCTGCTCAGGAGACTCGTGAAAAGTACAATGACTGTGCTTGTACCTGTTCTTTATTTTATCACTTATCACCCGTGGGTGAGTACCAGCTAGACGAGTCTGGGCGCTAATGTAGCTCTTCAAGTAGTTGATAACAGCTACGTTATCGCGGTGGTTAATCTTCTTGTTCAAGTTCCACTTCTTCTTACTCTCGTTCTCAGCAACAAGAGCAGGGTCGTCAGACTCGAACTTCCAGTCCCACAACTTTTCCGCGAAGATTTCCTAAATACAGGTTGTTTAATAAGTTGTTGATACTAACATATATTAGTATTAATTACCGAGATAATGACAGAAACCTCGGCATCACTGAGGGAGGTCTGGGGGACATAGGATGGCATCAGAGATGGTTCTAGACTAGCCATACGAGTCTAATTGTTGGCATAGGCAGTTGCAAAGTCTGCAAATGCCGTATGTGTCTTTCTAGACGTGTCAACAACAACGCCCATCCTGTTTTTAAAGGCTGCCATGTTGCTATTGACAGCAGCAATGTCATCCTTGACACCATTGATATTGTTGTTTACTTTGTTAAGCATTTCAACAATTTCCACGTATCGCTGATCTTGGATAGTTGCGGATGAGAAACTGGGGGCAATTTCTCGAGGTCCAACACGGCCAGCCAAAACACGGTTTGCAGAGGTAGATATACTTGCAGATGCTTTTCCTTTTCCTTTACGGTCTGTTTTTCTGCTGCTATTGGAAGGCATTTTTTCTTTATTGTATTTTTATTAAAGTTTTATACATTAATAAATTATTAAAATAAAATAAATGTATAGGTTGAAATATATTTATTTTTGTTTAATCAAAGATATACATACAAAATAAGTTAATATAAAGTAGATTTATGAAATAGCTGAGAAAAGGAAGGGATTATATATTATTTTCTATAAAATCCTTTATAACCTTGAACAACTTCTTTAATATTCAACATAGAGCTTAGTGTTACAATATAATTTTGGACTATTCATTTTATTACTATTGTATTTTACTAGAGTCAATTCTCATCTAAACTGCCTTCTGTTTGAAAGCCCACTTTTTTTTCTTCTTTTTCTTTATTTTTTTCTTATTTCTTTTTTTCCTGTTTCTTTTCCGCTTTATTTACTTTTATTCTGGTTGATGTATTTGAGTTCACACCCTGGTAAGCAATTTGTTTTTATTATTCTACTGTTATATTTATTCTTAATGTTTTTTCTTTTATTATTATTGTGGTTGCTGATAGTATTACAAGTCTTTGCCATGTTGATTAATGGACAAGAACAAAAAGGTAAAACACGGTTATTGTGTATGTGCTTCTTTATTAATTATTTTCTTTTTCTCTCCTCAGCTCATCATAAAGACATACCAACAGCAGAAATTTATCCGGTAAGTCTGAATAATGTATTTATTTATTTTATTCTTATATCTAATTTTGTTTATTTTCTATCTCTGTTAGTACTGCCAGCATTTCTATGTACCTGATTGAATGGCTTGTCTTTGAAAACTGGTTTTCTTTGGTAAGTAATAAAGCCAAACTTTATTCCATGATCTTTACTAATGCGTTTTATTAAACCTTTCAGAACAACAGTCAATGTGCAATATGCCTGGTTCTGACGAAAGTACTGGTAAGTAACCATATTATTTAAATTAAAGAAAAATAAATATTTATATAATCTAATATAATTGAATAATTTTTTAGCCTTCTCTTACTAGTGAAATACCGTAAACACGCGTTTCTTTTTAGGATTCTATCGTATTGGAAGTATTTATATATTATAATATATGAAAGGGTTTGTTATTATATTAATTATGTAGTAGCTTATATATTAGATTAGACTATATATTGTCAAGCCATACATATTATAAGCAAGAAGCTTTTTTTTTTAAATAAAAACAATTTTTCCAAAACAATCCCTATAAAAATATTTGAAATGAAGTGCAAGAAGTATTGCAGTAGCATGGCATGTGTGAATCCTATAGTTTAGCCGTGCATAATTGTCCAATAAAAGTGTTTAGATTCGGAAGACAGTATACATAAATCCTGTTTCTTCTGTTAAATGATCCAATAGAATATCATTATTTCAGTAGACAGTTTTCTATCAAAAACAGATTTTTTATTGGAATCTCTGTTTCAAATCAAGTTTAATTTAATGTAACATCCAAAAAAAAAGATGCCATAATTTGATTATTCTCTCTGCGATTAAATAGTTTAAAAGAACCTTACATCTCTATATGGATCATTATAAGTTCAGAAGTTATATGGACAACTCACAGGTAACATAACATATTGCGAACGGAATCTATAAATGCCAAATTCCAGAATTTAATTATTCTGTCACTCAGAATTTCCCATACTATTGCATATGTGTAGAAATCTAATTCCCCAGTGTACTGTCTCACCGTTTGTCTGCTTGTCTGCTTGTCCATTTGTCTATCTGTCTGTTGTTCATATATCTGTCTCCATCTATTTCAAGTCCCATTCATTGTCTAAATTCCTTCTTGTTGGATTGTTCTAAGCAAAATCACAAGAATATAACTATACATATAATATATATTATATTTCTGACCAGTTGCCCCACACACCATAACTCAACACGCGTCAGATTATGACATGGGTTGTTGTAAAAATGATCAGTTCTCAACAAAATTTCGGTTGTCCGGCAGTGCGGTGACATTACAAAATTCTTTATAATTCTAGAAAAATTATATTCTATTATTATTTTTTTGATTTTCTGACAGCGGCCGAGGCTAAATAGAAAGCAATTTTTCTATTCGTAGAGCAAAACACCAATAAGTACAACAAAAAAGCATCATCCTGTCAACAATAACTTCAGACAACCACATATTGTATCTTATTTTCTTATTATATTTAACTGAACAAATCAACTTGGAATTAATATTATTTTTATTATATATTCTTACAAGTATAATTATCTTCATGATTATGACTTAATAATTATTTTATTTTATTTGTACTTAATGATAGTAAAGAACAAATCATATTTAATAAATCATTAATTATACAACTTTTATTATATTTTCTTTAATTATTTTATTTATTTAATTATTCAATAAGTCAATTGCAAAACTATAAATATTGCAACACTTGCATTTAATAAACATTGATTTTCCTTTGTCTTATTTTCTGACAACAAGTTTTCTTAATATTAAATGCTGTTGATATTTTACTTGTTTAATTATCCAAGTATATTGTGTCAAGTCTATCAAGATTGATCAATAGTACTGTTTTTCTCTTATTTTTCTCTTATTGATTTTATTATCTTTAATTCTACATTCTCTTTTGAGTTTGTCTTTTTCTCTCTTGTGGAAAAGAGAGGTTATTTCACATTTACAAACCCATTCAAACCTCAAAAATTGTGATAACATCAGCTGTCAACATTTACCACAAATACAAGCACCACATGTATCAATTATGACATGTGGTATGGTGATGTTGTCAGCCTCAGTTCAAAAACCATATTTTACCAAGTTCAGACATTCTTTTGAAAACCCCTTTTAATTTTTTTTCAAAATTTTAATTTTAATTTTAATTTCTTTTTTCCATTTTAACAAAATTGTCTTTTTCCAAAAACCCATTTTCTGAAAATTAAAATCTTTTCTCTTTTATTTTTCTTAAAACTGTTTTTCCCTTTTCTTTTTATTTTATTCCTGCGCACTAAATGTGACACTTCCTCTCAAATACTACTTTATCAAAATTGTTAACTGAATGATTTTTTCTTTTATTTATAACATACTTTCCGATATTTTTTTTCTTGTAGTTATATATTATAACTTCATCTATTTCTTCTTTTATGATGAAATATTTATAGAGTTATTTTTCTTTATATTTTTATTTACGATTATCTCATCGAGTTTTATCTAGCCTATTTTCGCCATATATTTTATTCATAAAATGGTATAAATATCTCTCTAAAATCAATCAATAAACAACTATTAAATTTTTCTGATACAAGTTTTTTTCAAGACGCTGTCTATTATCTCTGATCTCACTTGTGAAATTTCTTTCGTTTTATTTATTTTTATATCAAGTCTTTGTGGAAGATTGACCATCCCTTTGTATTTTATTATTTTGTTCCGATTTCTCTTTTTATTTATCTCTTAGTAAATTTATCATAGTAAATTTCCCTTTAGCTAAATCCTTTACTCTATTAAACATTTCTTTCTCATAGTTAGCTTTTTAGAATTAATATTATTTACTTCTCTTCTTTTAGTTTAACTATTTTTTTAATTATTCAAATTATTTACACTCTTACCTTAGTGTTAGTTTCCTTTTTAATTTCTTTAACTGGTCTATTTGGTAACAAAGAGACTATTTTATCACCTCAATTTATCTAATATCGAACCTAAACCCTCAATTTCTCCTTTCTATTCCTCTTCTTATATACAATTATCTATTCTTGTACATCTTCTACACACAACTACATATCACACGCAACAATTGTGACACGGAGTGTTATAAAAATAGTCAGTGTTTAACAAAATTTTGGTTGTTCGGCAGTGCGGTGACGTTATAGAATTCTTTGTAATTCTAGAAAAATTGTATTCTATTTTTTTTTTGATTTTCCAATGGCAGCCAAGGTCGATAAGTTTAAATTCTCAAAACTGAAAGCAGTCTTGTATTTACTGGACTTCTCAGATTGCTTTTGGTTTGACACATTCTATTATTATTATTATTGTTTTTTTTCAGGTATATCTTTCCCTTTCCCTATCCTTTTATCTAAAAATAAAACGTTTACACTCATAATGAGCTCCAACTGCACTAACTTCAGCATCAACGAGATCAATGATGACCACATGATTCACATTGCACCTAATTACAAGAGTGCTAACCCCACAGCAACTGAAACTTCTGCTAATGAAGAGGCCTTTTCTTTTTGGTTTGAGAACTCGGCCAAAAGACACTCAAACTGGAACATGACCAGCACTCATGTATTCCAGGCCACCAGCACTGCCAGTCCCAAAGACGTTGTAACAGCTGTGTACCTGTCTGTGACCACCAAGGTTTGCCCAAGAAGGTCAAACTGGTCGAAGATGCTAGCAATCAGAAAGCCAAAAGGGTTTAAACCAAATCAATTAAGGATGACTGCAAGGCCAAAATTACTAAAAAGATCTTGCAAAATGGTAATGTTGTTGTAGACTACTTGTGGCAGCATGTCACCCATCAGCCTGAGAAAGTCCAGGACATGGTCCGTTCAAGACTACCTGCTGAGGTAAAGCAGTGGATTGTGTTCCATGTGGACAATAACATGGATTGGAAGGCCATCAAGATGCTCTTTCGCATCGATTCTAAATGCTTGGAAGAGGTATTAAATAGTCTTTCTTTTTATCCAACTTGCTAACTAAATTGTGTTATAGCTTGAAGCTGGTCTTGGCATTTCCAGTTTCCCGATGTCTCTGCATATCAATTACCATGATGTGCAGAATGTCATCAATGCTTGTTTGAACAAGCTTTCAAAAAAAATGTCATTGATAAGGCAAGTTTCAAGCAATGGATCGAGTTCTTGATAAAAAAAAGAACTATCTGGTTCACATTGTCTTTCATCAAGGTAATGGGCCATATCTTGTTTTGTGGATCTCTCCTTGGCAGAAGAAGATACACCACCAGAGATTTTTGTTATCATTTTGGGTGAAAATTGGCACCTAAGCAATATGATTGGCTTAGAGGCCAAAATATTGTAATTTGTTTTCGTACTCAATTTTTTTCATCCGAATAAAGGATAAAATTAAGTTCAGTACTACTTGTGGGCTTTTAAAGTAAGAAAAAAAACTGTTAGGGAAGTCAGAAAGTGTTCAAGTGAGACAAAGGATTTATTAAGGAAAGTTGGGGGTTGGTTTGAGTACCCAAAAAATGACTTCACAGAAATTACGCAAAAAAATTGATGTTGAGAAGAAGAAAACAGAAGGTTCAAATAATAATTATAATAATAATAAAGAAGTAGCATCATTTTATTCATCAAAAAGAATATTATTGAAAATGAACCAGTAGGAACCGAACTTGCTCAAATTTACAATGTAAAATGGGTTGCGGAAAATGTGCAAATCTAACTTACAAACGAGATTCATGTTAGCAACATCAGAATGCTCACCTGTCATTACAGCCTTGGCATAGTTATTGTTTCTGTCATTATCCGTACGAGGAACAATGCTAAGAAACTTAACAACAGAGCCTGAGACAAGTCCTATACGAGGGCGAGAGATTGGATCATCTTTAAAAACAAACGCGCCAAAACTGTTGTTTTGGACGGCGTCATCTTCAATATCTCCAGTGTCGTTGTTGTCCTTTAGCTCTCTCGAGCTGCCAAAGAAGGTGTAATAGAACAAAGATTCATTGTTGTCCTTAATGAACCTCTCTATTCCAGTTCCAGACTTCTCTCGGTTGCCAGAGCTATTAATCCACGACCCGCCGTCAATTACATGTTGCAATGCTACCTGCTTTGCAAACTTTAGGCAAACATCCCTGGAAGTGTTTTGGCGATTTGTATGAAACAGATGTTCGCGAATGTGCTTATTGAACTGTTCGCCCTTTTCTGTTTCATAATTGAGGGCTGGGCCAAAACGAATTATATCTTCCTTGAGATGTGTCAAGTAATGAACTTTCGGCTTGGTGCAATATGCCTTGTGGAGCTCGTTCTTGGTTCCTTTATTGTAGTCAAATAATGCTCTGATCAAGCGCTTCACTGCATTATCTACTCTGATAATATAGTTATCAAAGTCTGATGTCACCTGACGAACGAATACCAGAGAACACAATCGGCCAAGTTCAACAAAGCATGGTATTACAAGGTCTAGCTCATGATTTCCAGAGAATTCTGTAATCAGAATTACAGGAAGTATTTGAAGCAGAACCTTGAAATCTCTACCGAGGAATGAACCACTATGTCTCAAGTTTCGGGTGAACTTTCTTGATAGACCAGTTGATCGCGTGTAATCTGTCAAGAATTCTGAAAGTCTTGCTATTGTGGCTGTGTCATTCTTAAGCACGACCTTAACCAAGTCAATTACCATATACTTTGCAACACCAAGAAGTATCGTGTGGAGGATTTCCACTGGTGTATCCTTTTCTGGATCAAACGACTGCAATTCTAATAAGCGGCCAGTCGAACGATCTCTAAAGCTTATCTTGTTTGCAGGCGTGTTTATTCCAATTTTCGGAGTATTTGGGATCTCAGTGTCTCTGCCAGGTGACGAGTTTGCAAGAACATAGTGCTCTCGAGTTCGTCTCTCATGGCACTCACAGAAGTAGGACAAGTCCTTCACAAAGTCTTTTGCACGTCTAAGTTCGATGTAGCATCTTCTGCAAGGAAATGTGGTGGCCGGCCCAAGCAATCCGCAAAGTTCTGAATGACATGGCGTGTCAGCCTCAATCCAAAGGATGGGAGCAACAACCAGAACATACTCATTGTCTTCAGCGGAGAACATTTTTACACCTTTCTCGAGTTTCTTAAAGTCATCAACGATTGCTGGCAGAAGAGACATACCATTTGCACCATCTTTCTTAGGGATTGTAGAAAGAAACTGGATGTTTGCTATCGAATTTCGATCCTTAAAAGGCAAGGCAGCGCATCTCATTAACCAGCTTTCAAACGGATTGTACTGCTTTGAACGATTGCCAGAAGTGTCGTCTGTAAAAAGGATGATTGAAACAATCCTAACTTTGTAAAACACTGCATCGCGATCTACATTACCGGGCAAAACAGAAAGAGGCATAGGCTTCTTCATTGGATGAACTCCAAAAAGAAGAAAGTCATGAGCAGGACTCAATCTGGTAAGGCTACTTGAGATACTGTAGTAGTGATCTCTTTCAACAGGAGTGGTGTCAACGTGAGAGATCTGCTCTACTCTAAGATTGGTAACAGCAACCTCAACGCCATAGCATACAATCGAAATCGCTCTGACCAGATACCCTCTCGCAAAAATGTTTTTATTTGCCGTGTGGAACGATTCAACCAAAAAGCGGATGCTGCAATCGTTTGTCTTCAAGTAAACAATGTTTCCAAACCAGACATCTATACCATTTACAGTGTGCATAGGCTGCTGAAAGAGATGGTGGGTTCTTCACTTTTCACCTTGTTCCAAACAGATCGATTGGTTTGGGGTACGATCGGGCATGGACGAGATCAACTTGGATTTCTTTGGGTTTGCCATAAGAAATCTCAAGTGGTCGGACGGAAGGTTAATATGGGCGAATGCGTTCCCGTTTGATCCAGGTACTGATATTCTTTGTGAAGGAAAGACAGGCATCTTGGACTTCTTTCTTGCCTGATAATTTAAAAGAGCATCCAAACGAGGTAACTTAAATGTTCTTCCTATGGGAGTTTCTTGCTGGATCTTAATGATCAAGTTCATCGCAAGCAGTATCTTCTTCAACATTTGCTGGGAGATCATGTCATTATCCCCATCGATAAAAGCGAAAAGGATCATGGTTTGAAGATCGCGAAAAGGATAACAGCTTGTAGGGTCATTTACAGCGCCAATTGTCTCAAAGACTTCTTCCGGGATCTCAGAGTCATCATCGGTCATTGATACCTCATCAGCAGCAGCAGCAGAAGAAAACATGTCAGAGAATGCGTTGAAAACTGGATTACTGTTCATTTCAATATCAAAGAAATTATCGACAATATCGTTTTCCTCGTCTACAATGTTGTCTTCTTCATCCCCGATACTGGAGGAGTCATCTTCGTCACTCGAGTAATCAAATGCATTAGCATCCGGAATAGTGTTCTCCACTATCAATTCGGCCTGCTCGGGTTCGTCGAGTACAGTATTGGTTGCCATTTGATTACTTATATGGTGAACCTTCGAATGCCTTTTCAGTAACCAAGGCTTTTCGAACTCTTTTTCGCATTCGGAGCAGGTAAAAACACCTGAATTGATGCTAAAGTTAAGTTCGTCTTGCCTTTTAGGGGGGCGAGTCTTAACGATTTTATATGTTTCTTGTCTTGTATTCTTTTGCATAATAGTAAATTGATTGTAAAAACAAAGGGGGGAAAATGACTTTGCGAAAATAATTGAATTTATAAAATGTGGAAAGATCGATATTTAATGTCAGCGGACCAATTAGAATTTTTTTTACTTCTTTTCTTTTAAGAAAATATCGCGTGTTTTTGTCTTCTTTTTCATTTTACTTTTCCACAAAATATTTATTATTTGTATGAGCTTCCATTTGTAAGATATTCCAGTATGCTTATAGTATTTATAGAAGCAGAATTTTGCTTAAAGACTATAAGCTCAAAGGTATTTATGCTATCAAAGTTTTTTATGTCATTGTGTTTATTAATCATACAATTCTAGTTTATAAATTAGTTTTTCATCATCTCGGTAAATCAATAAAGAGGTAATAACTACATGTTCCTCTTACAAAGCAACAGAAGACTAACTATTTACTCCTCACTTGCAGAGATTTGGCTGCCTTTTATTGCAAATGCCTTAATAGAGTCAAAGGTAAAATTCTGTTAAATATATATAACTAAGTTTAATTACTAATTATTAGTTCTTCTGCTTTAGCTTTTCTCAAAATTCAAATCTTTATGCTCTTTGGGTTTATTGGAATTTCTGGCACCGGGTCTCTTGGATTAGCTAGACATAGTAGTTTGCAGCAAACTGATCGCGTAATTTACAGGCATAAGTACAAACAGTTATACTACTAGTGTTTCTAGTGGTATGGATATACTGGTGTGCTACTGCCTGTGGATTTTATGGTCCAGTCTAGCTTTTTTTTAGCCTAATTTTTTTCGAAAATAAAAAATAAATTTTTTACAACCCAAAATTATTTGAAACAAATTAAAAATTTGAACCATTTTTGAAATTGTGCAGTACATTTTTTAATCGAAATCTATTGGCCGAGAGTAGTCCCCCCATCCCCCCACTTTTCAGTCCCCCAAAAAAATGAATTTCCTGTTATGGGCAAAATTCGCCCCGTATACAAGAATCCTTTTAAGGAACAAGATTACACAAAAAAATCTGCTGTGGTGTATATTATTTTATTCAACAAAAAGTTATAATATAATATTACTAACCATTAAGCAGATTCTTGAGTTGGCAGACAAGTGGTGCATTGACTCCACTCACAAGACTTACAAATCCTTGGTGGATTCTAACAATCACTCATATTTGTATATGATTGTTGTGAGAAGCAATGTTACAAACAAGAGTGTCCCAGTCTGTTTCTTTGTGACTAATGCAGAATAAATCATAACCTTGTCACAATGGCTCAGTTGGGTTAAATCTAATTGTAGCCTGCATGTCAAGTGCGTGATAATTGACTGCAGCCCAGTCGAGATTGGTGCCCTGGACACTGGGGAATTAGATTTCTACACATATGCAATAGTATGGGAAATTCTGAGTGACAGAATAATTAAATTCTGGAATTTGGCATTTATAGATTCCGTTCGCAATATGTTATGTTACCTGTGAGTTGTCCATATAACTTCTGAACTTATAATGATCCATATAGAGATGTAAGGTTCTTTTAAACTATTTAATCGCAGAGAGAATAATCAAATTATGGCATCTTTTTTTTTGGATGTTACATTAAATTAAACTTGATTTGAAACAGAGATTCCAATAAAAAATCTGTTTTTGATAGAAAACTGTCTACTGAAATAATGATATTCTATTGGATCATTTAACAGAAGAAACAGGATTTATGTATACTGTCTTCCGAATCTAAACACTTTTATTGGACAATTATGCACGGCTAAACTATAGGATTCACACATGCCATGCTACTGCAATACTTCTTGCACTTCATTTCAAATATTTTTATAGGGATTGTTTTGGAAAAATTGTTTTTATTTAAAAAAAAAAAGCTTCTTGCTTATAATATGTATGGCTTGACAATATATAGTCTAATCTAATATATAAGCTACTACATAATTAATATAATAACAAACCCTTTCATATATTATAATATATAAATACTTCCAATACGATAGAATCCTAAAAAGAAACGCGTGTTTACGGTATTTCACTAGTAAGAGAAGGCTAAAAAATTATTCAATTATATTAGATTATATAAATATTTATTTTTCTTTAATTTAAATAATATGGTTACTTACCAGTACTTTCGTCAGAACCAGGCATATTGCACATTGACTGTTGTTCTGAAAGGTTTAATAAAACGCATTAGTAAAGATCATGGAATAAAGTTTGGCTTTATTACTTACCAAAGAAAACCAGTTTTCAAAGACAAGCCATTCAATCAGGTACATAGAAATGCTGGCAGTACTAACAGAGATAGAAAATAAACAAAATTAGATATAAGAATAAAATAAATAAATACATTATTCAGACTTACCGGATAAATTTCTGCTGTTGGTATGTCTTTATGATGAGCTGAGGAGAGAAAAAGAAAATAATTAATAAAGAAGCACATACACAATAACCGTGTTTTACCTTTTTGTTCTTGTCCATTAATCAACATGGCAAAGACTTGTAATACTATCAGCAACCACAATAATAATAAAAGAAAAAACATTAAGAATAAATATAACAGTAGAATAATAAAAACAAATTGCTTACCAGGGTGTGAACTCAAATACATCAACCAGAATAAAAGTAAATAAAGCGGAAAAGAAACAGGAAAAAAAGAAATAAGAAAAAAATAAAGAAAAAGAAGAAAAAAAAGTGGGCTTTCAAACAGAAGGCAGTTTAGATGAGAATTGACTCTAGTAAAATACAATAGTAATAAAATGAATAGTCCAAAATTATATTGTAACACTAAGCTCTATGTTGAATATTAAAGAAGTTGTTCAAGGTTATAAAGGATTTTATAGAAAATAATATATAATCCCTTCCTTTTCTCAGCTATTTCATAAATCTACTTTATATTAACTTATTTTGTATGTATATCTTTGATTAAACAAAAATAAATATATTTCAACCTATACATTTATTTTATTTTAATAATTTATTAATGTATAAAACTTTAATAAAAATACAATAAAGAAAAAATGCCTTCCAATAGCAGCAGAAAAACAGACCGTAAAGGAAAAGGAAAAGCATCTGCAAGTATATCTACCTCTGCAAACCGTGTTTTGGCTGGCCGTGTTGGACCTCGAGAAATTGCCCCCAGTTTCTCATCCGCAACTATCCAAGATCAGCGATACGTGGAAATTGTTGAAATGCTTAACAAAGTAAACAACAATATCAATGGTGTCAAGGATGACATTGCTGCTGTCAATAGCAACATGGCAGCCTTTAAAAACAGGATGGGCGTTGTTGTTGACACGTCTAGAAAGACACATACGGCATTTGCAGACTTTGCAACTGCCTATGCCAACAATTAGACTCGTATGGCTAGTCTAGAACCATCTCTGATGCCATCCTATGTCCCCCAGACCTCCCTCAGTGATGCCGAGGTTTCTGTCATTATCTCGGTAATTAATACTAATATATGTTAGTATCAACAACTTATTAAACAACCTGTATTTAGGAAATCTTCGCGGAAAAGTTGTGGGACTGGAAGTTCGAGTCTGACGACCCTGCTCTTGTTGCTGAGAACGAGAGTAAGAAGAAGTGGAACTTGAACAAGAAGATTAACCACCGCGATAACGTAGCTGTTATCAACTACTTGAAGAGCTACATTAGCGCCCAGACTCGTCTAGCTGGTACTCACCCACGGGTGATAAGTGATAAAATAAAGAACAGGTACAAGCACAGTCATTGTACTTTTCACGAGTCTCCTGAGCAGAAGGCCAAGAAAAACAGCAAGGGGAGAGCAAACAGTCGTACTCTTCAGGTTTGTATATACTATATAAAAAATTAATTGGTATATTACTATTTTCTCAAGCTACAATCTGTATAACCAAATGTCTATCTGACGCAAGTTGACATACATGGACAACTGGGTAGCCATTGATGCTGCAATGGGATATAAGACTGGAAACCCTGTTGAGAAGGCCTATCTCAAACTCTTTCAGAAGGATGCCATGTCTGATGGTGAGTCGGATATTGAGATTGTGGACAATCTTCCATGACAGTGTTTGCATGTGGCTCGCCCCACTTGGAGAAGTGAAGAGGTAAATAATATTTAGAATAAATAAATAAGTTTTATAACAAGAAAAATAAAGAACTAATAAAAATAAATACAGTTCAACAGATTGTTGACAATGGTTGATGACATTGATCGTACCCATCACGTGTTAAATGCGGGCATGGGAACAAAGCCAAGAATGAACAGATATCCAGCAACATTGTTGCCTTGCTCTGTTCCTGCCACTCTGTCCCAGTCATTGCCTCGTTGGGCAATCAACAATGAATAAACATTTTCTTTTTTACTATGTTCTGTTGTAGGGCCAAATAGTAATAATTGAAATTGAATTGATTAAAGGAAATAATAATAGAGGATAAATATATAAGTAAGTGTGTGTATGAGAATTAATAGTAAATTTTTTTTGGTAAAGGAATCGCGAGTTTTTTGTTGACATTTTTTGTAGTTTTGTAATCTACTATTGCAACTGTTAGGAGAATCGGATGTACTGGCAGGATGCTTTGAAAATCTTGCTTGTAGAATTCATCCTGTAACAACTCAACTCTTTCTAATTCTCTTGTTTTGTCTGAAGTGGATTTGAACCATTCGACAAATGCAAATACATGCTGACTACTATGGGAATTTCTGTATGTTAGAGAAGAAACAGCTGACCTAAAATTGTGAACAAAAAGGTACTGAATCTCTCCAACATACGCATGTTCCGACCCAGTTCGTTCAGTGAAATATGCTTGTATGTATGATCTGTGGCCATTTGTGCCAATGCACCCTTTGTAGCTTTGCCCAGGAAGATCAATGGACTTTACCATTTCGATCTAGTCATTGACGAAAGGTGAGTCATCAATTACATCTTTGCAACCTGAGATCTGTGGATTCTTGTACGCAGCTTGATAGTATCCTACAAGACAATCATATTCATGTTTTGGCATAAATGATAATGGTCTTGTTTTCAATGGCAAGGCGGATAGTGGCAGGGGCTCGTTTCCACAAATTGTGATTGAAAGGTTCTGTGAAGCTTCAAGTTATTTGGAAATTGAGAAAGAGTGAGAGAGGTTAGTCTTGGTGTTGGTATTGGTGTTGGTGTTGGTGTTGGTGTTAGTGTTGGTGTTATTGTTGTTGTTGTAATTGGTGAACTTATCAAAAATTTCAAAACACGCAAGTGTATGCATAGGTTTCAGAAATTGACAAACAAAATCTCCCTTCCATGACTCTTCAATGAACTGTCTCATAAATGTTGTTTCGAGCCCGTTTCTTCGATTGGTCTTGATATTTTTCAGAACACTATTATATCTTTCAAAGCTAAAAAGCCAATAGCCATAGACGGGCCCAAAGGCAATCATTGTTTGGCGTAAGTGCAGATGCAGATGCAGATGCATGTTGGGAGAGAGAAGGTCCAGATCGTGCAATGTCTCACACCCTTTACAGAATTCTTTTAAGTATTTTTGGCCTTTCTCAATATCTTTTTCAGAAACACTAGGCTTGGTGAAGTATCTGCATGCGTTAATAAACTCTATTTAGTTTTTAAACTCTGGCAATAGCAATACATCCCTCAGAATCACAGAAGAGTATACAAGGCAACAAAACTTCCACTCATCAGCCTTCATATAGGGAAATCTCTTGGCAATTTTTGTCCCAAGTGACATGTAATTGGGTGACAGCACTACCTTGTCAGTAGCCTTTTGCATAACAACGGGTTTTTTATTGTTGATTAGTCAATCTGTAACCAATCTCTCCAGCATTCTTTTGGAAGTACCTAAGAAAAGATTGTGTATGGGATTGATGATCACGCAGTGAATAATGTCAAAGTACCAAAGATTATAAAGTTCGGACCAGTGAATGTCATGTGCAACTTCAAGACGCTGTCTATCAGTTGGTTTGATTGCATTTCTCCAGATCTCTGCATTCTTATAATTGTCATTCTTAGTGCGAAAGAGCCACTTTGAGAAAGTGAATCCAGAATAATCAATGGAACTAGTTTCAGCCAACCTCAAAAATGGACACATACACATGTGGCATGCATTTGTACTTGTATGAGATGTGAACCCACATACTTTCCTTGTGCCAGATATATCACATACAACTATGAGAAGGGCTGCTCAGATAGAAGTGCCATTTGAACATTGGTGAGTCTTAATTTTAATACCTTTGTACAGTTCCATCAACTCATTGACAAGCAGTTTCAGATAGTTATTTATGTCAGAAGTGCTCGCTTCTTTAGGCCCTGGCATTAACCCAACAAGAATCACACTCTCCTTTTTGAACCGCTCCCTGGGTGAAAGATTATTGATTGCAAGATATATGGCATCACAGAAGTAGATAACACTATCGAATGGCTGAAACCAGTCAATGTTCAGCATGAGCATGAGTGATTGCTCAGTATCAACAAAATGTATACCATTTACGTCTACTATCTCATTCCACATCGCACCATCGTACACGTCAAACAAAGTGCTATCTATTTTTAGGCCGCTGTTCCATGAGTTGATTTTGTTTTCAAAATCCGGATGTTGAAAAAACATCTTTAGGGCTTTTTTGATGGAGTGAAATACATATGTCTTTTTGGGTGCTTTTGATCTGATACCAGACTTAAACAAGCTGTTGCCACACAAGGGGGTTTTACCAAAATTGGGTGATGTACAACACAAAGGGGCGGCTTCATTATCATATATGACATGACATAGCATTCACTACATGCAACATACTTCTTGACACCACTTGTCAACACTTCAAATCCGGCCAAATGTTTGAGGCCAGCAACACTCACGGGAAGATGGAATGGGTCAAACAAAAACTGCAGGATCTTGTTGATTATGGCAATCAGGATTACAGCTCCTTCATCTACGACGTATAGCAAGACAAAAAGAGTAACCAAAATAACAACGAATTGGTGAATCAAATTCAATTCCAAGATTGATTCCAATAAAGAATCTTTAATTTAATTTTTTTTAAAGAACATTGATTAACTCTCTATTTTTTAGGATATGATATTATCTAAAGCTGTATACCTACCTTTGTCATTGTCTATCTCAACATCGGATTTATCTTCATATTCTTCGTTTTCTTTATAAGTGTCACTTGTATACTGAACATTATTTTCAGGGACAAACATGCAATCCGTTTCAGAGAAAGGTTGGTTTCTTGTCCATATATCTAAAATATTATTTGTGTTATTTAGGTTCACAAAAGCGGAATGTCAGTCCCAAATAAATCAATGTAATAAAATAAGTTTTCTTACTTCTAAGCTCAGAATTCATTTCAACATCTTCCTGTTCAAATTCAAAACTATCTTCCTCTTGATTTACAGGCTCAGAAACAGTACTACTAATTATATTGCATATGTCTTCTTGGGCTACACATTTATTATTATTAGTAGTATTATTATTATTATTATTATTATTATTATTATTATTATTATTATTATTATATAAAATAATAAAAAAGGAAATGGTATAAAATAAAAAAAATAAAATATAGTAAAGTAAAGCAAATGTATTAACTGTACGCATTTGAACATGTGTAATATCATGATTATCTTTTTTTTGATGACATTTAAATGTTTTAACAGATATACAATTGAATCCTAGTGTCTTGCTTTTACAGATAGAACATCGACACTCTTTTCTAACAGTTGATTTGTGAATAGGAGCCATTTTAAAATGAAAAGAAAGGTTTACAATAGTATTTAATAGTAAAAAAAGAGACCAAAGAAAACACACTTTTATTTTATTTGAGTTTGATATTGCATTCTAATGCTACACAGCTGTCAGTAGCCAATAGAGTAGCTTAAAATACTATTCAAATACTTTACTCACAAAAGTGAGCTGAACTACAATTTTATCTATTCTGTCTATCAGAACTTAGATATACTTTACATATGCGAAATTGATCTGTTTTTGCAGTGTAAGTAGATCACAGCCAATCTGATATATATAAGTGGATCACAGTCAATCTGATATATATATAAGCTGATGATAGTCGATCTAGTATATATATAAGCTGTTGACCGCCAATTGAGTATATATATAAGCTGATGACAGAGGATATACACTATATATAAAAATATGATATCCAATCTGATATATATATAAGTGGATCACAGCCAATCTGATATATATATATAAGCTGATTATAGCTGATCTGCTATATATATATGTGGATGACAGCTGATCTGCTATATATATAAGTGGATGACAGCCAGTCTGATATATATATAAGTGGATGACAGCCAATCTGATATATATATATAAGCTGATTATAGCTGATCTGCTATATATATATGTGGATGACAGCTGATCTGCTATATATATAAGTAGATGATAGCCGGTCTGATATATATATAAGTGGATGACAGCTGATCTGCTATATATATAAATGGATGACAGCTGATCTGTTATATATATAAGTGGATGACAGCCAATCTGATATATATATATAAGCTAATAATTATTAATCTGGTATATATATAAGCCAATAATCATCAATCTGGTATATATATAAGCCAATAATCATCAATCTGGTATATATATAAGCCAATAATCATCAATCTGATATATATATAATCTAATTACAGTTAATCTCATATATATACAAGTAGATAACAATCAATTTTATATATGTATAAGTGGATAACAGTCAATCTGGTATATATATAAGTTATTAACCACCAATCAGGTATATATATAAGCTGATGATAGTTGATCTGATATATATATAAGCTGTTGACCACCAATTGGGTATATATATAAGCTGTTGACCACCAATTGGGTATATATATAAGCTGATAACAGGTGATCTACACTATATATAAACATATGATACTCAATCTGATATATATATAAGCTGATGATAGCTGATCTGGTAAATATATAAATTGTTGACCGCCAATCAGCTATATATATATAAACTATTAACAGTTTATCTCATACGTATATAAGCTGATATTAGCCAATCTAGTATATATATAAGCTGATGATAGTCAATCTGGTATATATATAAGTCGTTGACTGCTAATCTGGTATATATATATATAAGTTATTAACAGCCAATCTTATATGTATATAAGCTATTGACAGTCTATCTCATACATATATAAGCTGATATTAGCCAATCTAGTATATATATAAGCTGTTGACTGCCAATCTGGCATATATATAAGCTGTTGACTGCTAATCTGGTATATATATATAAGTTATTAACAGCCAATCTTATATGTATATAAGCTATTGACAGTCTATCTCATACATATATAAGTAAATCACAGCCAATCTAATATATATATAAGCTGATGATAGTCAATCTGGTATATATATAAGCTGTTGACCACCAATCTAGTATATATATAAGCTGTTGTCCGCCAATTGCATATATATATAAGCTAATGACAGGTGATTTGCACTATATATAAACATATGATATCCAGTTGGATATATATATAAGTGGATCACAGCCAATCTGATATATATATAAGTAGATAACAGTCAATCTCATATATATATAAACTGAACACTACCAATCTAGTATATATATAAATAAATAATATCTGATCTGATATATATGTAAATCAATAACAGTCAATCTGTATTATATATATATATTTATCACATCCAATTTACTACTTATATAAGTTAATAAAATCTAATATATAATCAATATTAGCCAATAACATTTGATTTATTACTAATATTAGCCTATAACATCTTATCTATCTCTGATATTAGTCAATACTATTGGATCTATCACATTATATATATTCACACTTGTCAATATCCAAGTCATATCCAATCATCTCATCAAATATAAGTTACATACTCTAATCATATTTAATCTTTAATTTTATATATATTCACAACTCTTTTATAATCTTTATATATATATATATAGTATATAAATACATTAAAATTATAATAAATATTAATAAGTTGACTTGTTCATATATTTTTTTATTGATTTATATAATAATATTTTGATTTTTATAAGAAAATTAGTAAAAAAATATGAAAATTAATTTTTATTAATTCTGTACTTGCTGTTTACATATTTTGATACTTTTATATTATACTACTAAATTTTCTTTATATAGCAAAAAAAATTAAAAAATTATTACTTAGTAAGAATTTGAACTTTCATTAGAAGAGATATATTTAATTATTGTCGGAATGGCTTTTTGATAGTTTAAAGTTAAATGTTTTTCCATGCCAAGCTTTTACATAGTTGCTATTTATATAACCTATCTTCCCACACTAAAAATGCCAAGACTTCTCACGCTAGGTGCATTCAGACTAACCAAAAAAAAAATGTTTTTGCGAAAAAAGCTATTTTTTGTCATTTTTTCCCACGAATTCAATGGTATTGTTTACGTAGATCATTTATGCAAGATTATGCATGATTATGCACGTTATATAACAAGTATAGCCAAAAGTTACCAATTTTTTTCAGCAATGCAATTGTATTGTTTACATTACGCGAATATGCATAATGATGTATGTTACACAAACTTTATTTTTTATATTTTTATATATGTTTAAATTCTCTTATATGTGCCTATATATAATTATGCAATATTATGCAAGATTATGTAAGCTGATAACAACTAATTGACACTATATATAAACTAATTATAGCTGATCTCATATATATATAAGCTATTGATAGTTGATCTAGGATAAATATAAGCTGTTGACCACCGATCTGGCATATATATAAGTTGTTGATTGCCGATCTGGCATATATATAAGTTGTTGATTGCTGATCTGGTATATATATAAGCTGTTGACCACCGATCTGGCATATATATAAGTTGTTGATTGCCGATCTGGCATATATCACTGCAAAAGACCACTGATTTTAGTTCCTGAAAACCTGCAAAAATTTTACTACAATTTTCGATTTTTAATTTTTTCAAATAATTTCTATTTTTTTCTGTTGTGATTTCAGATCGCTCTTTTTTAGCTGTAAAATCACACTACCATCATTTTTTTGGCCATAAAATTACAAAATTGGGTTTTTTTTTATATTATACACTTCTTTGATATAATTCTAAATTACACTGAAAAAACACTTATACAAAAGTTAATATAATATTAAATAAAAATTATATATATTCTTAAGGTTTCACCTTTTCTATTTCAAAATAAATCATTTAAATATTTTTTATGTATTATAAATGTGAATATAAGAACAAATATTTAATCAATATATTTCAAAGGGAACGAGACAAAAGGTTGTGATTTCATTTTTACTGTGGCAATATTTTTGCGTGATTTTTCCCTTTGATATATGGAACTAAAATATCAGACTTTTTTATTTCACATGTTGTGAAAGGCGAATGTTCCATTTTTGGATTATTTTTTGTCATGGTCAAATCATCGTCATATCAAATATTATAATTCTAAAAAAAGACTTTTAAAAAAAATTGTGTACACTTTTAGTAATGTACGCAGTATTTGACTTGGTTAATGACTTAACAATATATGAGTATAATTATGATGATATGTGCAGTAGATATATCAAAGAATTACTTGGCATACTATAGTCATGGCATGGAGCAGTATTTTATCTATTTATATTTTTTTTTGGTATATAAAGACCTTGATCAAGATCTCTTAAAATCTATATAATTTTTTTTATAATTTAAAACAATCGACATGTCCAATAATCAGAAGAAAGACAGTTATGTTATCTGCAAATGTCCAGACTGTACAAAGTTGGATAGCTGTGGAAAGAAACAGAAAAGTCAAAATGCACAACAACACTATGAGAAACATATAGTGTCTGTTGCCAAAGACAATGCAATGGGTAAATAACAAGAATAACTCGAGCTGTACATGTAAAATTAATATAAATTAATTCATAAAATAGATGTTCCTGAAAAACATTTTGACAACATGGAAGTAGATAGTATTGACAGTGACAATGACAATGATTATGATTACGGAAACAAAGGTGAAGGCGAATATGAAGATGAAAATGAAGAACAAAACATTGAATTTGATCAAGAAGGTAAGAAAATAAAATAAAATAAATGAACAAAATAATAATTGAAACTGATATATATTTTTTTTATTTTTTATTTTTTATATGATTATAATTGTAATTATATTTTTATTTCTACATCTTTACAACAATTATTCCTTTCCAGTTGACTTACTTTTGTCCCAAGAAGAGTCCATCTTTACTGCCAAAGATACAATTACAGGAGCATTTGTAGTTGATGGCAATGAGATTGAAGAAGGCGATACCAGTTTTGATTTTGAGCAAGAAGAAAACTTTGATGAGACCAGTGGGACCTCGATAGTAGAATCAGATATGAATTAATACGGTATAATTAATCAATATATTAATTTAAACTAACTTAACCTTTGTCTTCATAGTTCGTCCTTCGTCTTTTGATAACATGCCCTTGTATATCCACTTTGTTGTAGTATTCATTGTCATATTTTGCTTGATCTTTTTGGTGGAAAGTGGTGGATCGATTCTCATTGAATTTTGTAATACTCTACTGTCTCTCTGTGATATGTCTGGCACCCTTTCACTGACGATCAATAGCTTGAAGCATAAAACAGGATTTAACATGGCAACAGATGGAATGACAGTATACATTGCATGCTCACAATGTCATTCGATTTATCCTCCAGAAACAAGTCAAAGAGTCTGTACATTTAAGAAATTCTCTCAATCCGCCATTTGCAACAACAATCTCTTTAAAGTGTCAACCGGAAATCGTTCTCTTCCAGCAATGGCATATCTATTCAACTCTCTGAAGTACACCTTGCAACAAAAATTCTCCAAGCCAGATTTCGTGTCCAAGATCAATTTGTGGAGAAATCGTCAAATAATTGAAAACACCAAACTTGACATTTTTTATAGTGCAGTTTGGAGTGATATTAAAGACATTAATGGCAGACGGTTTGTTGATGATAGCTGATCTTTAATGTTGACTCTGAATATTGATTGGTTTCAGCCATTTGATGGACGAACACATTCCAGTGGTGCGATATATCTCTCTATCAACAATCTCCCACGGAGTGAACGCCTTAAGTCTGAAAATGTCATTCTTGTTGGTATGATGCCTGGGCTGAAGGAAGCAAGCACTGACAGCATGAATTATTACTTGAAGCCGCTCGTTGACAAATTGTTGGAGATGTACATTGGTGTAGAAATGACAGACTCACAAAATAGAAAGATTGTTGTTCGTGCTGCATTGATGTGTGTTGCCTGTGATATCCCTGCCACTCGCAAAACCTCTGGATTTACTGGCCACATGAGCACATGCGCCTGTCACAAATGTCAACGCCAATTCATGACTATAAAGAAGACCAGCAAGCTTGACTACTCTGGATTCAAGTATAGCAATTGGGTGAGACGCACGAAGACAATGAATCTGGAACACGCTGTCAGCTGGGCAAATGCATTGAACAATACTGAGCGAACATGCCTAGAAAAAGAAAATGGCACTCGGTGGTCAGAGCTTCATCGGTTATCTTACTTTGACCCAGTCCACTTTACAGTTATAGACCTGATGCATAACCTCTATCTTGGAACTGCAAAGCGAATGATTCAGATATGGCGCAAGTGTAACTACATCAATGAAAAGAATCAGTTAACTATGCAAGAGCTTGCCAATGGTATTGTTATACCTTGTGGATATGCGCGTATAACAAAGAAGATTGCTGATGGTTTTTCGTTCATGAAAGCTGATGAGTGGAAGTCATGGTGCGTCATATACTCTCCATTTGTTCTGAAGCATGTGCTCCCAGCCAAGAATCTTGAAAACTGGATTTTGTTTGTTGACACATACCGCTTACTCACAAAACCTTTGATCAATAACAAAGAAATAGACGAAGCCCACAGTAAACTCCAATTGTTTTGTACAAGATTTCAGACACTGTATGGAAAATCGGCCGTGACACCAAATATGCATCTACATCTTCATCTTGGTGAGTGTGTTCATGACTTTGGGCCAATTTATGCTTTCTGGCTATTCAGTTTTGAGAGATAGAGTGGTTTGTTGAAGAATATCAAAACAAATCAAAAAGGCGACTTCAAATCAATGATGATGAAGAGATTTTTGGAGAGAACATACATTGGCAGCTTCATACAATCTTTCGTCAACCATCTTTCCCAGTTTGCAATTGACTTTCTGCATCGCATTTCCAATACATAAATCTTAGGGGACAGGGGGTTTTTGGATGATGGGGACAGGGTGTTACACAAGCTTATAGTGAGTAGTCCAGCAGATAATTAGAGGCGTGACTACTTTTAACTTGTCTGGCAGACATCCATCGTTTCTGTGTGTAACACCCTGTCCCCCAAAAACCAGTCACCCCCTGTCCCATCCAGTATAATCACTTGTCTTTATTCACTAAGAAAAATCATGCAAAAGTGGAAGAACATTTGTCCGTAACTTTTCATTTTCATTTTTATTTATTTTTAAAAAATTCATAACTCGTTCAAAAAAATAGATAGAAATATGAGAGTAAGATGGTTGGTTTCATTGATTTTTTCTACATAAAGTGAGTATTTGTCTGTTTTGTAATATTTTTTGAATCACGTTTAATGAGTGAATTACAAAAGTTCTGTACATTTCATTTGTGAAAGATTGAACAAAAAAACAACAATTTGAAAATATTAGTAAAAATCACTTGCAAGTGCTTTATATCAATAGAAAATAGTAAAAAAACGTTTCAGTAAAAGTTTTAGACCATATTATTATGTGGAAAAGATATTTATTAGCAAAAACAATCTATCTTGAATGGTTAAAAACGTGAAAAAAGTGTATATTTTGCTTGTTTATTCAACCAAAACATAATAAATTAACTTCAAATTTTGGATATAGAGATGTATGTATTTTTTCAGCAATACGGCAAAATATCCAAGCTTTAGCATTCGAATTAAGACAGAAATCTATCAAAAGCTATGCATCGTTTCTGTTTTACATCTTTTATAGTAAAATTCACGTCTGTGATTGGATGAAGATCTTAATCAGATTGCTTATAAATGCACAGACTTTGTACTCCAAAAAATAAAAGCCAATTATATAGTCTTCTAATTAGTTGGATGCCAATAATATTTGTATCTGGGTTTTATATGTAACATTAAAATTAAAGACAGACTGGGTGCAATTGTGTTTGTTAAAAAATTAAAGAAAAAAATAGGAGTAAAGTATATTAAAAGATAGAAAGATAGATAAGTTATATATGTGTGAGGTCAATAATATCAGAAGAATTTACGGGAGAATTTGTAGGAGAGTTAGTGGCAGTAGTAGTAATTGTAGTAGTTGTAGTAGTGGAGAGTAAAAGATAAGACTTGTTCTTTGGGAACTGACCCCAATGATTCCAACTTGTGGAAAAGCAGTCAATGATACTCCCTCTACGGATAGCATCAAAATACAGCACATTTACCTCAGACCAGGACCGATGTACATGAGGCTTCACTTTAATTGTTGTCCAGTGGCACCCATGTACATGGTGCAAGACCATCAGCAATGGCTTTCTTTTGAGAGGCTTCCAATCATGGAGGGGAAGGAAAGTTACAGGCAAGACGCTCTGATCGTCCGAGTACACACAAACAGGCTCGTTATAGGTGTCAGCTATTATCTGAGCACAGTCTGGTGCAGAGAACCACATAGAGGAAGGGCAAGATGAGATATTTTCCCCAAGAGCAGGGTCAATCTTGGAGCCAAAGGCAATGACCTCTGTCACTTTGGCAACATCCATGCCAAAGTTGTGCTCATAAAGTTTACCATGGGTTGCCATCGTGGCCAACATCTTCTTCTTCACCAAAGGAAACTGATCCTCTCCACCCTCTTTCAGGTGTGCAAATACACGGAAACCGCACCAACCATCGGACTTGAGGTTAAACGTCAACGAAATGGCAGCTTGGTCGATTTGAGCAGGCAGAGCAAAGTCATGCACATTTTTATTTTGTTTCTTTGGACTAGGCAAATCGTACCAGTAGTCGTCTTGGAGATGTTTAGGTCTTTTAATTCCAGAGGAATATTTTTCAGCTAAGAAGAAACAAAAAACAATATAACATTTAGCATTTAATTTTAGTAAAATATCTTATCAGTTACCTTCTTCGAGAGGCTCTTGCTTTTTAGCAAAATTGGTTGTTTTAGCTATAGAGAAAACATGCAATGTGTGAGCAAACCATACAAAATATTTTGTGATTCATTTATAAGTTATCAAAAATTACCTTCTTCAAGAGGCTCTTGTTTTTCAGCGAATTGGGTTTCTTTTTTTATTTCTTTTATGACTAGAAATAGTAAACATTAGATATTACATTGTAATTTCACAAAAAAAACAATTATAAATTACTTTTTTTGAGAGGCTCTTCCTCTAAGAACTCCTTCATCACTTCTTTAAGTCCTTCTTTCAAAATACTTCTGATATCATTCTAAAGAAATAAAGAATAAATATGTATTAGATTGTGAAATCATGTTTATGTATGTTGCATGCTTACTTTGTTCTTTTGCACAAGGAGATGTCTGTGCTTGTGACGGACAAAGTCCTTTGGGAGAGCAGTTTTCCTTTTGACGTGCTTAGGTCTTCCAGGAGCTTTGACCTCACTTGCCAAAGGAAATACAACATTTGGATGGTCAATTATTTCACCAGCATTGTCAACAAGTTCATCAACCATTGCCATAAGATTCTGGACCTGTTGATTCCCTTCACACTGACGAAACAATTGTTCAAGCTTTGTTATACATTTCACCCACGGGGCAGACTTTTCAACATCGATTTTCTGTAGAGAAACGTCACATTCCAGTTGCTTCAAACGTTCACCCAAAGAAGAAGACAGAATCCATCTTTCAGGAATGTCTGATAATAGCAACATACAATCTCTTGGCAGATCATGGAGACAAGGAAGACCAAACACCACTTTTACTCTGCAATTGCAAAGCTCACCAGGTACAACCTCTTCTAGAAGCTCAGCACGGATGGTGATCAAACCAATTCTGGAGACGTGGTGAATCAATCTACAGAGGCGAGGTTCATGGTATATTCTGGCATCTGTGATAGTTGCCTCATTCAACTCAAGGTCCTGATAGTCACCCTCGAACTGGAGAAGATAGGAGCAAATTTGCTCAAATGAAGAGTTCAATGACTGAAGAGCCGAGATTTTTCTTTTCAGAGCATTATGGCCACTCTCAACACGTTGTGTTGTCACACAGTCAAAATGTTTTAATTGACTAGTGAGGTAGCCAGCCCACTTTTCCTTGCACGGCATCCACTCATCTTCAAAGTACTTTTCTAGAGTTCTTTTTTCTACAACCTTTGTAGAATCATCATCATTGTCTTCTAGCTGCTCTTTACTTTGGAAATCTTTCTGAGATGACAGCAATTTGAAAAGCTCAAGATTTTTATCAAAGACATTGCGTTTATCTCCAAAGATCATTTTGTTGACTAAATGTGTGCACAACTCTTTTTCTTTTCCTGGCTTCATTATTTTTTTTGCCATTTTGGCAATGTTGCTGATCATATGCCAACCATACAGAAGCTTCTTGGCCAAGGGGAACTCGGAATCAAGCGCATTCATCAATGCTTTACATTTGTCTGTAACAAATATAGGGGCTTTATCAACCCCCTCCAAAACAATTGCTTTCAGAGACTTCACAAATCAAACATAGCTCTTCTCTGTCTCATCGGCTACCCATGCAAAGGCCACAGAAAAGCTCTTCAACCTTTCTCTACCTAGGTTACTGACACCCTCTATGCAAACCAATGGCATCTTCGCGCAGTTTTTCTTGTATGTAGCATCCACAATAAAGACATCGGGGAAACGTTGAGCTCTCTTGATCATTATATCGTTTGTAAAAAATATATAAGTGAGTCTATTTCTCTCATTAAACTCGTAGAGAACGGAAAATCCCTTTGCTTCCATTGTTCTGATGAGCTCAGTAGCGCCATGGGCAGACTCCTCATCACTACGAGTAGCACTGTACTTGAGATTGTTGATATTGCTGATCCTCAGCTTTCTCATTCCTGTCACCTTGTCACTTGTTGCCTTCTGAACATCATGGGACTTGGCGTGATTCTCCAACATTGTCTTTGCAATAGTGGCATCTTCACCAGTCAAAAGAGACATTCTTCCTTGGTGATAAGAAGCCAAATTCTCAGGGGTGACAGGGTGGTTGTGGCAATGTTCGTTTTCCCCGTAGGTGGGCAAAGGAAGATATATTTCACTCTTCTTCTTATAAGAAAATCTTAAGAGATAGGGGCATCCAGTAAGAGAAGAGTTGGGCGTCTTATTTCTTTTCTCATCACTTATATTGCGCTTGTCATGATAAACACCAGCCTTTGAACAAGCAATGTGAAGAATAGGAAATTTTCCGTCCTTAATCTTAATGGTGAAGTTATTAGAAAGGGCGTAATCGTTTACGGCTTGAAGAACACTCTGCTTGTCAGGATAACCATTCTCGGGGAATGAGAGAGTTGTTTTAAGCGAGTACATCTTCTCAATAGGGGTATTGAAGTTGGTGTTCATATTTAATAAAAGAGCACTGTAGTTATATAAGTATTTTTATTGATTCATGTACGCAATGTACACAATGTATGCAATGTATGCAATGTACATAACGTAAAAAAGGCATCATATCTTGTTATTTGGAAATATTATTTTTTATTCTTACAACTAAATGTTAATGACTTTAAGAAAGGGGGTGTTTTTATTTTTCCCGGGAAATTGGAATGATCTAAAGATGGGGACAGGGGTGTGCTTATAACGATAGAGCAAGATGTACTTATAAATGATGGGGACAAGGGTGTGCTTATAAAGAATGGGGACGGGGGGTTCTTCAAGACACTTTATAGCCAGGCCTCAGACTCGCAGTCACCTTAAATTGTGCGGTGCCATTACCCCCCATCCCCTAAGATCGCTGTTTCAAATAGTCAAGATCAATTAGCAGCATTGCATCCATCTTCTACTGCCAGTACCTTTTCTCTGTCTGACTTTGTTGAATATTTGTTAAACCCTTGTCATTCTGCTTTGAGTTGTGAGCTGTTGCCCCCTTCAGTGTTTCCAATTAAACTTGACCAAAGGATTACAATATGCAAGGGACATTATGAATGTTTACTGGAGTTTTACAGACACGCATATGGCAGTCACGATCTTTTTGGCCATTATTCAAACTGCAAGTCTAATCAGATTTTTGTCAATAACTGAATTGAGAAAATGAAATAGATATCTCTTCTTGGACAGGAATACTCTTCTGGATCTTATTTCCGTGCCTATTATCTTGAGAATAACAGTGAAGATAAAGCAGCATTTCCTGGCCGTATACTGTATTTATTTCAACATTTGATAACCATCAACAAAACTGTTATCACCCATACTTTTGCGTTTGTTGAGTGGTACTCTAGTTATTCTTTGGGGAGTTACCAGCCAATGTTAAATGAAGGCATTGAGCTCTGGAATGAACCTTCTTCTGTACTTAATTATGAATGTATTATTCTAGTACATCGTTTATATTCACCAATCGCAATTGCTAAATATAGGTTTACTATAACTAGTGAATTTAAACGTTTATTAATCCCTTTACCCCAAAAAATAGAAGCTTAAATAATATTAATAAAATACCATTTTGCACTCTTTTATCAATTCATTAGAAAATGTTTGATTTATTGTCTTATTGTTTATTTGACCATGATGGCAGCTTGTTTGCCTTGGTCTTGCTAAGCTGCTTATCTCTTATTCCTTTAAATTTATGCTCGAATGGACGGGTATTATTTTTCTTATCATGAGCTGCCTCATAATCTGCATCAAGTTCATCAACGAACCTATCTCCCTATATGTCAATGTAAGTATTATTACACACCATCCAAAAAAATAGTTTTTTGTACTATACCTCTTCGCTTCTCCAGCTTGGGCGGAATCTCCAAAAAAAAACTCTTTTCTGAGGACGAATCCTGTTCCTCTTCTTCTCTTTTGTCATCACTCTCAAGGTCTGACATGTAATCAGCATGAAGAATACTGTCAACATTCTCTCCAAAGCTGTTCACAAAGTGTGCCCGATTGGCTTTCAAGGCAGATTGTTTTCTTTCACACAACTATATATAAATATATAATATTTCTAATTTAATATCACATCTAGTATATTGTGTGCATGTGTTTTTTACCTTTACACGTTGCTGACGAAGACAGGCCCGTCGATTCTCTTCCTGCTTCTTTTCTCCTGTTTTTTTTTCTTGCAACTTTCTGTTGCCAATGTGCCACACAATCTTAGTTCGAAGAGTTGGCAAGTCCACCTTTTTCCCCTCTTCTTGATGACAAAGGTAATTGGTAACAGACTTCAGAACGAGTCTGTTTCCCTCACTGTTTTTATTTTCATTGGTATTGTATTGGTCATACAATTTCTCTTCACTCAAATAATCGCGCAACAATTGCTATAATATAAATGTATATTAAATTCTATCTACATAAAAACATATTATGATTACTTACATCCAATGTTGGTTGACGTCCAGGCGACATGTCTTGCTCAACTGCATTACTAGCAGTGGCTTCGGCTTTCTCAGAAGATGTGTTCTTCAAAACAGTGTTTAAGACATCATTCATGGTATCAAGTTTCTTGTACACATTATGGATGTTATGAGTTCTACCCGACGAATCACCAAGATTCAATCAAGCTCTCTTTGGTGCTAGTAGTCTTTGATTGCTCACTGTTCCCTGTGAGTGTTGCAACATTATCATCCTTATATCATTGGTATTTCTTGGTGGGCTTTTTTTGATTTTTATAAAAAATGAAAATAAAATTAATATAAGAAAATTGAGGACTGCCTGGTTTTAATCTACCTTCCCACAGAAGGTTCTTCACCAAAAGCATTGTTAACTGAATTGTTATTGAGATTTCTTGACATTGTGAATAATAAGAATAGCTTGTGTTTTTTTTAAATCCAAAGAGTCTATTTATATTATATTTAATTTGGGCTTTAAGCTTTATTCTTTCTCAGAGAACACCATGATCTATTACATAACAAGAACAGCTTTGAATGTTTCCACTCTTGTTGTGAGTATTTTATGTGTTTCTTTAATTTAATTTTCAATCCATGTTTTATTCTTATATTATGTATTAGTATTTGAATAATATGATTTTATACTATACTCTGTTTTTCATATGTATTAGCTGCTGGCATAGTGCAACTGCGTTTTCTTTAAATTCTAAGTTACAGACAAAAATTATTTTTTGATTTATTTATTTTTAAAAAAAAACCCCAAATTTGTATTTAATAGAATAACCGCGCCCCTCTTTTTTATTTTCTCTTTCTTTAACCTGCTCTTCTCGTTTTATCTCTTTTTTATGTCTTGGTAAGCTTACTCTTAAGATCTCAACTTTTATTAATACTTTTGGCTTTTAGAATCATCTTAATATATATTAGATAAACAATACACTCAACAAGCATTCAAAACAGTACAGGTAATAAACAATCTCCTAACCAAAATGAAACACCTTGCTGACTAAATATCTTTTATTTTTAAAATGATAGGGCTTCTACCTATTTTGTAATAAAAGATGTTTTGCTCTTGACACTATATACTTTCTGGTATTTTCAGTTTATGAAAAGATAATATATATATAACTCAACTTAAATAATGTAACTTATCAATTCTTCTTCTCAGATAAATATGTCACGCCTTTTTTCAAGTCATACTGGTTTGCCCCCTTTTGCAAATGCGTGTCTATAATATGTAAGTAATTCAAGTGTCTTTACAATCAAAGCGTACATATTAATAAAGTTGTTTATTTTATTTCTTGCTTTTTATTTAAAAGAAAATATCAATCAAACGGATTTTTATTCTATCGCAAGATTTGTTATGAACCCCCATAAATGATCTAGTAAGTATGTTATTTCATTTTATTTCATAAAGAAACCTGTATTAATACTTCTGTATCTTTTTTTGCTCTAAGCTAATATAGTTCCAAACAAACGTATTCTCCAAGAAAATACCAAGGATTTCATTTTCAGTTAAAGAAGTGTAAAACCAAAAAACGTGCCAAATACATGAAACCAATAAGGTAGGGAAGTATAGTATAAGTCAGGTCATCCAATGTATTCAAGCCGTCCAATAAATGAAAGTATAACATATATACAAGTCATACTATTCGGATACACACTTTTAAAGAAGTATTAGTGGTCCATATTAAATAGCTAAATATATTTTCCAACCATTCAAAAATCAATAAAAACCATTTTTTTCATGAGATTCTATTTCAAATGCGTCATCTCTTGATGATGTCAACAAGATCTATTTAAGTTTTTTTTTACAATCATTCATTTGAATGCTGGTTCCTGTCAGATTTCAGACTGATTCTAGATCGATTTTAGTGAGATCTATCCAATAATATCATATAATTAAAGCAAATAAAATTTTTTAAGAGGTAGAGAGTTCAAAGTCAATTCCATAACAAGTAGGGTTTAGGTACGGTTTGAAGTTATGGGTGAATATATAACTAGAATTACAGACAATTATAACATTTCAAGAAAAGGGGGAATTATAACTCTTAATTTATCTATTGATTTTAGTATCTATAATCTCATCATTTAGTTAACTAAATAAACCAATTTTTGTAACAAATATCAAACTATAATTGAACATAAACCACCAATTTTTGGAGGATTTAAACAAAAATTAAGCTACTTAAATCGGTTGTCTTTTGCAGTGATGGGACCATACATCGTTGTAGACAAGAACTTTGAAAAAAATATATACAAGCTCACAACTATGGAAGGTGTCCCTTATACTTCATGGGTTCATGCTGACCGCCTTAAAATTGTTAAATCTGATGATTTTAACCGTACCTGGTACCACCCAACCCCTGCCCATGCCCAAATGCATCGAGATCTTGCCATAGATTCTTCTTCTACCTTGCCATTTTCTCTTGTGACTACTTCTATGGTTGATCGAGGACTATCAACAGTTTTGGAAGGGGGTGATGTTGGACATTATTTTGATGAATCTGTAAAATCTGAAGATGGTCAACCGTAGTACCTCATTATACGCAGTAACATCTTCCTGAGCATTAACCACAGTATAATGCCTCTTCTTTTATTTAAATATAATATAATAGCTACTGTGGATAATGCGCAGTATTAGTTCAGAAAACTATATAAGACAATTCAATTCATACCAATAAAAAGTATCTTTTATCCTCTCATTGATTTTACATATACTCCTTGAATCCCAGTGGGTTTGACCTTTTGACTTTGTTATAGTAAAAGGAAGACCAACCCAGATTGGGAACGACACAAGATAAGAAACAAAAAAAGTGCCCAATCCGGCTTACCAGATTCGAACTAGTGACCTAAGGATTACAATTCATTACAGTCCTCCGCTCTACCAACTGAGCTAAAGCCGGGTACTTGCTTACTTAGTATAATAAATAAAATGTGTTACTATTAATAAAAATATCGCGGGTTCAATTCCCAGAAGCTATACATTTATTTGAGTCTGTATATCTGGTTCCCTCCTTTGCCCTTGCTGTCATGATGTCACATCATAGCCACTAATGCCTGAGTGCAGCCATCGTTCTATTGTCCTTCCTGTCTCCGCAAGCCATTGGTTATTCTGTTTCCTGTCCAATTGAGTTTTGATGCTGTTCTGGTCTGGTCTGGTCTGGTTCTGGTGCCTATTTCTGTTGCAATTTACAATGCCTGTCATGTGCTTAATGAAGCATGTTCTCTTCTTTATGAGTCTTTGTCAAAAAATTAATAATAACTAGAAATGATTTCCTTCTCTTTTCCTTCCTCTCTTGTAATAAGATTTCTTATATAAATTCTAATAACAGCTATATGATCTATAGATTGCCAGCATTAAGTTATATAATAAAAATAATCTTTAACCTGAGCTAAAGCCGGACAATTCTATCATCAATCCATCTAAAATATTGCTTCAACTATTGTATCCATTGTCAAACATGACGCATATACTCTTCCCACTACTGCATCCATTGGCAAAAAAAATTTTCCTATTGTTTCTGCCATTTTATTACCGATTTTCACTTTTTCTCTGCCGATTGCTGCCATCTCAAGATCATTGCCAAACATGTCACAATTGTTGTCTGCTAATTGCATGCAAAGTCTGCCAGCCAAACTTGTGACGTTTTTAACCAGTATGCAGTCACAGTTCAATGCACTTAACAAACGTACAGCACATTTGGAATCTCTTGCTGCCAAAAATATCTAATTGCACGCTCAATTAGCTAATATCTGGCAGGAGAATGCCGATCTCTGATCTCAATTGTTGTAAAACAATGTGACTGGTCCTGTTCCCAGCTCTGCTTCTCTTCCTGCACCCCAGTCAACTGCAGATCTTGAAACTGCTACCTTCACTTGGGCCACCAAAACAAGCTTGATTCTGCCAGCCAAGACACTTCAAGTTCCTTCTGCCCGCCGGGTTGCTGCCTCTCAAAGACTGTTCTCTGACAAAACTGGTCCTGATGGTTTTGAATATATTTATATTCTTCTCTCACGTCGTATTACACACAGTGAAGTGCGCCGCTCTCCCCGCACTCTTGGTGTTGACACTGATTGCCTGTTAGATATTAACTTTCCTGCTCATGGAGTTATTGGAATTCTTGTTCATGTGCAGTATCTTGAGAAATTTAAGTCCCAATTAGCTAGTGCTAAGGTCTCTCTTGTCAACAACTTTGATTCACTTGATCCTAAAAATGTTGCTGATCTCAAGTTTGCCAACTTGTTTGTCTCTGGTCTTGAAACCTAGGCTTTGATTCTCCAAAATGCCTGCTGTCTCCAAGCTCTCAAGTTTTTGCATTCTTACTTAATTCTGCCAGTTGCTCACTTCTTTGTCCAGTCAAGATGGATTGGACTTGAGGAAATTCCTGCCCGACCAGTAGCTGAGCACTTTGGTAATGCTCCAAACAAAAAACGTGCCCTTGATGCTCTCACTGCTATGATTGAATAAGTGACCTTTCAATAGGATTATGGAATGCTAATGGACTTCAACCTCGTGCAATTAAAGACGTGCTCAACCACTGTCAATCTCTTCATATGCTTTTTATAACTGAAACATGACTCTTATCCCCAGCCCGTCTTCCAACCTCCTGGTCTCAGTTTCATCTCTATGGATCTCCTGTTGCTGGCAACTACCGCAGATCAATGGGGGTGTCATTGTTAGTCTTTCCTTCCTGTCCTTATGCTGTCACACAAATACCTATGCCCAACAACTATGCTCTTGCTGTCAAGATTGGTACCCTTCGACTTATATGCCTTTACTTACCACTCTCTATGCTCACTCATGAAGCTCTTGATATCCTTTCAGCCATTCCTTTAACTGATGATACTATTATATGTGGAGATTTTAATGCACGACTTGATTCAGTACACTGGAAAAATTAAAAAAATAAGGTAGTTTAAATATGGGGTATAGTGTAGTGTAATTTCCATATTTAAATTAGTTGATTTTTTTTCCACTTGTGCTGAAGGTGACCTTCACAGATAGTGGAATGACTAGAGTCAACTAGCGGAATTGTGGGTGGGGGGTGCCGCAGGTAAGGTTTGTTAGCACTTTAGATATACTTATCTGACTTGATATATAAAAAGAAAGTTTTTTAAAACTGCGTATCTATTTTGATATTCTTTATATGGAACCATAAAGGTCAGGCACCGACATATTATGAAGATTAAAAGTAGCGTAAAGGTGACCTTTAAGCTAGTTTATTGTTAAGAAGTTTGGTCATCAGCAGCAAAAAAAGGCGTCTTTAAAATTATGGACCAGTAATATGTTCTTTATTTATTTGGTTTCCCGTTCTTATTAGGCTGGTAATGGTTTATGCTTTTATTTTTATTGGAAAGAATAGAATGTTTCTAGGTTTCAGATCTAATAATACTATTCTATATCTCTAGCTACTTCTTGCTTGGTTGGTTTGTTATATTTGGGATGAAAATTTTTTACAAAAAAGAAATACCTAAAAAAAAATGAGCTCCTCAATACGTTTTTTTTGGGGTACGAGCAGTACTCTTTGAGAATAGATAAATCGTTAGTGATGGGTGTGCGTATGTGTTGGATATTTCAATTATTATAAACCATTAATACTTACATTGTAATTATTCAGTACAAAGACCAAACAATAAAATATTACAAGTAAAGCTATGGAATTTTGATTCCTTTGACTATGAAAATGATTGGAAAAAATTAATTTTTGTGAATTGGGTCATATAATTATTAATTTACATACCCAAAGCAAACGGATTTATTTGTAGATATAGATAATACTTATCAAAAGTCGATATAGTATCTGGTAGTTTTTTTATTAATAAACAGTATAAGTAATATAATGATACATATAAGGATAGTAAAAGAACAAAAAAAGTCTTACCATGTCAATGACAGCAGCATGAGATAGAAGCTTTTGATCCATAGCATGTTTTGGAGAGGGTTGTTCATCTATAGTAAAAATTGGATTCAGTTTAATTAATATTAAAGAGAAATATAATAAATAAATAGATAAAAATATTATTGTGTTGGTGGTCATGTTTAGCTGTAGAAAATATTTTTGGTGATATATCCTATAAAAAAGAAAGGAAAAAATCAGGATACTTTTATGAGATGATGGTATGAAGTATATTTACTAATCTTGGCTAATCCGGATGGCCATTGTGAAGAGAACGCATCAGAAGGAAACTATACGCGTGACTATGGTAGCAGAAATACTTGTTATTACTCAGCTATATTTGAAGAAATTACTAATAAAGAAAAATAAAGAAAAAAAGCGCCTTACCAGGAACATTTGCAAGTATAAGAGTAAAAGAGAAAGAAAGAAGTAAAAAGAAAAGAGAGGGCGAGTGTCTATGGCAACTGAAACAACTAATTCTTTTTAGTTATATAAAAAAAAGTACTTTAAAAAAGCAGATTAAAAAAAAAGACTAATAAAAAAATAAAAAAATGGGTAGAGACAGCAACGAAGAGTGTGTCTATGGCAACAGAATAAATAAATTCTTTTATTTTCTATAAAGAAGACTTTTTAAAAAGAACATGTCTTACACAAACACTAGAAAAACATACGGGAATTACCATGTACAAAGTTAAATTATAACAATAGAAAATCTGGGGTATTTTTTCATCTCAGCTTTTTTTGTGTGTTCAAGATGAAAACACTGTTTTCTGGTTTTCTATTGGCTTGGATACAACAGGCGAAAATATTATTTATTATTATTATTATAAAGACATAACATTTCATTATAAAGACATAGTAAATTTAGTAAATGTTGTACTTGTTTCCTTTTTCTCTTAACACTTCAAAGTAAAAATAAATAAACATTATGTCCACAATTTCTGAACTCTACAACGAAAAGTGCCATTGTGCTGGATGTAGTCAGAACGATCTCGGCTATAGTTTTGTTGCCAGAAGAACTGCTCAACGTCATAACAAAAGGGCAAGTCTAAATACCATAAGATGTGAAAGGGGTACAATATTTGAATTTATTTAATTGTATTGTAATCCATGAAATAACGTGTTGTAATAGACATGTCTACCCAAAGAAATATGATGGAGGTCGATGATGAACGTAAGGTTTATTTAATTCAGATACCATTAGATATTAACCAAGTGTTATATTCTAAATGTAGCTATCTTAACCCATCAACCCGGAGCCCTGGAAGAATCGTACACTCAGACAAACTCACCTGTTTGGGAAGGAGCTTCAATGTCTGACACTGAAGACGTTTCCATTACTAATGATGCGATCAGCAATGGCAACAATGATGACAGTGGAAGCAACAGCAATGAAATCAGTGAAGACGAAAGCGAAGACGATGTTATTGAGCTCGACAACAATGAATTGAATAGTGAAGGTCAGTTAGTGTTAAAAATTTTTTTAAAAAAAAAGCATTAATTTTTTTTATAATAGACCCTTTTGCCACCCCCGATATGCCCCAGAACCCAGTGCACAGGTTCATTGCTACTTTTGTGGTGATGTTCGCTTCCCGCTATGTGGTTGACAAGGGCGCCGTTGTCTTGATTGAGTTCATCAACAAGCTTTTGACAATTTACGAGCAGGATTTCCAACTGCCCTTGAGCCTTCCTGGTCTTCAGCACATGACAGGTTTCTCAGCCATGACCAAAGGCATAAAGAAATTTGTTGTGTGTCAGGATTGTCACAAGGTGTACGAAGAAAGTGCATCTGTCCCGTCTCATTGCGATTTCGTAAAGCTTGGTGCACGCTTGTCTTGCAACTGCCAATTGATGAAAACATCAGCATCGGGTGCTTTGGTGGCCAAGCGTTCATACTTGTACCAGTCCATTGTTAATACTTTACGAATGTTTTTTCTTCGTCCAGGATTCGAGGATAAAATTAGACATTGGAATCACGAGCTGAAGATGGTGGATACGATGTGTAACATATACAACGGTACCATGTGGAAGGAGCTCAAAGACAAAGATGGCGTGCAATTCACAAAGGATTCGCGTTCATTAATGTTGACTCTCAACATCGACTGGTTTCAACCTTTCGATAACGTCACGCACTCGACTGGTGCCATATACCTGGTAGTAAACAATCTGCCCTGCAATGAAAGATACAAGCCAGAGAACACACTTCTCGTAGGATTGATGCCTGGCCCGAAGGAACCCAAATCCAAAGAGATAAACCATTATCTCCGGCCTATGGTAGATGATCTGATAAGATTGTATGAGGGACTGGCAATCCCAACTTTCGAGTGTCCTAGTGGTGTCCGCGTCCATGCCGCATTGATGATGGTGGCCTGTGACATCCCGGCAGCAAGAAAGACAAGTGGTTTCACCTCGCACAACAGTACATGCGCATGTTACAAGTGCAACAGACATTTCCCTCGCTTGGAAAACGGTGTCAATGTTGACTTTCGTGGGTTTGACTTCTCTCGGTGGGTGCTTCGTGACGGTGTAGAGAACAGGTTGCATGCTGAGGAGTGGGAAAGTGCTAGTACCCCCTCAGAAAGGCATCGGCTGGAGGTCAAAAATGGTGTTCGATGGTCGCAGTTGCATCGCCTTGGATACCTTGATCTAGTACGTGGAACGATCATCGATCCCATGCATAATTTATTCCTGGGGACGCCTAAAAGATTGATGGATCGTTGGATCAAAGACGAAGACATTCAAGATGGCCATTTTGCGGCAATGCAGAAGACTGCAGAAACGATGATTGTGCCTGGTGGATACACCTCTTTGAACTCGAAAATAGGAAAGCAGTTTTCGTATATGAAGGCAGACGAGTGGAAGTCATGGGTGCTCGTATACTCGCCAGTTCTGTTGAAAGATGTTCTTGCAAAAGACAGATTCGAAAACTGGATTAACTTTGTTGATGCATGCCACCTGTTGATCAAGCCAATGATCACGTTCGATGAAGTCAACACTGCCCATCAGTTTCTTCAAACTTTTTGCATCAGATGTGACGAGCTATACAACACCGAAATCCTCACCTGTAATATGCACCTACACCTCCATCTTCGAGATACAATTCGTGATTTTGGACCAGTGTACGGTTATTGGCTATTCGGGTTCGAGCGGTTTAATGGGTTGTTAAAAAATTTGAAGACAAACAGGAAGATCGGGTTTGAAGAAACATTTATGAAGAAATTTATTGAAGATGTGCACAAAGACGATCTTGTCAACAGTTTCCTTCAGAGTACCTGCCAGACATCTGCATTTCCTCTCCTTACCAAACTCACTTCTTCCTTTACACCCGCCACCATTCCATCCATCCGTCAACATACCTTCCGCATACAGTCATTTGTTGAGGCTTCTGAAGATCCAAATGTACTTGTAAAAGGCAACGAACCTCTCCCTCCTTCCACATTCCCTCTATCATTAAAATCCGCTACCACAATGAGTGACATTCACTATGTTCATCTCTTACAATACTACAAAGTTGCGTACAACAATGAACAATTAGTTCACTTTCAACAAGCGTCGGAATCACCATACTTTGTCGACAATACAATCACCCTGTTGAAATACATCAACATCCTTGGGCAGGTCTACAAGGGTAAAGGTGAATCTGGAAGTCGTGGCTCTCTTGTACAAGCAAAGTTCATTGGAAGTACTGGTGAGCATATCATCGCATACACGGGTCAAATACAGTACATTTTCACCCATTCTTTCACTCCTCCACCCACCTCTTCATCCCTTACTCCCTTGCTCCGCACCCATCGCCGCCCAACACAACTTCTTCACAATTCTCAACATACTTTTGCATTTATCAAATGGTACACATCCGAAAATGATAAATCGCAAGAGTACGAACACGTTGAAACCTGCTTTCCAACATTTTCTCCTGACGATTTCCAATGTGTATTGCCAGTGCATAGAATTATGTTAGAAGTAGCAACTGCTGAGCACACAACACGCAGAAAAGTAAAAAAGATGCTGGTCATTCCTTTGCCAAAAAAACAATACATTTAAAAAATAATAAAATTATAACTCCCTTTTTTAAAGGCACACAGAAAAGAATAATCATAGTGTTTGTATTTGTTGGTACGTTTATCATTGTCAGATGGAGGATGTGGAGGATGTAGAGGATAAGAAAACAAAATTTATTGAAACTCATCTCTAAAAGCCCAGTGAGGGAGAAGGGATGTCAATCTAGGCGGGACTGCTAAAACAGCATCTCTACCGAAGGACCTCTTCAACATCTGACGCGAATTGAAGTCCATGCGATTACGCATAAAATCATCAACAACTGCAAGAAAGTGATTGTACTAAATACAAATAAGTGATTAATCAAAGTTCTGTTTTATTTAAATCCATAAAAAAACAAAAAAAAGCTATATACAATAATGTAAACAAAAGAAATTACCTCATCACTTCTCCAACTTGGACGCACTGTACGAATTGCATGGTTGCTCGAGACTCCAGACATATCGTCTTCAGATTTGCCCTCAGACATTGCTTCTTTCTGTAAGAGTCCGTCGCAGCTCTTACCCACCTTCATATCAATTTCAGCCTTGAATGTATGGTAGGTCAGCTCGCGATGGTCAAAATGTTAGTTTATAAATGTATTAATATGAATACATTTAATTTGCAATCAAAATATACTTCTAACATACATCAGTCTCTCGACCTGCTTTTCTTGACCAAGAATTTGTCTTTTTGCGCGCTTCATAGGATTCCTTGACTCGGCGTCTCGTTCCACAAAAGTTTGTGTAGATACAATCACTAATATCGGCCTGTCGAACACTAGTCCCAACAACCTTTGGAGCCAGGTATGCATGAAGGTTATGCATCAGCTGTCTGTTGGGTGGAAGTCTGTAATCAACATTAACATCCCAACTGCACTTGCTGTCATTAGCTGCAACTAGTTCCAGCTTATTTGATTTGAAGTTGTGTTTCTTCAACTCTCCTTGGATAAGAGCCTATACTTAGTGTGAGATATTATGTTGATGAGCTACTGTACATCTCAACACTTACTAAAACTCTAGTGCGATCCTGTTTACTAAGTTCACCAGCGTTTGCACCAGTAAGAACCACTGGACCAACAGAAGGAGCAACAGAAGGAGCAACAGAAGGAGCAACAGAAGGAGCAACAGAAGGAGCAACAGAAGGAGCAACAGAAGGAGCAACAGAAGGAGCAACAGAAGGAGCAGCAGAAGAGATACCAAAAAAAGCCTCAGAAGGTGTTGTATACCAATCCAGAGTAGAACTAATGGAAGAAGCTGCGAAAGGGACAGAAGCAGAAGCAGGTATAGTGGTAGGAGCAATAACTGCAAGAAGCTCTCCAGAGGCATTGGCAACGCTATCAAGTATTTCCAATGAATCTTTGTTCCCCTTGATGACAATGCCAATGTTTGAATCCATGGTCTTGAGACTTTCCTCCATAGCGGTGAGCCTTCTTAAAAGCTCAGTATATTCCGGGGATGGAGCTGGGGCAATTGACTGACGATTGTTAACCATGGTCTGAAAGCTATCTAATAAAATGTTATACATGAGTTGATTGTTAATTATATTTGTTTTATATATCTATTCATTGTATATATAGAGTGTTATTAACATACAAAAGAAGTTAGGTGTTAAGCGAAAGAATAAAGTGTAGTTAATGGAAAGATGGTAAAAGTAAAAGCAAGAACCCATTTATTATATTACACTTGTTGCTGTAAATACTCAGGATTTCTTTAATACGCGTATCTCTATTAATACTTCCTGGAATTAACGGGGTGCAAATCGGCTTTGAACATGCTTTTTTCAACTCAATCCAATATATGATTTCTGTCTTTTGGCCTTTTGGCCCTTTGGTCTTTTGTTCTTTTTGTTTTTTTTTTCATTTACAAGTTTTCTCTCTTTTCTCTCTTTCCAACATTTATTATATTCACAGATTTTCTTGGTAAGATATCTTATTCTTTAATATTATATATATATATATAACTAAAATGATAATAATTGTTTTCTATTACTACAGACACTCGCGTTTTGTTACCTTCTGATGCATCCCCTTCACAATGTCCATCTGGATTAGCTAAGGTTAGTAAATATACTTTATGCCGTCATCCTATAAAATTATCCTGACTTTTTCCTTTCTTTTGTATAGGCCATATCGCCGAAATTACTCTCTACTATTAAACACGGTTATGAACACGGTAATATTTTATTTTATTTCAATCTATCTCTTTTTAATAAGCACATGGCTTAACATAATTTCTATTATAGATGAACCTCCCTCTCATGAGCACATCGCAAATCAAGAACTTTCATTTCATATAAGTGTCATTGACATAGTAATTTTTTTTGTACATATAACAATATTATTTTTTTTGTATATTAATGTATATCATTTACTGAAGACAATATTAGCGTCTCCTATGTACTCTCTTGGTCTGCAAATAAATCCTTTTGCTTCGGGTAGGTAAATGAAATATTCTACCACACAGTTCACAAAAAATAATTTTTTTTCAGCATTTTTATAGCCAAATAAAGTGTATTGAGTACTATGGTTCGCATTCATGACGCCTTTTCTTTTTGTCTCTGGTAAGCTATTATATTTCAAGCATAATTACATATATATATTCTTAATATCCACGATTTCTTGTTCAAACAGCTAACACTTTTCTAATTTCATAGAACAACCATTTACAAGCAAGCAACACACAACTGGGCTTTTCTCTGGGAGATATTGCTTGGAGAATACTTGTTTTATCAGAACATTGGCCATTTCAAATTGTATGAAGAATAGAACACTAGCCAGAACGTTCCTGAATATTAAATATAACCACTGTACTATAAACCTAAGAATATTCTTTTCTTTCTAATAAAAACAAAATAAACCAATAATTATTATAAATAAATTAAAGATCGGAGAAGTGTATGGAAGCAAACAGTATAAGAAGAAGTCTCTAAGATTGGATAAAATAAATTCAAATACAACAAAACCCTGTAAAAACTGGCATATCCATAAATTAAACAATGTAAAAACTGGCATATCCGTATAATCGATCTTTCATTTATCGTTCTTTTAATCGGAAAGCAGTAGGATATATTACAACAAAACGTAATTCTGAGTTGCTGTTTTAGTGCATGTGGTAAAAACCCATATACAGAAAATGCAAACACATCCTACTATCCTGCTGTTCTGACCTTTTCCTATGTTCGAAAGTTGGTCTTACCACCTATGAGTAAGCCAGCTTCATACACTTGTAAAAACTATCTGATCGCATCGTAAAACCTGGTCTTTTCACATAATTAATTACAGTTTTACACATAAGAAAACCGCACCTCTTTTCCAGTGAAATAGTTCGCAAATATAATAGAAGTTGCAGAGATAGAGAAACAAAGAAAAGACCAATAGAAAATATAAAGAGCAAAAAAAAAGAGAAACAGGAACAACAACAAAAAAAGAAAAAAAAAGAAAAAAGAAAAGTGTGTTTGAAACAAAAGACTAGACTGGTTTGATCAATTGGGTTCTAAAGCAGTATGAAAGCCAATTTGCATCTCAGTGATTACAAGAAGTATTAATAGAGACTTATATACCAAAGGTATGCTGAATATCTATATAAACTATACGTTTTATATAATTTGTTTACTCTTTCTCCTGCTTTCTTGCTACTTATTGCACTCATACTCAAACACACACACATCAACCCATTTTATTTCAAATAATTTAAGTATGTAAATTTGATATAATTTGTTTTTAATTCAATTCAATTCAATTATATAATAGCATCAATAACAATGTAATCTAAAATTAACAGTTATATTTTTATCTTTTATTATATTCTGTAGACAATGGCTATTCAAAGACGTCAACTTGCTCTTCGTCCTGTTGAGATTACAAACGAACAATTGATGGAAATTCTTTCTACTTTGAAAACTAATATGACAGCCATGGGAACCAACATGGCAGCTGACATGTCGATTGTACAAGAACAAATCGGCACTGTTGAAGATACATTGCTAAACATGAATAGCAGAATTGGTGTTCTTGCCACCAGCAGCACTGAGACAATCACTGCTATTGACAGTTTAAGCAGGGCCCCCCTCATTTCCCCTACCAATACAATGACTAATGTTTCTCAGCCTGCCTTCAACGCCCCGTCTGAGTTTAGCAAGAAGGCCTCTAATGATGTTTATGTGAGTATCAACGTGTGCAAAATTTTATTGATGTATTTTCTCATATATTCTATCAGGCCCATATTCGTAATCTCATGTGGGATCCCAAGCTGAAAACAAGAAATCAAGCTGATATCCTGGCAAATGAGAGTAAGCCCAGATGGAATACAAATGTTTTCTTTTACAAGTCGCCAAACAAGGAGTTGGTGGTGCGACTTCTTGAAAACTTGAAGCGCAAGTTTACCCATGAGAGATTTAGAGAGGCAGACTTGAGAGCAAGACTGCACAAAAACTTCACCAGCTGGGTTTCAAAAGCAAGAAGAACCGAAGAGGAAATAAAAGCAACAAACACTCGTTCAAGAAGGGCAGGACGTGCCAGAGATGTAAGTGTAATCTCTAAATAAATAATTTTAAAATAATATAGTTTAGTCTTGAGAATTTTAAAAATACTAATACAAAAAAACTACTATTAGAATCATACTCGCCGTTTACTTGCATACACAGACAACAAAGAAGCAATTGATCTACAAATGAAGAGAGATTGTGACTTCACAATACAAATGGCAGCAATGTCCGATGGAGAATCTGCAGATGAAGACTTTGAGAATCGCACGAAGAGCATCATCAAGATTGTTCGGCCAGGATGGAGAAGTGACGAGATATATTATTTTATATTAATAATTATGTCTTATTATAAAAAATATAAAGTAAAGTATTAACAAAATCATTTTAGTTCAATACTCTCATTAAACTCGTTGATGAGTATGTTATTGAAGCAATGGGGTCAAGTGCTTCTCAAATGAAGGAGAGGGTTTTCCCCAGTGTGTCCAATACAGCAGTCCCAGATGACATAACCCCCAAATTTCCTCAGTGGGCCCTTAGAGACGGGTATTAAATAAACAAAAATTGCCTCTCTCTTTTTATCTATATATTACTTTTCACATACAAAATACTATCAATATATATATCAGAAATACGCGCTCTGTTTTTTTTTTGTTAAAGAAAAAGAAATGTAAAAGTTCACTTTATTTATTATTTAAGCATATAGCTTCTTTGGCAATGGAATTACCAGCATTTTGCTAACATTTCTACTTGTCACAATAGTAGCTGTAGCAACCTCTAATAAGATGCGATGTACAGGTATAATGCTATGGTAGCTATCAGGAGAGAACGTGGGCAAACAAAATTCAACACTGTCATCCTCACGCGACCTATCAGAGGAAGTACGAAACCACTTGATAAATGCAAATACATGTTGATGATCATGAACCATGCGAGTCAGATGGAGATTGTGCGTGGGTGGAAGTTGGAAGGAGTGTGTAAAAAGATACTGAATTTGTCCAGCAAATCCAAGTATAATGTTTCCATTGCTACCAACAAACTTTGCCTGAATAAGTGATCTGCGACTGATTGTGCTGTTGTTTGTTCCTCGATAGTGTTGACCAAGAATGTCAATTGACTTCAATTTGATGATTTGATTGTCAAGTGCTGGGCGATTATAGGACGTGTCCTGATAGCTGGCAAGGTCTGGGAGGTTTTAAGCGACTTGGTAATATTCAAGTAAATGGAGATAGTCGGAATCATCCATTACTGATGGCTTTTTGTATTTTAGAGGAAATGTAGAAGGAGGAAGAGGCTCGTTACCCTTGGGTGGATTATAAGGATCAGTGTAGCCTTGAACGAATGCTTGCAATCTGAATGGGCGACTGGAGAGAGTGGTGACTGTGGCGGCAGGTATGGAGGTTGTAACAAGTTTAGACAGAGTGTGAATGAAGGGGATCTGGCTAGAACTTTTAAGAACAGCATTGACATAATCACCCTTATACGTATTCTGAACAAAATTTTTCATGTAGGTTGCCTCAAAACCGTCTTTGCCATTTGTCTTGAAATTCTTTAAAATACTATTGTATTGCTCAAACCCAAAGAGCCAATAACCATACACTGGTCCAAAATCACGAATGCATTCGTGAAGATGGAGGTGTAGGTGCATATTGCAGGTGAGAATAGTGGCGGTATAGTCTACATTACATGCATTGCAAAACTTTTCTAACAGGCTGTGGGCAGTGGTGATCTCATCAAAAGTAATGCTGGGCTTTACGTAGTATTGGCATGCATCAACGAAATACATCCAGTTCTTGAATTGTAATGGGGGGAGAATACCATGCAACAAGACAGGAGAATAAACCAGAACCCATGATTTCCACTTGTCCGCTTTCATGTAGCTGAAGCCCTTTCCAATTTTGGTTGTCAGTGTGGTGTAATCTCTGGGCAGTACCATTGTCTCTGCAATTTTCTCCATCGAAGCAAACTCTTCAGGTCCAATTGTCTTCTCATCAATCCACCAATCCATTAATCTCTTAGACGTCCCCAAGAAAAGATTATGCATGGGATCAATGATCGTTCCATGTACTAGATCAAAGTATCCAAGGCATTGCAACTGCGACTATCAAACATCATTTTCGATTTCCAGCTGATGCCTTTCTGAGAGTGTACTTGCATCCTTCCACTCCTCAGCATGCAACCTGCTCTCTGCACCACTGTGGATATTCCAACGAGAATAATTGAATCCACGGAAATCAACCTGGTTGCTGCTCCCTAACCGAGTAAACTGCCAGCTGCACCTGTAACAAGCACATGTGCTGTTATGCGCTGTGAATCCACTTGTCTTTCTGGCGGCTGGGATATCACATGCAACCATCAGTAGTGCAGCACGAACACTGACACCATTTGGGAATTCGTGTGTAGGAATCCGCATGCCAACGTACAGCTGCTTCAAATCATCTACCAAGGGCTCCAAGTAACTATTGATCTCGTCCGTTTTTGGCTCCTTTGGACCAGGCATGAGACCTACAAGAATAATATTCTCTGGCTTGAATCTTTCATCACGGGGCAAGTTGTTGATGGCCAGATAGATAGCACCAGAGGAGTGAGTGACACCATCAAAGGGCTGGAACCAGTCGATGTTAAGTGTTAACATTAGTGAGCGTGGGTCCAACACAAATGATACACCATCCTTGTCCTTCAACTCCTTCCACATCGCACCATCATAGACATCGCACAGAGTATCTACCATCTTCAACTCCTTATTTCATTGATGAATCTTGGCTTCGAAACTAGGGCGACGGAAGAAAACGCTCAATGTATTTTTAATGGATTGGTAGACATATTCATGCTTTGCAACCAAGGCACCGGAAGATATGGATTTCGTCAACTTACAGTTGCATGCAGACCTGGCACCAAGTTTTGAGGAAACACATCGAGGAGGAGCAGATACAATATCCTGATATACTGTATGACAGTCTTGGCACACCACAAATTTCTTGATGCCTTTTGTAATAGCAGAAAATCCTGTCATTTTTTGTAAACCGGCAAGACTGGTTGGTAATTGAAAATCTTGGTTGTAGATTCTCAGCAGGTTGTTGATAAACTCAATCAAGACAGCAGCACCCTTATCAACAACATGACGTGAAGCAAACAGTACCATAAAGATGGCTATGAATTGATGGACTTCATTTTCGAGCATATCAGAAGCAGTAAAAGGGTCTGTAAAAAATTAAAAAAAAAATTAACACTTGATTTTTCTTTTACTCTCTTTTTCTTTTAGTTTTCTTTATGTATCTCACACTGACCTTCACTGTTGAAGTCCTCAATCTTGATCTCATTGACTTCATCTTCAACATTGTCATCAAAATCATTGTCGTCTCTGTCATTATCAAACATTGAGGCGGCATCCAAAAAAGGTGAGTTGGCCTGACCGTCCATTGCTTCCACAGAATCGGAACAAGAGGTCAGGATTACTACAAATATGGAATATAATAGTTTATTAGTTTTTTTTCTGCTTTCAAATAAAAAAATTCTTACCCTCAGTATCTACATTCATGTTTCTCATTGCAGCTGTGTTTCATTAAAAGTTTAAAAATAAACAACATAAATAAAAAATAAAAAATAAAAAATAAAAAATAAAAAATTAAAACGATTATTACGCAGCAAACAAAAAACCAACACTGAATATATTATACTATTCTCAAATATTCTGGTACCTTCAACTCTAGCTCTCTTATTACGACGAGTCTCAGTACACTTTGCAGCATAAGAAGATTTCTGATGACTGTTGTGACATTTAATGCAGTGACAGTCTAAGGTGTGGATTTGGGTAAAGGGAAACATATTGTGTATAGCTTGAATTATAAAATAAAAAAGGAAACAAGTACTACAAATACTTTATTTGATGTGATTTTATAGCAAGCCAAAAAAATATGAATTTTTTATTGTCTATCTAAACCAATAGAATACGTCAAAAATACACCCCCAACTTAAATAAAAAAACGGCTGAGCTGAAAAAAAACCCTGACATTTCCACTACCTTTCTCGTTACTTAAAGCTATAGTATTTTTTTTATTTTTCCAGTAGTAACTGGTGACTATGCATCTAACCCTTGTGGTGTAGCTTTAGAGCAATGGCTTGAAGAACGATCTTTAACTGTCCTCAATGGAGTTCTCTCACTATGCACACCCACATACATTTCCTTTCGTAACGAAGTTGAAATCAGCAGCATCATTGACCTTTTCATTGCCAACACCAACTTCGCCAACCCTTCTTTACACATTGCAACCAAACTATCTTTAGGCTCTGATCACTGACTTGTCTCACTTTCCTTTACTTATGACCTGCAACACTCACCACCAGCACCTCCACCTATGCACCAAACTTGGAATCTGTCACGTCTTTATGAAGATGATGTCAGATCATTATATGTCACCACCTTTGTCACCAAATCCACCTCCCTTCTCACCACACTGCAAGACCTTGTTCAGAATCCACCAACTATATGTCCACCCATTGATGCTCTTACTAACTCTTTCGATACACTCATTTATGACTCTCTTAGTAGCTCCATTGGTTCTCGCCCCCCTCGCCCCTCACATTGGAAATCGTTTTGGACCCCTGCATTGCAAGCTGCAGCCGACCATAGAGATAGTTGTTACAAGCAATGGCATTGAGCTTGTGACATTGACAAGATCAATTGGTGGAGCTGGCACCAACATGCACATAAGGAGTTTCGTCAGCAAGTTCAAACTGCAAAGCATTTGTCTTGGCATGCTTTTTGTCACTCAATGAACTCGGATTTCAACAAGGCCACGTCCAAGATAAAGTAGTTGAAACGGCGCAGGAAACCACAGCACTCATTTCAGCATAATGATGGCCCAGCAGTTGTGGCAACAGTTATGTGTGACCATCTTGCATCAGTCTATAGTGAACACATACTTCCTGACATTCGACCTTCACCACCACCACTCAACACCTCTCTCATGCCTTTTGCCTCTGTTGACTCCCCATTCACCTCACCAGTGGTGGAGACCTTCATGCAATTTATGCCTAACCACAAGGCGCTGGGTCCTGACCACATCCGTGCAGAAATGCTAAAGCCTATTCGGTCTCACATCTCACCTCTTCTTGCCTGTCTCTTTACTATCTGCTGGCAATGGTCATACACTCCTTCTCTCTGGCGTCAAGCACAAGTGTTTCCCATTTTCAAAAAGGGTAACCCTTTAGATGCTGCAAACTACTGTCCAATTTCTCTCACTTCTGTAATTCGTAAATTATTTGAGATGTGTCTTGCTCCTGAGTTGCATAAATTCTCTTCTCCACTGGATGTAGCTCAAGATGGATTTTATCCTCGTCGTGGTGCTCTGGATCAAGCTCTATGTTTACACGACCTGATGAAAAGCTATTTCATTGTCATCACCACTATCCAATTGTTGCTTTCTTGGATATTAAAGCTGCCTATGACACTGTGGATAGACGTGTCATTTGAAATGCCCTTGTCAGACGATCCATATCAACTGCTCTTCTTGGACTTTTGGTCAACATGTTTGATGATATGTCTATCTCCATTCTTCTTGGCAATTTCTCCTCACATTCATTTTCACCAAAAACAGGCGTGCTTCAAGGTTCAGTTCTCAGTCCGCATCTATACTCTATTTACATCAACTCCCTGCCAGCTCTTCTTTGCTCAGTTGCATCTCCTCTCACTTCTACCCATGTGCCATCATCGTCTCCCTCCTCATTAGATGCATATCAGTCTCTTCTTGCTCCTTCAGTTGTGGATGGCTACCAGCATGCAGTCTCATCAACATCAATAAATACACTTCTTTTTGCTGATGATGTGGCAATATTTGGTTCTGCTCATGACGTTCAGGCTATGATCCATTTGGCTGCCCAACACTCATTTGATCTTGGTTTTCGTTGGAGTCCATCTAAATGTGCTATCATTTACCCTCCTTCTCGTTTTGCAAACCATCCAGATCTATCTCTATATGATGAGATTCTTCCTGCAGTGGAGGAGTTTATATATCTTGGTGTTCCCTTTCACAATAAAGCTATTCATGGGCCTTCTATTGTCACTCATCGTCGTTCTGGAGCCCTGGCAACCATGGCAATGCTGAATGCAGTTGGAGCATGCTGGTCTGAATTCTCTCTGCTTCTCAGCTCTCATCTGTATAGGACCTTTATCAGACCAAAATTTGAATATGGATTGGCTATTCTCCCTCTGAAAAGAACTGATACTATCCAGCTTGAGAAGATCCAAGATAAATGTTTGCGCATGATAGTTGGTGGGCACCAAACCTCATCTACAACTGTGCTCAAACATATATGTCACCTCCCTAGTATGAGTTTCCGTGCTGATGTGCTGATAACAAAGTTTTGTATTCGTGCTCACTACCTTCCCTCTGGCTGCCTTCTGTCTCTTCTTCACTGTCACCACTCTCAGTCTTCATCACTTGTCTCTCTTCATCATAATACTCTCCTTCAAAGCATCTCTATTGATTTAAATGTTCATAGTGGCAAAGCTCTAAAACGTCACTTTGAGACCTTCCGACAGTTTAAAACTGATCAGCTATGTTTATTATCAACCCAAGTCCTGTTCTTAGCATGCCGCCCTCTTTTGGAAGTAGATCCTATTCTGTTCTTGCCAGCAACTAGAGTAGAGTGTAGTCGTCTTATTCGCTGGAGAATGGGTTGGTTGCCTGGCACCCCAAAGGATTGTCTATGTGGTACTGATCATACCTCTTGTTGTCATCTTGTTCTCTGCTCTTTGGTTCCTGCTCATCTCTTAGCTTGTCTTCCTCACCTACCTGACTCCAGCTGCAATCCAATTGATGCTGCCATTACTGCTCTTCCAAGTTCTAGCACAGCTCCTTGTCCATCCTATTGGATAGCTTTGTTAATTATTCTTTGGCATTTTGATAAGCTTTGCAATCCAGATGGTGACTACACTCATGAAACTCACTTTGGTACTCTTTGGGCTGGACTTAGTTAGTTTTCTTTTTCTTTTTTTAGTTCTCTTTTTCTTGTCTTGTCTTTCTTTTCTATTTCATTTGCTTTCTTTTTTTTTGTCTTTTCACACATGAACTGCTGCTTGCTTGCACTCCTATCTCCTCCCTTTCACTGTTACAACATTTTTATACAGCTGCAAAGTGGAGAGTAGGGTACAACTTTCAGCTTATTAGTGTTAGTTCTTTTCTTCTCTTTCTATTTTTTGTCTTTTTGTGATCGTTTTGGACTTTTTTTATCTTTTTCTTTTTGTACTTGGGAGGCTAAATGATCTATAGATCGCCAGCAATATCTCCTTTAATAAAACATAATCTTTAACCTGAGCTACATCCCCTGTTGTGCTGGTGCTCTTGCCATAATGGCAACATATAATTCTGTTGGTGCATGTCGTTCTGGTTTTTCTTTACTCCTTAGCTCAAGGCTTTACAAGACATTTGTCAGACCCAAATTTGAGTATGGCCTAGCCATTTGTGCTCTTCTCAAGAAAGACTACATAATTCTTGAATGGATCCAGAATAAGTGCCTGCGTATGATTGTTGGTGGGAATGCTATCTCTTCTACTATGGTTCTAAAACATATATGTAACTTTCCTCAGATGCATTTTCGTGCCAATATTCTTATCACCAAATTTTGTATTCAAGCACATTCTCTTCCTTCTGGTTGTTTGCTTTCTTTCGTTCATCAACATCATCCACAAGCTTCTACATTTCGATCTTTGACATCAAACTTTCTTCTTCATAGTATTCCTAATAATATTCACTGCACTAGCCAGACACAACTTGCAAAACACTTTGAATCTGTCAGACAGAAATTATTCAATCAATTTTGCTTGTCTACTACTCAGGTTTTGATCCATGTATACTGCCTGGTATTGGAAGTTGACCCAATATTGTTTCTTCCAGCAACACGCACTGAACGTAGCCGTCTGATTCGTTGATGCATGGGTTGGTTGCCTGGTCAACCAAAGGAATGTGCATGTGGCTCAAATCATACATTACAACGTCATCTTCAATTATGTACCTCAATTCCACCACAATTAATTGCCAAGCTTCCAATACCACCAACCTTTGAGAACAATATCATTGACTTTGCTATATCAGCATTGCCAATCTCATTACAAATCCCAGCCCCCTATATTGGAAAGCTCTTCTTACAATACTCTGGCATATTGACATTCTGTGCAATCACAATAGCAATTACACACATGAAACTGATCATGTTTCTCTTTGGCACTAGTTATATCACTTTTATCTTTGTTATCCTTTACTTGTTTTCTTGTTATTTTTATATTTTCTTTCATGAAATGTTTCTAGATCTGCAATTCTGTCTTCTCCCTTTCACTGTTACAACTTTTTACACAGCTGCAAAGTGGAGAGCAGGTTCAGTCTTTTGGCTTAGTATTGTTTATTTCTTTTCTTCTATTCATTTTTTGTCTTTTATGGTCCTTTTGGACTTTTTTTGTCTTTTTCCTTTTGTACTTGGGAGGCTACATAATCTATAGATTGCCAGCAATATCTTCTTTAATAAAAATAATCTTTAATCTGAGCTAGGCTGAATGGTAAAATAGACCGACACGCCCTTTTTTTAAAAAAAATGTTTTTCTAAAATCCTGAAATTTTAATATGTTGTAGCTGGAATTTTAAAAATGAAACAATTTTTTTCTGAAATTATGTTGCTATAGCCAATATAAAAATATTGTCTTTTTGGAAATAGTAATATTTCTAATTAATATATACAGTTTGTACACGTAGCTTAAATATTGTCATGTGGCTATATTTGTGTAAAGGGCGTTTTGGCAAAATAGTACATTTTTGCATTTTCACTCCCACAGTCAGGGTTCAAACCTGGGTTGTAATTTTTTTTATTTCATTAAAAATTAAACATTATTATATTTATGTGACTGTAGATAGTGTCTTTATTTATGACAGCTAAATAAAACAGTCTAAAAATTAAAATTTTTGAAAATAATATAAATATCTTTTTTTTATTATTTCTTTCTTTCTTTCTTTCAATATTTATATTTTATTTTTATTTTTGATTATTTAATATGCCCAGCTATTTTCAGGCAAAAGATATTTCAACCACACCAGACTTTGAAGAAATTCATAAAATTACTGAGTCTAAGAAGGCTTCTGCTATGTAAGTTGTATTAATCAATAATGCTTTAAATATATATTAATTATAATAATATATATATATATATATATATTATATTATAGTTATCTGAAAGAAAATAATATTTTCTATGAGCAAATGTTATGTTGCAATGGATGACCTATGACTTTACAGTGGCATAATAGTAGAGAGAAGTTTTACTGGAAGTGCAATTCCAGAAACTGCTGCAACAGAAGTAAAATGTCTATTAGAAAAGATAACATCTTTTCTTTTAAAAAGATGACTTTAAATACTATAGTATATCTTATTTGGTGTTTCATCTTGAATCATTTACTGAACATGATTGAAGAAGCAATCAAACTGAGTGCAAAGACAATTGATACTTTTATGGCAGATATTCAAAAAGCCATTTGTTAAAATATCAGTAGCAATGATACTTTGATTGGTAAGTAGAATATAATATATGTTTTATTAATAAATTCTAATAATATAATAGGAGGAAAAGGAATTACTGTTGAAATTGATGAATCTAAATTTGAAAAACAAAAGTATAATAGAGGACATAGAGTTAAAGATTTTTGGGTTCTGGGAGGTGTTGAGCAGACATCAGAAAGAAAAATCTTTTTGATGGCTGTATCAAACAGAACAGCTGACAATCTTTTGGATATTATCCAACGTCATGTTCTGCCAGGCTCTATCATTCACACTGATTGTTTGAAATCATACAATCAGTTAGAAACTCTGGGATATAGACATTCAACAGTAAATCATTCTGTTGAATATAAAACAAGTGAAGATGTACATACCAACACAATTGAAGGTAATATTAAAATATTTTGAAATATATTATTAATTATAATTTATTAGGTACTTGGAATGCTGTAAAGCAGCAAATGGCCTCAAGATCAAGAACCAAGAAAATAGTACCATGGAAATTAATGCAGTTTATTTGGAGACGCAAGCATGCTGAAAATCTTTGGATAAATCTATTACAAACTTTGGCCAGAGTTTCTGTTATTAGACAAACAACAGATAATAATATCAGCTTAGAACAGCAACTTTTGCTTGATCTTGGTCAAGACTATGAAACATATTTCACAGAAAATGAATCTTCTTCTTCTGAAAATGAAAATGATATCAGTAGTAATAGTAATAATACTAGTGATAGTACTGATGACAGTAATTTTATTTTGTAATTTTTTTATTTGTTTTTTACTATTTTATTTTTAATATCTTTATTAAAACCATATATTTATCTTGTTTACTGAGTATATTTATATTTTTTATATTATTTGTAATAATAATTATAGAAAACATTAATTTAATTATTTAATTAATTAAATAGATATTTTATGTACTAATAACATATTAGCTTCAAACTAATCACAATATGTATATATTTTTATTTCTGATAAATTTAACAACTGACAATTAAAACTGCTATATCTTTTACTGATTTAATAAATAATTAAAAAATCAAAATTATTTATTGATAGATTTATATTTATTGCATCTGCAGAATTCAGATCATAAACTAATTGTCTTAGAAATTTACAACTTAAGTCAAATATTAATCTGAATTAATATTAACAGGTTGCTAATATAAAGAGCAAATAAATGTTTTTAAGTTATTACAAATAATATAATATAAAGATGTTTTTCTTAAAATATATTAATAATAAAAATAAATATTTTGTAATATATGATAATTGTTTCTAAGAAGAAAAATATAGAAATAATATAAAGTATCAAAATAAAATTGTATTTTTAACACATATAAAAACTTCTAATATTTTCATTAAAAATTAAAACTGTATAAAAGTTTTTATTATATTACTTTATATATATTTAAATTTCTTTTATTTATGTTTGAATCTAATTTTACCAAAATACTTTAATTAATTAATTTTAGTAAAGCTATATATTATACAAATAAAATTGTTTTTTTAAAATTTGCTATCTTCATTTTCTAAGTCCAGTTATTTAAACTAGTATTTTCTGTTTAAAATGTTTTAATTAAGTAGATAGTCTTGTTAAAAGTGCTAAACTACTGGTCTAAAAAAAAGAACAAATCATGTCTCACATAGCTTTCTTGACATATTCTGCTCATATTTTCCTTATAATATATTAAATAAATAAGTTGTACTTTTATGAAAGTATATTTACATTTGCTACAATTTATATACAATATAGAAAATTCATATATACATATATTCTCTATGAGATTTATTTTATTTAATATTAAAAAATAATAAAAGTCTTATAAATTGAAGTTGAAACAAATCTTCCAAACTTTAAAATAATTTTGATTCTCAAAAAGATAACTTTGGGTTCATTTCCGATGTTGATTTTCAAATATAGCAACTTATATACATCTCTATTTTTCTGGCAAGTTCAGAATATTTAAAAATATTATATAATTTAGCTGCAAAAACTTTCAAATTATTAACATATAAACAATAATAATATTAACACTATTATCTAAAGTTGTTTTATATTACTTGTGTAATATATATTACTATATCTTATATAATTATTCATTAAAATGGAATATGTATAAAATAAAATACATAGATATTAAATAAATAACTACTATATATTATAGCTTATTTTCTAAGCTATTAAAAATTAAAATAAAAAACTAATTATAAAATCAGATATCTTAGTTATTGTTATGTATCAGTTAAATAAGAGTGTAAAAAATAAATAAAAGATATATTATATAGAATAGAAAAAAACAAACATTATATAATATTATTATATTATTATTTTAAATAAATATATAATATCTACATCAATACATAAAGCAAATACTAAAAGAAAACACTTATTTTTTATAAAATCAGATAAATAAAATCTTAGAATACTTCTTATTAATGCAGTCAGTTTTTTTTAATAATTGATATATAAATTAAATAACAAACAAAGTTTACAATAAGTATTAATATATTTTTAAAAAAATAAAAAAAAATTGAGAAGCTGTCTCATATAATCTGTATATATATATCATTAATATATATAATAAAAATTTTATGTTCAAGAAACTTAAAAAATATCAAATATAAAAAGTATTATTTCTTATTAACTCTTTTTATATACATGAATTTTAGTATAAAAAATATCAAACATGTTTTTATTGATATTTTATTTTTGTATTTATTAAAAAGCCATATATAAAAACATAGATGAAAAGAATTTACTTTAAAAAAATAAAATAATAGTTTCTGTGTACAAATAAATATATGTAAATTATATTTATAATTTTTTAAAGTAACTTTTACCAACTTATATATTAAAAATAAAAGAACAAATTTTAAGATTTTTATTATAAAACTAATTTTCATTCAATCAAAACTCCAACGACAGTCACAATATTTTCTCACGTTATATCTTTATATAATATCTGTTACTGTGATTTTTTAATTTTTTTGAGTCAGTAAAATTTTAATTTATCATATAAAATATAAATAAAATACAATATATTATTATTAAAATTAATAACAAAATGAATTTTAATTCACTCAATTTTAGTTCAGCAGTCACAGGAAGTTGTCACATTGTAACCATATAGTATATCTATAATCGTGAATTTTTCAAATATTTCTACTTAGTAATTTATTGATAAGTCAAGAAATATATAAAAAATACTTAAGGCGCGTCAGTATATTTTACTTTTTGTGCAAAAAAAAGGGCGCGTTGGTCTATTTTACCATAGATCCTAATGTTTTATATAAAATGGTTTTTCTGTTGTTTGATTTCTGATGTATATATACATTTATAGTTGAATACCGTTTTTGACTTTCTTGATGAGCTCGCCAGAGATGACTTGGAAAAAGAGCAATGCAGTTGAAGTCGCAGAGTCATATGTTAGTACACAAGACAATTCCTCATGGCTTGGTCACAAAAATGCCTGCGTGGTCAAAACGCGTATAATAAAATTTCTGTCTTTTTAGTTGCACTCTTTATCACATCTCTTTTTATGTCTACGAACTATGTTTTATATTATTATTATTATTTTAAAAAAAAGATAGAGTATTTTATTAAGCATATAGCTTTCTTGGCAGAGGAATAACAACGACTTTTGCCGCACTACTACCAGACACATGACTTCCAATTGCAATTGGCAACAAGATGCGGTGGACAGGCAGAATGTTGTTATAGTCATACTTCAGAAATTCTGGCTCATACAACTCGATGCCCTGCTTGATTCTAGGTTGATGGCAAGAAATTTTGTACCACTCAACGAAGACAAATACATGTTGGGGGTTGTGACAAGGGGAAAGGTTGGTGTGCATGAGGTTTGATGTAAAATCGTGCGAGAACAAGTACTTAATACAACCAGCATATCTTTTCTCAGAGTCTCCACTTTTTTCAATAAATTTTGCTTGTATATGCGATCCTCTCACGACCAAGCCTTCTCCACCTGTGTAAACTTGTCCAAGAAGATTGATGGACGAAATCTTCTGGATCTGGTCATTCACAAACCAACAATTCCTAATTGTTGTCTTGGCACTGCAAAGAGAATCATTGTCATACTCAATTTTATAGAAATTGAACAGACAATCATACTTGGATTTTCTCATTGTTGTTGGTGGCTTCAAACACAATGGTAGAGCAGAAAGAGATAGAGGTTTGTTGCCAAATGTTTGCTTTGAAGGCTTTTCAGTAGATTGTAGAAACGTTGGCAAGTGAAAGAATGACAGTATCAAAGGATGTGGCGAAAGTGCAGGATTATATATTTTATGGCCAGACAGCTTGAGAAAGAGAGAGAGAAGTAAAGGGCTGGTAACATTGCTGAGATGCGCTTGACAAAAGTCACCATTGTAAGAATTCTCAAGAAACCTTTTCATGTAGGTATTCTTGAACGTACTTTTCTGGTTTGTCTCAAACCCTTTCAATACACCATTATAGTTGTTGTGAATTAGTATTGATTACTGCTGAATCTGAGAGTAAGACTGAAGGATAAAATAATATCCTCAGCTATTCCAGTCAAACGGATCTCCCTTTATGATATTATCTAATACACAGATCATCATACACATAATTGATTATTTATTATTATCACCATGACATAGGATATACAAATACATATACATTATATATATTGCATTATTATATTTCATCTACATATTTCTTTTATTATACAAATACTTAATTGAGAGACTACAACTACAACTATCTAATATTATGAAACATTACCCGAGTATCTGGGTCGGAATACTAAAATATTACCAATAGCATAAATGCTCTTCTTTACCAAAACTCTTGGACTGATCTGACTGGAGAAGTATCATATCAATTGGTCTTTCCGGATCTTTCCAGAAGAACAATACTCCTGGAAGATGACTCATCGTGATAAAGATTACTTAAGCACACACTGAATTACAAATTAGAAAAACATATAAATATCAGTAGATAGTTCCATGTAGAAAGACAATCAAATTTTATCATTCTTTACTTTTCTTTTGAAATAAACAACCTACACAAGTTCTCACGAATTCTTTCATCTATATTATATTTTGCTTTATTTTCTCCCCACAACAATAGTGCTCAAAGCTAAATAGCCAAAATCCGTAAATTGGCCCAAAGTCCTCAATCGTTTCTTTTAGGTGGAGATGAAGATGCATGTTTTGCATGAATACATCTGGTTTATAAAAGTCTTCACAACCAACACAGAACTCCTCCAAACTTTCGTGAGCTTTTTTGATCCCATTTTTGGTGATACTTGGCTTCGTCAATTCTCTGCATACATCAACAAAATTGATCCAATTGCCAAGCAGATCATCTCGCAGGCGTGTCTTAAGCAGAACAGGAGAGTATATCAGACACCATGATTTCCACTCATCTGCCTTCATAAACTGAAATTTCTTTCCAATCTTTATCTTCAGAGTTGTATATCCTACAGGAAGTACCATTCTATTAGCCTCTTTCTGCATCTCTACAAAATCTTTGTCATCAAGCAAATTGTTTGCAATCCAAATATCTATCATTCGTTTTGCAGTCCCGAGAAAAAGGTTGTGTATGGGATTGATAATGGTTGCACGCACTGGCTCAAAGTACACAAGTTGATGAAGCTCAGACCAACAGACACCATTCTCAATCTCCAATCGCTTTCTCTCTGTCAATGTCTTTGCATTCTTCCCCAGGTTTGCATGTCTGCGATTTTCTTCTTTTGTGCGGCCTACCCATTGCAAAAACTTAAGCCCAAAATAGTTTACAGCAGTGGTCCCATCAATACGAGCAAACTGACAATTGCATTTGTAGCATGCACATGTGCTGTTGTGAGATGTAAACCCACACGTCTTTCTTGCAGCAGGGATGTCGCATGCAACTATCAACAGAGCAGCACGCACCAGAGCACCTGAGCAGTTATATGTATCAATTGTGATACCTTTATACAATAGCATAAGTTCATCAACAAGAGGACGCAAATAGTTATTGATCTTGTCGGTGCTTGCTTCTTTAGGTCTAGGCATCAATCCAACAAGAATAACATTTTCTGCCTTGTTCTGCTCTTCTCTCAGCAAATTGTTAATTGTCAGGTATATCGCACCACATGAATATGTTACTCTATCAAATGGTTGAAATCAATCAATGTTCAGTGTCAATAGTAATGATTGTTTCTTGGAAACAAACTGGACACCATTCTCATCAACTAATTCGTTTCACATCTTTCCATCATATACATCGAATAAAGTATGGTCAACTTTTGGTTCATGATTCCATCTGTTGATCATACTCTCAAAAGAAAGACATGTAAACATTTTTTTCAAGATAGTTGTCAACGAGTTATAAACAAATGTGCACTTTGGAATCATGGCGTTCTTTATACTAGACTTGTAGAGATCATTCTTACAATGTGTCTTACTACCAACTCTTTTGAAATTGCAGGATGTATGTGTGTTGTTGCTGTAATCGTACAATGTGTGATAATTACTGCATGCTACATATTTTGATATGCTGTTTGTCAAATCATTGTATCCTGTCATTTTCCTCAAACCCGGAATGCTTGTGGGAAGTCGGAAATCCTCTCCATAATGTTCGAGGATTGTATTTATGAATGTAATCAAAATTACTGTGCCTTCATCCACAATGAAGCTAGAAATAAATATCACAGTGAAAACCGCAATTACTTGATGCCAAATATTCTCTGGAAGGTTTTCTGTAGACTCTGTAAGTTATCATAAAATAATATTAATTTTTTGTTTCTTTAATTCAAACTTTTTTTCTTCAATAATAGTTTATTTTTAATATTTACCCTGTTCTTGCTCTCTGTTCTGTTCTTCTTGCTCAAATTCATCCGACAACTCATATTCAGACTCATACTCTGAAGTATACTCCTCTGTTTCAAAAAGAGATTCTTCTACCAAAAGAGGTAAGTGGGTATTGACATACTGCTCTGGTGAGGGTGCACCAATGGAGTAATTATCATCTATTGGTACTGAGTTTAAATAGAGTGCACATTGGGTATAAAATATAAAATACTATTACATTTAATATGTTCTTCAATTTGATCTACGTCCATATCAGCTTCACCAGTATTTACTTTGGCTGTCAAAACTATTTGTTCCAATGAATTAGAATACATCATATAAATAAATGAAAAATTGATAACTTAATTTACCATTAATGGTTTTATCCATTTTCCTGTCATTATCATTCTGGGCATGATGCTTGGCAGTTCTTTTATCTGCCATGGTATATCCAAGAGAATTGCAATTGCATCTTGTGCATTTGCAATGAACTTCATTGGGATTGGCAATGGCAAACATTTTTTTACTTAATTTTTTTAATAATAAAGGAAGTGTGTAACAGCCGTTGCTTATTATAATTGTCTTTATTATTTTGAAAAATTCTCTCAGGGACTCTGATATATGTTAGGCCAATGATATGTCTTTAAATATATTCTCGCTGCTAAACACAGAAAATGATCTGGGTTGTAATTTTTTGGCTACTATTATCAATAATTTCAGGTAAGTGAAATTCAATTATTTTAAGATGTTTTTGCAGTGAGAGCTTGGTCAAGAGCACCATGACGAGGACGAAATCCACCTTGGGCAACATCTAAAGGAGGAGAATATCTGTGCAATTCTGGGGCTATGCACATCTCAAACAACTTACAGACAACAGATGTAAGAGAGATGGGGTGGTAGTTAGCTGCATCCAAAGGGTCTCCCTTCTTAAACATTGAAAACACTTGGGCGTGGCGCCAGAGAGAAGGGGTGTATGACCATTGCCAGCAAATAGTAAAAAGACAGGCAAGAAGAGATGAGATGTGAGACCAAATGGGCTTTAGCATTTCTGCATGGATGTGATCAGGACCCGGCGCCTTGCAGTTAGGCATAAATTGCATGAAGGTCTCCACCACTGATAAGGTAAATGGGGAGTCAACAGAGGCAAAAGGCATGAGAGAGCACTGCAAAAGGAGGGCCAATTCAGTATACTAAATCTTGACCAAATACTGTCTGAATGAATAAAATTCAGCATGAATTCGATCGGAATTTATGATGCCAATTTTTTAAAATTCGTGAGCTAAATGAATACAATTAGTATACTGAATTTTAGGAACGCAAAAAGAAAAAGTGTGATATACTTTTATGTGATATATTTTGGTTGTGAAAATATAGACGCACTTTTATCAGATCGCAGATTTTTCATTTTATATTGGTTTTGGGGTTTTTTTTTAAATACAGCAGATAACATTCAACATCTTTCTATTACTATATATGGGTTGTTAAAGAAGAGATTTGGTCAAGATTTGGTCAAGATTTAGTCAAGATTTAGAGGTTTATGGGTCATTTTAAAGGTTTTTATTGGTTTGAAAAAATTTTCTTATTGTTTCTAGCTGTTTCTATTCGTCTACATCACTAATCGTCTTCTGTTGCAATTGGGTAGAAACATCACACTCGATGCCGTCATTTATTTTAGTGGATACTATGTTATTCCTTTCGAACATCCATTGGTCCACCCCTGGTGCAATCGACCCCTACTGTATTCCATTGCTTGCTGCGGCACGCCTTCTTGGCCTGTTTGTTTACTTTTATAAAAAATAATTATAGGGTGGATTAGAAAGAATGTTCTAGGTATATTTATTTGAGAGCGACAGATTATTTAAAAAATATGAATGTACTTACAATAAAGTTAAACACAAGAACAGATGGATGTCTTTAACATAAAGATAGATATATCAACGTTTTAGTTAAATGTCTCAATTATAGTAATATTGTCTATAAAAATAATAACTTTTGTTAATACGATGCAAAGTAAATAAGACTATGGTTTGCTTACCAGACAGTTCAGAAAACAGAAGAGTTGACAAACACAAAATACAATGACATTGTCTATAAAATATAATCTTTTATTAGAATGAAATAAAGAGTATCAGACTATTTTTTGCTTACCAATTATTCAATACAATAGAAGATGCAGCATGCGGGAAATGGAGATATTATCTATAAAATAATTTCTTTTCATTAGAATTACATACAAAGAAGTAGAATGATTATTTACTTACTTGTCTGTCTGTAGAGAATAAGAGTCGGTGTATAATCAAAAAAAGAGGACCGAGATAAAGACCAGTGACTATAGAGTGTATGGTATACATAAGAAAAATAATAAATACAAGTTGTATCTTGAAGGTGCACGTTAATATTTATACAACATACCATTTTGTAAACCCTCCCAAGGTATATGTCTTTGTTAACGGGCCAGAAAAATCTAAGCAGAATAATTAATACATAAATCGTGAATAAATATTCAAGTATATTTTTATTACCTTTTTATCATTATTTTTGAGGCAGTTAAGAAGGACTTGGTGGTTTAAAGCATAGTGTATCATGCTAGAATAAAAACAACAAGATGATTAGGTCTTGAAACTTTGATGTGAGTTGATGCTTACCATGTTAGACATTAAGAAAGAAGTAAAGAAGAAGAAAGAAAAAATTAAAAAAAAAACGGGGGAAATTCAAAATTATAATTTTATGACCGTTGACCCTGAGAAACTGATAGAATCAATGGAGCAAATTGAAAGTCATTCAACCCATCCCGATTGAGACAAGACATTACATACTAAACCATAATCTCTCACATCTTTGTAATGGATGTAAGCTATTACAAATGCCTTTCCAAGTCGGCTTATAAAGAAAAGTATAATATAGAGAGCAAAATGCTATAAAGAGCATCATCAGAAAAATAATCTTTTGGTGCCTTACTTTCCACCTTTACGTATGTTTTGATTTATTTTATTATTTTAAAAAAACCCGACTCTAATTATTAAAGTATTCACATTGTTTCCATTTCTTTCATTAGCCTTAAATATCTCAATTCATGTCTTCTAATACGCAGCAATCCAAAAAAACGAAAAAGACGACTACAAAAAAGTCTGTTCAACAAACCGCTGGGACAGCAGCAAGCACAAGACAACAGGAAATTCTTCCCAGCTTGACAGTTAGCGCAGAGCTAGATGGTACTGTCCTGTCCACTTTGTCCACCATGAGCACCCGACTGAATGAATCTCATTCACTTCTGGAGAAGGTCTACCACAACATGGGAGCAACCAATGGCCAGAATAACAATTCGAACCATAGTCCCATCGGTCAGGCTCTTACTACAGGAGAATATATAAAGTACCGCCTTCCAACGGTTTCGGTAGGATATATACTAGTAATAGAATATTGCAAAGTTACTTACATTATATTTTGCAGAGATTGATCCGTTCTCAAACATGAGCAGTTCTGGCAACAATGCCATTGACAGTCAATGAGGGCGCCTTCTTGACATCCAACCGTCCCATTGCTGATGTAGTGCAGAGCTACACACATCAGCAAGCTGAAGTAAAGTCTGTTTCATCTGCAGTTGTGGAAGAGAAAACCCGAAGACATATTTCGTATATGCTTCAAAGGGCAAAAGCTTTGCCAGAAAAGATAGCTCAACAAAATCGGATTTCTCGACGCCGGTCCAGAAAGAGAAACGTAAGTATAGTCAACAGTTTTTGTGTAAACTATTTTAACTTTTTTTTCAGATTCTTGCAGACTACAAGGCAATTCACTTAGCTGACAAGGCAAACCTTGAGTCTAAGTTTGGTGAGACTGTCGTTGACCTTCTGGACTATGACATGTTGTCTGATATTGAGTCAGATGAGGAGAAAAATAAAACTAGATATACTCCTAGAAATAGACATCCCTTGGTAAGGCTCTCATGATAAAAGTTATTTTTTTTAATACTTCTAACTCAAAAGTATTTATATTATAATGCAGGTGGATGAATACTTTACTGTTTTGAAGAAACAGAGACTTGCTAACAAGGGACCAGACGTCATTGGCAATTCTGTCTATCCAATTATTTTGAGAAACACCGAGTTATCGAATGAGAAAAAGGCACGTGTTGCTGCTTGGATTCACACACGCCAACAATAAATCGTTATTTTGTTTACAAAGTGCATATAGTACTTTAATGATTTTTATTGATTGTGTTGAATGATGTGGGGTGAAGTGGTAAAATATAATCAGGCGGTATTGTCAAGATGAGAAGCAATTAATATATAAATAAAAGGAAAAAGAAAAAGACAAAATCAAAAATCAAAATAATAAATTATTATTTTATTTTATTTTATTTTATTTTAAAGCCAATTAATAAAAAAAATATATATACAAAGCAATTATTTAATTATATAACCCTGATTGTTTTATCCTCGTTTTTTTTTATTGGAAATTATAATACCGATATTAGCAAGAATATGTAATAAAGGCAAAGAAAATGGTAAATGTCGGGTATTAAATATACAAGTTTTTTTGTCTTTTATATTATTGATAAAAGCAAGAGAAATAAATAATGGTTTTTACTATTTGTTAATAGTTAAAAAAAACTGGTAATATAATTTACTATTGCTCTTTTAAATACTTAATAAAGAAGTAATGTTAAAACTAAATAAGAATACAGAGATAAATAAAGCTAAACCTTTTTACAGTCAAAAAAACTTGTATTATAATTATTTATACTGGTAACCTAAATAGTTGTTATTTTTTTATGTGACTACTTTTCTAGGCAGTGGAATAACCAGGTGCTTTTGCGTCCCACTCTGCATTTTATGCGTAGTCAATGCAAAGCACGAATGCAGACGATGCACTGGAACAATGCACGAAGCATCTTCTTCCATTAATCCCTTGTCCCACAACTGCAGACCTTGATCAGCTAATGGCTGATGACTACTTGAATGGTAGGCGGGAAACCATTTAATGAATGCGAACGTTGACACTCTTTTGACTCCACCGATCTTGATGGTATGAGTAAATAAATACTCTATTTGACCAGGGAATTCAGATACATCGTCATTTGTTCTCTCAAGAAACAATACCCTCACAAAAGACCCGCGCTTCTTCTTTTCACCACTGCAGTACTCTTGCCCCAGCAACGAAATCTTCTTCACCTTTTGAATCCGATTGTTCACAAATACATCCTCACCAATTGGGATTCTCCCTACCACACAGAAGGAAACACTTGTACTCCGGTAAGCCTTGACATAGAATTCAAATATCTACTGATAGTGATCATCCTTCATCATAGTCAAAGGCTGCAACTTGATTGGCAATGTGGTCGGGGGCAAGGCCTCACTTCCGGTGACATTGTACCATGGATTTGTAGCAGCTTGCTGGAACATTGCTAAGCTAAATGGCAACGCAGGAGGGTGGCCAGCATCCAAATTCAAGGGAGAAGAGCTGTCGGAATTTGATTTTACTTGGGCAACCCCCTCAAGGAACTCTATCAGTGGTGATGAAAGATTGGTAGAATACGCTCGAAGAAAGCTACCAATGAATGCTTTCTCCAGGAAGACTCTCATGAAGGTGACCTCAAGACCATTGCGACGGTTCGTCTTGATGTTCTTCAACTTGCCATTGTATCTCTCGAAGTTATACAGCCAGAATGCGTATACCGGACCAAAATTAAGCATTGACTCATGCAAGTGCATATTTGGCGTGATGCTGCTCTCTCCATAAAGAGTCTCACACTCTTTTCCGAATTCTCCAAGGAGCTGGTGTGCACTGTCAATTTCTGAATATGTGACTGAAGGACCAGTCAACTTTCGGCATGCTTTTACAAAGAGAGTCCAGTTTTTGTAGTCGTCTTCAGGCAAAGCGTCTTTTAGTACCACCAACGAATAAATCAGACACCACGATTGCCACTCGTCTGCCTTCATATACGGGAAACCAGATTCGATCTTTGTTGATAAAACGGCATACCCAGGAGGAACAAGAATACCATCGGCAAGACGTTGCATACAGATGAGAACAGCAGTTGGGAGATACCTCAGGTCTTTCCAAACACTGATCATATGCTTTGCTGTCCCAAGAAACAAATTGTGCATGGGATCAACAATCGTGCATCGGATGGGATCAAAGTAGTGTAGGCAATGCAACTCGGAAAAACGGGTGCCATGCTGCTTCTCCAAAACAGCTCTCTCTGCATCAGATTCTGTGCAGAACCACATCTCAGCTTTGGTTGCATTTTCCTCTTTTGTTCAGGAGACCCAGTTCTCATGATCGAATCCAGAATAATTGATCTTACTTGTTCCAGCAACAACAGTGAAATGACGCTTGCATATGTGACAGGCGTTTGTACTTGCAAATCCTGTAAATCCAGCAGTCTTTCTTGCAGCAGGTATGTCGCAAGCAACACACATAAGAGCAGCGTGGATACTAGTACCATTGGGGAACTCTGGAGTTTTCATAGTTATGCCGCCGTATAACTCTACCAGCTCGTCTACCAGAGGTTCCAAGAAGTTGTTCATCTGGTCGATCTTCGCTTCCTTTGGACCAGGCATGACACCGACAAGGATAATGTTTTCCGGCTTCATTCTTTCTTCCCTAGGTAGGTTGTTCATTGACAGGTACAAGGCCCCACTTGCATGTGTACGACCCTCGAACGGTTGAAACCAATCCACATTCAATGTCAACATCAAAGAATGGTTGTGATTCACAAAAGGCTCGTCATCTTCATCAAGGAGCTCAGACCACATTGCACCATCATAGACGTCCAACAAGGTACTGTTTACGGTTTCCCTTGATCTCCATTGAACGATTTGATGCTCGAACCCAGGTTTGGCGAAATGCTGTGCCAATGCATTCTTGAGCGAGTTGTATGGAAAAACCATGAGAGGGACGGCGCGATCAGCTTTGGTGTCAGAGAAAAGAGGATTTCCGCAGTATGTTGGTGGTGTGGTTGTGTATTTTTTGAATGTGCAATTTGGTTGGCGATTGCCTGGTAGGTAAATTGCAAAGCACTTGTTGCAGACGGTGTATTTGACGATGCTTTTTATCATGAAATTGAAGCCGGTCATAGTCTTTAATGCATCAATGGTGAGTGGGAGATCGGTATCCTTATCAAAGGCAACAAGAAGATGGCGGAAGAAGTTCAACATAGCAGTTCCACCTGCTTGAACCAAGTAAAACGCCTGAAAGATAACGCCAAATAGAGCCATGAATTGGCTTGTTTGAGACATTTCATGAATTTTCAAAGAAGCAACTACAAAGGCAAGTATTTCTGTTAATTATTTGTAACACAATTTATGTATATTTCTTTTTTAAATGTATGCATACCGGAAGCAACCATGTCTTCAAAATCTTCAACACTGGCAACCTCAACTTCGCTCTCATCTTCAGACTCATCGCTTGAATCAGGATCGTCATTGTCAGAAGCCAATGATGTTGTCTCGACATCAGACTCTTCGAATTGAAAAATCTCGTCTTCTCTCAAAAAAGGTACACTCTGTACAGTAGTTTCGGCTGATACAATAGAATAATTGTCTTCATCTCTAGTAAAGCCAGACTATTAGCTATCTAAATTATGATTTATTAAAAAGAAATTTTATACTCACAATCAATCGATGTTTCAGATACATCTACCATCTCAACGTCTGTCTCTTCTTCGACAACTTCTGTAGTAACTGATAATTAACAAAAAAAATATTAGATTACAATTTATCCAGTAATGCGCGTACTACTCAAATGTCATTTACCTCGATTTTTTGGGCCAATGTCTAATAACTTATCAGCATTATTATGACGCTTAAAGGTCTGTGCATTTTGCAAAATTCTACCAATTGCATTTTTGGTACATGATGAACATGTACACATAACAGTGTAGGTTTTAGTTGTAGAATTCATAACAGTAAGAATAATATTAATAATAATAAAATAATAAAGAGGTGTATACTATATTTTATTTTCATCTTTTATATGTCTCTTATTTTTGTCATTAATAATGAGTTGATATATCTTGTTCACTATGTCATTGACTACATTGAGCTTACCGTCCCTATTAGTAAGAATTACAAATGGATTTTGATGCAGCGATCTTTTCTTAAAAAAAGTGTGCCTGATTATTAATGGGGCTTCAATTTAATAATTACTGATATAATGGCGTAGTTTTTCTCTTTCGCGTTTTTTTAACATGACATCAATTCTCGCTCATTTTGGCAAGTGGCCTTTTTTGGATTTTCTTTTTCTTGTATTTTTTATGACATCAATTCTTGCTCTTTTTTTCAATTTTTTTTGATATACTTTCTTATTAAAAATAAGTCATATATCATACATTATTATATTCTAATAAAATTCAGTATTTTTTGCGATGCAATAAAAATATTATTGAGTCTAAATTAGGTGCATCTGTAACAACAAGTTTTTCCTTCCAGAAAAATAATTAAATACTACATTTAACATTTAATATTTTATTTTTATTTTTTATTTTTCTGCCAAGTCAATCGAAACATATATTTTTTAAGACAATTGTACGATTTATTGCCTAATTAATAAATATTTGTATTTGTATCTGTGTTTATTTAATATAATCAGAAAAAATTGCGAATTCCCATCTCAAGAAAAAAATATATTGAAAAACGATGGTGTTTGAAATATTTTTCCAAATTTTGCCAAAATTCAAAAAATAAAATTCGACCGAATCCACCCTCCTTTTGTAGTGGAGGTGTTGAGTGGTGGTGGTGAAGGTCGAATGTCAGGAAGTATGTGTTCACTATAGACTGATGCAAGATGGGCACACATAACTGTTGCCACAACTGCTGGGTCATCATAATGCTGAAATGAGTGCTGTGGTTTCCTGCGCCGTTTCAACTACTTTATCTTAGACGTGGCCTTGTTGAAATCCGAGTTCATTGAGTGGCAAAAAGCATGCCAAGACAAATGCTTTGCAGTTTGAACTTGCTGACGAAACTCCTTGTGTGCATGCTGGTGCCGGCTCCACCAATTGATCTTGTCAATGCCACAAGCTCGACGTCATTGCTTGTAACAACCATCTCTATGGTCAGCTGCAGCTTGCAATGCAGGGGTCCAAAACGATTTCCAATGTGAGGGGCGAGAGGGGCGAGAACCAATTGAGCTACTAAGAGAGTCATAAATGAGTGCATTGAAAGAGTTAGTAAGAGTATCAATGGGTGGACATATAGTTGGCGGATTCTGAACAAGGTCTTGTAGTGTGGTGAGAATGGAGGCGGATTTGGTGACAAAGGTGGTGACATATAATGATCTGACATCTTCTTCATAAAGACGTGACAGATTCCAAGTTTGGCGCATAGGTGGAGGTGCTGGTGGTGAGTGTTGCAAGTCATAAGTAAAGGAAAGTGAGAGAAGTCGGTGATCAGAGCCTAAAGATAGTTCGGTTGCAATGTGTAAAGAAGGGTTGGCAAAGTTGGTGTTGGTGATAAAAAGGTCAATGATGCTGCTGATTTCAACTTCGTTACGAAAGGAAATGTATGTGGGTGTGCATAGTGAGAGAACTCCATTGAGGACAGTTAAAGATCGTTCTTCAAGCCATTGCTCTAAAGCTACATCACGAGGGTCAGATGCATAGTCACCAGTTACTGAACTAAGGCGTGCATTAAAATCTCCACATATAATGGTATCATCAGTTAAAGGAATGGCTGAGAGGATATCAAGAGCTTCATGAGTGGGCATAGAGGGTGGTAAGTAAAGGCCTATAAGTCGAAGGGTACCAATCTTGACAGCAAGAGCATAGTTGTTGGGCATAGGTATTTGTGTGACAGCATAAGGACAGGAAGGAGAGACTAACAATGACACCCCCATTGATCCGCAGTAGTTGCCAGCAACAGGAGATCCATAGAGATGAAACTGAGACCATGAGGTTGGAAGACGGGCTGGGGATAAGAGCCATGTTTCAGTTATAAAAAGCATATGAAGAGATTGACAGTGATTGAGCACGTCTGTAATTGCACAAGGTTGAAGTCCATTAGCATTCCATTATCCTATTGAAAGGTCACTCATTCAATGATAGCAGTGAGAGCATCAAGGACACGTTTTTTGTTTGGAGCATCACCAAAGTGCTCAGCTACTGGTCGGACAGTAATTTCCTCAAGTCCAATCCATTCTGACTGGACAAAGAAGTGAGCAACTGGCAGGACCAAGTGAGAACGCAAAAACTTGAGAGCTTGGAGACAGCAGGCATTTTGGAGAACCAAAGCCTGGGTTTCAAGACCAGAGACAGACAAGTTGGCAAACTTGGGATCAGCAACATTTTTAGGATGAAGTGGATCAAAGTTGTTGACAAGAGAGACCTTAGCACTAGCTAATTGGGACTTAAATTCCTCAAGATACTGCACATGAACAAGAATTCCAATAACTCCATGAGCAGGAAAGTTAATATCTAACAGGCGACCAGTGTCAACACCAAGAGTGCGGAGAGAGCGGTGCACTTCACTGTGCATAATACAACGTGAGCGAGGAATATAAACATATTCAAAACCATCAGGACCAGTTTTGTCAGAGAACAGTCTTTGAGAGGCAGCAACCCGGCAGGCAGAAGGAACTTGAGGTGTCTTGGCTGGCAGAATCAAGCTTGTTTTGGTGGCCCAAGTGGAGGCAGCAGTTCCAAGATCTGCAGTTGACTGGGGTGCAGGAAGAGAAGCAGAGCTGGGAACAGGACCAGTCACATTGTTTTGCAACAATTGAGATCGGAGATTGGCATTCTCCTGCCGGACATTAGCTAATTGAGCATGCAATTGGACATTTTTGGCAGCAAGAGATTTTAAATATGTTGTACGTTCGTTAAGTGCATTGAACTGTGACTGCATACTGGTTAAAAACGTCACAAGTTCGGCTGGCAGACTTTGCATGCAATTAGCAGGCAACAATTGCGACATGTTTGGAGATGATCTTGAGATGGCAGCAATCGGCAGAGAAAAAGTGAAAATTGGTGATAAAATGACAGGAATGATAGGAAAAAAATTTTTGACAATGGATGCAGTGGTGGGAAGGGTAGATGCGTCGTGTTTGACAATGGATGCAATGGTTGAAGCAATATTTTGGATGAATTGATGATAGAATTGTATGGATGCAAACTTTAAAAAACCCAAAATTTAAAAAAGTAAAGCTTACGTGAAAGAGAAGTGGGGGGATGTAGCTCAGGTTAAAGATTATATTTTATTAAAGGAGATAATGCTGGCAATCTATAGATCATATAGCCTCTAAAGTACAAAAAGAAGATATAAAAAAGTCCCAAGAGATCACAAAAGACAAAAAAAAGAGAGGGGAAAGAGAAGATCAAATCATACTAGCTTCAATGACTGAATCTGCTCTCCACTTTGCAGCTGTGAAAATAGTTGTAACAGTGAAAGGGAGGAGACAGAATTGCAGAACAAAGAACTTTTCAGACAGCAAAGGACAAAAGAGAAAGAAGAGAGATAAAGGGAGTAAAGAACAATGAAAAGTGAAGAGCTATGAAAGAAAAGAAAAAGTGTAAATTATATCCAAAGAGCACCGTGTTCAGTCTCATGTGAATAGTCACCATCAGGATTACATATAACATCTATGTGCCAGAGAATAGTCAGCAGTGGTATCCAGTAAGCAGGTCACAGTTCTTGAGATGACAAAGGCAAGGATGTGATAGCAAAATCAATTCTGTGTATCTGATCTTGGTCAGGTTGAGGCAACTGTTCAAATAGTGCCACAGGAACAAGTGGGCAATCCAACAAATGGCGGCGTGAGGTGTGATCTGATCCACAAGGACATTCCTTTGGTTTGCCTGGTAATCACCCCATTCTCCAACAAATCAAACTGTCACGTTCCATACGTGAGGCTGGCAAAAACAAGATTGGATCAACTCCAAGAACTGGGCGGCATGCTTGAATGAGAACTTGCGTATTGGACTGGAGAAAGATTGCAAATCCAGCTTCTCTAATGCTTTCAAAATGATTTTTTACAGCACTAGGGCTTCGAAGTTTGAGTGTTGGAGGGAGATTGGACAGAAGATGGGTTTTTCCCAAAGAGACAAGTGAAGAATAGATGGTATGATGACGGTGCAAAAGAGACAGGAGGCACTGGGCTGGCAAAAAGCGTGATCTTATACAGAACTTGGCCATAAGAGCATTGGCATGAAACTTCATACTTGGCAGATTGCAGATGTGCTTCAACACGGGGATGTAGCTTAGGTTAAAGATTATTTTTATTAAGGAGATATTGCTGGCGATCTATAGATCATATAGCCTCCCAAGTACAAAAGAAAAAGATAAAAAAAAGTCCAAAAGGATCACAAAAAACAAAAAAAAATGACTAGAAGAAGAGAAATAAACAATACTAAGCTAAAAGACTGAACCTGCTCTCCACTTTGCAGCTGTGTAAAAAGTTGTAACAGTGAAAGGGAGGAGACAGAATTGCAGATCTAGAAACATTTCATGAATGAGAAGACAAAAATAAGAAGAAAAGAAGTAAAAGAAAACAGATATTAAGTTATTAGAGCTAGTGCCAGAGAGAACCATGATCGGTTTCATGTGTGTAGTTGCCATTAGGATTGCATAGCATGTCAATATGCCATAGTATTGTAAGAAGAGCTTTCCAATATAGAGGGCTTGGATGTGTAGACGAGATTGGTAGTGCTGATATAACAAAGTCAATGATGTTGTCTTCATCTGTGGGTGGTGCTGGAAGTTGAGAGAACAGCTGAGATGGGATTGTGATGCAGAATTGGAGATGGCGTCTTGAAGTATGATCAAAGCCACATGCATACTCCTTTGGCTTACCAGGCAACCAGCCCATTCTCCAACGTACTAGACGGCCACGTTCTATGCGTGTAGCAAGAAGAAACAATACAGGATCAACTTCAAGAAGAGGGCGGCAAACTTGGATGAGAATCTTAGTGTTGGTGAGACGAAAGTGAGCAAACTTTTCTTGTCTAAAAGACTCAAAGTGCTTGGATAGTTTTATGCGGCTGGAGCAATTAAGATCAGGGGGAATGCTGGCAAAAAGAGGGTTTGTGTGAAGAGTGGATAGTGTTGATGCTTAGAGATGATGAGAATGGAGCAGAGAGAGAAGACAACCAGAAGGAAGAGTGTGTGCCTGAAGACAAAATTTTGTTTTGAGAATGTCAACGCGAAAAGCCATACTGGGCAGGTTGCAGATATGTTTCAAGACTGCAGTAGATGAAGTTGCATGGCCACCAACAATCATTCGCAAGCATTTATCTTGAATTTTCTCTAGAAGTAAAACATCTTTTTGCAAAAGACATGTGATTGCAAGACCATACTCGAATTTTGGTCGTATAAAGGTTTTGAACAGACGTGAACTTAAGAGCAAACTGAAACCAGATCTACATGCACCAACAGCAGTAAGAGTTGCCATAGCAGCCAATGCTCCAGAACGACGATGAGTGACAACAGACGGTCCAAAGATGCCTTTGTTACAGAAAGGTATACCCAAGTATATAAACTCATTTACTGCAGGAAGCAACTCGCCATACAGAGAGATAGTAGAACGTGGTAAAGATCGTGAAGGAGGATAGAGTACAGCACATTTTGAAGGACTCCAACGGTAGCCAAGCTGGAAGGAGTGTTGGGCAGCAAGATCAAGCATACTCTGAACATCAGTGGCAGAGCCAAAGATGGCAACATCATCAGCAAAAAGAAGACTGTTAATGGCAGTAGGCAAGTGAATGTGTTGAAAGTCATTTGCATCTGATGGGGCAAGAAGAGAATTGTAAGCATCCAATGAGGAAGGAGAGGTTGATGGAATATGTGTTGAGGTGAGTGGTGATGCAACTGTGCGGAGTATTGGTGGCAGGGAGTTGATATAGATTGAATACAAATGTGGACTGAGAACGGAACCTTGAAGGACACCTGTGGTGGGAGAAAAAGAATGAGAAGAGAAGTTGCCAAGAAGAACAGATATAGAGACATTATCAAACATATTGACAAGAAGTCCAAGTAAAGCTGGTGGTGTGTGACGTCTAGCAAGAGCATCCCAAATGACTCGTCGGTCTACTGTATCATAAGCTGCCTTTATGTCTAAGAATGCAACAACAGGATAATGGTGATGGCGGTGGAAGTGTGCTTTCATGAGGTCATGCAGACAGAGAGCTTGGTCCATGGCACCACGTCTAGGACGGAAACCACCCTGAGCAACATCCAGAGGAGGGGAAAACTTGTGAAGCACTGGAGAAATACACATTTCCATCAGTTTCCGCACAACAGAAGTTAGTGAAATAGGTCGATAGTTAGCAGCAATTGATGGATCTCCCTTTTTGTAAATGGGAAAAACTTGAGCCTGACGCCAAATAACAGGTACATATGACCATTGCCAACAGATGGTGAACAAGAGTGAGAGTAGTGGAGCAATTTGTGGTCGAATTACTTTCAACATTTCTGCTCTGATGTGATCTGGGCCTGGTGCCTTGCGGTTAGGCATAAATTGCATGCATCCCTCTACCACTGAAGAAACAAATGGCGAGTTGGCAGAGGCAAAAGGCAGACTAGTACTGTGAAGAGGAGGAGGAGGACGCTGATCTGGGAGGATACTGCCACTGTATACAGATGCAAGATGCTCACACATAATTGTTGCTGCTGTTGCTGGTCCATCACTATGTTGAAACATGTGCTGAGGCTGCCGTCGGCGTTTGAGTAGCTTGATCTTTGATGTTGCTTTGGAAAAGTCTTGTTCCATTGATTTGCAGAAAGCATGCCATGATTGGCGCTTAGATGATTGCACTTGATGTTGGAATTCTGCCTGCGCTTTGAGATGCTTATCCCACCAATGAATTCTGTCTATACCACATGCACGGCGCCATTTCTTGTAGCAGAAATTGCGGTGCTCTGCAGCTGCTTGAAGTACTGGATTCCAGAATTTTTTCCAGTGGGAAGGACGGGGAGGACGGTTGCCAATTGAGCTACTTAAAGAATTATAAATGAGTGAGTTGAATTCATCAGTTAGTGCATCAATTGGTGGACGTGAGGAAGGAGGGTGTTCGAAGGTCGATTGCAAAGTGGATTTGAGGTTGGTGGAATTAGTGACAAATGTGTGGGCATATAGTTTGAGAACATCAGGTTCTTGAAGACGTGAGAGGTTCCATGTTTTGCGAGATGGTGGTGGTGCATGTGATGTTGGATTGATGGCATATGTAAATGAAAGTGAAAGCAGACGGTGGTCAGAGTTGAGTGAGAGGTCGGTATGAATGTTGAGAGTGGCATTGGTGAGGGACATATTAGTGATAAACAGATCAATGATACTGCTTATCTCCACATTTTGGCGGAATGAAATGAATGTAGGTATGCATGGTGAGAGCTGGCCATTGACAACAGTAAGAGCACGTTCTTCTAACCATTGACAAAGAGCAAGACCTCGAGTGTTAGTAGCATAGTCACCAGTAAGTGAACCCAAACGTGAATTAAAATCGCCGCAGATAATAGTGTCATTGGTCAAAGGAATGGATGAGAGAACTGCAAGAGCATCATGGGTGGACATAGAGGGCGGTAAGTACAGGCATACAATTCTGAGGGAACCAATCTTGATGGCTAAAGCATAATTAGATGACATAGGAATCTGAGTGACAGGATAAGGACAAGATGGAGAAATAAGAACAGAAACACCCATAGAACCTCTGTAGCTGCCAGCTACAGGTGAACCATAAAGATGAATCTGGGACCAAGAAGTGGGGAGACGAGATGGGGGAAGAAGCCATGTTTCAGTGATAAAAAGCATATGTAGAGAGTGACAGTGTTGAAGAACATCATAAATTGCACGAGGCTGCAGACCATTAGCATTCCAAAGTCCTAATGAGATTTCACTCATTCAGACATTGCAACAGAGGTACGACGAGATGGTGATTGGAAATCATGAATACCAGCACCAGGACCAGAAACAGAATGGACAGGAATATCTTCCTTAGAGATCCAGCCTTGATCACAAAAGAAATGACCAACAGGAACAGCAACATGAGGACGAAGGTACTTGAGAGCCTTCATACAACGATCAGAATGAAGTTCAGCAGCAACTTCTTCTAGCTCTGAATCAGAAAGAGACTTATATTTGGGATCTGCAATGTTTTTGGGATCCAAAGGGTCAAACGCATCTAAGATCTCAATGGCAACTGTGGTCAGAGTGGTCTGGAATTTCTCAGCATACTGGTTGTGAACTAGGATGCCAACTACATCCTTGGCAGGAAAATTGATATCCAAGATGCGGCCAGTATCAACACCAAGTGTTTTCAAAGAGTTGCGCACTTCTCTATGTGTGAGACGACGTGAACGTGGGATATACACATATTGATATCCTTTGGGACCAGTGGGAATGGCAAACATTCTAGCAGAAGCAGCAACCTGGCGAACAGAAGGAGGTCTTGGAGTCTTGCAAACAGAAAGAGCAGTAGGAACAACAACAGAGTTGTGAGCAGCAGCAGCAGTTGTAGCCCATGTAGAAGCCTCAGTGCCAGGCTCCTTGGGTGTGGTTGGTGCAGATGATGTTGATGCATTTGTTGTAATTTGGCAATTGCCCTGAGATGCTAATTGAGATCTGAGATCAGCAATTAGCTTTTCCGCATTAACTAATTGAGCAGTTAATCTAGCATTAGTTGCAGCAAGAGATTCAAGTTCATTGGTACGTTGTTGTAGTGACATGAATTGGGCCTGCATGTTCCCCAGAAATGAGGCGAGATCGGGTGACATTCCCTGCATGACAGAGGATGGCAGCAATGTTGACATTTGAGATCGCAAAAATGAAGAGTTGTCGGAATCGGCTGAAATTTTTTCTGCTGATAGATAAGGCAACAGTGGTAATGGATGCAATGTTTTTGACAATGGATGTAACGTTTTGAACAAGATGTAGGACAGATTGATGAAGCTTTTGTATGGATGCAACCAATTTTTTTGTTATGTCTTGTGTAACAGTAGCTTACGTGAAAGAGAGATGGGGGATGTAGCTCAAATGGTAGAGCGCTCGCTTAGCATGCGAGAGGCACTGGGATCGACGCCCAGCTTCTCCAAATATATATTTTTGATAATATTATATTATGTTTTTAGTTTGATTTTGTTGTACTTAATTTTTGTGATACAAGTTCTAGTGACTTGTTATTATGTCAGAGTTGACATCGGTGACCAAAATCGGAAGTTACAAGCAACTAGTAATGGTTGCCTTTTAGGGTAAAAGATCTTGACTTCACTCACACTGGAAAAACCGCTCTGATTAACAATGTGGCCAGGTTGGTAAACACATGTGTAGAAATAGTGATTTTTTTCAACTCAGTGTGTTTTTTGAAGTTCAGATCAAAGATGTAGTTTTAGTTGGTTTCATTGGCTAACAGAATTTTAGAATATCAGTCTTACTACGGCAGAGAAAATAGTAACATGTTACCACTTTGGTAACATAACTGCCATTTTTTACTTAATAAAAAATGGCAGTTATGACTCTGTATAAGGCCAAAACAGGCACTGTTACCATTTTTTACATAGTAAAAAATAGCAGTTATTTATTATGTAAAAAGCCAAAACAGGATTGTTACTATTTTTCAAAAAAAATCAAGCATCCTTCCTTTCCTCTATTACATTCTTTCTTTTGTTCTATTGCTTTCAATTCTAGCACAACCTCTTGTTTTTCCTTTGCAGCTTTAACAGAATGGTCTGTTTTTTATTATACAATATTGAATCGGGTTTAATTGAATTGAATCTTTATTTCAATGCATGTTTTATTAAATGAAAATGATAATAATAATAGTAATAATGAAAAAACAATTCCATTGGCCACTCGCAATAAAAAATGGTTCTGTTTAGCTACTGCAAAACGTATGCAGTAAAACACTACTATTCAAATTGTATTTCATATACTTTGGGTATTCTAATATATCTTAGATAGCACTTATTATTTTTTACCAATTTCTACAAATATACTAATATTAGAGAAAAAACTTAAAATAAATAAATAGATGTAATATTATTATAATGCTTACCTTTATATAATATGCTTACTTGTTCAGTAAAATAAGCATTTACTCTAAGAATATATATATATATTAAAGAATGTATTAATATTTAAGATCTATATATAAGAAAAGCAATAAAACATAAGCACTATAGAAAGTCGTTATCATAGAAGAAGAAAAACTTGAGCAAAGATTCAAGTCATATAACATGAAGCTAATTCAAATCTGATTCATACAACCGGAATGAGCATCTTGTTAGAAAGCTCAACGTGTTTATTCTACTCAATATACTTACATATAATAGAACGACTCCCAAGTATAATATATCAGTACAAAAATATTACTATTAATTTTTTTCTCAAAAAAAAGGCTATATACTATTTATATTTGAATATAGCGGAATTGTAGATGCTGTACATTAGCTTCAAATTCTTGTAATCACAATATTAGCAATCATATGAAAGAGGTCGATAAATTTTTTATATGAAAGAAAAAAGGAATAAAAAACATGAAAAGAAAAATGACAAGATAAGAAAAAAAATACACTAAAGACAGACTAAAAAAATCAAACTCAGCCAATCACAGCAGACAAACTACGATCTTCGGCTTCTCTTACAAGCAGGCTCGACACTTGCTGTGGGTAGAGGAGACCTACATAAAAGAGTAAGAAGTTTATATTAGTTTTGTATTAACAGCGCATGAGAAAAAGCAACAATGGTAACTTACAGCACATCTGCCATTATGGGTGACTCAACATCACCAGCTTCTGACATATCAGGAGAAGAAAGTGAAGAATCACTTATGTCTTGCTGTGTCTATAGCATAATAAAAGGAAACGATGTTAATTAAAGTTTACAATATATAGATTTGTTAATTGATAAACTTACTTTGTTCTTCTCTGCCATTCTTCTCTTGTGCATCTGGTTGTCGCTCTTGAAGCTTTCCCGAAGAAGGCTTCTTGCACACCACATTCTTTTACATTGGTGGATGTGCAATCCACCATTCTTCGCCAACCTCTTCAAATGCATCATATAGTATTCCCTGCTTTTCTCTGGGATATTCTTCCATTCTTTTGAGGCCGCAGGATAGTCTTTGTCAATGATATCATGCTTTACCGTACGGCCTAATGTTTTGAGATGCAGTCTTTTTACTGTCAAATCATGGTCTGAAAGAGGGACTAATGGGGGCAAAGGCTGCCCTTGTGGAACTTCTTTGCAGTGCGCCTTCCAGTCCTGCTCGTGAAGAATCTGAAGCAACAGATTGTATTTTTGTGCTTCGTTTTTTCCTTTGAACTCGCCGCCAGTATTGATTACTCACTTACCGAGCTGATCAGGGTACTCTGTGAGCTAGGCTCTTTTCACAGACTCGGCAATGCGCTCAAGAGCTACAAAAAATGTATGACAATATTAATAAAGTAAATAAACATCTAAGCACAGAATATATATGACTTACAACTCTGCTCAATAATGCTTTGTTGCATTGTAGTTAGATCTTCCGCACTGACTGCTGGCGCAAATTGATTGCTGAATTGCCTTTGAAGCTCGCGCAATGCTTGCTTGATTTCAGCAAGATCAACCTCAATCTTTTGAATTGAGTTGAGGAGAGTTGTGTTAATATCGGACATGTTTAAGTTTTTTTTTAGCTATAAGCAGTGAGTTGAAAAGAAAAGATGATAGTTTAGACAAGTAGAATAAGAGCGATTTGAGTTTGAGAAAGGCAACGATTTATTACAAGCAATTGATAGCTATTTATATGAAAAAGATACAGACAGATGTATAAACAAAACATATAAAAGAAGGGATGCTTATGCACTTGTATGCACCTGTCTGCACCTGTCTGCAGTAGCTCATGTGAACATGATACAGTCTTTTTGTGTTGACACAACAAAACTGTAAGAAATATAAAGATAAAATGAATTAGACTTTAAATCAATATTATATGTATAAATGTTTATACTTTGCACCATCTACATATTAAACGTTTTAAAGTATATGATATAATAATATAACTCTATACATATTGCAGATATAGCGTGAAATTTGGTTAAAGTTCTCGATGACAAAACCCTGTACCAGTTAAAATTATAACTTTAAATATACTCTACAGTAGCTATATAACATCTGAACATCATATAGTTAATTAGCCCCTTTTTATCAACATTAAAGTAAATGTTATGATACTCAAGTTCATATCATACTTATTATCATTAGCGACTAAAATGCGTTTTGATTGATGCTGTCATCAAAGGTAAAAATAATTTTAACTGTCATTACTATTATTTACCAAGGGGCATTTTTGACTGAAACCGTACATTTTTGAAAAAGGTGTGCTTTAACTCACATCGGCACTTTCAATTAACACCCCTTTCAATCAGTAGTGCTTATCTTGATGATGTCAGTAAAAGAGTATCAGACTATAGCCCTCATTATCTATATCTATTTCTTTAAGTTTTATACATAAACAAGAAAATAATGCTATTAGCTAAATATATATTCACTATCTCAAAAATACTATTAGTACAACACAGATAATATAAATATGTCTTTTCTACCAATGTGTTTAGACAGTACTACTTTTTTTAACTGTTAATTATTAGAAGGCTGTTTTTCTTTGCCGTTGGTATTAGAGAGTAATTGATAATTTATTTAAAAAAAAACATAAATTATTTGGTCATTAATTATCCTAAATATATATATACCTCTTTATAAAGCCCAAAGAATATCTAATCGCTCAAAAGTAAAGAGTACGTGTCTGTTTCACTGGTGCTCTTTTAATGGTACCCCCTTGTCAACCAAGAAGTATTTTAACTTACATCATAATTATTAATGAAGAAGAATCTTTCCAACCACGGGAATTATTTACTGACAGGTGTTTCACCTAGCATTGACATTACTGTAATCATTGCTATATCATCACTATGAGAGAGAAAAAGAAAAAGAGCCGCAAGCATTTTGGTTAAAAAATAAAGAGTATATAAAGATGTCTTTTACATTTAATGAATAGCACCAAAATCCTCTTCGCAGCTTTATTTTATATATTACATATGTACCAACCCAACCAATATGTCTTCTTCCAATGCCAGCCATCAGAGAGATAGAATATCTACACAGCAATACCAATGTGATCAATGTGTCTTGTTTTTTGATAACTACCAGAAGCTGCAAAACCACAAGAGAATTCACAGAGGAGATTCAGCAACAATGACTGAAATTGACCAGTCTATTCTGGATGATGTTGACATGTACCATGACGAAAATGATACTAGTAATGAAGATGAATCTGTTAGCAATTCAGGTAATGAAAAGAGCTGTAATTGTATTATTTATTTTCCAATTACTAAATAATGTATTACAAAATATACTATGGAGTCTATGGAGCTTGATAATACTATTTCATATAAGTGCGCATGTAATTTTGAGGACAGTGAGGGTGAAGCTCACATTTACAACAGCAGCCAAATCAGTACAAATACTTTTACCAAGGCCGAGTTAATGAGTATTCATCTGTCTCAATTGATGCTACAGCATAGAATTGCTAGAGCAGCATATAGAGACATTGTTCAATTTATAAACACTGTCATCCGAGACCATGACAATATAATGATGGGTAAAATATTATATTTTCTGTTACCTTGTACTTTAATTCCAGATCACTAACATGTAGTGATATCGTTTTTTTTAGAACCTGGGGCTAAGATCAGTCATGGCGAAACTGTTGATGCTTTGCTCAAGTCAAAGTCAAGTGTCAAGAGCCATGAGTATGATGTCTGCTCTAGTGGTTGTTGATTGTATGGCATTAATGACGACCAGGAATCTTGTGTTGACTGCGGCAAACCGCAATACAAGACTGATCCCAATCAAAGTCAGACACCAGCCGCCAGTATGAAACTTATGTCAGTTGGGGATATGCTTTCTCAAATGTTGGCAGATCCAGCCACAAGAGAGCTCCTCTGTTACAGAGCAAACCGGGAATCTGTAGCTGGTCAGCTAACTGACATTTTTGATGGTGACAATTACAAGCAGTTGGTACAGCAGGGCCTGTTCTCCAATCCCGATGATATTGCCATTGGGCTTTATACCGATGGGTTTGTCAATCAAAAGAAAGGCAAAAACTCATATACCATCATCCATTGCATAATATTCAGCCTAGACCCATCCATCAGGTAATTAATTAATTTATTACTATTTATTATTATTATTACATTTTTTTAAAAAAAAATTACTAATAAAATACTTAGATATACCAACAAATACCTTTTGCAACTGGCAATCTTGCCTGGCCCCAAGAAGCCAACTCATTTGGACTCCTTTCTTATATCCATCATCAATGAATTGCAAGATCTTGAGGCACATGGCTTGGTTGTCAAGCACAATGGAGTGGAGCTTTGCAGATCCAAGGTCTATCTTCTGCTTGCTTCTGGCAATATTCCAGCTGTAGCTGATATGGCCCACATTGGTTCCCATACAAGCTTATTTGGTTGCCGTTTTTGTGAGACCAAAGGCAAATGCCCTACTAACAGACAGAATGGCATGTACTTTGATGACATTTCCGCCCGGTTAAGACCTTTGGAAGACTTCAAAGTAGGCAACTCTGTAAGTATACAAATGTTTAATTAGCCATCTTTTTTTCATACTAAATAACTGCTTGTAATAGTCGAAGAACATATACCAGCCAAGCATATATACCCAACTCTCAACCTTCTCTGGATCATCATTTTTTGCATTAGATGAACTTCATTTAATTGCAAGAGGGATTGGAAAGCTTGTGTATGACCTGATTACCGTCACCCTCACAAAGGAAACCAAATTTTATTATACCCATCCAGACAATACCCTCAATACCACCGAATACCCTTTTCATATACCAAGAGCAGACCTTGTAACAATTGGAAACTGTATCACCAGCTCACAAAAATATATACCCACCTCATTTCAAGGCAGTTTCGACAACATATTTGCCAAGATCGATGGTACTCACGCTGTGGACTGGCTTGACTTTCTCTTATATCTTGTCCCCACTTTGGTCGTGCCTTATTTACCAAATAGGGCTGTCAAAACAGCTCTATTATCTCTTGTGAAAGGTTGTGCACTTGCCTTGCAATGGACGTTGACATCAGAATTGCTTGATGAGATGGAGTCGTAAGTTATTATATGTCTCATATATTATCATTACAAATAGCTGATTGTTACCATTTTTTAAATATTAATAATAGATACTTCAAGCACTGGCACTCGTTTTTATACCAACAAGTCCAGAATAATACTCTGTCTTGTAGTGTTTTCTGACCAGTGCAACATTACCTGGTCCATATACCCTATATCATCAAGCAGCAGGGCCCCCTGCGATGCTACTTCACTCGCTCAATGGAGAGAGTAATTGGTGTCTTCTTGAAATTGATAAAGTCCAAATCAAAGGGTGGCCGAAACGCCAGTTTTCTCGTTGAGCAATTTGCGATTCACAATTATACCAGCATGGCAATCAGCATCTGTGATGAAATCAACCTCATTTGGCTAAAGCTATATGGAAGAGAGAGCTACATGGACCTTCCTAATGATCCTAGTGGTGCGCAGTTGTGGGAGCTGTTTCATCAGTTTGTTAATTTGAACGATGATTTGGTGGAAGGTGTAGGCGGCCCTAGTGTGAAGGAAGCTTTATTGAAATACTACTGGAGAACAACAGGCTTGACTGGCCACAAGTTTGGTGACTCTGTTGTTGTTGTAGCTGCACGTCTGTGGATGGACTTGACTGTATATTCCTCATGCATGTACCGAAGAAAGAAAAACGAGACCAGTCGTGGCAACCATTACGTGATGTTTACTTGCCCCTATAGAAAGTAAGTATAATATTTTTTGATATACAATCAAAAGTTGCTTACATTCTATTTATTTATTTATTTTAGCAACCGTAATGTAATTGTTCACAGCTGGCTCATCAGTACAGTACAGTTCTACTTTCAGCATGTAGATTTCTATGGCTTCCCACACTTTCTTGCTTTTGTGGAGGTCATGAAGGAACATGACGCAGATGGCCATGACTCATCAGTACCTATTGTCAAACAACAGTCACAAAGCACCCATACACTAGGCCACCAAACGCAACCGACTTATGCAGTTATAAGTGTAAATGACATTTGTCATCAAGTTGGTCTGGTCCAATACCCACCAAATGGAAACCAGTTTTATGTAATCGTGCCCTATTATATCTTTAACAATAACATGCGCATTACTAAAGGCAATCTTTCCATTCTGTAATTCTTTTTATTTTTATCTTATTTTTCTATATGCTCTATATCCTTATATCTTTTATATTTTTTATATCATTCTTGTATCTTATATTCTTTTTTTAATTTTCTCTATTTCTTATGTTTTTTTTAATCTCTATATGCCCCGTCTTTCTTTTCTTCTTTATATATTCCAGTTTTTTTTCTATTCTCTATACACCTTATGCTTTTCTCTTCATTTCCTATATGCTCTATATGCCATTACGCGATTTAAATAAAATCAAATTGTCAATTCATCAAGATAAAAAGAATATCTAAAAAAAAAACGTAGTTTAAAAAATAAAAAATGGCAGTTATGTTACCATTTCGTTCACACATTCCAAAAATTATTAATCTTAATAATTGTTGACATCTTTGATATTCAATAAAACATATATTTCAATACTCAAAGTGGTCATTACAACTTACAAACATTTTTTACAGTATTGAAAATATTGTACAGCAACAAAAAAGTGTTTTCATGATACTTTTTTAAATTGCTATGAATGACATTACCATCTTACAACAAATGGCGGAGATTTTATTGGGTTTCGACCAAAAAAATGGCGGTTATGGGCCTACTTTTGGCCCAACTGCCATTCATTCTGCCGTAGTGTCTGGTACGGAAGGCTAAATTCACATACAGAGACCTATCATAATTCTCATTCTACCACCCCTTTTTTTTTATTCCTACTATTTTCTGGATTTACTCTCGCAATAATCTATTTATAAACTCATAGTAGAAAAATATATGTCTTTTACACACAACAGGCATTCTTGAAAACATTTGAATAAAGACTATGAATTGATAATATCATAATTGTCATGTCTCTTTCTATGTTTAATAATATAGAAAAGAACTTGTTAGAAGAATTTAATTAAACAACCATAAAATATAATGCTTTTTTTTTACTATAAAGTCGGTGCGAATAAAGTATATTTTACGCTTGTTCCTCTTTTTATTTTCAATAAATCACATCAAACAAAACACATAAAATGTCTTCTATCCCCCACCACTGTAATGTTGTCTGCCGTTGTGCTCAATGTAGCAGAAATTCATAGGGATACTCATTGGTGACAAGCAGAACCGCTGAGCACCATATTAGAAAAGATGAGCTTGAGAGAATCGAGAGACTGGATATGGCTGAAAGATTGGCAAATAGTATGTTATATTCAGGGTTTATTTTTCGATTACTGAGTAATAACTTCTTTATTTTTTTAATTTTAATGAAACACAGCTGTGCAAGAAGAACAAATGATGGACGTTGATACCCAATGTAAGAAAAGAAAAGAAAAAAAAATTTAAAAACCAGTAGAGACAATAAGCTAAACTAATCTATATTTGTATATATCCCGACCTGTCAATCTGAATCCATCGAAAAAATAGACGATCAGGCCAACTCACCTGATTTGAATGCTGCCACGATGGCTGACAATGTCTCGGTAGACAATGAGATCAGCGAGGTCAATGGCAATGACTCTGACATTGAAAGAGACATGAACTCTGACTCTGGCAGTGGTGAAGAAGAAGGTGTCGAGACAGACGTTGAAGAGTTTGTTAATGAAGGTCAGTCATAAATGATTTTGTTTTCTTAAAAACAGACCTAAAGAAAATTTGTTCTAATTTATATTTGTTAATTTTAAATAGACCCATTTGATGCTCCTAACATGCCTGAAAACCCTGTCCATTGGTTCATTGCTACCTTTGCCGTTCTTTTTATCTCGCGTTATGTTGTTAACAAAGGTGCCGCCATATTGATTGAATTTATCAATCAGTTACTCAAGATCTACGGCAAAGATTTCCAATTACCAACAAGTCTTATTGGCCTGCAAAGAATGACTGGTTTTTCCAATTACGCCAATGGTATCAAGAAGTCTGTTGTATGTGAAGACTGCCACAAGGTTTACAAACAAGATGTGCCTCTCCCTACTCATTGCGACTTCAAAAAGCATGGTTCTCAATCAGCATGCAATTGTGAATTGATGAAGGTTTCATCTTCTGGTGCCATGGTAGCCAAGCAATCATATGTCTACAACTCTATCCAGAGATCATTACAAGTTTTCTTTCTTCGTTCTGGGTTCAAGCAAAAAATCAGACAATGGAACAAAGAGCTTAAGGTCATAGATACACTATGCGACGTCTATGATGGTGCTATGTGGAAGGAGCTAAAGGACCAAAGTGGCGTATCGTTTGTGGATGAACCTCGTTCATTGATGCTAACAATGAACATCGACTGGTTCCAGCCATTTGATGACGTTACATATTCAACTGGAGCTATCTACCTTGCAATAAATAACTTGCCTCGTGAGGAAAGATTTAAGCCTGAAAATGTCATCCTTGTTGGTTTGATGCCTGGTCCTAAGGAGCCAAAGACCAAAGAGATCAACCACTATTTAAAGCCAATAGTCGATGAATTGCTGCAGTTGTTTACGGGGATAACCATCCCGACCTTTGAGTGCCCAGCCAGTGTTAATGTACGTGCCGCGTTACATATGGTTGCCTGTGACATCCCCGCCACCAGGAAGACCAGTGGATTCACCGCCCACAACAGTACTTGTGCATGCCCCAGATGTGTGAGGCAGTTTACCATGTTACCAAGCACCAATCAGGTCGACTTCAGTGGGTTCGACTATTCGACGTGGAAAATCCGTAGCAGTCTGGAAAACAGGTTGCATGCTGAGGAGTTGAAGAGTGCCAGTACGCCCTCAGAAAGGCATCAGTTGGAAATCGAAAATGGTGTTCAATGGTTGCAGCTGTATCGCCTTGGATACTTTGATCTAGTACGTGGAATGATCATCGATCCCATGCATAATTTATTCCTGGGGACACCAAAGAGAATGATGGAGCGGTGGATAAAAGAAGGACTGATAGACAATAGAAAGCTAGCTACGATGCAAACAATGGCAGAGACAATGGTGGTGCCAATGGATTACGTGGTGTTGAAATCGAAGATTGGAAAGGGCTTTCCATACATGAAAGCTGATGAATGGAAGTCCTGGGTGCTAGTGTATTCACCTATCTTGTTGAAGGCCGTCCTGCCAATTGAAATGTTCAGAAATTGGATCAGTTTTGTTGATGCCTGCCGCCAATTAGTAAAGCCAAGTATCACGTTCTCTGACATTGACAATGGCCATAAATTTCTTCAAGAATTCTGTACTGAGTGCCAGCGTATTTACACTCCAACTATTCTCACCTGTAACATGCATTTACATCTCCATCTTCGCGAGACCATCCGTGATTTTGGACCAGTATATGGATATTGGCTCTTTGGGTTTGAGCGATATAATGGTCTGCTAAAGAACGTGAATACGAACAGAAAAGATTCCTTTGAGGTTACATACATGAATAGTTTCGTCCAAGATACATTCAAAGGTGATTTCGTTCATGCTGCTCTCACATGCCCAAGCCAAGTACCGTTTCTTCCTCTTCTTGCCAAGCTTACTGTCACAGCTCAACCCTCCACTTCAAAAAATACAATAACTTTTCCCCAGCGCCCGTTCAGACTATCAGCCTTCATCCAAGCATACTCAAACCCTTCTCTTCCAGTCCTTGGCAATGAACCTCTTCCTCCATCCGCATTTCCTCTCCATATCGAACCCCCATCAGCAATGAGTGATGTCGACTATCCTCATTTGCTTGATTACTATAAAGTCGCATACTGCATGCCAAATCTTGAAGGTTACCAGCATCCCTCCTTTCCATTCTCCTTTGTCGACAACCAAATCATAAAGTTGAAATCAATCAATTTGCTTGGTCAGGTTTACAAAGGCTGCAAATATGCTTCTGGTCGCGGCTCATTTGTTTAATCTCTGTTCCTTGGAAGTCAAGGCAATAATTGGTTGGCATACACTGGCCAAATTCAGTATCTGTTCTTGCACTCTTTCACTCCACCAGTAGACAACACAGAGCTCCAAACACGTGTCGTTTATCAAGATAAACACGTGTTTGCGTTTGTTAAATGGTTCCAGATTGAGCATGACCATTCAAGAGAGTTGGAAAGTGTTGACATCTGCAGTGCAGATTTTATTGCGTGTAATTTTGAATGCATCTTGCCAGTACATCGAATATCATCAGTTGTTGCAACATGTGATTATAAAACCAGCACAAATAATAAGAAAATACTTGTCAACGCTTTACCACACAAACAATACAATTAATATTTAATACATTTCTTTTTTAATAAAAAATTTCAATACATAAGCTAATGTAGTCTTATTATATATGTTGCGAACAATACATATGTGTTAAGAAATTTTGAGAGTAAAAGAAAAAAAAAACGACAAAAAATGAGTTTTATTTATGACCCATATTTAAGAGCCCATTGAGGTAGAGCAGGATCTAAATCAATTGGGACTGTTGATTCCACTGTTCTACCATAAACTCTCTTAAGCAGTTGGCGGGAATTTGCACCCAATTGCTTAACAACAAACGAGTCAACCTCCGTAATGAATTTGTTAAGCTAAGTAATAAACATATATTAACATTCAGCCTGGCATCATTCAAAAAAGAAAACTGTTAGGTTTTACCTTGTCACTTCTCCAACTTGGGCGAGCAACACGAATCTCATTTCTTGGCTGAGGGGGGGACATATCATCATCTGATTTGCCTTCAGACATGACCGACTTTTGGATCAGTCCAGAGCAGTTTTGACCCATCTTGAGATCAATGTCAGCCTTGTAAGCATCATAAGCAAGGTGATGGCGAGTGTAGTTCTAAAGGAAAAAGACAATACAATTAATATTCTAATTGTTATTATTTAGCATAAATTGAAAATATAGTTTACATCAGTTTCACGGCCAGATCTTCTTGAATTAGTATTCAAGGCTCGTCTTGTTTCCGGAAGTTCCCTTTGCTGGCAACGTCTACTACAGAAGTTTGTATACATACACTTACGAAGGTCGCGTGTCCTCAGATCAGTGCCAGCAAACTTCTTTTCCAAGTAATACAAGAGTTGTTTGACTAACTCTCTATTTGGAGAGTGATCAAAATGAACATCAACTGCTCACTTTGGTTTTATGGCGTTTGCTTGGATTTTAGCTTTGGGTTCCACATATAACCATGAATGTATCCCTATTATATTTTAATTAGCAACAAGATTGGCAAGTGTCTTTTGTATCTTTATACTTACAAATACAGTGTTAGTATCACTTGATTCGGTGATAGGAAGGGCAGCAGAAGTGGATGCAACACTAGTGGGCACATGCGCAGATACTGGGAGGGCAGACAAGACATCAATGCCATTAATGGCGGTTGCGTTACCAGTGATCACTACACCAATTCTTGTATCCATCAATGTGATCTTATCCTTCATGGCCGTCATCTCTTCTTTCATCGCATTCAAAGCTTGTAGCAACTGGACATCAGTGCTAGCAAGAGAAGGAGCGAGTCTGCGGTTGGGGGTAGGCATTATTTGTAATACATTATAATATTTTCAATTGTTAATATTAGTTCTTTTTCTTTTTTATTCTCTTTTGTAAGATACAATCCATCTATTTTGTTATGTAAATTACAATAAATTCGCAACGTAGATTTGTTGAGATGATATAATCAAGAGTGAGTGACATTGAATTGCAAGTAGAAATATTAAGTATTTATAGGTGGTAGTGATGCTTCAGGAACACTTCAAAGACAACTTCTTGAAACACTGAGATGTAAATCGGCCTTGATACATTTTTTGGCCTCAATTGATCACCTCTTTTCAGTTTTTTTTTGCTATCGTTTATTGGATAAGCTTTTCGGTATTTTGTTTCAAATGCGGAAAAAAAATTTACGTCTTTTTCTTTCTTCTTTTCTGCTCCTTTCCTCTTTTCCAACGTTTGTCATTATTATATTAGTGGCTTTTTTTTGGTAACATACTTCTTTATTAAATACTTTTTTATAAACAATAAAAATTAATACATTCTTTTATTATCATAATAGATACTTGTTTGCTCTCATTTAAATGCATTCATTTCCCAATCGCTATCCAGATTAACAAAGGTCAATATTATATTTTGCGAAATTAACATCTATAAAAATCCTTCTGACTTGTTTTTTTTATTACAGACTTGATCATTAAGAATAACTGCTACAAATGAATTTGGTTAAAAACATCAAGGTAGTATATATATATATATATTATTTTGATATGTATCTTACTAAAATGAAGTCTTATTATAGATGAATACTGTTGATCCCGTCTTTGATTTCCCTTACATTATACAGCTGGAAATGACATTACATGGTAAGGATCACTACTTTATTTTTTATTTTAGTTATATTAATATTATAATATGTTAACATAAAATATTATTATTTTTCACTAGAGTTCTATCAAGTGTTTACAAAGACAATCTATCTCTGTTAATATATATTCTTGCTACTGGTATGTAAATTATTTATTATTTTATTCGATTCACAAAAATTAATGTTTTTCGTTGTTTTTATAGTGAAAGATATCATAAGAAACGCCATGGATTATCAATATTGGCATCTATTTTTTGCTCGCTCTTTTCCAATATTTACAATGTAAGTATAAAAGTGTACACAAAATATAAAAGCATACTACATTAAATGTAGTACCCAGCACACATAGCTAATAATTTTTCTATGCTTCTTAAAAACTGTTGTATTTCAACAAACAGTCTGCTTTCTTTTTATATTTTCAGATATTTCTTTTCTGTAGATAATTATTCTATTCAAACAGTATCAAGCAGACCAGTAGAAGCAATAACGGATATCTAATAAATCAATACTATAAGATTGTTATAGTTCTAGAAACATTCTGTTCTTTCCAAATAAATACTATTATAAACTTTTACCAATAAAACAATTTCTGAAAATAAAATAAAAACGATTAAACTATACTATGGTTCAGAATCTAAAGAATTGCTCAAGTATTGAATTTAATTGGATATAAAAGATAACAAAGAGGTGTAATGTTGAACTATACTACTGTGTCAAGATCGAAAATAAATATATTATCCACCTTTAAAGCTGCATATAAAACATATAAAAATAAAACCTTGGTTTCAAAAAAATCTTTTCAATATCCCAAGTCAGATCAACACACCGAAAGTGCTAAAGAACTATATCCCCATCATTTTTGTTTGACCCCACACATGTGTATAGCTGGTCATGGCACATGGTGCTAAGCCAAACTTGTTACATGGTGATATGTATCTGGACTCAATGTTAAACCCTGTCTTGACACCTGAGTAACTACGCCTTTACACATACGTATGTCAGGTCATTTTTCCAGTGTTGCGAATGGAATCTATAAATGCAAAATTCCAGAATTTAATTATTCTGTCACTCAGAATTCCCCATACTATTGCATATGTGTAGAAATCTAATTTCTCAGTGGGAACTGTTCATTCAGCTACCAATTGTCATGTTGCAATCTAGTATTTCTTTTCTGGCACTTGTAACTAAGTCACAGAATCAATACCACTGGGGATTGTTAAGTTTTTAAGAATAGTTTTTAGATAAGAATAAAGATGATTTTCATTAAATGTAATTCTTGACTATTTATACAAAACAATTGTTGTTTTCTGGCTAAAAGAATAGCTACGGTAATATGTCTTAGATGGTGGTTATCCAGTAATATCTTTACAAGTATCACTGCAAAAACCATTGGGAATTATTATAATAATAGGTTTTGATTATCGGGATATTTTGTCACATAAAAATGAATTACTCGTAAATATTAAGGAAATCATAGTTGACAAGTTATTGAATAAAGTGTCAAAAATAATTGAATATTATCTTATTCCAAAAATAAAAACCGGGAGTTTAGGTATAATGTCTGTGTATCAACTGTTCTCGGGGATCAATTATATAGACTATTCCAAATGCAGAACAATGTATTATCTACCACTGATTACACCTGTAATTTGATGTAGGCCTTGTTTTTGTAATAACAGGCGTAATAACAGGGCACTTCTTTAATGTTTATTGGCTAAATGAATCGAAGAAAAAATTCTCATAGGTGCAAATGCTAAGCACGAGTTACTCAATTGGATATTGTTTTGTTTTGAAAAATGGTTTTTTATTTGTTTTTATTTTGGATAAAAAAAGCCTTTTTTTTTGGCAATAATAAGAATTCTATATAGTATTACTATTAAATACACTAATCTGTTATATTGTACTTCTTATAAATTTTGTTTCAGAATTTTTTGAATTAATAAACTCGGGTAGTGAGTATATATGCTTACTGAAGCTATTTGATTAAAGGGAGTAGAAAGATACTTACATACTGTTAGAATAATTTGTTAATAATGGAATAAAACACAGATTTATATTATCAAAAGCTACGAGCCAATGCGTCATTCAAGTATATATTACAAAGAAAGGAATATAAAACATATATATACATATTTACTAAAGGAACATGTCTTGTCCTTGAGTACCGGTCATATAAGAATGTGAAGAACCATTTCAACTATAAAAAAGGAGAGTGAGAATGCTGATATAAAAAAACAAAACAAAATAAAAACAACACAATAATAAAATGAATAACACGTACCCTTATATTCTTTAAATGATTTGTTTTTACTGACCATATGTAAATCAAGGGTGAGCTATATTTAAAGTAGATGTTAGATATTGTTTTTAATACTGGGAAGAAGATGTTGATATAGATATATACGTACATGCCACCAATATGTTTTTGTGTTTTTTTTTGTCTGCACCGGTTATATCAGAGAAATATATGTAATGGCTATTTAAAGTAATTTATAGTTAGTAAAATAATGATATATTTAATAGTAAAGTACCTCTTGTATAATGAAAGACACCTGCATCATATGTATATATTAAGGGTGCCTAAAGTGAAACATAGTAGGATTAAAAGAGTGTTATTTTTATTAATATTATTAAAGAGTAGAGAAAAACAGAAAAAGGTGGGAAAATAAAAAACAGTGTTTGAAAAAGCCGTAGACCCTGAAAAAGTTATTAGACTGTTTCTCTTACTTTGAAAAAAAAATTGTCTACTAATTATAGCTTTATATGTTTCATAAAACAATTGTTACTTACTATATACCTAAAGAAGTTGTTTTCTAGCTCAATTTTTTTCAAAATAATATATTTCGATCTCCTCGATCATTTAAATAAAGAAGTATTTACACACTCATACACTTGCTCAACTTGCTCACTTAATCATTAACATAATTGTTTAATCACTCAATTACTCTACAATTCTTTACGTGTAAAGTACTCTCTTAAAAATTTATTAAAATAGAAATATCAGGCAATATATACCAGAAACTTATTATTTTATTATATAAAAATACAGATAATGGCTCCAAGAACTAACATCAACCAGAACGCACGTACCAATGGATCAACATCTAGGCCATTGATCAACGCAGTCAACACTGGGCGTATAGAATCGTCAAATCCAATGATTGCTCCTAGACCAGAAAATATGTCAATTCCAGTGTCAGAGTTTAATGATGTAGTCAGTCTTCTCGCTACACTCAATGACAAAATGACAGCCGTTAGTTCCGATGTTAGTGAATTGAAAGGTAATTAAACACAAACTATATTGTTTTCCAATAGACTGACTATTTGAACAGTACAATGCCAGGTGGGTGCTCAATTGACTGGCATGCAAGCCGTTCTGGATTCTGATATGGATCCTCAGGACATCATAAGCAGCTCAAGACACCCAAAGATCTCAGTAAGCTCAAATACTAAAATTATAAAAACAATCTCCCTTTAAATCTAACATCAATATATCTTTAATAGAGTATTATTCGGGGGCGGTTAAGAGATATTAATCTTAAGACAGATGATTTGGAGTTGATCAGAGAGAATGATGATAAACCAACTTGGGATGTCAATGTTGGTTTTTCTGACGAGTTTAACAAGAATCTTGCAAGTGATTTGATGCTTTACATTCGTCGTCAACCTGTAGCAGCCATGGTACCACCAAAAGAGCTATGTGGTATAATTGTAAACAGCTATTACAATCGCTTGGCTGCTAGTAAGCTTACTGAAGAAGACAGACAGACAAACACTACCTCAAACAGAAGAGGAAATAGAAAGACTGCTGTAAGCATTTCTATTTATAATAATTCAATTTTGACAAGTATACTTAAAATATTATATATATCGTAGCTTAATAAAAGGAGAAAAAGAACGTACACAAAGCATAAGGATGCTGTCACTGAAAAGTTTAATCGGGATTATAATGGCGTTTTTTACAGAGATGCAATGTCTGGTGATGAGACAGAAACCGATACTTCTGTTGTTGCATCTCGTCCTGATTGGCGTAGTGATGAGGTAATGTTTTATATAAAATGGTTTTTCTGTTGTTTGATTCCTGATGTATATATACATTTATAGTTGAATACCGTGTTTGACTTTCTTGATGAGCTCGCCAGAGATGACTTGGGAAAAAGAGCAACGCAGTTGAAGTCGCAG